AAAAAAAAGCGAAAGAAAAAATTAGGATGAATGATCCTATCGTCTTTCGATATGGGTGATTAGCTACACAAGCGAACGCAAGACATAGATTCTTGTCATGTACGTGCGTCATTGGGTGTTAAATTGTATCGCGTTGTCGACGATAGAAGGAAATGGAAGATAATCTTGTTAGCCACATCGACCGATCATCATCACCATCATCGTCATCATTATTATTATTTTCATAGGCCATCAGTGTGAAACGACAGTGGAAAGAAGAGACTGATTGATTTCCGTATCCAGATGTTCAAAGGAAAGAAAAGCCAATGAGACAGGATGAAAGTCTGTCGATTATAGTCAATGTTACTTATTGCTAATGTCACATCCACTGTTTCACATTGTGTTTGGTTTTCAAACTTTTCGTTGTTTACAGTGAATATACAATGAAATCATTTGAATAAACATTGGTACAAGAATCAGTTTTGATCATCGATCAATTGTATCCATTGAACAGCAGTTCTTCTCAGCATGAGCTTAAATAAATAGACTAATCAATGCTCATAACATCATCTGTCCTGATGTATGTACGAGTGAATGAATAGATTTGTCAAAATTCTCTCCAGCATATCGCTTATCCAATTTCGTATAGACTTTTTGAAACGTATTGATCTTTAGAAAAGACTATTTGCAAATTGCTCTCCTGCTCATTGAACAGGTGTTAGAATGTATGCACTTATAATCAGTGATCATCATCAACAGATTGAGAACGTAACGCATAAGGCGTCAATTGGCAAACATTTTGTTTTCACACTTTTTTTTCTTTTCAACAGTGTTTGATCCTTCGTTTTGTCGTTGTCGGACAAGCCCTAAGGGATTTTGTTATCCGCATTGGAACTGTCGATCAAAAAGTAGAGTACAAAATGAAAACGACTTAGGAAAAATATTGACAGACATATGTCTCTTGATGAATATCCGTATATATGTGAGAGAGAGAGAGAGAGAAAAGAAACGTCTAATGCAATTCGAGTATTGTCGACAGCTTTTTCGATAAGGCGAACGGCAAATATTATCCTATAGATACATATGTGTATGCATTATATGTATATGTTTAGTTTGATGTTTGAGAATTTGTATTGAACGATGACAAGTGCAAATCGAGAAAGCAATAGAATACACAAAGTTTTATTTATCTGCATAATGGATGAGATGGCCGCAAGCTACCGTTAGCTTATTCACTTTAGTAGTTTTTCTTTTCTAATCTATTGAATAGTCAAACGGTAGGTGAGTACAAAGCAATTGCCATCATAATCTTTTATTAGATAATCTACTAGAGTAGTTTTTCTAATTCGACAGACCATGGATAAATCTCCATTTCATTTCTTTGTGCTTTGAGACATTTGCGATATTTTAGCAGAAAATTAATCATTGTACTCGAGATTCGATAAGTGTAAGTGCTCTCTCTTTCTCTCAATAAATCTTTCGAGCGTAAACGATGCGAACAGCATGTCAATGATTTACAATTGTTTATATGAAAGATATTCGAATGCTTGACTGGCTTGGCACTCGGATAGCATTTGCCGGTTTTGTCTTGCACTTCTCAAATGTGTTGTGTCAAGCATTGTCTTTGTAACATAGAGGAAAATTAGTACGGAGTAGCATAGACAGATGTTCAAGCGTAAGTTGAGTATCTCATTAGACAAACGTTCAATGAGTGACAGCAAATGAAAGAAAGACAAGAGGAGATGTATCTCTTCAATCTGTGTAAGAAATTTGTCTTTTCAGATCATTTGTACACATGTCTGTTCGAGTGCGACTCAATGTCATAACATTTTGTCATTCAATTATCCTTACATGTGATATGGAAAAAAGCAAATTAACTTCATTTTTCTCTACGTACTCAACTTTTTCTCAAATATCTAACAGTGTTTTTTAATCGATGATTGTACATGGTGGGCGCACACGTCGAAGTTAACTGTGTAAAGAGCAGTGAAACTCAACGCAGCGGGACATCTTTTTAACAAGACTGGAAAAAGAAAATTCATATACAAATGATCTGACACATCTAGAAAAGTGTTGTCTTAACCGATAATGATATCTGCTCTCGTGTGCGATTTTAGCACTTCATTACCATGAACCATCATATTCGTAGATCTTTCGTTTTCTCAGTTGATGATTGGAAAACATTGAGAAAAAGGAAATGAATATGCCACTACTTAATTTGACATTCACCTATATACTAACACTGAATCGTGCTATGTAAAGAATAACATGACATCCGTGAGACGCACACACACATGCAGACTCATTGATAACAGTGATTAGAATCTGAAGGAAGGTGTGTGTAGATTGTAAGTATATGCTTGGGATGAGAATGAACAGATTCTGTCTGACAAATACTTCCGATCGCGGAACTATCGTACCTTCTATTTATTTGACAACGAAATGAAGTGTATGAGATTGAGGTGTTCGAAGAGGAAATTGATCGTTTCCGTCAATAAAGAGATATCAAAAGTGCTCGTTACTTGTGTCGTACTTTTCTTCATGACTTTGCTCGAACAAAGTTCGTCGTTGTTCTTATTCGCTTACATCAGTGATAAAAATTCGATTAATTTGCCTAGAAGCAATTTGCAATTATTACAATACAACTATCTTGTTAGCTGAAATCATTTGAAACACTTCTGATAATCTATATTGAGATAGTTGAACATTCCGCCTTTCCCTTTTCCCTTGTTCGTCGTGTTTCTATCTTTTATCGTAGTTTTGATGTCATCACCATTTGATGAAGAGACATCTCTCAGTCAGTTCTACGGAATAAATGTTCGTAAGTATAATCTTCCTCTTGTCATCAGTTCTCTTCAACCAACTGATTGAGTTGAGTATTAGAAGACGACGAAACATTAATGTGCATGCCATGTAAAAGCAACATCCCGAGAGAGAGAGAGAGCAAGGGACAGACGACTGCAGATTATCATGACAGTTCGATTGCTGATGAATGTTCTCGCGAGATAGAGAGTAAGAAAAAGAGTCCAACTAGAAACTAACAGACGACAAGTGACATGCAACAATCTTTTCTTTTCTTTATTGAGATAGATACAAAATACATACTATTGCCATTCGATACACATCTACACATGTCGACACTAAATGATTTATTCATGATTGCTTGCTTACTCTGGACTAAATGCAGATGAAAGAAACAGGAAAAAAACCGTACAAGAAGAAAGGCGTAAATGATAATTATGACGATGGCTCTTTTCGAGCACGCACATATGCGGCGAATAAAAGATCATGATGTCTGATGAATATGAATCGATCTTGATGGATTTACTCGAACAGATAGATCATGTATCAAACGCACAAATCTAATAGATTTTTGCCTTGTAAAGTGCTTTGATTTTGAGCATTGATAATCTCAAGTTGCTTTTTCGCAAAGGTCTTGAGTTTTTTTATATATTAAACTTGATCTGATGGTCAATCAATGGATTTCTAATTCAAGGCGGACTGTGATGATCACCTTGTTGATTCGTGGATTACAAGAACATCTATGATCACAACGGTTTATAATAAATCTATAGACGAAATCTGAGAAAAAGATTTATCGAGAGACTTAATTTCAAGTTCTATTGTGAACTATTGATATCAAATAGAGTTTGGAATATGTTGAAACTAAAGCGACATTGTCCAGATGTATCTTCATTAGTCTATAGGTACAGACCAATAATATATTGGTTTGTGTATACTATACTTTCTTTCGATATGACCGGTAAAATTTTGTTCAACGTTCAAATAATCTCATACTATTGATAATGTGTGAATCTCCTCAACTGTGGTATATGACATCGTACTGTATGTTTCTCTGTATTTTCAAACTTATTCGGAAGACAATTTGTATTTCGTAGATGATTGTACTGGTCGTGGTCGGCCAAGAGGTTATTGTGTTGAACATCTAGTACCACACATTTCTTCGTCGCCTGAAAACATTCCATGTGAAATATCTGAAGAGACTTTTTTGACTGAATCATTCTGTGAACTTGTGCCACCATCGGTTCCACTGTCCAGTGACGATTATGAAGAAGACGCAGAGCAGATTCTCGAAACTCCAATGGAAATTTCCAAACCTGTGGTTGCAGAAAACATTTCAGAACCGAAAAAAGTTCTCAAGAACAAAGAACGTCATGACTTAGTAGTTGTCTCTCAACCTGTAGAATTACCACTGAAAAGCATAGCAAAACAACAATTATCAATTGCTCTAGTACCATGTGTACAGTTTCCTGAATCATATCATTCGTCCAGCGAAATGACTGTGGATTTTTGGCGTCGATATCATACGATACGTGTGTCGTTTTCTCAAAGGGAAATCGGTCACTTCTCAACTGCTAATCGTGCTGATCGTATTCGATGCCGTGAAGATCATCGATATTTTAAAAAGTTAATCTATCCATTAGAACAAAAAAAAGTTCATTTTGATCTTAACGTTGGCGCTGAATATCTCATAATAAAAGTGGGTATTTTCGAAAATGCTCGATTTCTATTTCAAATCCAAACTTTCTGTGTCAGGAACCACCGGCTTCGCTCGATTCGATGTTATGGTGGATCAATCGACACAAAGACGAGTTATTTGTTAACAAAAAGTAACACATCATTTTTTAAAATTATTTCAGTCTTGAGATTCAACTGACTTTTATTTTGTTCAGATTCACTTTCGACTTTTTAGCTTGGCGTGGGACATTACGTAAAATTATGTCTTCACTATTCGATTCAATCGTGGACTGGCGTATCGGGGTGATTCGCTGGAACGGTTGTCATTTCATGGTGGTCTTTCATACTGAAACCGAATTGAAAATCGAAGCTGAACAAACGCCAAGCGAGAAGCGTATGCAATACTGGGGACATAAATTCGAAGATTATATCACATCGGAGAATCCGCCGATAATTCCATCACCCTCAAAGATCTTTTGCACGATGAATAAAGCTGCACTTGGCCGTCACAGTTTACTCTACAGTTGTGAAATCGATGCTTGCACATCAAATTCCACGTTTGATGGAGAGAAAAAGCAACAAGGTGTTTACGTGGAAATCAAAGTAGCTCATGCCAAGCATCTACTTGATTTAAATACTGCTTCGTAAGTAACCATACACAGGTGATTTCTAAGAAAATCATACTTCATTTCTCTTCTAGTTCTCGAAAATATGCAAAATGGTGAGTTAAATGAAGAATTGCATTTCATTCGCAAGTATTTTATTAATTATTCCAGGTGGCAACAGTGTTATCTAGCTGGTATAAATCACATGTTACTTGGCTTTCGAAATGACTATGGGATCATTGAATCTCTACAACCACTTGGCGTTAAAGACATCGAAATCCGAGCAGTACGATTCTCTTCGGTAATAACGATGTCGATTTCGTTTGTTTCTTAGAAAACATGGAGTGCAAGTGCATTTCTTTCATTTCTGGATGAATTTTGTTCATTCGTTCAACGAACAATTACAGAAGATTGGTCATACGAAAACAGGTCAGTGAAAAAGAAGTTAAAACATTGTTTATGTAGTGTCTTTCAGAGCTGTTTACCTGTTTTATTATTCTCCAAAAGAGAAAAAGATCAAATGGCGTCTTTCAAACGAAGAACAATACCAATTTCTTCCTGATTGGTTTATTAAAGATTTTTCATAAGTAGAGAATTTGTTTTTGAGTGAATGTATTTGTAATAATTTTGTTATTAATTAATAAAACTTTGAATTGATCTTAAACGCGCCTTTGCTTTTCCCTTCTCTATGATCATCATTCATTTTCTCTTTTGGTCATTGGTTCTCTTTCTTTTCTACATTTTAATTAAATGTCGCGAGTACATCAATGCATCAAGTCTGTTTTTCGGCGCATTGTTTATTGAAAAACTTCGTCTCACCGACATCTTATTCGATACTTCGATCTATCACGTATCTTGTAATTATTTCTCTTGGCTTTTACACAGGAACCCATTGGTGATTCTCGTTAGTATCTTTATAACTATTTCGATCTTTTCCACGGTATTGACCATGTTTAAGCAATGGATTAAAATTGGCGTACTTATAACAATATTGTATTGGTTTAGTAGTTGATGGTAGAGAAGAGGAAAAAAATAATTAAATCAAACTGAAATTGTTTTTCTTTCTTCGAATTTTTCTGTTATTTTTTCCTTTCCGATTGAAGAAAGAAAGTTAGATGTTTGTCTCGGGAGTTTATAACTGACTTGGGTGTGTGCATATGCTTGAAAAGAATGTTGCAAGATTACCGTCGGCAAAGAAAAATCAAGTCATTGCCATTGAAGCCGAAAGGTAAACAAGAATAGTATTAATTGTAATTTCCCGAAAATTGATTTCAGTTGATCAAAATTTGAAACAATGTGATAGTAATTTATCGGTCATTACGGATATATCGCTTTTATCGGTTTCGAATTCATCGATGGATCAACCGGATGAAAATGAAATCTCTGATGATTCGTCGAGTTCTCAAGAAAGTGTTTCGATTGAATCCCTTAGCGACGAGGAAGAGCCGAGAGCCAAACAAAATGATCTCGATTCATACATATTTGATAAACATTTAAATCGGATACCAAGCACCGTTAGTAGATTAACCGAAACAAATGCTGATCAATCTGTACAGGGGTTGTTGGAGAAGAAGAAATTCAGAAAATCCGATTATGTTGAGGATTACGATCCGTGTTCGATTCAAGGACCGCCTTATGCCGAATACATTAAACAATTGAGAGGAGCAAAAAAGGTAATTAAACCTCAACAACGACAATCGCCTCTGATTCCAGTTCGAACAACGCGATCGGAACAATTGAAATTAGCTCGACAGCGATCTGCTAGTAATGATCGATCGGATGAATTCACTCGAAATTCATCTGCGAAATTGTCGCAACACAATTTATCAAGTAATGTACAGAAACAACAACCATTGACGCCGGCAGTCAACCATATATCTCGCCTACGGACGGATGGCGATCATAATAATTTCAGACGTGCCAAGTCAGCTCAATTATGTCAAACGGCACTTTGTTCGGGTGGACCATTGCGCTTTTCCTCACTACTTCTCAAACAAATACAACAAGATCTTCAAAACGAAAAAGGTATGCATATGATCACGAGATGATCGACTTCGTATATCATCCTTTCTCTTTCAAAATAGCGAAATATCCACCAATAACCAGTACCCTTCTTCATGAGCATTTGCGTGCACCCCTCACTGATCGATACAAAACGAAACGTATTCGTCGATGGCTTCAAAAACTCGTTCCAACCGATTATCTTGAGCACAATGAATATGCCTCCAATGAAAGTACCCTCAGTACTAATTTCACCGATAGACTAAATGAGGAATACGGTATACTTTCCGACGATAAAACTGCAAATAACAGCGAGAGAACACTTGCCGAGGCTCGTCGTGTCCTACCAATATTTCGATCGGAGTTCCATCGCAAAATTGAACAGTACAATCTGTTATTAGCCCGTTTAAAATCCGATTTATATATTATGTGACTTTAAGCTACACCAACAAACCTCGCATTTTGTTTTTTAGATATAGACATCATAAGTAAACAATACACTACAACTAAGATGTACACACCCGATCAAAATAAGTTGAATCTCAGTAGAAAAAAAAAAGATCCCTTGGAAAAGTATAAATGTCACTGAAGAGGAAAATATATGTCTATTGTAATTCCACACGTGTCCGTATTGTTGTTGGACTAGTTGCTCTTGCCATAGTTCGACTAACACTCTGCATTGTTTGTGCCATTTGTGATATATCTTCCCAACGTTGTGATTGAATGAGATCTTCCAATGATTTCAAGCGATCGATTTCTTTCACACGATCTTCAAGTTCTTGAATTTCAATACGTAAACTACGTGTTAAATCTTCTTCACTCGCAAGCTAAAGAAATATTTTCAAGAAACCAACGATTGATTCATTATCAAACTAAATATTTTATTTCTTACCCGTTGTTTTAGAGTACTGATCAGACCGTTCAGTTGATCCTTATCCCGCAGAAGAATGTTGACTTCGTCTTGTAAACGCGTATTACGTAATTCATATTCATTCGATTCACGTTTAGCAACCAGAGCATTTTGACTTTCGATGTTTAATTGTCGTTGCAACTGTGTCAGCTAAAAATGTTCGACTTTTAGCAAATCTATGTGAAGATGTTTCTTCGTTCTTACTTGGCCGTCAAGATCTTGATTTTTGCCGATTTCACCATCTAATTTCATTTGAATACTTTCAATGGTACTACGAAGAGTTTGTTCTTTCTTTCGTAGTGCGGCAACTTCTTTGTCTTTTGCTTGGAGCGTGTCCGTACGTTCTCGTAATGAAAAACGAAGCTTGAAAAGAATAAAACTTTCTTTAAATAAATGCAAATTTCCATTAATATCTCACTTGATCTAGTTGACGCTCGAATTCCTTTGTTAAATTTTCAAGCCGTGTCACTTCTTTCATCAAAGCACCCTTTTCATCGGCTAACTAAAGAATGGATATAAATATAATGAAGTATTTTCAGTGAAATGATGTTACTTACTTTATTACGAAGAAATTGAGCTTCGCTATAGCGGTTATCGTGCGATTTTAATTCTTGTCGTAGTCTATCAACTTCTTTCTTTAATAAAGGGTACAGATCGATTCGAGAAGTTGAAATCATAAACTACAAACCTCTAAATCAACCACAATACCCTGGAGACGATCTCTTTCTCGACTTGCCAGTTGTTGATCGTTAATGCTTCGTTGTAAATCGTTTGTTTCTCGTTTGAGATGATAAACTTCATCCGTTAAAGTTTTATTTTGATCCGATTGCTGTTCAAGCTGAAAAAGTAGATGATTTCACTTGTGAAATCATTGAATTATTTAAAAGAGAGCGGACCTGTTGTTCGAGTAAATGGATTTTACTCTGAGCACTTTTGAGCTCATCCGAGGAAATACGTGATCGATCACGAATTTTTTGTAGTTCCTGATCACGCGTTCTCTTTTCCTGTTCAAAAACTTCTCGAGCACGTCGAAGCATATCGAGTTCGTCTAGTAGATTCTGCTTTTCAATATCGAATTTGTCTATAATGAACAACAGAAAATTTTCACAAAGAAAAAACAAAACAAACTTCTCTTACGACGAAGTTCGTCCAAAGCAACTGTCAATCCATGTTTTTCACTTGCTAACTGATCGAACTGCGACGATGTTTGAGCAAGATTTCGCTGTAAGTCACTACGTTCTTGTTCAATTTTATAAGCTCGATCATCATTCAGCGTCCGACTGAGCACGATGGAGTTTTTATTCAACTGGTCACGCGTACACTGGGAGTTAAGGAAAACGCTAAAGTCATCTTCGAAAACAAAAGAATCTGATCAATAGAAAAAGGATATAGATAGTGGCATTCGGTTTCCAGATAGTAGATCTGTTCTTGCAATTGTCGGATGTATTCACTTTCGAGATTTTGCGTTGTTGAGTTGGTCAAGCGTTGTTGTGTAACATTCGATCGACTAAAAGGAAAAATACGAACCAAACAAATCAATCATGTCAATTACTTTTGATTAAAAATATCTATCCATCATCGAAATGATACTATTGAATCCAATGACAAATCGATGCATGAAAAACTGATTATCCTTATCTTCATCTCTGATCGCTTCTTGTTTCGATGTTTTACATTGTGTGAAAAAATGATTATAGTGAACAATCGAGATGAAAATCACAAGAGGAGAATTAAGATAACGAGTGACCGTAACGAAAGCGCTACACTGTCAAATATATTTCAAAATCAAATTTCATTTCTTTTTTTTTCAACATTTCAATAAAAATTCTCTTTAGGTCACTGACTTTAACCTTCAATTCGCACTCCTTCGATTACGACCAAACATTCAATCCTTGAATAGTTGATTGCATATGTTGCCTCTCATCTCTGCATACATTTTCTCTTTTTCCTATCAAGAAGAAGTGAAAATGGACAATGCATATTAAGACTTTTTGTCCTCTATTCTCTTTCGACACATATTTATTCACTAAAATGCAATCATTTAACTATTCCCATATTAAACAGACATACACACATCAATATATGTGAACATATTCAACAGAGCAAGTTACGCTTGACCAATTTTCTCTCTTATCTTCTCTTTCACATCGAGCTCACTCTTGATCGTTTGTGTTCATTTACGCTTCTCTCTCTCGTCAAGAAGGTACACTCTTTAACTAACCGATGGGTTCGATGCAAACAACTAATAATCATCATAAACGTTGTCAAACACCGTTATCATCGCCGAGATCTCTTCATAATGCACAAAACAAACGAATGGATCGCTTTCGGACAACTGTACGTAGTGCAACACTTCGAGCATTAGCTGCTCGAAACTTTCACAATTTCCCTTCATCGTCAAACGATTCAACAACAAATAACAGCATATGCACGCTGCCGAACACGATTACAACGATTAATTCTCAAAACGATTCCGATCCTTATTTGAGTGACTTTGACTATCGAAAATTCGCGACATTGACTGGCTTGTCCGAAGAGAAAATCAATGAATTACATCGAGAATTTCTGATTCTATCGAACAACGGTCAACTTTCCTATGACCAATATCGATCGATGTTTGAAAGTGTACCACTTCAACGAACTCCCGCACAACTAGAAAAACTAGCTCGACAAACATTTGCAATATTTGACAAAGACGGAAACAATTATTTAGATTTTGCCGAATTCATCGCCGCTTACATCGCCATGGAAAGAAATGAACTCTCACTAGCTGATACACCTCTCCGACGAGAATCAGTCATACCATCATCTATATCACAACCACCACACCCTCCTCCTTCGGCAACAGTCACGACCGTCCGACGACATGCAACAACTTATTATAGTCCACAAAAAGCTCTTGTTAATGCTTCGCCGTATATTCCGCGTCGATCAATGCATCATCCAAACAATTATCCTAGTTATCATCCTTCTCAATCTCTTGCACAATATGTCTATGTTGCTCCACAATATGGATTCAGATAGAAGAAAATTACAAGATAAAAACAGATCTTTGCTTATTTTGTTTTTCTTTACTTGAAATCTTGTCCGGATGTTGTTCGTTTTCCGCTGGTTGATCGAAGTGATGTAGATTTTGTTCGTTGCCATTTTTGAGAATCTGTTAACGGCGCCGTACAAACCGGACATTTCTCCATCATTAATGTTGACATCTTAAAAAGAAACGAGGAGGAAAAGAAAGCGATATAATGGGTTTTTCGAACGAAAGATTTCGTCTTGTTGTGCATGTTTTTTTCTCTCCTATATTGAAAGAATATACGTGAAATTAATAGGTATCGTCATAAGCAATATGTTTTGTTTCATTTCTCCTTGACAACCCTCGTTCGAATAACAGAATAAAACATACTAGTAAAGAGTTGTCGCTATATGCCGAGAGTTATTTTATTTTGCATCTCTTCCTACTCAGCATGAATACAAGTCGGTAGACACAGAGACTAGACATCGATGTTTGATCCACAATCATTTTACGTAAGTTCATTAATTCATCTGTCACAACATTAGACTCTTCCACTTCGAAAACAAGTGCTAGGATGGGATATGTATTACATTCGATCTCTTGCTTTCGCTATCAATAATACTAAATCATTCATTAATACCGCGAAAATAAGAGGTTGACGCTCACACGTGTCCAACATCAATCGTCTAATACGCGAAAGCGTGCCTCTTTCATTATATAAGATTCAAATATGACTACGGAGTAAAATTGATTCGTATCACACCATATTAAATGATCTCATCAATGTAGTGATCGGTACGATCACGCCTCCTATCCTTCAAAGTTTTTATTGGGACGATCATCATACATTGCATGATTCATAAAAAGAAATCTTCGAATCTTTTAATCTTTTAATCTAATCTGTTAGAAAATAATCATACCACTTCACTCGCATTTCTATTTGCTAAAGTCATGGCACGCGTTGCCGAATTACAGGGTAAATAATTTCTTGATGCTGATCAATTTCTTATTTCTCTCTTGTCAAATTTAGACTATTTATTCAAATTTTTGATCATTGGCAATGCTTCGACTGGCAAGACTTGTATCTTACATCAATTTCTTGATAATGAATGTACGAAAACATTCTCTTTTGGCTGATAAAAGTAACTTATTCTAATTCGATTGTAGTTAAACATGAAGGTACACATACAATTGGTGCAGCGTTTGGATCGAAAGTAGTTACTGTCTCAAATAAAACTGTCAAATTACAAATCTGGGATGTATGTTCCTCAATCATCTTATTCGATATTTAACTTTCACAGCGAAGCCTGTTTAGACTGCCGGTCAAGAACGATTCCGATCAGTTACACGTAGTTATTATCGAGGTGCATCTGGTGCTTTACTTGTCTACGATATTTCTAAGTACAAAAACTGTATTTCAGGTTCTCTTTCTGATCTATATGTTGATATACCTTAGTCGAGAAAGTTACAATGATGCTATTAACTGGCTAACAGAAGTTCGTGCGGCAGCCAGTCCGAATATTGTCATTATCTTATGTGGTAACAAAAACGATTTAGAAGATGATCGACGTCAGGTGACATTCCTCGAAGGAAGCCGATTTGCACAAGAACATGGTAAATAAGTTTGAATTTGTAAGATCAAAGTTATTCTTTCGCTTTCAAATAGATCTAATGTTTCTTGAAACATCCGCATTGACAAACGAAAATATCACTGAGAGTTTTGAACAATGTGCACGAATTATTATATCAAAAATCAATTCAGGTGATTTTCTTGTTCAATTCAAATAACTCATTCTTCGCATTGCTTTTTTAGGTAACATTGATCCATCTCGTATGTATTCGGGCATTCAATGCAATGCTACAACTATTACTGCTCCTCACAATGAGAATTCTTCGAATAACCTGAAACAAAAGAGCGCATTCAATTGCGCTGGATGTCAAACATAAAGTGAATTGCACTGAAAATATCTTCTTGACTGCTTTATATTATTGAAAAACATATACGACAGATTATTTCTGATATAGCAAATCTATTCCATGACTTTTTTGTGTTTTCGCTTGATAATGTTGCTCTATATTTTTTCATCTGTATAAGTTTCGAAATGAAATATTCGTGAATAATAAAGATATATTTTATGGTCAACACATAACTCCTTCATCGTCGACAGACACCAGATAGTTTAAGGGAGAAACAATAAACTAACGACACCTACCTATTAGAATAGGAAATTTCAGATGAATTCATACAAATTTGATCTTCTTTCGTTAAATTTGACTGGAATGAATATTTTCCGAGATCTTGATTAAAATTCATTGGTTTCTAAGCAAACGGTTACCTAGGCAAACGAGTAATCATGGCTGTCTGTCTTTAAGCTAGCAAGTTTGTTCGTTCTTAGATACTATTTGATTGATAACTGCACACGGCAAAATAAAATGGTATATTTGAATGTTTTTTTATTGAATTCAATAAAATCTCATTGTTGGTCTATTTCTAGTCTGTTGATGAACGATATAGTTACATAGGAGAATGGTACGATCCTCAAGCATCGATGACACGCACTTATCAAGTGCTCTTTTATCCATCGGATAATAGTATCGAGATGGTAAGCTTCAATTTAGTTTCACTTCGATATAATCTATCTGAAATCTTTCTTTTTTTCTTCTACTAGTATGATACTAAAACGCGTCGTACATTTTTGAAACGTACGAAATGCGACACGATAAAAATGCAAGACTTTTTTGTTGGAAATACAATAAATATCTTTTCTCGATCGATCAAAATTGCCGACTTTGGTGATGCATTTACTGCTAAATCTGTTGGCAAAAATCAGGAAAGGTGAGAAGAAAAATATTGTCACCCTTTGAATTTACTTATCAACTTATCATCTAGAACCTTGGCAATTATCAAACCAGATGCTGTTCGACATTTAGGTGATATTATAAGTGCAGTTTATGAGAATGGCTTTAACATTGCCCGAATGCGAATGGTGAAATTGGCACAAAACGAAGTGATGTATTTTTATTCCGAACACAAAACAAAGGATTTCTTTCCGTATGTGTTTTCCTCCATATCATTTGCTTTCCTATAGTTACAATGCTCTTTTTCTAGACGTTTATGTGAATTCATGACAAGTGGTCCACTTGTTGCTATGGAATTAGTCGGGCCCGATGCAGTCAATCGTTGGAGAAGTATGATTGGACCGACAGACACACAGCGAGCTAGAGAACAAGGCTCACATTTACTACGTGCACGATTTGGCACAGGTATGAAGTCCAATCGAAGTGAAAACTCTTTCCGATCAGATCATGTTTAGATGGAACAAGAAATGCTTTACATGGATCTGATTCAGCATCAAGTGCTCAACGAGAAATTTCCTTCTTTTTTGGATCAAAATATGGTGTTAACACGGCATGCTATAATGATACGACATGCTGTATCATTAAACCACACGCCGTTGCTGAAGGAAGAGCTGGACACATCATTAATGCGATTCTAATTGCCGGCTTTCAAGTTTCTGCTATCGGAACGGTATGCTCGTTGACTGTAAGAATCTGTTTATGAACTGTTTCTTTCTCTTTTCAGTTTAGTTTGGATAAAGTAAACGCCGAAGAGTTCTTTGAGGTTTACAAAGGTGTTGTGCACGAATATCCAGTAAGTCTTTTCTGTATTCGTGATAGATTATCTGAAAAATTCGTCTTGTGAATCTAGAAAATGGTTGAAGAATTGATGTCAGGCGCTTGTATCGTTCTCGAAGTCCGTGCACAAAATGCTCAAGCAGTTTTCCGTGATTTCTGTGGACCAGCGGATCCAGTATGTTCTTTGTCAACAAATCATCGCTTTAAATAATCTACTACTTTCTCTTTCGAAGGAAATCGCTCGTCACATTCGCCCAAGAACACTCCGTGCTTTGTACGGAAAAGACAAAGTGAAAAATGCTGTTCATTGTACAGATTTAGCCGAGGATGCTTCACTAGAAGTAAAAGAAACAAGCGAGGAATTTATTTTTTGTACACTAAAATTTGTTCTTCTTTTAGGTCGAATATTTCTTCCGAATTTTAGATCATTAATGAATGACAGCGTGACAATTTTCCACATTGGTTTTCGTTTCTTTTTCTAACTATTTACGAATAAAATAAATCACATGGTCAACAAATTACATTTCTTCGATTGCGCATTGTTTAGTAATATGAAACTAAAATAATAAATTAAAAAAAAAACAGTTGACATTCTTTCCGAAACGCGTTGCTTACTCGGTGGCAATGGTCTTCGTCGACCATGAGTCACCTCATGTTGTTGAATAGGATGAGGTGAATGAGATCTTGTGGAATGAACTTGTAAATCATTGTTTGGTGATGCTCCCCGTCGACGATTCTGTCGACGCTTTTGTTTATCTATTTCATAGGATATTGTAGTAGGAGGATCGACTGGTCTTGTCGATTGTCTTTCTTCGTTACGGGATGACATTGCTGATCTGTTCGATGGTTGTGGTGGAGGAGATATGTGCCGAAGATGATGATTATTGTTTAGACGTGGGCGTTCACTTGGTTCTGATGATGAAGTGGAAGACAATGATGATGTTGTTGATTGTCGACGATCTCTAGACTGAAACTCTGATTTTGGCACTTGCGTAGATGATCGATCTACCATTTGCATATCGGGTACTAGAAGAATCAGAGATTTCGTCAGTAAAACTATCTTTAAGCGCGGAGTTTTCATCACAAAACTGAACAACGTAAAGCACCATTTAACATACCCTTGGGTTCAATTTTACTCCCTGCAAGATTTCCGCTTCCTACAGTTGACAAAACACTGATTAGTTATTAGATGTTTTCAAAACAATCATTCAAATGTTTAAAATCTCTTTTTCTCCGAGAAGAGCAAAGACAATACGACTGATACATATTTGCTTACCAAACGAGCTTGCCGACTTTGTTTTCCATACGCAGAAACCGATTCCTCCGATCAATGCTGCAGCACCAACAACCGATCCAACGACTATCCAGGCTATTTCACATCCAGAAAGTGAATCTATGGATACAGATCAATCAAGATAGAAATTTAGTAAAATTAGTTCCTTTGGTGGTAATACTTCGCTTTTTGTCTGGTGGTGGTATCGTCACTGGTGCTAAAATGAAAGATGAAATAAGCAGGCGTGTTCCATTGTTAGTAGAAAGAATGAAGGTTATGATGATAAAGAGATATATAGCACGAAGAGAATCAATAGAAGTTCTTCTTTTCAGCTAAGATAATCGTACTTGTAGAAGACGAAGAAATGGTTGAATCTGTTGGAAAGTCTATTATTAGAATCTTATTATCTACATTATATTACTTGGGGAACATACCTGTAGATACTGTAAAATATGTACTATCACTGTAGATTGTTGAACTTTCGGAAGTGCTATACTCACTAGTATATGATTTCGAACTGGTCATTTGTGTAGGTACGGAAGTCTGAATGGTTGATGTAAGAACGGTTGTTGCTGAAATAATGCTAGTTTAGTACAGTCTTATTTTGGCTCTGATAGATTATCTGCTTATTTAGTTTGCTATCAAAAAGCAGTATATCTTACGTTCGTCTAGACATTTGACTATGTTGAGATTGAACGTTTGTTTTCCATAGATTATATCATATTGAATCTCCAGATTAATACTAGTCAAGTTCGATCTGTATTCTAATTCAAACTGATCGATGTTGTCAGAGAAGTAACAATCAGTCGACGTGTCATTTGTTTTGAAACAGTAGCTGATATTGCGAACACATTCGATATTTTTTGTACGATTATGTTGAAGAAGAATTGTACAATTATTTGAAGAACCAGATGTAACTACGCCGGGTGTTTCAATTAGCTTTCCTAAATCAAAGATTTGATATTCAAACTATAGCTGAGTAACAGACAGACGTGCATTTTCTTTGGAAAAGGGAATCTTTTTTGACTGGTCTAAGTTTTAAAAATCGAAAAAGTTGATGCATGAATATCTCACCGATATCTATAGGTGGAGACTTAATTTGAACAGAATTATTTGGAGCTAAAGTATATTGGACATCCACATCAATGCTCATTGAACTATTTATTTCGCTTAGACTACTATTGATGATTTCGAAATCAGTTGTATTCGTCGATAGATTTGTTTGATTAACTAGCAAATGTGCTGAATTTATAATACGATCAACTTCATGATCTAATGGTGTTACTGAATCATTGATGCGAAGATAGGCTTTGCATGTATTTGAAATTTTCCGTAGTACAACGTCAGCTGCATTCAGTTTAGCGTCTAAAACAATAAAGGTTATACGAATTTATTCATTAATGGTTATAAATGATTACGGTAAACTCTCAGATTCATCGAACATTGAATTGTGTTACCATTATCGTAAGCAATATAAGATCCGTTATGAACACTTTTTACATCACTCAAACTTAAATAAGAATCAGCATCGTCGATTTCACCTATCATTGCATTAATTTCTGAAGCTTTACTTGAATTACAATATGTCCATTCCTCGTCGTACTCAGCAAGAGTGTAGTTATCGAATAGCCATTTTTTAGCATCAAGATACTCCGTCTTCACATAAACCGTATCGTTTGTCCATGCATGGAATGTAACATCTGGTTTGCTACTACTTAATATTGCAGAATGGTTGAATGCTAATATCGACAAGCAGCGTGGCGATATGATTAATAAAATCACATACATACATTTATTTAACATTTTTGTCTAGAAATAGATACTTTGGGATAAAAAATCTTGTTATAGACGAATGCCACTGTTAATATCCATTGCTGTGAAAGGACAACTATATTCTTTTATTAAAAACGTTCATCAAAAAGTATATATTATTCTCAGAATTCGAAGAGAAGATTAGCAAAAAATTAATAGTAAAACAGTAAATATAACATACCTGACTCGACAGCCATCGTGTTGTCGAGATTATTTATTAGATAAGAAACTCAAATATTTATTAAAAACAGTGACAATAGTTACTAGATATCATGCATGTTCGTTACTATACGAATGTCATTTTGTGACTAGTCACTAGTAGTGATGACTAGAAAGGCGGGTCATTTTCTCATACCAGACAACGTACAATGTTGGTATTATCTAAAATTAACGAATATTGTAACTTCGCTCATCGAATAAGAACTCAATTCGTAGTACGCAACGCGGATTACCGCATAACGAATCTAACTGTAGTTGGATAAATAAAAGATATTGCAAATATGAGATAGTTAACAAGGATAAATATTATCACATTAGTTTCCACATATTGATTTGGTGTCCTTTAGTTTTGTATTTCTACTACTTGTGTCAAAACATAAGCATCATGTCTTAGTGTTTATTTAGCTCATCATAAGACAGTTAAATATTGTGTTCATGAAATCGACCTTATCAATAAAGTTTCATAATGAAGTATATTTTGATTTCTGCGCAGCTTGATGAGCACGGGTGGCTTTGAGCATATTAAAACATTGCCAAAAAATACATGGAAAATAGAAATTGTACAGCAGTGAAAAATACACTCTTAGAAGATATCTCTTTGCGCTACAGGTCGCCATACAGCATAGCCAGCATCAGTATCGAGCTTAGTCAAATTCATTGAATGGCCAGCATCATATTGACCATATAGTGAAGAATCTGTTTTTGAATTGTCTTGATCGAATGAGTAGGCATCTATAACATGAATGCAGTCAATCAATGTATTAGAAAAGAAGAATTCATATGTAAAACGACTTATTCTCGTTATCATTATAGGATTTCGAAGCCGTGTTAGACAAAGTACATTAATGATGAATCATCTCAGAGAAATCTTAGCTTTTCAAAGTAGAGTTTTCACATATTTCTTTTTCAAAGACGGTTTAATTGAACCCACATTTGAGTTATTTTAGCCACGGTAGTTTCTTATGTGTATATGTTTTAGGACTAAACCGCTATGAAATGTCACTTCTTGTCCTCGATTCTACTCTCGTATTCGGCGATCAGATATTGATGTCGTAGAGTAAAACTTCTTTTGAAATGCCATAAAAGCTACTGGAGTGCTCTCTTTACACGTTTTCACGTACCTGATCTCTTCTTGCTGCCACGACGCTGGCGTCGATAACAAAAGAAACCTACTGCTCCCAGTATACCGACGAGCAACAAACCGGAAACAACTGATAGAATAATTATTAAAGTTGAGCGGTCTGTCGGCGAACCTAAAGTACACACACACACACATATGACTTCTAAGAAGACATCTTGAATTCTATTTCAAGAAAACATGTCAGTTGATTAAATAAAATAAGACGACCAGATGCCAACACTAATTGAACATTAGGGTGATTTGGACGAAATAAATCAGGCCTTTCGTCTTTTTCCAAACGGGATACACGCAATCATGATGTCACTGGTGCTACAACTTCACTAAAAAGTATTCTATATACCTGAGTTTTTCAGAGTGCTGGACATGGCAGCATCCGTTGACATGATTGTGATGGAAGAGGTTGCTTCTGTAGTGGCCCCTAAAGATTCTGCAGTTAATTCAGTTGCTATTGTCGACGACGAAATGTCTGAAACACAGCTTTCGAAAAATAACATGACTGAATTTCAAGTTGGCTTATCTCGAACCCAGTGCTCCCTTTTTGTGAAAAAAAAACAGCGGAATTCTTTTTTGAAAGTGACATTCAACTCTATCAATACAACAAGTGGAAAATCCGTACTGTACGACATCAACTATATACGACTGAAAATAAGATAAATACTCTACATTTGTTCAGTAAAAGTCTATGTAAAAACGCGATTCACTTACTTGATATTTCAATAGAGTAGCTAACAGCAAGAGTCAAATTTACGTTGTCTCTATTTTCCCCATAAAAACAAATATAATCTTCTTTCACCGAGTAACTTATATTTTTAATCACCAATGAATCATTACCAACATCGTAGTCATTCGCACATGATGTCTTGTTTACAATTAAATCAGATATTTCGGAGCACTTCGAAGTTCCACTTTTACCGACAGTCGCAAAGAAAGACATTCTCGGTCCTTTGTTGCACAGATCTTGGAGTACGGCCCAATACGTGTGGAAGCTTTTCTGATTGGGATTACATGATGAAAATCTAACTTCTGAGTTAGGTAAAACAAGATAATAAGACTTAGTATGATTGACATTCTGATAAGCGCCACAACCAATGGGTTCAGTCTTATTTTGGATGCTAATCACTTGCGCTATAATATTATTCGTATACATATACAAACCAATTATCCAAACGAAATAAATATTGGAAAATACCATCATATGCAACAGTGATGTCTTCTAAAACTGGAAAGTGAATTGGGACACAAAATCAAACATTTTTATCTTTTTGATTTATAATCATAACTAGGAAGAGGCAACTCGTAGTAACATTCGCACTCCTAATAATCCAATGAATGGATTTTAAACTAGAATAACACTTCTCAGCAAAATTGAATCAAGATGACACTTGTGTAAATATTGTATTTTTAAACTTAATTTTTCTGTTCGTCGTATTATTATCAAATATACGAGTGATAAGTAGTTTAAAGATCTCAAACAGTCGACTAAAATCTCGATTACATAGGATAAATTAATTTGAAAACTAAAAGTAAATAAATCAGACTTTTTTCAAAGAAAAATCTTGAAAATTATTAACTACGCTAATGCTGTACAGACAAATGACGAAGATGTCGCTAGTTCATGTAAAATCTGCCTCCACTTGTTCTACCGTCTTTGTAGGTGGCACTTCTTTAACACATTTGTAGACCAATGAACATTAAAGAAGTGACGTACGTACAATAACATATATACAAACACAATTCTAAATAATCTTTCGAAACATTATAATATCAAACTCTCTACGTTGTTGATTCCTGCATAAATACTATTGATAATAATTTCTATAATTTCCAGATATTTCATTGAGTATTAACATCGTAAGAAAATGTCATTAACTCAGTAAGTCAAACTGAAATTTGTTCATTTTTTTGTACGATATATCTTCTTCCTTTTATTTAGAGTACTTCCCCAACCGTCAATGGCTGGATACGACCGAGAAGACGATGAATACGATAACAAATCAAGAAAAAACGAAGTAAATCAATACATAGTTCGCTCATCTTCATACTGACCTTCTAAATCCTACTTTTAAAGGTTGTGCTCGTATCAAAATTCACTGTTCCACCGTATGGTCATCGAAAAGATTTCATTCCAAGACGACCAGAGGTAAATTGTCAAACTTTGATCTATTGCTCGTCATTAAGTACAATTCGTTTTCAGATGTTTGGCGATGGTGGTGCCTTTCCTGAAATTCATATGGCTCAGTATCCATTGAATATGGGTTTTACGAAAAATCAAACATCGAATGCTATTCAGCTTCAAGTAGATGCTTCAGGCAAACCGCAATTCGATGCAATTGTTAAACAAAATGTTAAAGGAAATAAAGTAAGGAAACGATTTTCACATCTGATTCAATCGGAATTCATTTTTGTTTGCAGATTGTCTATTCAAGTTTCGTTGATCTTTTGCCGAAAGAAGTCCGTGAAGATGATCCGAGTTTACAGAAACCATCAGAAGAAGAAATCAAAGAAGTGAGTGACATGACTAAGGATTATTTCTATATAATGGTATTTTCTCTTAGAAAACTGAAAAAACCCGGCAAGCACTCGAAGCTCTTGTCGCGTCGAAAGTCTCATCCGCTTTACCTGTTCAACATGCCGAGAAACAAGCACCTGCTCAATATATTCGTTATACACCTTCGCAACAAGGAGCGGAGTTCAATTCCGGTGCTAAACAACGTATTATTCAAATGGTTGAAGTACAAAAAGATCCAATGGAACCACCTCGATTCAAGTACGAAATCAGCAGATCTTCTTTTTCTTCAATATACTAAATCTGATTTATTCTTATAGAATCAATAAGAAACTTCCACGAGGACCACCTAGTCCTCCTGCTCCAATTCTTCATTCACCAACCCGAAAAGTGACTGTCAAAGAGCAACAAGATTGGAAAATCCCACCTTGCATCTCCAATTGGAAAAACTCTAAAGTAACGAATAGATTTGTTTTGGATTTACCTCTTCGTTCAAAATGTATTTTAATTGTAGGGTTATACAATTCCACTTGATAAACGTCTAGCTGCTGATGGTCGTGGTCTTCAAAGTACACATATCAATGAAAATTTCGCTAAACTTGCTGAAGCTCTATATACAGCCGATTTGAAGGTGAGATTGTATTGAGCAGAAAATTGAATCGTTTTCTTCTTCTTTTTCCCCCTATTTTTAGGCTCGTGAAGCAGTTGATATGCGTGCCAAAGTTGAAAAACAAATGGCGAAGAAACAAAAAGACGAGAAAGAAGAACGACTACGCGAACTGGCTATGCATGCCCGAACAGATCGGGCAGGTATTCGTTCCTCGGGTAAATCATTTTTTTTTTATCAATTTAGATAACATTAATTATTACCATTGGTCTTGTTTAGATAAAGGTGATTTGGAAAGCGCTGAACGTGACCAAATTCGACAAGAAAGACAAAAGGAACGACAACGTGCTGCTGCACTACAGCGAGCTGGAGGCGACAAAAAGTAAGAACAGAGCGATTCGTTTTCACAGAACAAAAATATTCTCCATCGATTCTAGAAATCGTCCAAAGGACCGTGATATTAGTGAACAAATTGCATTGGGTGTGCAAACCGCAACCAGTTCAGGTGTTCAATATGATCAACGTCTATTCAACATGTCTTCGGTAATTATTCATTAGTTTAAATCAGCGGCTGTTTTTAGTTTAGATTTTATTTTTCATCTAGGGTTTCAACAGTGGTTTAGGCGATGATGAAGCCTATAATGTATACGACCAAGCATGGAATTCTTCTACAGCTGTTGCTTCACAAATTTATAAACCAACCAAAACTACAAAAGATAATTTTGATGACACCGAAGCTTTGATCAGTGCTTCGAAACGGTTCGTACTTTGATTTTTCCTTTTTTTTCTATCGAAAATGTCTATGATCATCTTTTATTTTAGATTCGAATCCGAACGTGGCTTTAAAGGAGCTGATAAGGGAACAACACGTGACGGTCCGGTTCAGTTCCAACGTGAAGAAGATCCATTTGGTCTTACCGGTTTCTTGAAAGATGTACGACATGGTGGTGCTGGTGGCTCAGCTCCATCTGCAAATCCATCGTCTAGTTCATCATCTAAGCGTGGCAATGCTGACGATCGTGAAGAACGAAGCAGCGAAAAGCGTCGCAAGAAATAGAACTGGTGTTATCTGATTGTTTTGTTTTGTATATTGTATGTCATTCACTTCTTCTTCTTCTTCTTGTTGTAAGTCTTTATCTTTCGATCTTTCTTCAAATTATGTATGGTAGTGAGAAAAAGAAAATCTCCTTGTTTTACATATGTCATTATTGTTCGCAGTTTTCATCATCGTCCCGTTTGTCTACACAGCGTTTTCTATCGGAAATAAAACTGAAACTGCACATATGATCATGATCGTCTGATGTGAACATGTTTTTTCTTTCTCTGATCAAACGAACTAAAATCGATACAGCCCCATACGTTAAGTGCGTGCAGCTGTATTGACGTATATAACGTGGATTCTAGCAGAACAAGAAAAAACAAGTAAGTGTGTTTTTTCGCATATGAAATTATTATGACTGATAGCATGTATATAGCTACATGTAAACGAAGTAATCTGAGATGAGAAGAGGGCAAAAAAGAGGGTTATTGCGGACAAATAAGTAAACGTTTCTAGGGTGTGAAAAGTTTCTTATATGTAAAGAGTAATTTCAATTGAATTTCGTTCGTTTGATCGCGACATCTAAAAGTTGATCGAACGTACTCTCCAATCCGTAACTTTTGCAAAACATTTCTGAAATCGCTTTGCCTGCTTTTGTGCTTTTTTTTGCACATACAGTTTTATTTTCCTTCTGTTCTATCGGTTAGTCGAACGCACCATACGTTGTACTCGAGACGCATCGGTAGGACGGAAAGAATCGCAAAGCATATTGTATTTTCGATTGGTACATTGACTCGTCTAGGACATATCATTTGTACTGTTTTTAGATACATTGTAATCTTTTCCTGATTATATTTTACAAAACATGTCGACACAACAGAAGATGACTATTGGTAATTATTTACTTCGACGATTGAAATCATTGGGTATTGACATTATCTTTGGATTACCCGGTGACTACAATTTGGTAAGATATTTCGTTTTTTTTCATATTTTGCTAATTACAAGCAATTTTCTACTGTTTTTAGCCTTTTCTTGATCAAGTCGAAGGTAATATTTTCGAGGAATTATTTGTTTATGCTAACTTAGATTGTTTGAATTCCTTCATAGATTTCGACGGTATTGAATGGGGTAATAACTGCAATGAATTGAATGCATCTTACGCTGCTGATGGATACGCTCGTATCCGTGGCATTGCCGTAAGTTAACCAACATCTAAATATAAAATCCAAAAGAAACCTAATTCGTTCTAGGCTCTTGTCACAACTTTCGGTGTCGGTGAACTTTCAGCTATCAATGGTAATGACTCACTATTGATTGGTATAATGAATTCCTTTTGAATACATATTGCTTACAGGTATTGCTGGTTCATATGCTGAGATGGTACCTGTCGTACATATTGTTGGAACACCTCCAACTGCGTCTCAAGCTAGTGGAGCTATTCTTCATCACACACTTGGCAATGGTAATTTTCGAGTGTTCGCAAACATGTATAAGGAAGTCACTGTAAGTGATCAGCATTCATCAGCATAACTCTGTTGATTTAAAATATGACTATAGATTGCTCAAGCAAATCTAACGAAACTCAATGCAGTGGAAGAGATCGATCGTGTTCTCACTCAATGGTTTGCTTCTTTCCTTTTCATAGTTCGACATGAACAGTCTTGTTTTTTGTATAGTTTACTCAAAGGTCGACCAGTTTATATTGGTCTAGCTGTAGACCTTAGTGACTATGAGATCAATATTGATCCAGCGAATATCAAACCACTCAATCTCACAATTCCACGAAATCCGAAAGATGAACATCAAGCAGCTCTTGAGAATATTCTCGAATTAGTGCAAAAAGCTAAAAAGCTTGTTATCATAGTCGATGCGTACGATAAATATTCATATCATACTTACTTCGCTATCTGAATATCTGAAATTCTATTCTAGTTGTGCTATTCGTCATGAAATGATGAAACAAGTCATACGCTTCGTTGAACGTACTCAATTACCTGTCTATGTCACTCCTATGGCCAAAGGTGGCATCGATGAAAATCATCCACAATTTCGAGGTGTCTTCTCTGGAAACTGTTCAACTGAGCAAGTACAGAAGGAAGTCTACGATGCAGATTTAATTCTTTCAATTGGCTCAATGAATAGCGATTTCAATACTGGTGGTTTCACTTATCGTCTATCACAAAAGAAGACCATTGGTAAATATATTCTCTTCGTGTTTTTCTTTCGAAAATGTTCTAATGAATGATCTGTTGATTAGAATTTCACACGTATCATACAAAAGTTTTCTACGCCATCTATGACAAAGTTGATATGCGTCAATTATTACCTGATCTAACAGAACATTGGCCAGCAAATCTCGCTCACCAACATTTTGATAAACCGTTCACTATTGATCCACCTGTTTTGAATCCAAAGCAGCAAAACGAAATCATCCATGAATATTTCTGGCATAAATTACCTGACTTTATTCCAGAAAATTCAATTGTTGTCGCCGAAACTGGTACATCTGAATTCGGTAAATTCGATGGATATTAATTTATTTGCCAAAACAAACGCGGTTTTCTCTTAGGTATTTTCAACATGCGTGCTCCTAAAGGTGTCACATTCTTGACACAAATTTTATGGGGTTCTATCGGTTATTCAGTTGGTGCTGCTCTAGGTGCAGCTCTCGCCGGCAAAAAAGATAATCGCCGTGTTTATGTTTTAGTCGGAGATGGTTCTTTTCAAGTAAGAAATTTCAAATGGCGAAGAGAAGATATTTGTTTCTCATGAAAACTCGTCCCTTTCGTTTTTTTAGCTTGTTTGCCAAGAAATTTCATCGATGTTACGATTTAAAACAAACATAGTTGTTATCTTATTGAATAATGATGGTTATACGATTGAAAAGCTTATTCATGGACCTGATCGTGCTTATAATAATATCCAAATGTGGCGTTATTACAAAAGTTTCGAATATTTTGGTGACGGTCTCAAACAAAATCGTGATCAGGCAACAACAGGTTTCGCCGGGCAAGTTAAAACTCGCGAAGAATTTGAAAAAACTATGGCTCAAGTTGCCAAAGAAACTGATAAGACACATTTTGTTGAAGTTATTATGCCACCTATGGATGCACCACAAAGTTTAGTCCTTACAATCGAAGGTACAAGAGAGTACAAGAAACGCGAACGAGAAATGCAAGAATGAAGTTGACTCGATGATCTCAATTATTGCTATTTTAGACTTTTACTTTCTCACTGCTGAAGAACAAACTTTTTATTGTAGCAAATGATTCTATTAACAGATTAGTTTAGTTCTACGTTTCTTCATTTAGTTGATCAATAAAAATATGTCATTTTTTTAGAATATTCAAAGATGATTTTGACTGTACCGATACGAAGTATACCTTGACTTAGTGAATGTCTAATCTGTATCGAATGATTGATTGGGTAGAATCTGTACGTTGAAATCGAACTTATTTCAATGATTTGTAGTTTAGTATATTTTCTGAGAAGAAAAAGTAATCAAAAGGATAAATAATGTTGATTTTTCACTCTAACGGATCAGAATTAGTTTTTGGGTGAGGGTGTGGGTGAAATTTCACACAGGTAGTTGTCTGATAGCTAATCTCTCCGCAGTTTTTACGGTGATTCTCTAGGTCTAAAAGAGAGCTTAAAGAAATAAGTAAAAGGGTTTTAACAGCAGCAAAAAACATATTGATAGAGAGTTTTCTCTATTGATATTTATTATTATTCAACGTTTCGAAGAATTCAATCTTCATTATCAAGATAAACTAAACAAGATAAAAGTTTGAATAGATTAGTATCTGAAAGAAGTAATAGACGCTTGTGAACGAATAGAATTGTTTACAAACACCACCTATAGACGTATTAAAGTTAAATAAAAGCGCTTTTATTTAACTTCATTTCCTCCTCCATGGTTTGTTGATGCAGTCACTGTACGTTCGGGTTTAGTAGTTGGTGTGTTCTTCATTAAACCTTCGGGATAAACTAACAAGGGTGCAGAGTTAACTGTTCGATTTAACGTTGGTTTTAGTTGCTTTATGGCCAAAGATTCACGTATTAGAAGTCGATATGGTTGTGGATCTTTATCAATAATTTTTATGTCATTCCAGTTAATTTTGTGTTGATTATCGACTTGATGTTTGAATAAGGCTGATTGAAGAGTTTTAGTTTCTTTGCGTAAGTTTTCATCGATGTGTTTGTTTTGGTTTTCGATTGGTAGTGTTCCATATCTTTCGATTAATTTTCTGGTCCGCGTGGATCGTCGTAAGTCGTTTACTGTATCTTGAGTCGTGGATACTGGAACTGTCGTACTTTCTTCAAGTGAAGTTGGTTTGCCGTGTTCATAAAGACGTCGCTGAACGTGTCGAATTGTCTTGCCGATATAAGACGCTGCACAATCGTGACACGGAATTTTATATACTACACCTGATTGAAGAGAAATGGGTATCTTGTCTTTTAATGAAAACAAACTGGAAATCGCGGGTGCTGGGCGTTGTATTGGTTGTACACTCAAGAGAGGTTGAGTAGAAGAGGCAAATTTTATCAATTTTTTACCGAATTTGTTGGTTGTTGGACCAAAATATGGAATATCAATGTATAACTGGGTTGTCTTCTTGGTATCGGGCATAGTCGATACAGGTTTTGTAGGTTTAAGTTCATTTGACGAATTGTAATATCTGTTGAGTGTTTTTCGAATTTGTGATTCTATGAAATTGATTGGATATTCATTTTTTAATGCAATATTTCGAATGAAATTGAATTCATCAACCATTAAATCGAAAGTGGAACAAATCTTAATTGCTCTGTATATCATTGAACTGATGGCACTGACTTTGTATGTTTTTGGTACATATGATGACCATTTCAATATTAATCCAGTGAAGGACGGTTTTCGATAAATACTTGTAATGAATGGAGTTAATAGAGATGTTGTACGTTGGATTTTCACGTCCAGGAAGGATAAGGTGTGATCTTTTTCTTCCTCGCATGTAAATTGTATCTCGACGTCATAGCTGTTTAATATGTCAAGAATTGTCTTTATGTTCGTATCTTTATGTGCTATTACGAAGGTGTCATCGACAAACCTTTTGTAATGTTCGACTCCGTTTTTTGTTATTCGTTTCATGAATTTCTGTTCAAGATAATTTATATAAATATCAGCGAATAATGGACCGAGTGGACTGCCCATTGCTACTCCATTTATTTGGCAATAAGTCTTGTTGTTGAATATGAAATGGGTTTCTTTGGTGGCGAGTTCAAGTAAGAATTTCATTTCATATCTGTTCTTGCATTTGTCACACCACGTGGTTTTAGGTTTTTTGCTAACTATGCATGTATGTTTTTTGTCATACAATTTTTCTAATATGATTTCGATCGTTCGATCAAGTGGTACTTTGGTGAACAAAGAGGTAATATCAAATGAAAATAATTTGTGTTCGTTAGGATCAATTTTTAATTTGTGAAGCCATTCGACGAAGGAAAATGTATCATTCACAATTGTGGAGTTTTTTCTGAGATAATCTAATTTGTTTGCTAATAGTTTTGCCAGTTTGTGATTGTAAGTATTTGATGAGGAGACGATTGGGCGAAATGGAATGATTCCATCTGGATCTGGTTGTTTGTGGATCTTAGGTAATGCATAAATTCTACCGGGCTGAGAACCACGTGATTTGGCGTAATTGTAATCTTCTGTCGTGAGGAAATTATCATTTTTCAGTTGTGATAATTTTGAGTTGAGTTTGTTCTCTTGTTTGATAGTCGGATCTTCATCAATTTGTCTGAAGGTTTTTGTGTCTGACAAAATATCATTCATTTTTTTGACATAGTCACTTTGGTTAATGATAACTATGCCTCTGCCTTTGTCTGGTCGAGTGATAATGATGGATTTGTCCTTTGATAGATTTTTTAGTGTTTTTTCGGTTCGTTTTGATATATGATGTTGATTAGTGATTTCTTTCATTGCTATTTTCCGGAATGAGTTGCATGAGGATCTTATTTTTTTAGCATATTCAAGTTGAGTTGGTGTTAGATTGTAAATTGTTTGTTCATCGGCATTGATTTCTTCATAGTCCCGTTTGTCAGTTGTGTGTCCCAGTATGTTGACAAAGAAATTTTCAATGTTCGATATGAAAGTTTGGTCATCGAATTTTGTGGGAGGAAATACATAATCGAGACCATGTTCTAGTGCTGATGTCTCATCATTGTTCAGTTGTCGAGAAGATAAATTTTTTATGATGTTCAGTTTCTCTGCATTTGTTGTTTGTTTATGGGAACTGGTTTTCTCGTTTCGTAGCATGTGGAGCTTATTGTTGTGAGTTATGGTCCATTTGAACAGTTTTTGTTCAATCAATTGTTTGAATATAGATTTCAATTTGATTAGTGTAAGACCGGTGATGTTATCGTGTAACAGTGACATCATAGTTTGACAATTCTTGTAATTAATCGTCAATTTCTTCTTTTTGATTTTGATTTCATCATTTATAAGTTGCATTCGGAATAAATTTATGGCACGTTTGTAATGTTGGTGAGTTGCTGGTATTTTGATTTTCACGAATGTTGGAATCAGTTTTTCACGTTTGCAGATTTTGAGATATTCCAAATCTTTTTTAATTTTTTCTTGTTTGATTTTTAATTTTGCATACCAGAAGACATGCTTAGCGGTTAGAGGCCCAAAACGCTGCCTTATGTGATCAATGTAATTGTGTGTGTTTATGGGCAATAATTTTGAAATAAGTAAAAGGGTTTTAACAGCAGCAAAAAACATATTGATAGAGAGTTTTCTCTATTGATATTTATTATTATTCAACGTTTCGAAGAATTCAATCTTCATTATCAAGATAAACTAAACAAGATAAAAGTTTGAATAGATTAGTATCTGAAAGAAGTAATAGACGCTTGTGAACGAATAGAATTGTTTACAAACACCACCTATAGACGTATTAAAGTTAAATAAAAGCGCTTTTATTTAACTTTAATACGTCTATAGGTGGTGTTTGTAAACAATTCTATTCGTTCACAAGCGTCTATTACTTCTTTCAGATACTAATCTATTCAAACTTTTATCTTGTTTAGTTTATCTTGATAATGAAGATTGAATTCTTCGAAACGTTGAATAATAATAAATATCAATAGAGAAAACTCTCTATCAATATGTTTTTTGCTGCTGTTAAAACCCTTTTACTTATTTCAAAATTATTGCCCATAAACACACACAATTACATTGAGCTTAAAGAAGGTTGGCATAACTGGCAAACATACGAAGGGAATGATTAGGTAAAATTTTACTAAAATATTTTAGAAAAAGATGTATAGGAGATTGACATCATTAAGCAAGTATTTGAGAGTGAGAATGTTAGGGAGAGTGTATGTAAATAGTGCATGGTCAATATTTTTGTTCTACGGCTTTTCAATGCGTGATGCTTTCAATATGGATATTTCTTAACTATCATCGGGTATCCTACTAGTTAATTGTAGATATCAACAGCGGGAATTCAATGATAGCTGGTTTTCGTTTCTCCTAACAATAAATAATCGTGCTAGATATTGGTTGTTGTCTTTATAAGTGCAGAAAAGACGAACCAATCATTATTTATTATCTCAATATACTTCAAAGCAAGATATCTTCTAAATTTTTCACGGTCATACATCCATCCTCGAACAGGTTCATAACCTACTCGTCAAACTTTGCGAACCGCACCTTTCCAATGCAAGTAATCTTTCTCTGCCACCTACAAAAAAAAAGATGAATAGTTTTTTTTTGCTGATTTTTACGGAGAGGAACCAATTCTTTTCTTGGGCTCAAAATTACTGCCAATAGGCAAACTAATATTGATGAAAATGAAGAGCTAAAACTCTCCTTTCGGAGCGTGCTCTTTGCGTTGCACAATATAAATTCAATGAGTAGCTTTTGTTTCAAATTATGGACATGTTTCTAATTAATATTGTTTTAAACAATCGATTGGTAATGAATTTCAATTCTATTTAAGAGCATCAATTACTTTAAAATCTTCAGATTTACATTATTTTATGATACAAGTATTTCTGTCTCATGATTTCTAATTCTCAAAAGAGTGAAATTTGTACAATGTTATTTCAATTGAAAAAATTTATTCGTACATGGATAAAACCAGAAGAACAAAACTAAATTTTAACCAATATTCTTATACCGTCGAATTTCTGTGGGTCTTGAGAGAAGACGGCGAAGTTCTTCACTCGCCTTATTAATAACTTCACTTGTTAAATGCTGATCCAAAGCTTGTTCAGTAGACCATGCTTGTAGAAGTGTAACTTGAGACTTTTCAGTTAAATTTTCACATAATTCATATTTCAAACATGTTCGTTCTTTTTTTGCTTCAGCAATGGTATCATACAGAATCTTTTTCACATCTTCAGTTTTCTCTGCTAGTGGCCAAAGATCAACAACAACATACACAATATCTTTCCGAGTATTCGTCGTCATCTAGGATAAAACTTGCTAATTATTAGGGAATATTTTTCACCGAAATGAATTTTTACCGTTTTGCTCTGCGAATAAAATGTCAACTTTGCGTTTCCTTGTGAAGAGTAAAAATGGATTTCATTTCAGTAGTCAAGAAGAAAAATGTGTAGGACACTCTTTTTTCTCTAATAACTAATTGACAAGAAAAGAAAAAAGCGGATTTGTTGATGACAAGAAAATGAGGAAGAGAGAGAGAGGTGGGGCAGACAGAAGAGAAAACATCGCTCAGCTTCATTTCATTTCATCCAAAATAGTGATTTTTTCAAGCATGATAATTACTTCTCACTAACACTCGAAGCTTACCAAAAGAAAGAAGTGGAAATAAGTTGAATATTCATGAGCTCTTGCCAGATACGCTTTGCACATCATCGTCATCATACACTATGCGTCTTATGAACAAAAGTTACGCGAAGAATTCACAGTGACATGTTCCTTTAGATTAATGTAAATAATACGCTAATACATTGCCAGACAGATAGGATATAAAAGACGATCGCAAGTCACTATGAAGAAGATATAAAAATAGTTTGATTAAATTTAAAATATTTGTATAATGAAGAAACGTTCTTTTTCGGAAAACAAATCGGAGCCTTTATATTTAGCAGTTATTAGATTCCGCATCGTTTTGAATGGTTCTTGTACGCCTACTGCTGCTAGTCGTCGCATCAGCCTCTGATTCGGGGCACTTTGAACTCTATACATTTTCATGATAGAATTCTTGTTTGTCATTCTAGGCGATGGTTACAGTTGTGGCACTTCTTTTTCTACCGTAATCTGCAAATGTTTGACATTGACATTAACCCGTCCGAGGCAACGTTAGTCACCGGTGGCTCACACCATAGTTTACAGTGTTCAGTCAGTTACAACAAAAAGGGTCCTTAAAAAAATTGTTTTATGTACCAAATTTTATAGAGCTACCTGTGATGCATAGTTTCATAAAATATATATTCAAAGCTTGCTAAATAAATAGCTATCCCTCGATGAAAACATCAAAATACTTTGTAGCCTTAGCGCATAGAAGTTCTTGCAATTTTTCAGTACTCTCGGCGTAGTATGAACATTTCTTGAGCAAACTTTGACTATTTTTTTATGAAATTCTTTAGCAAAGATATCTCTACAAAATACAATAGACAAAGACAGTTTTAAAAACTTCTTGTTTTTATATTTGATCATCCATAAAAGTACGCTAGTAACACTCCTAAAATTTGTTTAAATTTCCATGATTCTATTAGGCTCTTATCGTTCTATGAATAGTTAGTTTACTCTTCAATTCCATTTTTACTTGAGCTTTCATTTGATATAAAAAAACAGCCGTATGCTTCTTTGCGTCCAACGTATATTCTTTGAAAAACATGTTTAGAAACTTCATATATAAGTATGTCGCCTTGAAAGGTTTAAATTAAAATAAGATCATCGATAGATTAACTCAGAACGAATATAGGAAGGATGTTAAATCGAGTATAGTATTGTCGTCAAATTATATTAGAGTTTTTTTTTCTAATAAATATGAATTACTTTATACTTCTTCATGCTTTCATGAACATATGCCCTGGAAAAGAATAGATCATCCATGTGCTAACTAACGATTGACATGTGTGTCACGATTGGGTGAAGTTATCGTCCAATGAAAATTGTTTTATGAATCCTTTATGATGAACAATCTTTAATAAACATTTCACTTCTCTGTTGCAAGACATGTTGATAACTGACCATATTCTACTATATTAATACTCGTTTCTAATTCATTGTGTAGTATATAAATTAACCAATCAAAACGAACGAAATCAGTTTTTTTTCTATTCTTTACACAATTGTTTCTTATTCTAAACTAAACATTCATATAATATATACGGCACTGTTGTTATTCCAGAAGAATGAATTTCGCTTGATCAAATAAGAAAAATTTTCACCATGGTTAGTATTGCACATTGGCTTGATACATTCACGTGTAGTAAATATGCGGATCGCTTTGAACGATCTGGTTACCAAAACATACATTCGGTAAGAGAATTTTATATCTAATTGAACTAATTTTATTGAATGCTATTTCGAAGGTATGTCGATTGACTATTGCTCAATTGCAATCATTAGGTGTAGCAAACAATGATATCTATACAATAATGGATAATATCACACTTTTGAAGCAAAGTCTTAAAAGTTCGTCTTGAGAAATAAGATAGGAGTTTTGTTTTGATTTCCATTTATGTAACAGGTCTAACTCCAACACACTATCTTGATCTTAATTCTGAACCGCCAACATCAACCACTCGCTCTCGCACAGGTACGCTACTCTGCATACATCATATTCTGTCTTTACAAAGATGTATCCCATTTATATTGTGTTAAACAGCTAGTCCAGCTATAAACACAATCAATCGAACGATGAGCCAAAATCCAACAGCATATTCTCCTGGGCCTAATGTTAGCACACCACCAACAAGCAGTGGTCCATCGCCAGATCGTATTCTTCCGGGTCCGCCTACATTTGACACTCCAACTTCTTACCATCGTTCAAACTCTTACGCTAATCCAGTTAACCCGAATACGTTCTTTGATGTGAGTCCATCATCTTCAACATCATCACCTCATCGCTCAACATCCATCGATGCCTTACCTCCACAGATGGAACCGCCACCATTCAACGATTATCACCCACAACCCCCTCCACCGCTTTCTTCTCATCAATTTCAACCACCAGGAATGATGTATCGTGGTATAAATCCTCCTGGAGGAGGCTATTATAGCCCACATCTGCCACGATTTTACTCACCGGACCCACAACAACAACATTTTGTGTATCCAAATCAACGTATGATGATGCATCCGCAGCAACATCCACCCTGGGGTGGACATCGACCATCGTTACCACAATCCATGTCGTCACATCCAATGCATTATCATCCATATGAACAGCACCAGTATCGTATGCCACCATCACAACAATTCTGTCATCCAAACCATCCAATGATGCCAGGCCAAAACCCAATGTTCATTAATCAACCACCACCATCGTCACAACAACAAACTATGAATTCATCGACATCTAATAAGCTATCGAATGCAGGCGAATCACATCCACATCCACTGCAATCACTTGAAAGACTCGTATTATTACCTGAATCACAGGTAATATTCTCTCTACGCGAAATAAATCAATGTTTTACGTCGTCTGTTTAGGTCATTGATCCGAAGAGTGTTGTAAATGAAATTCATGATCCACAATCGCCATTCAGTGAGTCTTTATCTCCGTATGGAACTTCATCACCAAAAAATTCTGTTTCAACACCACCAAACACTACTATTGTTAGTAACTTACTTACAAATGACAAGTCTACTCTTGAACAGCATGCAAGAACATCTGGCGGTTTGAAACGTAGTTCAACACATGACGAACGAAGTGATTTGAATAAAAAAAATCGTATGAACACGACAAATGATATGAACACAGGCGACTCAATTATCAGTAATCATCCAGTGGTAACGAGTCTCTTAACACGAGGCTTGAGTACACCAACGTCTCAAGCACCACTACCATCAATTAAATCATTGCAACAGAAACATAATCCTTCCTTTCTACAACAACAACAACAGCAGCAATCTCAATCGATGATGTTCTCGTCGAATCAGCCAGATACGCAACCATTTGTTGATGGGTCGATCGACAACGATGACGGAATCCATTGTAAAGTAGAATATATTGAACAAGATTATGAAGAATTATTGACGAAACTCCGATCGACTCTTAATAAATCTTCTGCAGATAAAATAAGATTAAGGTAGATTTATAACTTTTTTTCTTTTCAGTGTATCAGAGTTTGATCGGATTCAATTTGTAATTTAGCTCGAATACCATCGTCGTTTCATCTCAGTTGGATGGTGTATCTGAATCGCCGAGTACCACACCGAAATCCAGTACTCGAACATCAAGAAAACGTGACTTATCTACATCATCCGAGCGTGGAACGTCCAACAGTGAAAATCGAAGTTGTTCTCCTGTGAAAGTTCAATTAGATAAATCAAATAGTGATACTGTCAGTTCGTCATCAAATGGAATTGAGAAGAGACGTAATGGTTCTTTGGATCATCACAAATCGTCGAAACGACGTTTATCAGAAAATAATTTTGAGTTAAACAGTTCGATTAACGGTCATCATTCAAATTCTGTTTCGTCGAAAATTCAAAAACCTAAAGTTATTCAATCACCTACTCATTCGAATCTTGATGATGATCAATCAAGTTCATCTTCCAATTCTGCACCACAAAGAAGAACGACAACAGAGCTTTCATCGAAACCTATTCGCGAAGCGAAGAAACGTTCATTGATTTACACTGGTAACACGCGGCTGTTCTTAGAAACTGCTATCGCTGCTGGATTAATGGAAGATAATGGCGATGAAGAAGATGAGGATAACGAATATGTCCCACCTGGTGGAACAGTGCTTAGTCATTCAAAACGTCCGCTTCCTTCGTCATCATCATCATCATCGTCAGCGTCATCTTCAGAGAGTGAAGATGAATCAGCTAAAAGTGCTGGAGAAAATAGTTCTAATAGTGAAGATGAAAGTGATGATAATGAAGAAGAAGAAGAAGAAGAAGAAGACGAAGCAGGGGAAGATGCAGAGACAAGTGATAACAATGATGAAGATCGAAAGAAAAGTAGTGATGAAATAGTTGTTGATGAAGAACCAAGCGAAAGCGGTGTTAATTGGAATGTGAAGAATCGTCCTCAACGACGAAGTCATCTAGTCCGTTTCGATAATATATCCAAAGAAGATGGTAAGGATTGGTTTATTGAAAACTTTTCTTCACTTCTTATTTTTTTTACAGAACAAAAATTTTTTGGAGCCTTAGAGGAGCAAGTGCCTGAATTATCCGCGTATTTAAATGATAATTCCGACGATGAGTATCAACTAGACGAAAAAGAACCTTCAGATAATGTAAATAAACCGATCCGAAGGTCCTCATCGAAGAAATCTCAGCGAAATCTATCGAGAGACGATCCCGAACAAGACGAACAAACAGTTGAAATCATAAAAAAATTCCGTCATGTCAACGTTCCGCCGAAAAGAAGATCAACGAAAAAAAAAGCACATTCGAATGAAACCGCAACTATTTCGGCGAAAAACCGCTCAGATGAATTATACGTCATTGCTAACGATGATGTTACACATCGCATCGTACCAGGCACACATTTGGAAACATCCGCGAGTACAAAGAAGAACTTAACCGTTCAATCATTCTATTTTCCTCGAAGACAAGTCAAGATGAATCCTGTGGAAGATTTCAAAGCTCCATGGCATTGCATCTTATGTTGGAAAGAACCGTACGAAAACTATCTTGGACCTCTATTCGGCCCATTTCCACTGAATGAACAATATCAAGGATATGTTCAGAATAGTATGACAGTAGATTTTCTTGGAAAATCAATCAAATTCTATTTTTTTCTAGACAAACAATTACCTAAACACTACAGAAAATTAAAGGAAGTTTGGCTGCACCGAGATTGCGCACTATGGAATAACCACATTCAAATGAATTCGAGTACAGGAGAATTAATGCACGTGTCTGATGCATGTATGACATATCTCGATATCGTAAGGCACTCATCCTCTTTTCCTTGATTATTTACCATCTGTAATTATTCATAGACATGTTCTGCTTGTAAAATACCTGGTGCAGCATTGGCGTGTCGCTATCGGAATTGTAAAATTCGATATCATTATTCCTGTGCGAAAACAACTGGTATGTAAATCGAATTGAATCAATAGAAATCATATTGTTTCGATTTAGTTGATAGTCGATTGATTGAAGAAAGTTATTCAGTTTATTGTCCTAAACATAATCAAGTAAGATAGCTTTTGATTCGAATTGACTGTCTATATTGAATGTATCTCTTTTCTTTTCAGATGAATAATAACAAATTGAAGAAAGCTCGTGCTAAATCAACGACAGGTATAGATGATTGTCAAGAATCATCGATGATTTAATTTATGTGTGTTAATCTATTTAAAATTTCTGTACAACTACTGTTCTCTATTCCCTCTGTATGTTTGTTTTCGTGTCAGAAGTTTTCTTTTTTTAAAACCACAAGAAAAGGAATCGATTAATAAACAAAGAAAAAACACTCGAAGTGGCATGTATGCACAAAAACTGTTCATTTGTATTCAAGATGACAAGTACTGATATACCCAAAAGATCTCCTCCGATCGAAGAACTCAAATGGGGGTTTATGAAAGTAGAAGGATGTCCACCCGGTAAAGATTTCAAACTTTTTCCCGGAGGTAATATCGTTCTCTAACGCAGTAATAGTAATTAATTCAATCTTGCACATCGCTTTTTCAGGAGCAGAAAAATGGGATTGGAGAGAATCGAATACTTCTCATGTCCCCGGTATACAGCCTCAAGACGTCGAATACTTGTTGAAGAAAAATGCGAAATATATTGTATTGTCAACAGGCATGGAAAATCAATTGAAAATAGCGAAAGAAACAGAAGATTTTCTTCGAGAAAAAGGCATGCAATTGAATACCGATTATTTCGTCAAGACTACTCTCGATGCACATCAATGTTATAACGAACTTGCTAAAGACAACAAACTTGTTGGTGCTTTAATGCATTCAACATGCTAATTTCATCTTCTTTCTCATTTGTAAATCAAGCAGCGAACTTCACTCGAAATATTCATCGTTTCCGTTTTTGTGTTACACATTCGATAATCATTGTATTCATGAAGAAATTAAATTAAACATAAGAACATTGTTCAAAATCTTTTTTGTCACTCTGTCGAAGTGTCATTGATGGCTCCCTTCTTTGGTTTCATTGGAAAGATTTGTCACTTAAACAAAATTAATTAGATTCTTCTTGACAAAGAAATCAAATTGAAAAGATGTCCAAAGTCTTTTCTCATCTCATGCTGTGTCGATATTTTTCATCTTCTATATTCGACATGTAATTGACAGTACCAAGTATTTATTCTCTGGTGACTTTCACAACGATGGGACGTATCAAATTGAGGAGAGACCAAAAGAAGATAAATGACGAACTAATCGAGTTCCATCAGTTCGCATAATCAGACATGAGTATTAACATGTCCGATCGACAAGAAAACTGTTCCTATCTGCTGATATAAATTGTGAATAAGATTTCATGTAAGTTTAATCATTAGACAAATCATGTAGGAATGTTCTATTTGCCAAGTGGCATCGAAGAAGACTATTGACAATTAGTATAGCCATTATCTTTATTGACGTTGAACAACATTTTCGAAGATTGCTTATTTGAAATAGAATCATACAGCCGTTTGTCAGTCATCTTTTTAAGTTCTTTTTCTTCTTTTATTTCGTTCGCTCTTCATCATCATCATCCAACTTATTGTAATAATGCAAATAACGCTTTTTTCTCTCTCTTTGTATATACTAGTTAATTGAGAAGAGGGAAGAAGAAAAAAAATCAGACGTCATTCAAGTATTGAAAGACCGATTGATATGGGCTATTCGAAACTGAATGAAGCTTTTTGATGAAGAACGATTCCGAGTATTTGATTTTCTAAGGGCCCGTTGTTTCCTTCTTTTTTTTCGAAAAAAAGCAATCCGTCTTCGATCGACTGGTAATTATTGTTTGAACTTCTAGATAATATCAAAAAAAAGGACAAAAACATCAGGTTAAGCAGCTGGATTACTAATTGATTTTTATCACTGTCAACTGCTCGTATCTCCGCCCTTTTTCTTCGTTATTTATTATTCAACCAACTCGTCTAGATGTATACATGCATGAAAACTAACTTGTCTAACACACACATGATGTCGAAGATATCTTTCGCTTGATTTGTCTATCAGCACATTTGGTGTTAATCATCATCTATGACAGGATTGATGGCAAATGATCCCATCGAGCGATAAATGACAAACAAGCAAGCCTAATGATAACAAGTGAGAATCATATACATATACTACTAGTTATTTTCAGGCATTAATTTGTATAATGTGGACCTAGATATGATTTGATCACAAGTTAGTTTTTTAGGTAGATTTTTTTTCCTTTATTGAATATACAGATATTCATTGTCAATTGATGTAAAACGTCGTTTTGACTTTGCATTGAAGAACAGCTGCTACTGATTTTTTTTCTTCTTCGATGCGTGTTGTCTGTCTCTCGTTTCCCTTTCTCGCTGGATGACATTGCCAGTTTAACACTTGAATAATATCTGAATAGAAAATATGTTAACACATTACAAATGACTATTGATATTTAAAGAGAAAGAGGAAAAAAGATATCCGTTCCTATTCGTCGTTTCATCCTGTTTTAGTATTGTTGTTATTTAATCAAATAAATAAAACATTCCTCCTAACTTAACATGAGAGACAGAGAGCGCCGAAAAAATGAGCTGAATGAATCAAGACAACAAATCGCTTTATCATCTCATGCACAAGCTCATCGATTTATCTCTATATTGATTGTTTGCTTATTAGCATAGCCGAAGGAACTTTTCTATGTCGCAAGCAACTAGATATGATAGATATAGATTTGCTTCTTGTTTTTCTTCTTCTTTCCCTTCGTCATCTCTCTTACTAAATGATGCTTGCATGAAAACAAGCGATTTATATATACTCTTTACTGAATCGCTCCGTAACTGCACATCAAGTAGAAGAAACCTAGCATCCGATCGATTTCCTTGCGTCCGAATCGAAGTCATGGAACATAAATCTGGTTGTTTTCCTTCTATTTACCAGGTAAATACAATTTCTTTTCTGAAGTAAAGATAAATATTTATTCCAATGCACTCACGTCTCATATCTGATCGAAATCGAGTGATGTTTGCTACGAAAAGTTGATATACTATGAACTTGTTTACTCTAGATTCATCTACATAATGCATTTTATGAACTTATTTATTATTCAAATGAATAATATGCGAAAATGTTTATATAGATTGATTTTCACACGACAATGAATATCAATGGCGGACACACGTACACTCTCGTTATTGCCAACTACCCTCAATCCATTAAATTCGAATAAATTTCTCACAAATAGTTCATCAACAACAACGACGGCAACATTAAATGGAACGAATAGTGTAGCTGAATTGACTAAAACTCTCGTACCGGAAAAATATCAAGTAATTCTATTAAGTTTTGCATATGGAATTATCTCACTACTGGCTGTTCTTGGTAATACTTGTATTATCTACATTGTTCTACGCAATCGACGAATGCGTTCGGTGACGAATTATTTCATCTGTAATTTAGCTCTTTCGGATTGTCTAGTAGCTTGTTTTGCTGTACCATTTCAGGTACATAGAATTGTTTTGTTACTGTTCTTGTTTCATTATGTCAAATGTCTGTTTTGTGTCTAGTTTCAAGCAGCCGTATTACAAAAATGGGTTCTACCGAAATTTCTCTGCAAATTAGCACCATTTGTCCAAATCCTCTCTGTCGATGTATCCATTTATACATTAGTTGTTGTCTCACTTGATCGTTACCATGTTATGTTACATCCATTAAAACCGAAATTATCTACCAGAAGTGCATTTATTATCTTTATTATCATTTGGCTGATTGCCCTAGGCTCGTCAATTCCTAGTTTGATCTTCTATAACGTCTATTTCATCGATAACTTCGGCTATCAATGTCTACCGTATCCATATGAAGTTCAACAAGATAATTCAACAAGAAATTCGTACGAAATCCAACGAATTTACATCGTTTACAATATTTATTCTCAATACGTAATCCCATTTATAATTATCAGTGTCGCATATTTTCGTATTGCTTCGCATTTGTACTTTTCTAAACCTGTTGGCCAAACAAAACATCAAGAAGTTATTGCTCGCAATAAACGCAAAGTAAGATTAATGGGTATTACCTTGAGAAATGATTAATAGAATAAATAACATTAGAGCGCGAATATGCGATGTTCGAGGATGAAATTTGATCGTGTCTAGATAATTTTTCTATAGCTTGACTGACTGATTGATTTCGAAAACTAATGATTTTGTCAAGTTTTATTTTGCTTCTATATCCGAAATTTAGTGGGATAAAGAAAAATCAAGGTTAACACATGTTGTTTTTCAGGTACTGAAAATGTTATTTCTTGTTGTGGCTTTATTTTTAATTTGCTGGTTTCCTTTACAATTATACAATTTTCTAAATGTTTATAAACCTGAAATTAATGAGTATGTTTGTTCTTGAGACCAATCCGAAGAAATATTGTTTTTCTGTTAGTTTCAAACATATCGTAGTTCTGTGGTTATCTGCTAATTGGCTAGCAATGTCGAATTCTTGTCATAATCCGTTTATATACGGATTCTGCAGTGTATGTTGCTTTTACTTAATCGAAATATGTATCGACCTCATTAGACATGCTCTTTCTCTTTTTTTTCTTGTAGGCGAAATTTAATTTAGAGTTTCGTAAATTATTCTCTTGTTTACCATGTATTGATTCATCGCAGTTAGATAACGATCTACCTAGTAAAAATCATCCAAGTCAACCCTCATCAAAACAATCGCAGTCTAAGTTACAACCACGCAGCACGAATCATCAGAGGCATTCGTCGAACTCGTCATCGATGTCACCTCGAGCGACTAAGCAGTCGCGCTCGACTACCAAAGATAGTCAAATTATATCATCTCCAGCAGAAAAAGGACATCAGAATAAAAAATCTAATCGCTTTTTCTCCACACATAATCAGTATTATAGTTCAAAAAAAGATCGATCGATAAACAACTGTGAAAAGTTTTTACCCGATCAAGATTTGACAAATTCGACCAAAGAGAATGATTTATTATTAATTCAAGCACGGCAGCCGAATCGTTTTGTGTAGTATTTCCTCGATTTGATTTTTTGCTCTTTTTTTGCTTGTATGTATATATTTAAACAAAAAAAACATATGTTGTGAAAGGCTAACGAGTATGATTGCGTTCGAATAAAACAAAATCTGAATAATATTTAGCCCGTAAATTATAATTTATCATCGAGAGAGACTGATCGAATATGCATAGTGGTTGTCTTAGATTTTCATCCTACAAATCGATACTGTCATTGGTGGCGATTTTCACAATCATCGCTTGTTATTGTCTTTTCAGCCTACAGCCAGTCAAGCAAGGTGTACGCAGTTTTTTCTACTAAACCTTGCCCTTTCTATTCAATCAATAGCTGCTTTTTTTGTGTATAGGTGATGGCCGGCTCTATTGTGTAGTCGCACTATCTGATTTTTTTGCTTGTGGATAGAAAAACCCTTATTCGATGCGGTTTGGCGGTCGATGTCTGAGGACACAGTGAATAAGCCGCTTGATTCATGTTGATACCTTTTTTTTCTAACCAATATCTGATCATGATGATAAAAAAAATACTGAAATATGACAGCAAAAAAGAGAGAAAAAGAAAAAGATATAGAGGAATACCCAGCAAATCATACGCTTCATTAGCTATCTACGTCATAAAGGTACTTGGGTGAGAAGGTGAAAAATGAGAGAATAAATGAGAGGAAAAGGGGGATAGAGAGAGAGAGAGGGAAAGAATGTATCTATATGTGTAGGAAGACTAGCATATTTGCTACTGGTATATAAACAGTGATTTCTTCACAATACTTCACTAACCATTCTCCTGTTTCAATAACACACGTTCGAACATGACGTCCAACTACGAATTTCAATCCTATTCAGCATCTTCATCAAGCGGTGGTGCTGGTGGAGTAGATGCTAACGGACTTTTCTCACAAGTCGATGCCAACAAAGATGGATCAATCGACCGTAATGAATTTTCAAGCTGGATCGGCAATTCGCTCGCAGCTGGACAAGCAGGAGGAGCTGGTGCTGGTTATGGATCATCCTCGTACGAATCATCAAGCTTTTCATCATCAGCTGGTGGTTTAGCTGGTGCCGAAGCTGGATTGGCTGGCGGTTCATTCGAATCAGCAAGCTTCTCAGCCAATGGTGCTCTTGATGCTGGTCTTGCCGGCGGCAGCAGCAGCTACCAATCATCATCATTCGAATCATCAACCACCGGTGGTGCTGCTGCTGGTTTCGATGTTGCAGCTGTCAACCAAGCTGCTAGCTACACATCCGAAACCAATGCAGCCTGGTCTAAATATGGTGCTGAAGTACGAGGTGCTGGCCTCTACGTTGATGCCAACCCACAAATCATTCGACGACAAGCACCAGGTGGTGTTCAAACCTACACACAGAACATCAAAGTTCGATTCCTTCAACCACCACCAATCCCACCACCAGGCGTAAGTATTGGGTGAGGGTGAGGGCATCAAATTTACTATTATTCTTCGTTTTAGCCACTCATCATTAAAGAAGTGCGACCACCTCAACCACCCCCACCACCACCTCTCCGCATCAAACAACAAGCTCCACCTCTCCCACAACCACCTCCACTCATCCTCCGTGAAAGACCACCACAGCCACCAGCGTCAGTTGCCTCACAAACTGTCGTTCGTAAACTCGCTGCTTTACCTGTTCCACCACGATCAGTCATCATCGAACGTCTCCCAGCTGCTCCAGCTCGCCCACGTATGTATTTTTACTTCCTTATCGATTTGTCGCAGTATATTAATTCTAAAATCTAATAGGTGATATCATCATCGAACGATGGGTCCCATACGGAGCTGCTGCTAAACGAAAAACCATCGTTCAACGTGCCGAAGCCGCCAAAGGTTACGCTGCACCACGCAACGTCATCATCCAATACGAACAAGCTCAAGTCCGTGTTGTTCGTCAATTCCAACGCTTGGGTGTTACTCAAGAAAACCCACAAGCTTATGTTCAACGTTATGGAGCTCAATTACTTGACGCCCAAACACTCGTTCAACAAGCTCGTGCTGCTGGTGTTGTTGAAGATATTGTAAGATTGCCTTCGTGTCACTGTTTGAATACATCTTGTTTTCCTTGTCTAACTAGTCACCACCCGCTGTTGCTGGAGCTGTCGCTAGCTCATCATCATTCAGCGCAGAATCATCATTCAGCTCAAGCGGTGCTGCTGGAGGTGAATTCGCCACTGGTTTGGTTGGTGGAGATTTAGCTGCTGGTGGTTCATCATCATTCTCATCAAGCACCTTCGAAAGCTCAACTGGTGGAGCTGCTGGCTTCGGAGCTGCTGGTTTCGGAGCTGCTGGATTCGAAGCTGGTGCAGCTGGATTTGAAGCTAGTGCTGCTGGATTTGAAAGTGGTGCTGCTGGTGGTTTCAGCTCATCAAGCTACGAATCATCATCATTTTCCTCAGGTGCAGGCGGTGCTGCTGGTGGTCTTACTGGATTTGATGCCGTTGGTGCAGCTTTCAACAGCGCTGACACAAACAAAGATGGCCGTCTTGATGCACAAGAATTCAACAAATTTGTCCAAGGTGGTTTATAAGAAACTTGTTTTTTTTGTCTCCACTCTTCTCAACTATGCAATTCTTTTCCATCTGATTTAAGTTAAGGTTATTCCTTTTTTAAATTAATTTCAATAAGTTTTTGCTGCTGTGATACTGTTTTATTTCATTTGCTACATTTCCATAGTATTTTTTTGTTAAGAAAAAAAGGATTAAAATAAATTAGCTTATTTGGCAATACTCTTACTCTTAACGATGTCTTAAATTACTCTTAAGTGGTATCAATATGCATTCAGGCATAAAAATATACATCACACATAACTACAAGGACAACTCTTATTATTTCTTCATGATAAATGGTATTTTTTTTCAAAACCAATCACCTTGAAAGTATATTACTACTTTCAAACATATCAATGTATAAATGACAGACAGATATTGATCTTGATTTAGTCTGGATGAAACGTATATACATACAGAGCATAAATAACAATACATTCGAGCACTATACACACAAAGGTAGTCAAACAGCGCAAAAGAGGGTGAAGGTTTAAAACAAAAATATCTCCTGGTTAGCATAACGATCATTTATGTGGTTACATATGTGTATATCATCATCATAGGAAGAAGAATAGGCAAGAAGCTTGTTTACTTCACATATGACATCAGTAATGAGATAAGAAAAAAATGAAACGACAAACATAATCAAAATATGTTTGGTAATATATTGTGACAGGTGTTTAGTAACCAATGATAGCATGAAGATGCGTATATGTAAACAGGTAAATAATACAATAACATGTTTTTCCATGACCAAAACTTATTCTCATCACATTATATCAATCTCACGGCGAAGTTTTTGAACTTGTCGTTCGAGTTTTTCTTCCGTACCTTTGATCCGAGCATCAGTTATACGTTGTAGGGTTTCCACCGAACTTTCAAGCGTTTCAAAACATGCCCGCATCTCTTTTTTCACCTTATCCAGACTTGTTATCGTACGCTGATATCGATCATCGAAACGCTTATAAACATCTTGTTCAATTGCCTAATCAGAAGAAAAGGAGGGAAATGTTTTTACTTCTCTCGGCAGCAAATTTTTTCTTACAGTGGCATTACGATTTAAATCGTGGATGGATCGTTTATAATGCTCCTCAACATCTAAATTCTTACGTTCGAATTGACGTATGGCGTCTTCAATACGCTTTTCATAACGATCCTACAGGAAACGAAAGTTTTATTCGATAGGAATTGTAATTGAGAAGGTTTCTTTACATAATTTTCTAAAGATCGTTTGACTTCATCAATTTTTTGAGTTATACGTTGTTCTGCACGTTCTCGTTCACTGACTTTCTGGGCTTTAATTTGAAAAACTTCTGTTCGAAGCTCATCTACGAACGCCCGAGCACGTGAATCAGCTGTTGCTAAAGCTCGTGCAGTATCCGTCTCGAATGTGCGTAGCACCACTTGCTGTTCATTGAACATACGCTCAATCCGTTGACTCAATGATGAAAGCTAGAAAGAGCGAACAAATGTTTACTCTAGGTCAATTATTGCACAAGTGTGCTTTTCTATTTGTTCATTACTTCTGCTTTAAGTTCTTGATGGCGCTGTGCAATCGATCGATTCAGTTCCTGCTGGCCATTGATAGCATCGCGTAAACCATGTGAGATATGTTCGGTATCTACTTGTAGTTTTTGTATAATTGCATCGGTTCTCGACAGTTTGATTTGCAGATCCATATTAAATTGACGAAGTTGATCATCTTGAGATTGTTGATTGGCATCTATTTGAGCTAATGCAGATTGCCGCAATGTCATTTGACTCATCAATGATTCAACATCACCGTTCAGTCTTTTACAAACAGCTGATAACACTTGAACTTGGTCCATTAGAACAAGTGCTCGTTCTTCGATAGGTTTCTTTCCTCTTTCCCTAAGCAAAGTCTTTGGCTATTAACAGCACTCTTTCATGTCATTTAAGTTCCTATGCAACAGCCCTGTAGTTAACGTCAAATGCTGTCGATTTTTTTATTGAAGATGGCGCTAATGTCATCGGTATACGTTTTTCTTACTCTTTACACAAGGCCGAGTAGTATCATTCACATATCTCTACATATGTGTTTACACGTGTGTATTTAAAAAGAGATCGAGAAAGGAAAATAAATGACAAAAGAGATTCTGTTCGCGAAGAAAAAACAAATGATATTGATGTAATAAGAGTTCACAACACAGAGAAGAACAAGAAAAAAAGCCAATTGAAAGGAAATTCGATTTCGTTCATATTTTCGCATGTCACCTCTATTTGGTCAAATCTTCGTAGGACTTATGAATTCAGTTTTATCGGAAATGACACGCTATCGATAATCAAGAATGATGAAAAAGGAAGACTAGAATGACAGATAACTTGAAGAAGATCTCTGTCGAGATGAATAGTAAGAAGACAAATCACTCAAGGCACAGAGAAATATTGACCGGTCAAAACTATACAAGAAGAAGAAGAAGAAAAACCGACACATGAAAACAGTCAGTTATCAAAATAAACATTTGCAAGAAAGAAAACAAACATCATTTCTTCTTTTGTCCATCAATTATCATTCTCGCTGGATTCTTCATCTCTAGTTTTCTATTTCAAATCCACATTGAATGTTCACAAATCATATGAATACGTGAAGAAGAAGAAAAACAACCAACAAAACAACAAAAACGAAACAGAAAATTTCTAGTTAACAATTATTGCTATCGAGATGTCTGAGAATCTTGTTGTCGTAAGGTTGAATGATACTGTTCGGGTTTTAGTTTGTGCCACATTTCCACCCATTGTTCGGGCGATTTAACCATTAATAACCAATGTTTGAGCTCATCACCTGACGCTGATTGACCTAATTCGAAACCGCCTAGAAGAAAAACAGTTGAACTTGTCGTGCAGCAATATTCAAGTAGAAGATCAACAACGAGTACTGATCAGTTCGTGTTGCAGCTAATTTTAGAAATCAGCTGGACGGAATGCTTACCAATGTAATCATCTTTTTTGCCGACGTCTTTATCATAAACGGTAATCTGTAATGTTTTACTAATTAAATCCGGAAATTGTACACGAGAGAAAACAAATTCTTCATTAAATTCTGGTTGTAAGGTATGTCTTTTAACGGTTGTTTTGAAGCTCCATTTGGAATTATTATCAGTCGATGGATACAAAGCTAATTTACAATAGGGATCTGATGTATGCCCGAAATCCATCGGTAACAGTTGAATGCCTCGGATAACTCTCACGTGAAAATTACACGTTAATTTCGAATAGAATAAGCTAAGAAGAATTTTACCACGTTCATTCTTATCTTCATCATGCAGAAACTAAAAATACAACGAGAATGAATCATTAACAGATATCAGCGATCAACTAAGCACATCCGGTACAAAAAAGATACGAAATCATGTTGACAATAACGAGAAGCAACTGCAATATGTGAAAACAATAGAATGCTGTACGTTGTTCTCCTTACCTCAGAATCCTAAAATAGGATGTGTAAGTGTACATTGCATTTCTCGGTGGAGAATGTGAGAATGAAGACAAGGTTAGTCTTTCCCTTGAAAGGAACTTACGTCAGTTTTATGTTGAAGATAGACTGAAAAGGCTTCTTTGACATCGGATTTAATTGTGGATAGTTTCAAACGATATTCACCAAGAAAATCTGCACCGACTGAATCTTCATCTAACACGGTGAATCTTTACATAAAAAGGAGCTTTTTCAATCAAAAGAACAAGTCGATCATTGAAAACTAACTTAAGAGTTTTGACTTTTATGTCCTCCGCTGATATGCCATGATAAACGAGCGTTTCGTCGAAGTCGGGATTCAACGTTCGACGGATAGTGTGACTACGCAATTTAGTTGCCTATGAAAAAAAAATAATAACAGGCTTGTCAGTTTATGTCCTCCGACAAGTTTGTAAATATTTACTTTTGCAACACCTGGTACGAGATGTAATTTGACGTAAGGATCGGAGAGTCCGTTAGAGTCCGCTGCTCGTAAACTTCGGGCTCGAACTAAGTTAATCGTTAGGATATTGAAAGCTTCTCTCCAAATAATATCAAAATCGAGTAGACCTAGGCCTACAAGAGAAAAAAACCAACGAGAACTCTGAAAGTATGAAGCAAATTGTCGAGTTGTACCACAATCATCTGCAACTGATGGCGTATTGATGACAATGGATGATAGAGGACGAATGTTAGATAAAGTTGGGGTTATTGGTACTGGTGATGGTGACGGCTGAAGTAGAGTTGTAGGTGCTGTCTGTGTCGGTGGCGGAGTTGATGATGTATTATTAGATGTATTTGATGGGATCGGTGATGAAGATGAGGATGATGTCGATACAACTGGTTGTGATAATTGAGATTGTGTACGCAATTGAGATTTTGGAACATATTCATCGATCGAAACATCTAGAAGATTTAGGTTGAGATATGAATTGAAGTAGAATCACAGTTACCTTTCAAACTTCGATCATCAGTTTTGAAAGAATCGATACTCTCATCCCGATCGTGTTCAGCCATTGCACGTTGGTTATCATAATTTTGCGGATAAGAATCTACAGTTGTATAATGATTATTTACTGTTGCTACAATCAAATACAACAATCCTTTCAGATGTGTTTAAGAAAGCAGATTTTTTTCTCATACCTGTACTTGGAGAAGGTTGACGATTAAATCGACTTCCTACACTTTGTCGATCGTCTGAATTTGAATCATCTTCAATCGATATACTATCACTTTTTGTCGTGACTGATGATATCGCTGACGAGGACGGTTTTATAGTGACAGGAATTGCTGAACGCGTGGGCAAGGCACGGAAAAACCAAGCACCTGTTTTTTTCCATAACTAAATATATGGATTATCATAGCGAAAGAGCTTTTCATCGTTGTTAACATTCTTACTTCACGATTTTCACTACAAAGTTTACACAATGATATGATTTGTTGATTATGAACAGTTTCAATCGAACATTTATTGCACACAGCCTAAAAATCGAACGATGAGAATGACAAATCGGTTTGTTTTTTTTATCTTCACGCATCAATACTTTATGGCAATCAACACAAAAAGTCGATGATACTCCTAACATGCCAAAACCGTCTGCACAGAGAACACATTGTGTCGAACCGTTGCCCGTTGCATGTTTTTTCATATTATCTAGACGATCGTAAAGTCTTCTGAAAGAAGCAAAAGATTTGAACAATTAGTTATTAAGGAAAACCTAATCATACCCGACTCGTTCTTGTTCGATAAGTTCGATTCGTTGAGCTCGTTCAAGCACTTTTTTAATTCTTTCCATTTCTTCATCACGTAGCGAATTATTATTACTTGCAACAGCATTCGTCGCCGCCGCCGCTGCACTTCCAAATCGACTCGAAGGAGCTGCACTAGCACTACGAGTTGTCGGCCGACCCGTATGAAATGACCATCCAGAATTGAGTCTAATCAGAAATCAAACACAGTAATGAGTTAAACAAATATTTGTTTTTTCTTTACTTTGCCCGAAGTTGTAATTGTCGATCATTTGGACAGACAAATGATCCGTTACTGGAGTCCTTCATTTAGATAACTTCTTATTCATTTATTCATCAGTACCAAAGTCATTTTGGTAAATAAAAAGTCTTCACATTCCAGGTTTCTTCAATGGAAATAAAAGAAAAGAAAATTAAAGACTAACAGAATGATTAGTCGGCAAGAAAAAAAGAGAATTTCTCGGGCGCTACTATCTATTGAAAAAGTACGTTGATATAAGTGACAAATAATTGTTCTGTGGAAAATAGAAGAAAAATACAGAAAATCCGATCGGCGGTTTGTTCCATTGCACAGTCAAGAAAGAAAATGAGATCGAGATCTCATTGATAGTAAAAAGCATTTATATGCATTTGACTTATCAATTATAGATATTTTCTTTCTTATTTCTCAACAATCAAATGAGAAAATAACTATTGATGACCTAGAAGAGTTTGTATTAACAAAAAAACAAGTCTTTGGATACACATAGAAGAATTCTCTTCATATATCATTTTCATAAGACAGAAATACAGCGGTTGTTTTGACTAAATATACCCACACACACACAGACATATTTGCTCATTACTTCATATTATCCATCGGCGTATCGAATTTGCATGTTCCCGTAGAATCATGCATCTAATCTAGATAGAGAATTATGACCATTTTTCTGCTTCTGTGCGTGCCTATTGCATTCATGATGAGAACAAAAAAAACTATTCAACAATCGATATTCCCACTATCTTACTAATCAATCGACCTTGCCGTTTGTGATGACTATAGAAGACGAAGAAGAAAAAACGAGAATAGAGAAAGAAGGCAAGAAAATAATATCCAGGGTCAACTTCAAGCATTGATTATCAATAAAGTCAACTATTTGTAAGTATGTAGATTTGATTCTCAAAAGAAATCTGCAATTGTTGTCTTTCTCATTTTTTTTCCTTTGTTCATCATTGTAATAATACAAGATGATCACTTGAGATTTTCCAATGCTGATTATTGTTGTTACTAATGTTGACAGAAAGATACAATTCCCCTATTGCATGTCTCGTATTAGAAACGTAATGAAACAAACGACAAAGGTTTCATTCATCCACGACAGTAATGGATAGTAACGGAAACACGCGCGTGCATATGCATACATAATCTAGATGTGCGTCATACTAGTTCGATATGAAAAGAAGTGACTAACGGTACCTAGTGTACGACACGATGCTCAATACTCAATGGGAAAAAAACAAGAACACTCGTTAGGGAACGCATTTGAGCGTGCATCCTCATCTTGGAGAGAAATGTCAAAAAAGAGAAAAAAAGATTATCGAAAAAAGAACGAAGCAGAAGAAAAAGAAAGACTAAAAAGAGGAAAACGTCTCACTTTACCTATATTTCATCTGGAGCGTACAGAAACGTACATATTTACAAAGACAAAAATCAAACACATCTCACTTTCTCAGTAGATCCAATTAGAAGTTGGTGACGTCTGCTGATAGAACCTATGCACGCATACGTCCGTTTCAATTTAAGTATTAGTCAACTAGCGCTATTTTTTTCTGACAGCATGTTGTGAATCGTTTTCAGTTTGCCGACGGCTAGAAGCCCTGCTGGCACTTTGCTTCTTCTTGCTCAGATAATTTAAATAACAGAGAAAACATCATAAGTACGAACGCATGCAAGAAATACGAAGTAACAACATGCATAGAAACCATCTTCAAGATGAAAAATTCTTTCCATATCCACCGAGTTCGACTATGTCTCTTTACTACACTCGTTCTCCTGTTCCAAACAGATAGAAACACTACAGCATCCAACAATAGAATGAAAAACTAGAACCTCCTCTCTCTCTCTCTCTCGCGCTATGTTTTCTTATTTCTTTTCTGTGCCGTAAGTATGTGACAATTATAGGAAAAAAGACTGAGTATATGCAACGATAAAGATCATATGTGATGATGAATGAGCAATATAGTTATTACAAAATATTTTGATGACTATGAATATAATGATTATTCTTACAAGCGACTCTCGTCTCGCGCTTTCGTTCACTTCCTCACCATCGACGAGCAATTTCAAACAGCGGTAACAAAAACAACAATCTCTTCGTATAGAAAAAAAGCGCATGACGAAAGAAAATTCTCTCATATGTGTCTTAGAGTCATGATGTCTTTTCCTTTCATTTCTCTGTTTTATTGCGTGTTTATTAAGATGATTACTATCGGCCGTCTCTAAATGACAACTATGAACTATATTCAGTAACTAGATTGTCTCATTGCCTTTTTATTTGCTGACAAATGCATACCATGAAACTGTCAACCTTTCTTTCAGATAACATTTCATCTCCTATCAGAAAGAATTTTTCAACGTTGATATAGATTAGGACGATGATAATTAACTTTCGTTAGAGAAAGAATCGAACTCGGCATCGAAGTGCTTCGCGTGTTGAAATCGCGAATTTAGATGAAAAGCAAATCGGGTGGCGAGAGAAATCATCTTTAGTTGACTCGAGAAAGAATAACTATTGATCTTTTTATTCGAAAAAGTTCAAGTAAGAAGTACAAACTTTTGTTCTGATAATTTTTCTTTCTCTATTAGAGTATGTCAAAGTCAATTGATCCTATTCCGGTTCTAAGACATTCTCATTTTTCTAAGTATCTTCTTGGAGATAATTATCTTTTCAATAATGAATTAATACAATATCGAATGAATAGACGAGAAAGACAAATTTGATCTTATTGGATAGAGAAATACAAAACAATAAGATTTCCAAGCTTATTGATAGGCATCATTAAGATCTTTGTCGATCGAATGGCATCGCTGAATTAATTTATTTCTCAAGCAAAAGGAATCACAATGCTGCTAAGAAGAAATCAGTACGATAAAAGACAGAAGAAAAATCGAGTGGGTTCTTCTAAGATTAATAGAAGCTTTCAGCTTGGGACGATCAATCAATTAACGGTCATATTCATAATCACAATAACTCGGGCCGTTGACAGGTGAAGCTGGAATGCCACGTCGAAGTGATCGACAACGATGTTCTTCTAAGCGAGGTGTGGCTGCATTCGGATCAGTCACATTCTTCGATGACCATAAACGTTCAGCAACGATCGCAGCTCGTGGCCATGTTGTTGAAATGACATTGGTCGCATCGATAAATTCTACATTATTTAAAAACGAGTACACTCTTTGAAACAGTCTCTCGCGTCGATAACTTACCACCCCACATACACGCTTCACCACCAACAACTAATTTCTTTTGTTCATCAGTACCTACACGCGAAAAACAAGAACTATGAATCATCACGACGATACAAATATTTACCGGCGAAATTATGTGGATCACATTTATAATATGGAATCCAATCTTTGCCATAGGATATATAATTCAAATACCTAGATTCAATGCACATGATTAGATTAGGTACAATATTAAATTCTTACCAGCAAGTCGATAAAAGTGTACGATAACCTAGTTTTGTAACACGTGCTAATTCTTCAGGATATGGATCCTAGAGATAATATACATTCGTTTTTCTGTTGGAAGTTCGTCGTGACTTCGTTTGTTAACAAACCTTCCAAACTTCGACGACAGTATCAGCTTTAACTGTTACATTATTATCGATAATTTCTTGCCAAACTGCATAACCTTTTCCTGTTGAACCAACAATATCAACTACGCTAAAGATATTCGAAAAAAAAACAATTTCTATTTGCTGTAAAATCCTCTTTTCTAAAAAGGCTTTACTTTTGCATATAATATTGTTCAAGTAATGCATAGTCGTTTCCAAATTCCATTTGACGCATAAATGCTTGAATATTTGGATTGCTTCGCCTATAAACCAACGTTTTTTCTTGTTTACATGTACATACCCAAGAAATTGATTTCTTACCAGCAATCAAAATCGACTTCATCACCACCTAAATGTACGTAATGATCAGGAAAGACACTGGCCACTTCAGAGAACATTTTCTTCAAGAAATCAAATGTTGAATTCCGACTCGGGTCCATTGGTCCATATTCATTATTAGGTTTTCCTCCGCTATAACAATGTGTCAGAACGTCAATAACTAATCCCCATGATTGTGTATGACCTATCGATTAAAAACAGTCACCAGATAGAACGATATGATCTACGATTCGATGTTTCAATTCAAACCTGGTGAATCAAATTCAACAACAACACGAATACCACGTTGACGAGCGAATTCAATCAGACCAGCAACATCATCTTGCGAATAGACATGAGCTTGATTGTATGCTCCTGCGCCGCTCAATTCAGGATATGTTCGTGATTCGTATGGAAATGATTGATCATCAACGATGTGAAAATGAAAGACATTGAGTTTACTTTGAGCCATAGCTTCCTGTAAGGAGAAGATTCAACAACGAATTTGTATTTTAGACAAGAGAGTTCGTTACATACTAAATTCATTTTCAATGTTTTCACCGAGATAAAATGACGCGATGTATCGAGAAGTAACCCTCGATGAGCAAAGCGAGGAAAGTCATTGATCACTGTTTTATTAATAGCAAACTGAAGAAAACATACGATCATTACGTACGAAAGTATGGATTTCATCAAATATTTACTCCGAGATCATCATCAGCATAAATAAGTTGACTAAACGTTTCCAAACCACGGAGAGCACCCCAAACTGACACAGATTCTAGCATAGCATTATCAGTGTCGATTGTTAACGTATCTAGACGAAAGAAAAGAATTTTTCAAGAAGAAAATTTCCAGGTCAGTAGTCTTTACATGATTCATCGGATTCAAGGGTTGGATATTGTTCACAAGGTTGTTGCACGTGAATGTTCAATCGTTTCAGTATAGTCGCATCATGAAGATCAGCTAATGATTTCTTTGGTTTATCATTTTTATCATCGGTTGCCGATGCTGGATTGAGAATGTAGTCGAAATAAGTTTGAGGAAAGAAGATTAATCTGTAATAACGATCAAATGCACTAGTTAAAGTATCACAAGTTTGACTTGTTGAATTGATCATAAAATGGAAGGCAGACGGATGTACAGCAAATTGTTGAGGAGTTGACTGCATGGATTGAGGCTTTGGCCAAGGTTGACCGACACTTGGTTCAACATGAAAGATATTTAACGGTGGACGAGGCCGTCTACCATGACTAGACGCAATCACAGCTAGGAAATATAATATCGCTATCGATAAACGCATGTTTATCTAAAATACAAGAAAAAAAAGTGACAGAATTTTTACAACTGAGTATCCTGAACATCTACTAAATGAAGAATACGACTGAAGCAATGTAGTAGTCTCTATATTACATACTGATAATGAATAACGAGTTGATAAAAGAGTTAACCGCTCCCCTCGTTCTCTAGATTTTCAACTGATAAAAGATATTACCGGCTATGGCCTTGTCATTTATCACTTGCAGATGTTAAGTGAATCTTTCTATTTATATAATATATACTATCAGATTGTTCACGATAAAAGTTTGTCACTTTCTTTTTTCTTTTTTTTTCTATAAGAAATAAGATAAGCAAGACAAATATGTAATTCTGTTGAAATGAAATGTTCAGTTTGCTTTTTTTTTTTCAAATGAATTTTCTTGTCGTTTCATCTAAATACATATGTAGCAAAAAAAAACAAAAGATTAAAAATACAACACAACTGTAACTTGTTCAAGTATATAAGCAAAAAAGTATCAAAACAATGAGCATGAGAATGATTTACTATAAATTTCCGTCATCACATGCATCAGGTGCTGGCCATTGCGAAGATGGAGGAGGAGCCATTTGACTATATTTTCGTTGGCTGATTTTCGAGGCTCTTGATTTAGGTTGAGTTTGCACTTTTAATTCGTATCGCGCTGTTTCACCACCATGAGTCAATAGATGATCAACAAGTTGATCGACATTACGCTTTTGTGTGACACGAATCTGAAAAAAGAAGAGAAGATATGAAGACATTATTTAAATTCATTGAAGTACTAACACGTCGTTCACCATCTCGACCATAGGAGTTCGATGTTAAATGTAATTTCATTGCTTCTTTATGAATCGACTTTCTTTCTTCACTATTGAACTCATTGGCGAATTGCAATTCGCCATCATCATCATTAGTCGCAATGAATTCTTCCAGAATCTGTCGTAAATTCTTGACAAAAGTTTGGTTTGGAAAGAGACTGCTACTACCCAGGCCTTTTCTTCCTTGTAAATCTTCGATTTGAATCGGCTCAGCTATGCCTTGTAGATCTTTACCAATTCCGCCACCAACCCAACCCATTTTTTTCAATAATTTCGAGCCCATATCTTCCTTTTGCGGTAGATTATTATTTGCTGTCGTCAGTGATGCCGCTGAAGATGAATGATCGTACAATTGAGCACGTCGAATCAATCGACATTTAACACCCGAAATCTCATTTTCGTTCATAGACATATCAGTAACCACATGTTTGCTTTTTATACTCGGATAGAGTGTTTTCAACATTTCAATCGCTTTCTTTGCTCCCATTTGTTTCGCGGCAACTTTTGTCGATGCAATCCATGACATAAAAAAGCGATTGTTAACACTATACGTTATCATAAAACCATTTGGTACATGGATGAATTCATATTTAAGTTCGAGTTTATTTTTGGACATCGAGGTGAACAACATTGAAACATAATGACCTGGAATGTTTTCATCGAAATCAAGTAGTTCGAAAACAACGAATGTATTTGGAATCAAACGACGAATGTTATTCGCAATCGCTTCGTCTGTTGACGAAGTGCATTTGCTTACATCTTTGCCAATATCTGAACGTGTTAATGGTGGCTCGATTAAGGCTGGTGGTGGAATGCAAATGCCATTCGTCGATTGATATTCTCGTTCGCGTTGAGAACCTTCTTCTACACGACGTTCATGAAAATAACGTATTGCTGATGTTGACGAGGATGTTACAGCGGAGAGATTTGTAGGTGGTCCCCAACGACTTGGTCGTTCTTCACCATCACGTAATGCCATCGGTCGACGAGGTGGTGGTATTTTCAATAAACCTGAGCTGTCGTCATGAAAGACTAATGTCCAACGAATTTGATGACGTAAATCAAGAGAAAACGATTTGGCTGATGAAATCGACTTCAATGCATTCGAATAGACCTAAAACGAAACGAGAGTGTTTATGCATCAATCACTATTTTCACTCCTACTTGTTTCTTAGCTAATTTCTTGTTCAAACCATATCCATCCGCCACTTCAATTTGTTCCACAATCAAATGTCCGTGAAAACCATTCGATGTTGCTTTGTCCGAACATTCAAAATCCGTATGTAGATGATATTTATTACTTTGTGTGGAAATCAAATCAATAGCATGACCTGCATCAGCTAGAGAATTCAATAGACTAAACAGAAACGGTTGCATTTTCGCTAGTTTCGCACGTTGTTGAGATAGTAAGTTTGGATCAATAGCATTTCTCGCTGCTTCAGAACATATAGGTTGCGTATTCATAATCGAGCCAATTTCCTAAGAAAAACAGTAAAATCGTGTAGAAACTTTATTCCAACAGATCGTTCAGGTGATTTCGCCATATTCTCAAAGCTTTTTAGAATCTCTCAAATCAATGTACAGATATGTATAAGAACATTCAATTAGAAAACAGAAGAAAACTTGTTTTGCTTCTTTCCCTTTCTAATCGAACGGTCTTCTACATATCAGTACACTGACCTTTGCCTAAGTATTTGAGAAAGATGCATTGAATTGATACGGCATAGCCAAGTATCGAATCTTGTCGGATTGATAATAAAAGCTGAAAGGGAGAGATAGAGATGAGATAGGAACGTTTCAGTGAAATTGTTATCTCGCATTCTGAAATCTTCCGTGTCTGTAAATTTCGAAGAAAACGGCTAAAAGTCATCAAATATATTTACTCGACCATTCGTTGGAATAGTTGATTTTGAAAAAGTTGATTCTGGATTATTGATTGACTCGAGCTGATGTTGTTCTTCTGCAACACGTTCGATTTCCGAAATGACATTCTAAAGAAAATTTATTGTTACGAAATACAGAAAGATTTAAGATATGTACTGCAACGCTAGCCGGTGTCGTAGCCAAACCTTCGATCACTACCGGTGAACTGTCCTCGATTTTGAGATGCGGAACAGGTGGTGGTGGTGATAGCGATCTTTGGACACGTTTCGGTTGCAATGGCATAGGTACACCTCGACCCCACTGCTGCCAGTATTGTTTTTCAAGTTTACTTTGCTGACGAGCTGTGCGACCAGCAATAGTTAACGTGTCTCTTGCATGAACAAAATTGATTTTTGCATTGGCTATTGGATGATTCGTCGGAATTGCAGATGTTTCTTTGTCCTGTTCATCATCTGACATAGTCGATACTTCTTGAGCATTATTCGCGACTACTGTGATTAATTCATATTGTTCCCGTCCATCTTTGCTGACACTCATCTTGACATCGAAGTTCTCGTAGAGAAACCGATTCAGTGCTTTCTGAAAACAATTGCGTTTACAAAATTTTTTGTTTGTACCTTCACCAGCACAGATATAAACATCGTCGATGTAAAGTTTGCTACTAAATGTTTTAGTTAGAAACGCATTTGCAGGTGAAATATAGGAATTCGAATGATCATTTTGTTCATCAGGTCGATAGTCAACAAACAAACGTTGTTGGGTACCAACTTGATAGATGTGTTCGATGGCATGATCATTTTCGTTGTTGCCCGTTCGATTCTGGGCAGCTTCTAGAGATTGTTTCAACTGACTTGTAAACGCTCGTAGACGAGTTAGTTTGGTTTCGGGAGATTCGTTCAATACTGCTTTCGGATCAGTTTTTGGTGGTATGATTTGTTGAGTTGGAGAAGGTTGTAACGGTGGTACATGTGATGAAAGCGACGATGAAAATGATACAAAATTTGACGTATTTGAAAAATTAACATTTGATTGCATGGTAGACTTATTGACACTAAAATTCGAGAAAAAGAAAATGACTGGGCGCAGTGGAAAGAGTGCTTTTTTTGTACTGAAAGTGATCATAGAGTAACAGGGGCTGATTTAAATGATGTTCAGTAATTATCATATTTGTCGGCTATTATCAGGTTGATAGATGATGAGATAATTATAGAAGATGTTCTCTTGATTTTCTTAGCAGATGCAGTAATGATAGAGTTCGGTGAATTAAACGTACTTTGACATAGGCGAGATTCGTTTGATGTTGACACCGATTGGTTCTTCACATGGTGATCGTTTGATTGATGAAGTTGAGAATTTTTCTGACAACTGATCCAGTAATGATTTTAACGGTTCAGAATATTTACCTAAAAGAAATATTTTTCTTCTCATTGCATTATTCAATTCCAATACATACATCCAAGACATTTGGTATTAGCATAACACTGTGCCAAACACAAAAGTCTTTCTTCGTTGTACTCAAATCGATATGCTTCGATGAATTGTTTCCGATAGAACCATTGTTCATCGCTTTCATTATTCAATCGGAATTTGTCGACATCAAATGTTGCCGATGTCAACAGATTCTGATCTTCCGTATCCATTGAATCATCATAGATCATATCTTAACTTTCAAAATCTAGAATCTCATAATGAAATCACTTTAGTGGTATCAGACGAGCATTGGTATAAATCACATCATATATGATTTGAAAAACGGAATCAATGAAAGACTTTTCTGCATAAAAAAATCTCAATACTTAATAATGACTCTTCACTTCGAGAAGTGTACTTTTCCAACAGTTTAGTAAACCTGCGAATCTTTCTTTCACCGCATTGGAATAGGACCGTCCATGAGGTTGACAACGATTGATCAATTCTTGAAGATCAGCGTGTGATCGTTTAACAATCTTTAAACAATGAAAGACAAATCCATAGAACATATAGTCTCGCGTCAAAGACAAACTTACATCATCAATGGAATCTTTCGATGGATCATATTGCACTGGATCGCCAATATATAAAGTTAATTTCGCTGGGATTGGTATTTGAATGAATGTAGCTAGAAACCATACAGTCGATCCTATGATAAGCAATACTGAGTGTAGTATTGGAATGTTTAGATCAAGGACATAGGAAAACTGGCGGCCGAGTCCGAGAAAATTCCAGAGAGAAAGGAGAGGATTCCATCGCATTTCATCAACATTGGCTAAGAAAAGCGGAACGATTGGTACTTGAGCTTCAATAGCAACGTGAACAAAACCTTTGCCTAAAAATTCCAGTCAAATTAATGAGATCATCATTCAAAAATATAACTGTATATATAACTTACGCTTCTTTGGCCAACACACTTTGTATGCATTTTCATGGCCAATCATTCCTTCATCAGCTCCACCTGAATGAAACATGAAATTAAAACGCACGTATGGAAACAGTAATTACCGGGAATGACTGCAACCCAAAAACCACTTTTCAATAATGAAGTCGCACTTTTCGGTTCGCCTGGCACAGCACCCATTAACCGTAGAAATGGGAAAAATTTTGTCAAATATCGATGAATTAATGGTCTAAATAATGGCAGTTAAGTCACATCGATCAAAACTTATCGATTAATCAGCTCACCTTAATACACGTCCTGTCTTATGATAGAAGCAAACGAGTGTACCCAAAATATCGCCATTATGTGTCGAATGTCTCGCAATAAAAAGACATCCGCTATCAGGATCGATCTTTTCAATACCGACAACTAGAGAATGATAAAATATATGTTGAAATAAATATTTTCGGCTTGTGTTCTACTACCTTCAAATGCGTGAAAAAACACAAAAAAATAATAGTAAAGAAATGTTAATAAGCGGAAAAACCATGATTGACCGATGACATCGTCAGGTAGAAAAGCCAAACGGGTTCGCAGGGAATAACGTTCTGCTTCAGTTTTCGCGATAGGGTCACGAATCTGTCTATCAATTCTCTTCTGCATGCCAATAATATCCATTCGATCGATACTCAAAAGATTCACTGATTATCTAAAACAAATCAACGAATATTTGGTTATACATGTTGTTTTCTTGCTATAGCACACAACATAAAATAAATTAGTTTTGTCACAACATCAAAATTACATTAATAAATATGAAGAGACGAAGGCAACAAATACAACAAAGTCAAAATGCTTATTCTCTGGGAATCACCCGTCGACGACACGCCGATTTGACAACAAAAATAGAATTAAAAGGAGAATGGGGAAGATTATAATCATAAATATAGAAGTATCTATTTGGAATATTGCGAAGAGAAAGTATTTGTTATTCATTTATTTATTTTCATGAGCGTAAAGATTGATTAATTTCGACCACTATTCAATGCTTCGTTGATGCCAGCTGTTGCAACCTCGCGAGCTGCTCCGCGAACAGTCGGACTAAAGGAAAATCACGAATCAAACACAGAATTCGTTTTCATTATACTCATAGTTACTTATTCACAAAAGCCGTTTGAACTTCACGTTGCGCTTGTTCGAGACTTGCTCCTGTTTGTCGATATAATCGATGAACCTAGAAGAGAAAAGCGGATCGTATACAAATTCTGTGCAAAACAATGCTGTGAAAGTATAATTTCATTTTATTTTATTCATATTTTAGCAGCTGATTCAATACCCTAAGTACGGCAATGACAGCTGCAATGGATATCACTGTCCACAGACAACCGAGAACGATCATCATCGTTCCAACAATTTTACTTGATGACATAACTCCAAGTCGAGCGAAACCGCTAGATTGAAAAACAAACATTTTATACACATATCAGAATAAGTAGACGTTTTCTTTTCAAGATATTCGAGCATCAATCGCATCTTACCCTGATTAATAACAGACTACCAGCGAGAGCGATCAGAGCGAAGCAAACTGTTACAATCATGACTAGAAGTCCAACAAGAATTTTGCTTCCACCATCAGTGAATAATTGAATCATCAGAATCAAACCACTAGAAGAGAAAGGTACACATGCATAGCAAAAATCTCCTTTTGTTTACGAAATCAAATCTAAGCAAAAGCAAAAGCAAAGCTGTATATAACACACAACACCCACCACATGCCAGGTACAATGCCAACTGCAAACAAGATATCGATGGCGATATATATAACTCCGATAAAGAAGAAAATCATAAACGAAACAGAACTGTCGGTTCTAAATTGAGATTAAGTAAATATCAATGATACGTTCGACTCAAAGAAGAAAATATGTGTGAATGTGAACAAAATAAGTATGACAACAGTGCAAACAAAGTGTAGTATTATGAACATGCAGAGTACGAAGGGCGATATAGAGGAGATATATTACCATCCAAGATTAGCAAGACCCAAGAATTGTAGGACTGTTATGGCAAGTTGTATGAAGAAGACGAGAAAAAAGATCATAAAACTCGATGCACTGTCTTCTCTAGATTAGATTAGAAAAAGAAACATCAGTAAAGAATAAGCGTTCAATAGTAATCGGATTAGTAGAATCAAGATTTGCTATGATATTCAGATAGGACTCACACTGAAGGTTTCGATCCTTCTTCTTCATCGAGAGATCATTATCTCATTTCAAGATACTATAGTTTTGTAACTAGATATGAACTTTCGTCTTAACAATCGAATAACAAACCTAAATGCGCGATAAATTGGTCGAAACCAACAGATGTATGACAATGGCACAAATAATACTAAATAGACCAACGATAATCCGAATGTCGATGCACCATCTTTGTCGACGACTAAATAAAAACAACGGATAGTTTTTGAATGCTTGTGATTTCAATGTGGATTACCAAAATAAGACAGTCCCGCGATCATATTCAAGAATAAAGTCAATGAATAAGCTATGAACATAAGGAATTGATAGATGCGTAAATCAGAAGATACTATTTAAAACGTACCAAGCCATAGATAATAAATATATCGAACCCAAGCTTGAAATTGACCTGGAATTTCAATGTTTATATCTTGATAGAAGCATGGTCGACATGGACATATTGCTGGTAATGGTGGAAAGTTATTTTCTCGTTCTAAAATAAAAGTAAATATTCGAATTTACCAAAGTAGCTTGAACAAATACAACGAGAAGAGTCAAACAGTGAAGGCAAGCTTGTTTACTTTGAAATTCTCTTACTTATCTGTCATAGATTTTATCTGACATGATTACTCATTTTAAACGAAGGTATTCACATGATAGAGAAGTCAAAGATATTACTCATTGATATACGTACGTCCAATTTTGCCTGTATTAGATAATGCTCGTTCGCGTTCAGCAAGACGTTTTTCACGCTCCTCGAGTTCAGCTTGTTGCCGTTCGTATTGACTGAGATCAATACGGGTCGATGTTTGTTTCGTCTCACTTCCATATCTATCAGCCGGTTGTTGAGCGGCGTACGGTGTTGTTGTAGGTGCAGGAGCTGGTGCTGGTGGTTGATATATGGGTGCTGACGGTTGATAAACGGGTGGTGGCGGCGGCTGATATGTTGGTGGTGGCGGCTGATATGTTGGTGCTGGTGGCAGCACAGCAGCAACAGTTGGTTGTTGATATGATGAAGTAGGCTACAAAAGGAAGGACGTAACAGTGTGCTGTACGAAAAACGATGATTCTAAGCTTTACTTGAGCCGCTACAGTTGTATTTGCAAAAGGGTTGTATTCGCTATTCGTCGGTTGATTTGAGCTAGAAGATAAACAGAAATGAAATTGAACAATCAAAGATATGAATACAAACTAGGAGTTCGCTGTTGCTTTTCTTATTGAAGAATCAGCAAATGGGTTATTATCATCATCGTTAAAATCCATCTTAGATCCTTGCTATTCTGTTTTAAAAATGACACAATCTTGAAAAAAAATTCAAATTTGTAATCTATTAGACCCTTCAAGTCAACTCTGTATCTACATGTGAAAATGACTAGATCTTATCAAATAAATAAGTGTTGTTTTCCTATGACGCCGAAAAATTCATAACTGCCATCTATAGTTAACACTGATTGGTATTTAGATTTACGCAGTCGATGCAATTTCATTTCATTCTCTCTTTCAACGAATCCGCACACTTGGTTTTTTTTCTACACAGATGAATTCGATCACGTAAGTTATTTCAGTTAATTACAAACATTTTCCTGATTTTAATTCTCTTTTTAAGCAAAGCACGATTATTAAATGAATTAAATGAGAAGGAACTTCAAACTGGAGCAGCGAATACGAATAAGAGTTGGCATAATGTGTATCGGGAAAGTGCTTGGATCTATGTTGGTGGATTAGATTTTCAACTAACCGAAGGAGATGTTCTCTGTGTTTTTTCTCAGTAAGAATCCATTCTTCAGCACACAATTTGAAATGAATTCTTCTTTCGGTTTGTTTAGATGGGGTGAAATTGTCAATATGAATTTACTACGTGACAAAAAAACTGGTAAATCAAAAGGTTTTGCGTTTATTTGTTATGAAGATCAACGAAGTACAATCTTAGCTGTTGATAATTTCAATGGAGTTAAATTAGCAGGCCGTCAAATACGTGTCGACCATGTCAAAGATTATAAACCACCAAAAGAACACGAAAATGATGATGATCTGATTCGAACATTGAAAGAGTTAGGTTGTGCACCAGGTGTCGATTTACCACCGCCTTCGTCTTCATCTTCATCTTCATCGAGGCGAAAAGATGAAAAACATTCATTCTATGTTAAACAAGAACCTAAAAGATTTAAAAAATGATATTGTTTGTACATTGTGAAATAAATCTGATGTGTTTTGTGAATTGTACTGAACAATGAGAACAAAAAAAAAACGATTAGTTAATTATTCGAGTGACTCGGTGTATTCACAATTCTCTGTTTTAGATCAAAAGAAAAGCTCATTCTCATGGTTGTTTTCCATTGCGGCAGTTGCGGTGAGGCACTCAAAAAGAACCAGGTCGATAAACATATTGGAAGTACATGTCGACGCGTGCAAACAATTTCATGTATTGATTGTGGAAAGGATTTCACGTACGAATTCATCGTTGTTTGATTGCGTGAACTATTGTCGAACTTTTCTAGCCGTGATTCCTACAAAGAACACACGAAATGCGTAAGTGAACAAGAAAAGTATGGTGGTGCAAATTATACAGCGCCGACAAATACCAATAAAGGCGAAAAGAAACAAAATCAATGGTTTGAAATCGTGCAATCTGCAATTAATCAGAACACCGGTAGTGCCCAAGCGAAGATCCTATTACAAAAGCTGCAATATTATCCAAACACACCACGAAAACGAGCGAAATTTATTGTAAGTTCGAAGTCTTTAATACTATAATTATTTTCATCTTTCATCAGAATTTCGTAAATAATTCAATCAAAGGATTTCCGCCACGAGCCGTCGAAGAAGTGTGGTCTATTCTTGAAAAGCTACTACCCAAAGTAACATGTTTAAAGTGATTGGTATAAACGCTCTAACACAGATCTTTCTAGCCTTCCAATAACGAACCGAATCAAATAAAGAAAACGGACGCTGAGGAACAAAATCAAAGCGCACCAGCTGAAAACGAAGACGCTAATAAATCTCAATTGAAACGGAAAAGCAATGATAACGATGATCAATCATCGAAAAAAGCCAAGGTTAATGATGAGGATGAGAATAACCAGGCAGTACCGACGAATCCTCGTTTTGAATGGTACGATGAAATCAAACGTGCCTTGAGTAAAGCAACAGATCAAACGCTCAGTTTGGAAGCTTTACGAAAAAAGGTAAGTCAAATCGGGAAAGTTACCGAATCATCCGTTTTCTTGTGTAGATTTCTAAACGATACAAGAAACTGAAGCCAAACCAGGAGAAAGGTGATGATTTGCTGTTCGAAAAGCTGGAAAAGAAGATTCAACGAGCACCATTTGTTCAACAACTCGAAGGAAATGTTTTTCGATTGTCTGAATAGATTGTTTTGTGTTGACAACAAAGAAAATGTCTTTTTAGTCTTGAAATTTCTCGGAAAATATGTATTGTTGTTTTTGTTGCATTCTTCGAGACTTCCATCAAGATAAATAAATAGATGAAATTGAATCAACATCCTTTCTCATTGTTCATCATAGATCAGTCGTAAGAAATTGCATTCTCCATAATGTGGAATATCTATGTGCGTTCACACAGACATTCAAAGAACTTTCTATATACTCGTATGACGTTACTTAGATCTTCTGGAATGCGTAGAAATAGCTTGATGTTGAATTGTAATACTTTTTGTAAATATTCAACTCCTTCTTTTTAAATTAATTTACGTTCCATGCCACGATATGGAACAGTACAATGAAATCATAAAAATGATGAAAACGAAAATGTAAGCTCTAATATCATATAACAAATAGAACAATATTCATTAGATACAAATGAAAGAAAGAAAGAGAGAGAGAGAAAAAAAAATGAAATAGAGAATGTTTGTTTATTATGCATCATTAACGCTTCGTTCAACTAGACTGGCTTTATCATGATCGGTTTCTTTGCTTTGAGGATTAAATTGCTGCTGTTGTTTGGGTGGCGGAGACACTGGAGCGCCTACAAGGAAACAAGATTCAAGTCTAAGGAATAGAAATGGAAGAAAACTGACCTTTTCGATTTGGTTTCGAGGGAGGTGGAAAAACGTCAACATTCAATTTCGCTGGTTCGTTCGTTGATTGACTAGACATTGTGGCACCGAACATTGGGTTAGCGAATACAGGTGGTGATGCCTAGAAAATCTCAGACATTCATGCCAATACATTCTGATCTCTCGCTTTTCTATTTACTAAGGTTGATGCACTGCTGGCTGTCGTTGGTCGAGCATTGCGAAATCGTACGGTATTAATCGTATCTGTTGAGTGTGTAACGAAATTACGAATATTATTCAGAGCTGATCGAACAGCTGTCGGCAATGGAAGAGTAGGCATTGATGGAGCCCTAAATAAACAAGATAGGAAGCTTTTAACAGTTCTTCTTTTCATATTTGCTTCACTTACAATCCTCTGCGTTGGAATAGAACAATTCCAAATATAACCATGCCAATTAATGCAACAATGATGATTCCAGAAAGAAGAATCTTACGCCAATGTTTACCAACGATCTCAATAATAGTTTTTCTATCGCATCTTGCACCAGCATATCCTATGAGAAAAGTGAGAAATCGTCATTTCGATGGCAAATATTCCATTGACTGTACCCGGTGAACAATCGCATCCAGTCACTCGATAATTGTTTTGATCGTCCGATTCGTAAATACATCGACCATGCACGCAGGAGCATTGCAAAACACCTTCTCGTTCGGGAACGATTGCTAAAAGAAAAACAAAACGGACACAGAGTGAAAATAGCTCTAAAATTATACGATACATACGTGCGCTACATGTTTGACTATCTTCTAGCATTTCTGTATCAAGTGGACATAGACATTGATATTGATTCAATGGCTTTAGAACGCATAAGTGTGAGCAATTGGCCGTTGAACATGGATTTGATACTGAAAGAATAAACGAATCCAGAACTTTTTCATTTTCAAAATTTCATCAAACCTGATTGAATTTGTTTCAGCGAATGATAAATTCTGACGAACAAAGGTGATTCTAAATTATCAAGAACCATCGTTGATACACCCCGGCCAAATTTCTCAATTGAATATAGCGATCGATTTTCTCGATTTATCCAATAGACATGACTTCCAAATATATCCAAAGAATGCGGTGCATGTACACCAATATGGGCTATCGTAACTCGATCGGTACCATCAAAGTTCATTGATTCGATCGATTCTTTCTTTTCATCTGTCCAATAAACACGATAGTTTTGATAGAAATCAATCACTAAATCGGTCGGATAAATGATATCTGTATCGACTAATATTGTACGATTTTCTCCATTCATATAGGCTGATTCGATCGCAACAACACGATCACTGGTGTCATTAAAATCATGATGTTCATAGTTAATAAAATAGAATATTCCAAGCACTGGATTTACAGCGATTACCCATGGAGACTCGATACCTGTGATTAATTTTGTTGCATAACGTCCATCATTTTTCATCACCCATATACAACCATGGGTAGCATCAGTGACGTACAGATTTTGACCAATCCAATCAATAGAGACACTTGTTGGAACGATTGCATGATCAGTATCTTCAAATAATAGCTGTTGTGGCTGTGCTGTGGAAAGCGCACTTGGGGTAAGATGGGCACGATTGACTTCATACGTTGCTTCGTCAATCCAATAGAATAGACGGTTCGTTGTATCGATGGAAATAAAACCAGCACTTGATTGATCTTCGATAAGCACTCCGTAATGTGCGGCATTTCCAGGAGAGTTTTGACGAAGACGACGAATATCTTCAGGTTCAGATATCAGAATGTCCATCGTTTGATCTACAACAAAAAGGAAAGATTTATCCGATAATCTTCTCATTTTTTTTTCTAACGTTTTACCTCCAGCGTGACAATCTGATCGGTTCACCGCACTTGGCTCGAAACCTGCTGCACATTCACAGCGAAAACTTCCTTTTGTATTAATACATATCTGCGAGCAATGATTCAACGTTATATTTTGACATTCATCAATATCTTCGCATTTCGATGTTTCTTTACTATACTTATAACCTGGATGACATGCGCAAACAATTCCTCGGTTATTTGGTAAATCATGACATTGATGTTCGCAATGATTCGTTTGATTTGCACATGTTATTGTTGTATTATGATGACATGTTAATTCATCGGATTCATCACCACAGTCGTCATCTAGGCGATAAGGAAAACGAAAAACCTCTTGGCAAACTCTTGTAGAATTTCATTTACATTCATCGCACAGATCGGAAAATCGGATACAACGGTTGGTGTGTTCACATTTGTATTGTGGGCATGTTATCGGTTGATTTCTTGTGCGACAAACACCATGAATATCTTCATCACTGTTATCGCCACAATTATCGACATGATCGCACATGCGCCAACGATAGATACAACGACCGTTTGTACAACTGAAATAGAATCACAAATGTTTATCTTATTGACATTAGGAAATAAATCGCAGTGTTTCGGATACCGGAAATGATATGTTGAGTTACACGGAACTGTCCGACAAACTTCCAGTGTTTCATCGCTAGAAAAAAAACCAGACTAAGATAAACGAATCTATACTTTGCATGATCAGTTACCTATTATCATGGCAATCATTGTCTAAATAAACGAAACATTAAAGATGACTCATGAAAGAGCTGCGAAAAGTCTTACCGCCATCGCACACCCAATTTTTATTGATACAAAGTGTGTTGTTACAAGTGAAACGGTCTGCTGCACAATAGGTACCATTCGGACCACGTGGTGGACAGCCGATTTCGTCCGAAACATCGGCACATTGTGGAATTCCATCACAACGACTCGTATTACTAACACAATGGCCTGATGCACATTTAAATCTTCCATTCGGACATGGTCGAGCAGCTACAACGTGATTTTCTTTTTCGCTACGAATATCTTTCAAAACTGAACAGATAACTAACCGCAATCAGCTGTTTCATCGGATGTATCGCCAGCGCCACAGTCATAATCATGATCACAAACCCTGAAACAAACAAGCAAATAAATCAGAGGAATAGTCGAAATATCTTCTTGAAGATTTGTTTCAAACCATCGTTGTGGAATACATCGGCCATTGGAACAGCGAAATTCATCTTCACTACAATCCCGATAAACTAAAGTGAAGCAGACAAATTTGTCAAACCAAAGGAAAAATTATGACAATAGATATCCTACTGCATGTGTCTGGATTTTCATCAGATCCATCGCGACAATCGTTTCGATGATTACTTAATAGATAAGATCCTGTTATATACTATCATCAGACGAAATCATTCTGCTTACCAACGCAAACTTCTCGGAATACATCCTCCATCACGACATCGAAAATGGCTGGCATCATTGCATACCGGACATTGATTGGGATTTTCGTCACTATTATCTCCGCAATCGTTTCGTCCATTACATCGTGCTGCATTCGGAATGCATTTATATGAGTTAGGACATCGAACTTGATCTGGACGACATGGACGATTACCTTGAGAATACAAATCGATATTTACATTGGAATTCATCGAGAAAACTGTCTTACGACAGAAATAAGCGTTTTCATCACTATTGTCCCCGCAATCATTGTCTAAATCACATTCATATGACGCAGGGATACATCGACCATTAGTACATGTAAATTGATGATGAGAGCATGTACGATTGCCACAGTTTAACTCATCGCTGCCATCAGAACAATGTCGAGTACCATCACAACGGAATCTCTAAAAACGAATCGTTATTGAATGAAAGTGATTCTTTTTCTCAAATAGTCACCGCCGATAAACATGGGCCCGAGTTACATCGAAATGTTCCTGGCATACAGCGGCATTCACAATTTTCTTCATCTAAATTTGTCATAAGCAGTACGTTTTCCTCTGTAAATCAAACGTCCTCTAAATTCCTACCTGAATTATCACCACAATCATCCATGCCTTCACAACAAAACAAGAAATAAACATATTTTCTCTCGAAAATTGTCTACACTTTACCATCACAAACATATGAAATCGGTGTACAATTTTGATTTCGACATTGAAATTGATTTGTTGTACATCGCCTTTGTGGACAAGTAGTCGGCTCATCCGATCCATCTTCGCAGTCATTCACTAAAACACATCATTGATCGTTAGATATTGAAACCAATACAAAATAGTTAAACTTACCTCCATTACATTTCGCTGACCAAGGGATACATCGTTCATTGGGCGGTCCGCATCGATGTTGATTACAGCTACAATTCGCGGCACATGTTCGATTATTTCCATTGTTATTAAATGAAAAGTATTCAGGACAGACACAAGTATACGATTGATTCGTTGACAATAAACATAAATGTGAACAACCGCCATTATTTGTTCCACATGGATTTGGAACTACAAAATAAAAACAAGATTCACTTGTTTAGTCCTATCAAAAACTTCTGTTCTTTACTCTGTGGTTGTAACGATGGATGAATAACAGCAAGAGACATGACTTCGTTGATCGTGTCGGGTATAAGCACATGTTTATTTGAACCATTCAATGCGTCAGCACGAATTAAAGAGTGATTAGTGAAATCTGACCAAATCACGTAACCATCAATGAATCCCAGACCAAGCGAGTATGGTACATAATCATGACCCGAAAATGCAATTTTACGCTCACCACCATTGTAATTACTGAATCTATATTGAATAAACGAATAGATTTAGTTAATTGTGATGAAAAAATCATTTCAAGCCGATTTTTAGGCACACGAATAACTTACTCTAATCGTTGTAAGCGTCTATCGATCCAGAAGATTCGTTTCGTGATAATATCAATAGCTAAACCCAATGGTCCTGCCGTATCTGTTCCAATAACCTTAACAAAATTACTGCCATCTAAATTGATTCTTCCAATATGTGGTTGACCCCAATCGGAATAAAACAAATAGCCGACTAATGGATCAATCGCTAAATAATTCGGTTGGGATAAGTATCTTGAATTTAACAGTGTCACTTCATTTCGACCATCTAATTCACAGACGCGGAGTTCAGGTACGCTCGATAATAAATACAATTTTCTTCCAATCCAATCTAAAGCTAATGCACGGAGTCCTCGTACCCGGCTACCTTCAATAATCGCTGTCGACTGCGATGCATTGAAGTTCATGCGATAGACTTTATTAGCAACATTGTCCCCAACATAGATTTTTCGATCTTTCCAATCATATGTTATAGCAGATAGCTCCATAAAACCACGAGCAACTGTTATTTCGGTTTGTTCATCGAGGTCGATAGCACGAATGTAGTATTTATTTATGTATAATACATGTGGTATAACAGTTCCTAAATGAAAGCGCGAGATGAAGCATGAATGAGATGCGAAAGAATACATACGGTTTGTTCGATAACAACTGCGCCCATCAAGACCCTTTTCATAGCCAGATACACATTTACAAATGTAAGAACCTGATAGAAATAGATTTAATTTAAAAAACAAACAAGTTTTATTCGCATAACTATTCTTACCCTGAGTATTTTCACATAATTGCTGACAAACACTTGGTGTTTCAACACATTCGTTGATATCTAAATAGGCATGATTTAATTGAAGTACTCTGTGTGTAGAAAATCGAGAATACTGGTGAGCGTTCTTACCCCAACAATTCCTCTGATTGGTTGCCAATTTATAACCTGGTCGACAGGTACATCGAAAAGAACTTAATGTATTCACACAACCATGTTCACAACCGCTGAGAACCGTCGATGCACATTCATTCACACCTGATAGAACACAACTTAAGAATGTTTAGTGGAACTGTTGTTACTCACCACAACTAACAGGTTCATCACTTCCATCAGTACAATTTCTTACACCATTACAAACAACCTCATAGGGAATGCATTGTTTATTTCGACACTGGAATTGTCCGGCAGGACATTGTTCTGTTTGACATAAGGAAGGTTTCTCATCAGAATTATCATGGCAATCATTACTGAACAAAAAGAAACAAAGTGAGCATTTCTTCCATCGTACAGATCATCATGTTTCAACTTACAAGCCATTACACGTAGCAGATTTTGGTATACACCGTCCATTTTCACATCGATATTCTGCACTGGTACAATTTCGATACTGCGAAGCTAGTTTTTAAAAAGAGAAATCAATACTATAGAAAAATCTTTGCCTTTTCTTACCACATGATGCAGGTTCATCAGATCCATCACCTGAACAAATACAACTAAAGCTTGCATCTAATGGATTACATTTAAAATAAACAAACCGCAATCGTTATCGTGATCTAAATAGACAGAAAATACTCATAATCTTATTTGTACTCAGAAAATAACACCTACCACAAATATATGACCGTGGAACACAAAGGCCGTTGGCACATTGAAATCTGAAATACACCAATATATTCTCGACGTCTACTCTTTTTAATGGGTATTAATTAGCATACTGCAAAGAAGAACAATTTCGTCGAGTACAATTGGCTTCATCTTCTCCACGCATGCAATTAGCAATACCATTACAGACAGCCGATTGATCGAGACATCTCAAACGTGAATTACTTTTCAGACCTGTCGGGCAACGAAATTGTGCCGGACGACAAGGCATTTCAGCTGAACGAACATAAATGATTGCAATCTATGTACCAATAAATTCGAATACTAACCACAATTATGTCTTTCATCTTCATCACTTCCATCTCTGTGTGCCAAAAAAAAAAGATAATTTCGGAGAAAATATTTGCATTTTTAGTTTACCGGCAATCGTCAATACCATTGCATCGTTGATCTGGACTTATACATCGGCCATTATCACATTTCCAAAGTTCTGCTGGACATGTACGATTCGTGGAACGACAATCAACTGGCTCATCGATACCATCAGCACAATCCCGTCGTCCATCACATACCCAGGAATATGGTATACAACGACCGTTTCCGCATCGAAATTCCGCTAGATTAATAAAGAAAAACTCCGCTGCATTTGGAAAAATTCAATCTTCTCTTTCAATCCATACTCGTATTGCACTGAATACTTTGACAAAATATCGGACTTTCATCACTATTATCACCACAGTCATTATCGCCATCTAATAAATAAAACAATGGTTTGATTTTCAATCAATAATTCCTTTGCACTAAATGTTGCTACATACCACATAGATAACTTCGTTGGATACATATGTTATTGTTAGGACATTTCATACTATTTGTACCGTTACAAACACGAGACGGACAACTGACTTCATCAGTTGAGTTTCCATCATTACAATCATCGTATCCTATTGATCAAAGACATAAGATGATAGAAACTCATTCTTTTATATTTACCATTGCAACGTTTGAAAGAATCAATACACCGAAAATTGGCACAAGTAAATTGTCCGTCAGGACATTGTGGATAGACACAGGGCTGATAAGGGTTATTTTCATCACTACCATCGTTACAATCTAATTATTAGCAGAGTATTTGTTATAATATTACATAAAATTATGAAAGGTTTACCGATCTTTCGATCGCATCTCTCAACAAATGGAATACAACCGCCACTCAAGCATCGATATTCAGTTGGTCGACAAGTATAGGCCGCTAGAATAAAATTATCATATGAGAACAGCTCAACGTTTGATCTCTTACAGCAAAATCTTGTTTCTTCGTCTGAATTATCCGAACAATCTCCTTGACCATCGCACACTTTTCGTCTGGAAATACATTGACCATTGCGACAGGTGAAATTAACAGATGCACATGATGATGATATCGCTAACAAAATAGATGAATCGAATGTCATTTTCGTTCTGATTTCACTTACGAACACACATTCGTCGATCATTTGCTAACTTCAATTGTTGACCACTTGGACAAGTACATTCCACTTGATTATCCAATCCTGTTTTGCATATATGACTGCAACCACCATTACTGATATTACATGGAGAAGATGAACACTTCTGACGTTGATCCGACACGACATGGATATCCATTGGACGATAGGGAAGGTTGCTCTGCATTTCAACCATATTAGCACCGGTATATTTTTCTGCACGGTAAATACCACCTATACATACAAAATGGTTTGGAAGGAAAATTCACTCGAGGTGATTGTCACTCACGAAGATTCCAATCAGTCCAATAGATATAATGTCCATGAACAGTTATTGCAAATGGATGAACGACTGTGGCAATGACTTCACGATTTGTACCGTCGAATGAGGCACGTTCGATACGATCACTAGATAGAAAAAATATGAATATCGGTTTTTCTATGATGGATTATGCAAATTATCAAGTGATGCATACAACCAGGCGTCTGCCCAATAGATTCGATCGTCATCGAAATCAACTGTTAGTCCATTTGGCCAACGAATATTGGTCGTTATTACATATGTCACTTGTCGTCCAGTTAACGTCGAACGACGAATCGACGGATATGATCCAATATCTGACCAGAACAGTAATCTACATATTGAATGAGTAAGGAAACAGCTTAATTCTCTTAATCTGCAACAAACCCTTTGCACGGATGCACAACAATTGCTCTAGGACGTAGACTAGCTGCGATAATAACTTTTTCTGAGCCGTTATGTCTTGCTGATATAATTCGTCCATAAGTTTCATCAGTCCAATACAAACGATCAGACACCCAATCGTATGCAATGCCGACAGGTTGTGAACGACCTGATCAACAAGCAACTTTGTTTTCCCTAGAGTTACTTCGCTTTAAATCTGTTACCTGTCACATTTGATTGTACTAATTTTCGAGCAGTTGGATTCGGATCATCCATATTAAATGAAAATATATCTTGAATTTGGATGTCCCTTGAAACCGTTTGATCAAACATCACACAGAGAATAAAGATGAGTACTTACGTGTAGAATATCTGCTTATCTCGATAGTCAAAATCGATTCCAACTACCATACTAAGATTAGTAATTGCTCTCCACGGTGCACTCGTTGCTAAACCATGTGGTTGCATAGACATCGGGCGAATCTCTTTCTCCATCGCCACGAGTAGATATTCATTCGGTGCTAGAAGACAATTCACCGAATCGAACCGTCTATTATAGAAAATTCTTACGTGTGCAAGTTCGCCGATCGGCACTCAATGTTCCAAATGCACATGCACATTGTGGCACACTTGTCTCAGGCATAGCAAAGCAGAGATCTTCGCAGAATCGTTGTCGAACCGTTGAGGATTGGCAAGGTGATTCATAGATAGGTTGTTCATCAAATAATACCATTCCACCGACTTCATAACTTTTCAACGATAAAATCGATTCTAATCGTTGTGTCATATTACTAGCCGTCTTATTAATACGCATAATCTTCCAAAACAAAAACAATAGAAATGAGTCTATGCGTGTTCAAAACGCAAAACCAGGCTCTTACCGATGAAAATGCTCGATCCATAACATAGAGATCATTGTTAGCAACAAGTAAAGCAATCGCTTTGGGAATATTACGTGAAACTGTTCGCCGATTTCGTCCATCCCATGAAATAACTTCAATCGTATCACGTATAGAATCCGCCCAATAGACATCATCAGTCGAATAATCAATTGTTATTGATTCGGGTCGAATGATTTGTGTTGTAACAAGATAGGTAACATTTTCACCATTGAGCAATGAACGAGTGATGTGAGCACGTGGACCACGATCACACCAATAGAGAAATCTGTGTAAAATAGAAAATCAAATCTTCATTGAACGTTATCTTGACTCTATCAAACTACCTTCGTTTCGGATTAACAGCCAGAGAATAGATTGTTTCGTTAGTGCCTTTGCGCAATATCAAACGATGATCTGTTCCGAGACGATTAACTTCTAAATGACCATATTGGTTCGATATGTATGAAAAATACAAATTTCCAGATATCCAATCAAGCGTCAGGCCAAGAATAAAGTTTTGTTCAGCAGCAACGCTTATTTGTAAGTGAGTTGTGACATTCCATGTTCGACTATCTGTCCAAACTGCGCGACGTATCAGGCGATTCGCATGTATCCAATAAATTTCACGTGTAGAATATCGAACCGATAACATTTCCATGTTGTTTCCTATGGAAAAAGAATCAGCAGATGCCATTCGATCTCATTTTCATATAAAAGAATCTTACCGGCTATTAATGGCATAACATCTTCTCTTGCCGAATCATTCGAACGATAATCGAATGCTCGCAACAAGGAATGCGTACTATAGACGATGAATTGCTGACTTTTAGGTGAACACGTTCGTCCATCGCTATTTAACTTGTATCCGATAGCACAATCACATGTCGGTGTATTATGGTTAAGTGAATCAATTTGAAAGCAGAACTGTTCACAATAAGAACTGTAATAACAGTATGCATTTAGAGCTAAATTAGAAGACATGAATGGAAGATTAAGGTGGGAAAAAAGAGGTTTCATTACCTTCGTAGCGCGGATAAGCTCGAACTTGCATTGGATCTTGTTGATTAACTCGTACCGGGATGACATCGGTTACTGGGATTAAGTTATGATCAAACCATTTCTTATAAACTCCTTCTAGATCAGCATCGACAAAGAATAAGGAATAATGTGTGGATGAAATATCATCATTTTCATTTGTTTGAACTGACGATCCCGATGCTGGAGGAAGGAAATGAGTAAGAAAATCAAAACCGCGAGGATGGCTAACATCAACGTCGAGAACTTTTGTATCACCCGAATCCATACAATGATATGAAATCTAAATAGAAATTGAATCAATTGTTCAAGTTATTGAAACATCGATCTATTTACTTTTTGAATGCCAGTATCACTCCAGAAAATGCAGTGAAGATCAAGATTGTACACTATATAGTTCGGACGCAGGAGATTTTCTGTTATAACATTCTCTGGATATTTGCCATCGAAACGAACACGAGCTATTTTCATTGGCACTTGTCCACCGCCAAGATCAATCCAATACACAAATCTACATGAACTCTTATTAGCAAAACAGTTGATTTTCAAATAAAATTCTCTTGCCCATGTAGCGTATCGAGATCCAAAGCAATCGGTCGCATGATACCAGTCTCATTCTCCAGATTACTATATACAATTGTGTGATACTGTCCATTCAATGAAATTGCATCGATGCGACTATGATGAATGTTTACAATGAACAGATTACTAAATAGAGATAAATCCAGTAATGATTCAATGTTTGAAGAAGAGATTTTACCGTCCGACAGCATCGACTTGCATCGTACCACTTTCCATTCCGACTAGGATTTCATCATCACCATAGAAAACTGTTTCATTCGTACCATCGAAATTAATTCGACGAATTTCATACTTAAACGATAACAATACAAACAATTTCAAAAGTTTCAACAAAAAACAAACATTTCCCATACCCTGGTAGATCCATCGGGTAGAATACCTTTCATTTGTGACCAATATATCGTTTCGTTAGCTTCATCAAAGGCAAATTCATAACCTCGGCCGATATCTGTAACGGTAACTAATCGTTCCCATAAATCATCGTAATTCGAATTTTCATCCACGTATCGTTGGTCATGTCGTACGTTTATTCCTCCAATTGTTCGACTTCTCATATAGATGATGAAAGGCGAATAATCTAAATGGGATAGTCAAATGAAATTCAGTTTCGTTTTTCACAGCAAACTCATACCTTTTGAACATGTAAACTGATCTCGGTCAAGATAGAAGCCAGTTGAACAAGCACAAGTATAACCCGATGATGAAGTATGAGAAAGAAGACAAAGTTGTGTACAGCGAGATTGTTGACATGGGTTTGGACCTTAGATTTACACAAAATGAAAGTAAAAAATAATCAGAAGAAGTTCGTGCGTACCTGATGGTTGATAAATTCGATGCGAAATCTTCAAATGACTAATTCCTGTGCGAGATAGAATTCTCTCGTGTCGTTGTGCTTTGACACCATGTTCGAATCGGTTTAAACGACGTACTTCATTTGAGTTCGAATCAAACCAGTAGAGATAATTCTCGAAAATGGCGATTGATGTTGGCGCATGAAGAAAATGGGTATTCGAGAGGATTTTCCGTCGGTCTGCCCCTGTGTAACTAACAACTTCGATGTAATTCAAATGACGATCGCTAAAGTAAACTTTTTCACGTATTAAATCTAGCGTTAAACCAAATGGCATATGAATTGAATCGTTGACAAGAGTAATACGTTCTTGGCCATCCATGCTACAACGTTCAATGCGAGGATTTTTAGCCCAATCAGTAAAAAACAGAAATCGAACGCCTGGCCGAGGATCGACTGCAATTGCCCATGGATTTGTCAGATTTTCATGAAATAATATCCGTCGATGACGACCATCTGCTGATGAAACTTCAATATGTTCGAGCATATAATCAGTCCAATACAAATTATTTCCAATCCAATCATATGCCAAACCAGCAATGTAACTATTACCGCTTGTAATAATCTAAACAATTGCCTATGAGATAGAAGTAACTTTTGAAAGTTGATCTACTTTGGTGTAATTTGTTGCTCTAGACGAACGACGATAGATAGTATTTGTTGCTATGTCAGCCCAGAAATAGGTATTCGTTCGATTATCAACATCAAATGCAGATATGTAACGCATATTAGGACCAAGAGGGACTTGACCATAGGTTTGCAATGTTGGCGAGTACCAGCCAATTGAAGAACTATATGAAGCCAATAGACGAATACCAGTTTCATCTTAAGATTGTAGAAAACGAGTTGAATTTATCAGATATTCTCAAATCACTCACTGATGATTTTACAAGTTCGTCCATCTGATTGTAAAATAAATCCTTCATCACATCCACAAATGAAACTTCCATTGGTATTCAAGCAGTGCTGATGGCATAAGAAAGGATCCTCAACACATTCGTCAATATCTAATAATCAAACGAACATTCGTAGACGTTTAAAAAAACTTCATCTTGTTTTACCTTCGCATTTCTTATAGTTCGTCGTATTGGTTACATGAAAACCAGGTTCACAAAGACATAGAACGCCAAATGGAGACGGATGGCATATATGACTACATTCACCATTATTGACCGAGCATTGATCATTGTTACATAATGGCGACTCATCGCCACCACCAGGACAATCCGGTTTACTAAAAAATCAGAGTTAGTTTGTGTTAGAACGGTAAAACACAAACGAAATAGATCATTACCCGTCACAAACTTGTGAAACATTTACACATTGATGAATTGTTGTACTTGGACATGGTATTTGATTATCTTGACAGGAAAACGGGGCAGTTTCTATGAAAGATTGATACATTCAATCAAATTTTTGACAAAATTTCAAACAAATACTAACGGCACTGATTTAAACTTTCATCGGATCCATCTTCACAATCGTCCTAAACGAGAATTCAATCATTTGAACGAGAAAAACAGTAACAAAAGTGTGATTACATCATGATCGCACACCCATGTCTCCGGAATGCATTCGCCCGATGTCAAACAACGAAATTCACTCGATGTACAATTTCGTGCACCTACAATCAACGTGATCTGAATATCTTCGAAAGTAAAATCTGCTTACCACAAGTCGATGGTTCATCAGAACCATCAGCACAATCTAAATCAATTTATTCTAGTTCATTCAATTCTCCTTCGAAAACGAATCCTACCTCGATGACCATCACAACGCCATGCCTAATGGAAAGAAGCAACCAGTTTTTATTCTATAATATTAATACATCATCTAGCTTACGTTTGGTATGCAAGTTGTTCCACAACGAAACTGATCAGGTCGGCAGAACGATGGTGTTGAACCTGAACAGCCTTGTTCGTCTTCCATTGATGGGCAGTCTGCATTAATAATAATTGTCAGTAATAGATAATGTACACTTGAATGTATGACTCCACCTACCCGCAATACCATCGCACCGGCGTGTTGCATTGATACAACGTCGATCACGTGCGCATAAAAATTGTCCGGTGCCGCAAGCAATGGGTGGACAATTAAGTTCTACAGAAAGGAATCTGAATTTAAACAAAAAGAACGAACGAGCGAATTGAATGAGCTAACCATCTGAATTATCTCCACAATCTATCAACAGAAAGAGAAATAGAGGAAATGATCTCAATGTGAAATCATGGCGTCTTACCATTTTGGCCATCACATTTCCAAGCTGTTTAGAATAAAAATCAAAGTCAATCCAATGGGGATAGGATGTTTAGATCAACTTACCGGTTGGAATACATCTGCCAGGTGTATGAGGACAAGTGAACTGTGTTAGTTGATCACAAGTTCGTTCTAAACAAAAAAGAAACTATTGACTCTTCTTTCTGGGGAAGCGGGACATTTACCATGGCAATTCTGTTCGTCACTTGAATCTCCACAATCATTTTCTAGTCAAATTCAAGAGGCGAAAACATTCTAATTGAAAATAAAACTCTCATCTTTCGTTTTACCATTATCACAAACCCATGATTTTGAAATACATCTTCCTGATGCACATCGAAATTGATTATCATTGCAAGTTTGGCCTTGAAAAAATGAATTTATAGTATCAAGGACTTTTTACTCGAAATATTCTCTCAATCTTACTGCAATTCGATTCATCCGAACGATCGAGACAATGAGCGTAGCCATCACAAACAAGCTGTTTATTAATACAAACACCTGTACTACGACATTGAAATTGCGTAGTTGGACATCGTGGTGTTCCAGCTATAGTCACATGTTAAATTGAAATACGCAATCATCTGTTTGCCAGTCACTTACCTGGACAATTTTGTTCATCGCTATTATCATGACAATCATCATCTATCAGAAGAGAAAAGTCAGAAATTGTTTTTGACAAATTCCAAGGATTTACCTCCATCGCATCTGTAGTTTAATGGAATACATCGACTGTTTCGACATTGAAATTGCCCATTGCATGATGTTCGACTTGGTTCAGCTGCAGAATTATCCACGCATTGAATATTATTATTTGTATTCAATTTTTGACCGTAACGACAACCGCAGACTCGTGTCAGAACGTTTTGTTCGCGCTTAGGGAAACAGAAATCTGAACATTCGCCATTATTGGTCCAACATGGATGCGTAACTACAATTAAAACAGATATAGAATGTACACCGATACAAATGCTGTTCTTTCGTACTATTGATTGGTTGGGATGATTCTGCGTAGACTCGAACGGTTGAAATCGCCGGAATATTCGATCGAATCGGAGAAGCATAACCACTATCGACCAAAAGAACTCGTTTCTAAATTGATATACATTCGATTGTGCATGCATTACCTGTAAGTTTTACTGCTTTCAAATACAGTTTCCAATGTCACATCAGTAAAGTACAATCGAGCTGCAAAAAAGGAAACATGTCCAACCTTTTCGAATATTTATCTCTTTCTCACATCCGTATATTGCAATTCCAAATGGATGAGAAATTGATCGTCCTCTCAATGATTGAATGTTCCGTCCATTATAATCAGAATATTGAATACGTGATAGTGCACCATCAGTCCAGTAGAGTCGTTGACTGCCGTAATCGCATGTTAAGTGATAAGGAGTACCTAATTCATTTGGCACAATGATCATACGATTTGATCCGTCCGATGACATTCGATAAATTTTAGCTGGACGAATAATTGTTGAGTAAAATACATATCTACAATATGCATGGAAGAACTTTTGTTTTACTACGACATACGTTATGTGTCTACTGACCCTTGAATTGGTTCTACGGCAATACCATGTATACCGATGGTACCATTGACTAGTACACGTTGGGGAAAATCGGTTGTATTCATTCTGACAACAAATAATTGACTTTCAGTTGATGATGTCAAATAGAGTAACTTGGAAAACCAATCATATGCCATGGCACTGACGACAGGAAATATCTTCGATGTTGTTACTGGTTTTGGTTCTATATAACGGAATCAAATATCGTTGTTCGACAAACAAGAAAGTGTATTTACTCACTTTCACCATCCATATACGAAATATAGATCATTTGACTTCGTTTCGAATAGAAATAGACGAGTTTTTGCCGATAATCGAAAACAGAATCCATAATGATTGTTCGCCGATCGGGTACTATCGGTGGTCGAGCTTCAATTTTTGAATCCCGACTGAAATCAATCGCACGAATGGAAAACAAACGTGTAAGAAGCAGAAAATCTTTCACCGCTAGTACAGAAAGAAGAAAACAAAAACTCCAAATCATTCACGAACATCAATTGATCAATCTTACGTTCACACGTTCGTAAATCTGATTTAAGTCGATAACCCGATTGACATCGACATTGATAACTATTCGCGAGAAGATTTGCTCGGCCTAGTAAACATAAATGTTCACAACCACCATTATATGTCCCATTGCATGGATTTGTGCGCTGCGGCTGTCGAGTTTCATGGTAAATACTGATGCCTCTTGGTCGAACAAATGACTGAGGTTTGTAAAAAATACTTGTATTCGAATTAAAATGTCGTCGAAGTTGTAATACAGCACCTTTCATATCGTCAGTTAAATAGAGATTATTTTCGAAAAGATCAAGGCCAACTGTATATGGAATATTTTGACTACCGGATGTCAATGTAATACTAAATCGAAGTCAATGTTTGCGCATCTCGAAAGAATAACTCCAAATGAAAATCCTACCGTCTTGATCCATGATAGTCACAACTTTCCACATGATCATATGATCGATCAACCCAGTAAATTCGTTGCTTAATATGATCGACTGTGATATCACTTGGTTGATCCAATTTCTGATCGACTAGCACCGCACATTGAGAACCATCGAGAAGACATCGAAAGATCTTTGCAGGTATTCGATGCCAATCGCCTTCGTCCACAAAGAACAGATATTCTGCTATCGGGTCGATGGCGATGGCTCGCGGTTGATGAATATTACTTGTAATAATATTCGTTTTCATCTGTTTTCCATCTAACGAAAACATATCAATACGTGCTAATTCATGTTCGACAATATATAATTTATTCGTTATCCAATCAACAGCAATGGATACGGGTGAAAGAATGTTCTTTTCAAGAATGAGTGTTGCGCTCGGGTACGGTGATGATAGTAATAAAGAGTAAATCTAAAGGATATAGGTAAAGGATGAGAACATTACTCTTGTATGTTTTCGCTCTGGATTCGTTTACTTGATGTGCGCGAGAATCGGTAAAGTACAAAATTCGATTCCGGTAGTGATAGTCAACAGCGCTGATTGTCATATTTTCTCGTCCAACATACAGAATTCGAGAATTGCCAAGTCGATCGATCTCGTATATTTTATTCGCGATTGCGACAAACATTTTCATATTATCACCTAAACATCGGATAGATATGGAGCGAACATTCGTGGTGAAAATAAGTTTTACTATTGATATGTTTGCATCGATTGCCTGTCTCAAGCGTATAGTTCGCTCGACATGTGCAGACATATCTAAATATACGAATTCGAAAATTCAAACTAGAAAGAGCTAGTCAATGATTTCTTTGCTTACGATCCAATTGTATTTTGACAATTGTGATCACATTCATCCCAGATTTCACATTCATTGACATCTAAATATTCATATTACCTATGGAGATTATCAGATCTGATCTTTTCTTACCAATACAAGAGCGATTGTTTGCCGGATTTATTTGAAATCCCAATGGACAATAGCATACACCCCGACCATCAGGAGTAGCACGACAATCATGATCACACGAATACAAATTACATAGCCGAGAGCCTATTAATAAGAAAAAAGAAATCAATCAGTTTAAATCCACGCGCCATGCTAAATCTCATCAAATGATTCTTTCAGAAGCAACAACAATAGCCTCGTTCCCTCCACGAACTTACGGATGGACGTATATGAACCTATTTAGTTTAGTTTTCATTACATTATGGTCTGTTTTGTCGCTCGTAGCTATTTACTATCTTTGGTATGCATTCAACATGTTTCAAATTGAAATACAAGACATATCTTACGAAATAGTCGATTTTCGTTCGAATGAAATTGATGCCAAGCCAAGGGAAATATGTCGTTTACTCAACTTACGTGATGATAATTCATCGCGAGCTATTCTAACTGTTTAAATCAATACTACTTACCACATTGAGGACTTTCATCCGTACCATCTGCACAATCTTGTTGACCATTACATACTTTTGTTATATCAATGCATTGTCCTGTGACATTACATGGATACATATGTGGAGGACATAGTCTTGCTCCACAGTGCATTTCATCACTTTGGTCGAGACAATCATTATCCGTGTCTAATAGTGAGAATTCATTTACTCAGATAACTTTTTCCTTCCATAAACAGTAGTCTTACCACAAACCCATGACGATGGAATACATCTTCCATTCGTACATTGAAATTGAGATTGTGTACAATTTGATCGTGCTAGTTAATAAAATGAGCTTGGTTTTTGTCAAATTGAATAGATATTTTCTTACTGCAATTAGCTTCGTCGGATCCATCTGTACATTGTAAGCGAAAGTCACAACGCTGATAACTTGGTATACATCGACCATCCGCAACACATCGAAATTGATTCGCTGTACAAGCTGTGCTATCTGATAGTCACATAAAGAAAAGATAATGAAGTTACGTCCGAAAGTTGTTCACTTCATCTTTGATACATACTACAATTAAGCTCATCAGTACGATCATCACAGTTGTAATAACCATCACATTTTTGTGTTAATGGTAAGCAGCGTTGTATATCACATTGAAATTCACTTGAAGAATTACATGAGCGATAATCTATGAATCGAATACATCTTAAGCTCTCCCTACATCATAACATAAACACAATTCCTTACTGCAAAATGTTTCTTCATCACTGCCATCACTGCAATCTTTGACATGATTCTATAGACACCAAAATACATATTCATTTCTTTACAAAGTCATCCACAAAAGTTGAACTCACGCATTTCATCGAAGCATCAATACACCTTGTATCATTGCATTGGAACTGTGTATTTGAACATCTTCTCGGAGCTATGAATGCAAATTAGAACTCTTTCTCAGCAGACGTTTTCATGAACAACAATAACATACGACAATTTTGTTCATCAGCATTGTTTCCACAATCATTGTCACCATCACATCTCCACGTACGCGGTATACACCGGTCTCCACAATCAAATTGCGACTCCGAACATCTTGGATAAGCTATGGAGATACATACAAACCGTTACGAACTTTCAATCAACGCACTAAACTTACTGCAATTGCGTTCATCGGACCCATCAGTGCAATCGTTAATTCGATTGCAACGCCATGTTGTCGGAATACAACGACCACCTGTTTCACATCTCCATTCATTGATACCACACGCGTCTAAATAAAACGATTGGATGAAATTAGTTCTACGTACGTATTTCGAATCTTACCTGTTATTGAGTATAGCAACAAAAAATTGGAACAGAACAGAAATACCACTAGTTTTAAATTCATTGATGAATTATCTGAAAAACTTGGCGAATAACGATCTCTTTTCATATAAAGTGTACATAAACAGCAGGTGTCTACACTGACTACTGCTAATATACCGTCGAACAAACGAAAAGGAAAAAGAGGAAGATGGTGGTGGTGATGATGATCGTTTTACATCGGTACGAAACATATTCGCATCTGATTTCAATTTTTTATTTAACGATAATAATTATCGTCATCGGCGTACGATTCAATTTAATAATCTTCATTTTCTTTCTTTGTGCGATTTACCGCGTAGGCGAGAAAAGAGAACATTTCTTTGCAACTCCTGTCAAATCGAAACCTCATAGATAAATCAATACAAAAAGATTACTTTTACCTTTTGGTTCCTATTCATTCGAAAGAAAAAAGAAACGAGATCTCCCAATCTTTTTCCCACTTCAGATACATTTGAAAGCTTGATATTATCATTGTTCATCAAATCTTACTTGTCTTCTTCTTCTTTTGTTCGAAAGATAAAATGAAAGTGTCTCGCAGCATGTACGTATGTAATTGAAAGCCATCATCTTATCTTATTTGACCACCTCTCGAGTAGTTCGATTTCGAATCACATCAAACGACTGATTCTGTTAGTAAACAAACAGTATCGAAGAACTGACCATCGAAAGTGAAACATTCAAGGAAAAGAAAGCAAATCGATTGTTTGCATGTTTTATCAACATGACCTTTTATCTATTCGCGTGTGAAAAGAAAATATTTCAACTTACCATTGAGAGTTGAAAACAAAACTTCTCATCTCCATTACATGAAAATAATACTCAGTTATTTACATTACGAATTTATCGGTTGGTGGTGCCAATCTTAGCAGGTAGATGTACCTTTATTTTAATCTCAGCGCACAGTCCATCGAATGTTCGACGGAAAAGAAGTTTGAGAAATTGTGTAATTCATTAATTTCTTTTTCTCTCTCGTTGAAATCAATCCGAACGATATTGAAGACAAGCTACGATGAGTATGGATACGTTCAGATAAGATAAAACAAAAATCAATTGTGATAAATTTAGTGAGGTGTAATATGATTTAACGTCGTTTGCTCATGATGCATGTAATAAATGACCTGATGAACTCAACAAGTGCAAAAATGAAAGATTTAATTCTTGATGAATTTCAAAAGATTAATCATTATTATTATTGTTGTCAAGATCAATAAAAAAAGGATTATGTTGAAAAATAGTTCGTAGATGATAGAATGAATTAGTCGTCGTGAATTTGCATTTGTTGCTGATTGATTACCAAGCTGAGACTATGTTTGAATGCTCCTCCATGTCATTGCGCATTGTGAAAAATCTACGAAACATGAGAATGTTGATTTTCTTTACAATCTAAGCATGAAATTGAAATAGATTTGTAAGAAACAATGTCAGATATTTATTGAGTTATGAAACACAGGTCACATCATCTAAGGAAATGTCTCTACTTCCAGCAGTCATACAGAAAACAAATTTTTCTGTATTAATAAGCAGAAATCCCTAATGATGTACAGTAGAAAACATTTCCTGCCCTTCGTAACCTTTCTTTCACTTATTGAATTCATCGGAAGAAGTTCAATACTCATGTTCTATGATTATGTGCTGTAAAAGAATAACATATTCAAGTAGCTTGCAACGATATGTTAGTTTGCACGTAGCTATATTTATTAGATTGTGTAAAGAAGAAAATGTCAATCAGATTGTTCGGAAGACGATGATGAAGAGTCGGATTTCCAATTTTTTGAATCATCCATGACTATATTTGAATTGCCAAGTATATTTGGTGGCGCTTGATTGTTTGTTAAACCATAATGTTTTAGCTTTCGTTTACTTCGTAATACCTTCCCATTAAAGATAAGTCGACAACCTTGATCGAATTTCGGTGGTAAGCGAGATCGAATTTCCGTTTTTAATTCACCTACAGTTATCTTTTCATTAACAACTAAGACAACAGTCGAATCATCGGATTTTCGCGTAACTGTCAGTTGGACTTGATTTGGTCCAGTCGTCATTTCAAGCAAACGACACTTCTAATGTGATACGGATGAATAGATATACAAAAATGAAGGAGAAGAGAGAGAGAAAAATACACGTTCGTATTATGAATCAGCATTTTGTATGTCGCACACAGCGAAAGCAAAGCTTTTCTCTCCGTCTCGGTCTTCGCTTATTCAAATACAGTCGACAGATAGATTCTTAGGATTGATCATATCAAGTGCATTTGTTTTATATTTATATAGATATATTGTACTGAATAATTAGTTAAAATATGCTGTTTGTTGGTTATCACACTTATACAAGAAAAAAACAAGATGAATAAAGCACCTCAGGATTGATTTCACATTAGATTAACGAAAGCCAATCGTCGGTAATCGCCCATATTCGTTCGAAATTTTTGCCTTGAAATAAATTTTCATTTCCTGTATAAACACGATGGAGAATCTCAGTTTGTTTGAAATGTTTCGATTCAAATAACTTAATCGCTAAACGATTATCTTCCGGTATTGAAAGTAACATCATTCCATCGTAATCAATTGCACATTGTCTCAACAATAACAGAGCAATGTTCGAATTATCAGCATACAATGGGCCACATTTGATATAAGCTTGACTGAAATTCAAAATCACATAACCTAAGATTGAATTGGTCGTCGTTGATCGTGCAACATAACCAGCAATGGAATACGTATGTTCACGTAATTGTTCGAAGTAGTTTATTCGATAGATCGGATAGATCTGATGATCATAAGTGGCAACATCGAGAATATCGGAAGATTCAAACAATTGCAAATGAACATCATCTTCATTCACATTGGTTAGATGGAAGAAATCACTTAGTTTACCTAGGAGATTAACCAGAGAAAACGATGCTTGAAAGCCGTATCGAATGTAGAATGGTAAATGTTTAGTGAGAACATTGGCATGAACAAGTTTGGTTTCTTTTGATTTAAGGTTTAAAACATAATTCGTTAACAATTCACCAATACCAAATTTACGATAATCTGAACGAACATAAACTAAACCGAGCATGAGCACGGCCGGTGTTGTTTGATCATGGAAATTCCATTGTTTCAAAGACGCATGAGCTAAAAAGCCATGTTTAGAAACAACTACATACGAATGCTTTGGTCGAAATGCATAATAATACATAGAAAAATCAATCGATGCACTATGAAATATTGAAGCGTCTTGAAAGAAAGTTTTTATATCATAAATATCACGAGAGACCATTGGACGTATGAATAAATTGAGTGATTCAATTTTTTCATCTCTAGAATAATAAAAAATCCTTCTCTAGTGAATTGTCAAGCAACTAATTGATTGAGTTTGTCTTTCTCTCTTTCCCTTATCGAAATCTGTCATTCGAGTTTTACCTATACAGCCAAAATGAATATTGACTTGTCAAAATTGATGGATCAGCACAACAGGAGACTTCATCCGAACATTCATGATCGGACATGATTGATAAAAGATGGCGAAATGAGAGTAATCGAGAAAACAAACTACGCGTTGATAATGTTAAAATCTTTCTATTTGCATTGTAATTTGTAACACATTCATTCAGTGTGCTACGTTAATACGAAGCAATGACCCTATCCAACTGTGTATGTGTATCTCTAGTGATAGTTCCATTAGAAACAGTAGCATCAACGGAAGGATAAAGAAAGAGAAAGATTACTCTTTTTGCTTTCTTTCATTCTCTCTCTCTCTCGCTCTCGCTCTATGTTGTCGATCTAACATTTGCTGTTCTCTCTTGGTATATGATCGATCCGAACGAGAATTTATTTAGAATAATAACCAAGTCAACACAATGAAAGAATAACAATGATAGTAATCGCAGATAGGAAAGGCGAGAAAAGCAGGAAAAAAGTATTCTTTTTCGCATCCAGTTGTGATATTTTCTTCTCTTTCTCTTCAATATCCTCCATCGTCTTGCCCGTTATTATTCCTATGGCCTTTTACCCCATTCATCTAAATAATTGTCGCATCCTCTTCATAGTAATATAAACAAACGTAAAAAGAAACCATCTGTTTATATACATGTCATTTGATTGATTGCGCCTTTTATATAATATTTCAAATTAATTTCTATCATAAGTTCTCATTTGCTGCACATGCGTTCGACATCGAAAAGAATTCGTCAGTGTCAGATCTCTGCGAACACTACCGGAGATCATGCGTTCAATTCGAATATTGAACAGCTTGTCCAATCGATCAAGATAACTGTCGAATCAGAGATTTTAATGAGTTTATTGTCCTATGCGAAGCATTTACATGAGATCATTGATTGTGATAATCGATTTTCTAAAGAGTACTTTCTTCAGATCGAACAATCGATCTCGAACACTCAATCCAATCAATTAATCAATGAATTAATTCAATTAGTTCATTCCTATTTTGATAAATACTTATCTGTCTCAGTTATTCTTCGCTGTTATATACAACTACACATCCCACCCACCGAGTCCGGGAATAATCAAGGTGTGAGTATCCAATTTCAGATTTTGAAGGAAATTCAAGAAATGGAAACAATTATCGAAACGAATGAAAATCTTCTCTTGGATTATTATAAGAAACATTATGAGATCTTGAAGTATTTGAACAAGTATCCTTCGATTGAAGATTATCATTTATATTTGCTTGAATATGAAAAGAAGATTTTCGATGACCTACGTTCGATTGTGTTAGAATTACGAACGATATTTCTAAAAACTTATGATATTATCATAAAAAATCTGCCAAAGATTCAAGTGCCAAGAAATCCGCTGATGACTTCAATGATTAATTAAAGAATTCTTCGTACTTTCTTGTTCGTTGTTCCTGATCATGATCGACTAATAAATAATAATGATAGAGAATCGTATTCTCAAGTTGAATTTTGCCTACAAATCTCTAGATAATATCTTTTTTCGATGATGTCAACTTCTAACAAATAACTAAATGTCATCAACCTTTAAAAAACCCATTAATCATTGGTGATAACGTCTGTCTAACAGTATGTTACGCAGACACTTGCTTCGAGCAGGTCTTTTCCACTATTGCGTCTCAAAACAGACGAACTGTACAACACCAGAACGCAAAAGACGATTATCCAGTTAACATAATGCATACTTTTATTGTATTACCTAGAAGGACTGAAGTTTCTGTATCAGAATAACTGTTATACACACAGAGAGAGAAATCAAAGAGAAGAAAAATTGAAAGATAATGATTGAATTAAGAAGAAACATAAAACAGAATGTCCAAATGCTTGATTTCACTGGAGAAAATTAACTTTCTCGATTTAAGGTTTTCTTTCGCTTTATATAGCTTTCTTCAATCGCAGCTATGTCCGCATTTTTGATTATCCAAACATGTTGAGCAACGTCTTTCAAAGGTAAACGATCCGATGGATTTCGACGAAGTAACTGAAAATATCTCATATGCGGTGAACTTCGACTTTCGAGAGACTTACTTTCGTAATCACATCACGAAGATCAGATGATGTTCCTGTTGGAAATGTTAATTCAATCGATCGTATCATTCGAATAGTCTCATGTTGAGTTTGACTATCGAATGGGGGTTTACCGATAATCTACCGGAACAATCGAAGTCTAATAATCATCAGACAAACAACAAAAATCGATTACCATTTCATATGTAAGTACCCCAAGACACCAAAGGTCAATCTTTTCATCGTAACCATTTCCATTCAACATCTCTGGTGGAAGATAATCTAATGTACCGCAAAGTGTTGTTCGCCTGTTGAAATAGAAATGCTTTCTTTTTTGCAAAATGACGATATTCTTTCTTACTTGCATGTCGATGTACTCTCAGCTGACCAGCCGAAATCCGCTGGAAGACAAAACTCATTTCAATGATCAACAGAACTAATCAGAAGATATCGTTACCTAATTTCAAAATTCCATATTTTCCAATGAGAATATTTTCTGGTTTGATATCTACAATTACATGATTCTTGCATAGACATATTGGATTATTTAAACGTACCTCTAAAAGAAGAAGATTTGATATACATACTTCAATTATTATAATATTCTTACCGATGAATAACCCGTTTTGTATGTAGATAATTCAAAGCATTACAAAGTTGGTAGACGTACTAAAAACTCGATGGAAATTATGGAATTTTGTTCGTAGAAAGTCTTACTCCAGCAGCTTCACTTTCGCGTAGAGTTTTTTCTGTTTGCATACGACGATACAATTCTCCGCCAGGTGCATATTCAAGTAATAGATAGATTCGTTGTTCGTCATGGAAAAATCCGTAGAGACGAAGAATATTTGGATGTCTATAATCGATCTATTCGTTAATAATTAAGTGACGAAAAACAACAAACTTGAACGTACTTAAGATTCGATTGAATTTCGATTTCACGTTTCACTTGTTGTTCCATTTTTGAATTCTTCAATTGAGCTTTGAATAGTATCTAAACAGCAACTGTGATCGATGACGAAGAGAGAAGTGCTTCGAAGTACTTTTAGTGCAACTACAAAACGTGTTTGCTTTTCTCGGCCACAATAAACATAACCGAATCGACCACGTCCTAAGAGATTACCGATTTCGAAATCCTCAACCGTCCAACTGGATGATTTTCTAAAATAAACAACAACAATCTGCCAAAGAACTTCCTGAGTGTACATACATAGATCGTTTCTCTTCGTGATTACTAGCTAGCACTGGTTCCGACGTTGGTGACGTTGTTGGAGATATCGCGGTCGTGTCTGATCTTTTTAAAGAAGAAAAAAGTGAAAATAGGCAGGAGATGGTCATTAGGTGACATACTTTAATGGTATGTCTATTGATGGGAATGGTGGTGAAGCCATATTTTCTTTACTTTCGTCATTTTCCACAATCTCAGTTGCTACTGTTACTTTGTCGACAGGAACAGCTGATGTAGTGTTGATCGCTGGTAGTTTACTTTGTGAGACGTGACTATCTTGTTGTTGATTCTGATTATTCTTGACATTTGATGATGTTTTATGACTTGAAAAGAATCGCTTAATTGCCGACATGAAGAATTAGGTAATAAATGAAATAAAATTCAACCAAACATTGTTCAATTCTTTGTTTCGAGCCTGACGAAAATATTAGCGAATAGGATCATTGTGCGCTACTTTCCATTCAATCAAAAAATGTCTATTAAAACGACTTTCATCATTGTATTTCGAGCTCAATTTGAATGGCAATTCACAATAATTATTGACGATTTTTTTCGAAATTTTCTGCTGAAACCTGAGAATGAGGTTCGACTGTTAAGGATGATTAGATATCAATGGCAGACTGTGTGTTGACATGTTTACAGCTTATTAGCGAGTGACGACTCCTACTCATTTCTTCATCCATAACGATTGAAATACATCATGGCGAAAGCAACAGCAGCTAATTTCACTGATGAGCCGTACTATACAAGCGAACAAATTCCAATCCCACCTGAACTACCTGATATCTTACTTCAATTCTCGAAAGCTGCTATACGTACACAACCAACAGATGTTCTTGCATGGAGTGCCGCGTATGTGCTTTCTTTTTTCTCTACTCATTGATTATCATTCGTGTAATTGTAGATATTTTCGAGCATTAGCAAATGGCGAAACACCACCAGTTAAAGAACGTGAGATGACAAGATCTTTAAGAGTAATTATCAAGCTAATCGTTTGTTAATTAGGTCTCGAAATGCCATTAGCAACGCAAAAAATTGATACAGGTCTAACGATGGGTTTGATTAAAATCTTACATAAACAAGTAAGTTTCTAAAAGAAGAACTAAACTCATAGAATGAACATGTCGGTCTTTAGCTCTCGCCAAAAGGTAAACTGTCATTACAAGAAATTCAAAACAAATTTGATGATATCAAAATTCCACGTGAACAATTCGATGATATTGTACAAATCGGAGCTTTCAATGGTGAAGTTCAATGGGACTCATTTCTTGCCATAACTGTTTCGAAAATAGCCAAAGTTTGTTCTTTTTCTTCAAAATTCTCCTTGACTACATTCAAACTGATTAGAACATTACTGATACTTTGATAAAAATCTGCGAATTATTAACAAGCGATCCGCCGGGTGCTAACGCTCGTATTCCGTTCGATGTTTGGAAGAAATACTATCGATATTTAGCTGAACTTGACGGTGATATAACCGAAGAGCATGTTAAACAAGTGATCGACTACCTAGCAAATGAATGGGTCATTCGACAAAATGGTTTGATTCATCCGAGAAATTTCATTCATCCTGAATGTCCTAAACTCGATGCATAGTTTCAAGTATGCCGAACATAAACAGAAAAGCTAGAACAAAACAAAAGATACGAGGCATGTTTTCATAAATGTTGTTCGTCATGTGTATTTGTCACCGCTTTGCTTTGCGAGCCTTTCTTTTTCGGTTTTTTTAGAAACAATAATAAAATTAATCTATGCTTTTTTTATTTTATCGAACGTAGACACAGACTAGAAGTAACATTTCGTTTCCATGCTATGTCATTTCGAAACAAGCATATTCACTGATGAATGACTGGCTCGTATTTATAGCTGAAGAGAAAAACATCGAAAGTAGTCGATGATCGTAAAAAGGTAGACGATACGATCGCGTGTGGCAACTGAAATTGATACGCTTCGTGTATCTTGTTTAACTTTATTGGATTCATTTGAGATTCCAAATGACAAGAGAACTACATTGAAAGACATGTTAAAAAGATCTAAAATACACAGCACTAAAATATGTTGCTATTTATCTAAAAGATTATATGCAAATATTTTGATTCACTATTGCAGTCGATACGGCCCGGTATTAGATTTCAAGTTTGGTTAATTCAATTTTACAGTCGAATGGATATGCATTCACGTTAATGGATGTGTGTCGTTTTTTGATAATGTAATCATCCTAATAGAGAAGATTAGTTTTGCTCACAAATTGCTTTTGATATTTACTTCTTTCTTGACGACAGCTGAAATCTGACACGATTCCGATTGATTGTGATAGTTTTCATTGTCGTCGATGAAAATACAACCCTGACTGAGCTTCGTTGATTCTAATGGATAAGTTACATCAGTTTGGATGCATTGTTCTGCATGCTTCATTACAACGATAGACGATTGAGAATGATGCTAAAGGAAAAGATGTTTTTGGTAGTAATTTTCGAAACGATGAGTATTAGATGTTTTACTTGATTCGCGGGAGGATCTTCTTCATCGATGATTACTAGAACGATTGAAAGAAGACAAAAAAGGATTCGAATCCGAATGAAATTTTTGTAAATGTTACATTTCTTTCGTTTTACTGTTGGCGATATCGGGATTTGATCGGAATGATCAATCAAACTTGGATCTTTTTGTTTCTTCACATACTCTTTATAATGTGCATCGCAAAGATATTTCTGTTTCTTTCCTCTCGCTCTTCGCATACAATTCCGTGTATGATAATTACACAACGAATACCATTTCGATCCATTCCATAACTGTCGCACCATTTGAACATCGCCTTTTTTCGGATTCGACACCGATGGTGTGATTTGTGAGTCTGTTTGAGATTCGATATTGGGTGATTTCGATGGATTGTTGCCATTCTTCGTTCGCATTACTATATCATGTCGATGACAATAACCATTCCGAACAATAAAACATACACATTCATCGTAACCACACACGGGACGCCAATAGCGGCCGTCGTACCTCTGGCGGGCACCTTCGGAAGTAATCCTCATGGTATTGCGCTTAGAGAATCTAAATCAAAAGGCTTATTAACGAATGAATTCGGAGAAGCTGTCTACTTACTGTTCCTTTTGACTGGCTTTTTCAACGGACGATTTTCTCGACTTTCGATTAGGTTTAGGAACTTTTGCCGTAGTTTTCTCTGGTACTGCACTGTTTGATTGGGGAGAAACGTTATTGTCTGCCTTGAGGGAATAATGCTTTCGACATAACCAATTTTGAAAAAATTTTCCTCGATTTAAATACAATGTACAGCCGGGAGCAGAGCACATACGACGCCATTTGATTCCATCGAACTTCTGTTGATGTCCTGATTGTTTGTCGATTGTTCGTATGTCGTTTTTGGCTGGTTTGGAACTAGCTGAAAGACTGACATGAGTTGAAGACTCAGTCGATAAGTGTTGATGTTGAAGTCTATTACAAGGTGCATATCGACTACATGAACGATGAGTATGCGAACATGATTTAATACGATAATCATCATCATCATCAGAATCCGTTGTTGGCGATTCTGAATTACTGCCATCCTTGTCTGCATCTGCAACAAGCATGCTATGATCTACAAAAAAAATCGAAATGAATCAAACTGTATTGTTCTTCTTCCTTTGCTTTTGTGCGAAAGTTTTGGACAATCTAAGGCGAACCATCAGCGACACCTGTGATGTCAACATCACAAATAATAGTAATAAATATATTCTCGTTTTGCGTTCTGCACGACTACGCATCGATTCGTGACGAAGTGTGCACGTATATTTTATCATGATTTCATCGTCAATGAGTTGTGCCCATTTTCTATTGGGCCAAAGCACCTTGGTGCAAAAAGAAACAATTTCCTTTCCAGATTAGTATTTCAGTGTTCAATATTAATGTTAGAGTACATTATACGACTTGATATTCTCGATGTATAGAATACACAAAGCAAGGGTATATGTAGTAGGTATATCAATCAATAATCAAGGATCAACAGGATAAAGAAATACCGAAATAAAAATTCTAGCAAAGTGTTAGTGTTTTGTTATTCTCAACGATGAGGACCATTGTTTCAATGGCGAAACGATATAATCATTTGTTTGTTGCATAACGTATGCTACTGGAAAATGGATATAATCAGTTGTATGTAGTTGAATTAATGGCGATTGAAATGAGGTTGTATCCACTATCGAATAGGCTTGTGCTGTAGACTTTTTTTCTGTTGATGGTGTTGACGACGGTTTAGATGGAGAGGATTTCGTTGGCTTCGTTGGCGGAGATACTTCATGTTGGACAAGACGTTCAAGTTGTCGCATTTGTGCCGTTTGATTCGCAAGTGTAACTTCCAGTTCAGATAACTGTCGTTCCATGTTAGCTAGTCGTTCTTGATGACGTGTTTCTTTTTCAGTGTCATTTTTCGATCGTCGAGCGTATTCAAGAGCCAAGCCAGCAACGGCAACACTCAAAATTACCGCTAATTGGAATAGAACTCAATTAGTCAATGAATAAACTGGTTATTTCGCATACCTTCACCCAAAATATCAGCACCGAGGGTGACTGCAGCTTCTTCATTCATTTTCGCGACTTTTTTCGTTTCGATGCCTAACATTCTCATCCGAAGATTAACATCATACCAATGATAGAATTGAGCGGGAGGCATGCACACCTAATGATAAAAGTTAGAATGTCATGCAAAGTATCTACGATATGAACCACTCACATATTTCTTGAAAAATTCGCTATTTTTCGCGCGTACTTTTATCTGATTAGCAAGTGGCTTGCTGACCTGTTTGAAAAAGACAATCGCCAATTTAATAAGTGGAAATGGAGCCATGTGCTCGTTCTCCTTTTCCGATTCTTTTTTAAGCTCTACAACGAATACAAATCAAACTTATCAAAATATATCTAATTATTTTCAAAATAGTTCACCAGATTTATTCAAAATCAAAAGCGATAGAATAAAGAGAGAGAGAGAGATTCAGCAAAAGAGAAAATATTTAGCGAAAATAAAATAAAAAAAAACAGTCAAGTAGCATCGAATTAGTGGTCAAGAATACGCAGATTTCCTGAAACAATTTTATTTTCCAATATAGCGCCTGTTGGAATGTCGATTCGATCACCATGATTAGCAATTATGATAACTGTGCCCTAGAAATAGACGACGATTCGATGAAAATGAATATCTCGAGTTTGGATAGTTTCGTTAACATACACGAAGTGAGACACCTTTACCGAATGTCACATCGCCTGATACGGTAAGACTGTCGAGTTCAAGACAATCGGGAATGCTTTGGAAACGTGAAAGAAAATCTTTTACCTTTGAAAACAACAATCAAAATGATTTTTAATGAATATGAAAACTAGAATTCGTACTTTATTGAAACTTGTTGCGAGCTTAACCAGTGGTACGGAAGGAAACGAACGTTTTGGATTCATAACTAAAATTCCGCGGTGAATAGTAAATAAATTTGACATAACAAGTAACAAATCCGATGTTGTTTTAACTGGCAGAAAACGACGACGAGGAACGTTTATGCCTGGGGAAAAGGAATTGCCCAAATTTCACTTTTCATTTGATTCAAATTTACCTTGAGCTCCTTCAAAACTTTTGATCGCTGCACCACTGGCTGTTTCTAATTGGATAACATTGAAACCTTTGTCCAAAGACTGAAGAAACCAGCGAAACACACATAAAGACCGCTTGTAAATAAAATTACTTACCTTACGGTTAACAATGATTTCCATGTGGAGAGATTGATCTTCGACAACTCGTTTTATAGCTGGTAGATTAATCCACAAGTTATTGGTGTTAAAAATTCTGATGAAATAGACATTTTAGATGTATGACAGAAACAAGTTACGTATTCATTCTTACCGAAATTTCGACACACTTTTGAATTCATCCACATTTTCCTTCGGAACTTGTGCAATTTCGAGTAAACGCAATTTCCCCTCATATTCAATCAATGTTCCACCCTGTTTTGGTGAAGCACATCAATAGGGCAACTTTTCGATAAAAACGTCAGCTTACTTTCACATCCGCTCGTGTTTTATCTGTTACTTCCATGATGAACTCATGCTTCACCGCATCCGTCAGTAAATGCTTGAGAATATCTAACAAAATTCAGCTTATTCGCACTCAAATCAGTCAGCAACATACGATCTTACATAAATCAACAGACGCTCCAAGGTTATCAATATTACTCAAGAACATATATTCTTTCCCTTGTTGAATGAACTCGTCTAACAGACCAGAATTATAAAATGCTTGATAGACATCACCATGACCTGGTGGATACCAGCATTCGTTGTCTGAGTTTGTTATACTGGTCGCGATTGGTAACAACGTTTCCCGATCGACACGCGGATATCTAAAGATAGTCGAAAGTTTTCCATCGATTCAATTTTGTTCGTTAACGTCAAGAATCTTACTTCGACTGATTGAAATTGTAGATTCTAACAGAAACATGACTATACTTTTGAACGACTTTTTCTGTTTCTTCATGTGTATTGAATGAATTCATTAGAACAAGCGGAACATCACAATCATACTGACGATTGAGATGCTGAAATACACAAAAGGAGATGAGTTTGTCTTGAAAATCGAAAAAATAGCTTCGTACTTCAAGCTGTTGAATGGTTAAATCTAAAAATGTTAAATCATTTCGCACAGAGATCACACTCTTCGGCCCTTGACATCCCATCGTTGTTCCAAGACCACCATTGAGTTTGACAACAATTAATTTATTCAAAAGTTCCTTTGCGTCGCTTAGATCAGCTGTAATTAACTTTTTGTACGGAATGACCTTGGATAATTTCAGTACAAATGGATAGAATTTGCGTACAAACTTCGAACTTACAGTTCCTTCGGGTGGTGGCCGAATTTCTTGCCAATCAATCGATGATTGATCGGCATCCTCCAACAAAAATCGACTGAATAGTTTCTCAAATCCATCGAATTCCACTCGTGTTGCCTGTAAGATGATAAATATGAAATGATTTACAAAAAAAAGAAAATAAGAATGTCACAACGAACATCTTTTGTCGCTGATGATGGAGCTGTTGAAATGATTTTATTCAATGATGTTTTTAATCGTTTCAACGCATCAATTTTCGTTCGATCTTTGAATGCTGCAATGTCCGTTTGACTTGGTGTACGTTTAATAAGCGACTAAAGTAAAACAAACGGATAATATTCCTTCCATACAAGTCGAAATCCTACCTCATTCATTTCTGGCTCCTTTAGAGATAGAGTCATTGTAAGGTTAACGTTTGTTTATACTTGTTTGATGTTTAATCCTGGACACGCTGTTTGAATGTTCCTTTTTGACGGTGTATAGGTGTCTTTCTTTTTATCCTATATCACCCATCCTCTCTCCTCGTGCATTCAGTCACAAGCAGAGACTATGACTTCATTGAATCTCTGCTTAATGAAGCGTACGAAAAGGAATATCTTGAGTCGAATGAGATATTGACACGAACATTTTCTATCAGACGATTTGAATGAAGATTGTACGGTCGAAATCTTAATCTAAAAATAATCTTGGCAATTAAAAACATGTGGTTTTTATTTACAACATCTGATTCGCTATAGAAGTAACTAGTATATTTAGTTTATATGAGGATTCGTTAATTCAAGAGTCGGTCGGTTCTAATTTAGTGTAATCAGAAGACAAGAAAAGTGGTTTTTGTTTTTGTTAGTCATTGGAAAATGCCATTGCCTCAAGTCCGTCCGCATAGGTTGCATCATCTTCCCTATATAAGCAAATAGAACTGAATGGAACATGATGGAAGAGGTCGCTCGATATCGCTCAAGCAAACAGTGCAAGAACTTGATTTTTTGGTCAAAAATGCTTTTTCAAACTCTTCTTTTACATTTTCAATACAGCATAAGAACTTGTCGTGGTGTGGACAATACATATAGAAAAATAAGGTATTTCCCATAGTTTCACTCAACATTGAGTGCGATCGTGAAACAAAGGAATACGCCATGGAAACGATCTTCGCTGCGATTTATTACATTAATTTAAAAGTATTAGTTTTCTATAGTCCACCATTAAACTTTATTTGAACACGGAAATCCGAGTTATTGTGTGAGTAAAGAACGAAGAAATTGATGCCTTTGTTTTGTGGAAAAGCAAAGCTGTCAATATTCATTTCTATATTTCTTTGTTCTTCGATGGCTTTGCACATTGAAGAGAGGAAATGAATGTGTTCCGACTAATGTCACAAAGAAAGAAGAAATAATCGATAGGCAGATTTCGAACTAAGACGCTAACGACAGTCGGTAACAAATCAAACGCTCGAGGAGACGAGAAACGACCGACAAAAAAAATCCAGACACAGTTGTCTGAGTGTTCGATCCAAGGTTAGAAGTATGAGTAAGTGTTTGATAAACAGAACATTAAAGAAGATGGAAAATATCGTTCTTTTCAGGTTTTATTCGAGAGTTAGGCGCAGCTGAACGAATCTACTGTCGTGAACAAGCAGATTATGGAAATCAAATATTAGTGCAAGTCATTATTGCTAATACGAAGATAAACATTGATGAATCAACAGCTCGCTCGGCTTTGTTAAGATTGTATCATGACTATTTTCCAGTGTTCGGCTATGAAATATGCCCTTCAAATGATAAAACAACTTTAGTCTACAAAGCAAAGGATGCACGACAGGCTGAACAAGATCTCATGGCAAATTTCAAATATGAACAAGTAAATTTGATATATTCATCAACAAAAAACATATTCGCTTTTCGAAGGATGTCGATTGGCATGAAGTATTTGAACGAGAATTAAACACTCCATTTGATGATACGAATTTAACTCGTTGGTCGGTTATTAATGAACATATTCTCATTATGTCATTCTATCATGTTCTTGTTGACGCGAAAAATTTATTTTCGATTGGCCGGCAGTATCTTTCATTATGCACTTTATTACCTGTTCAGAAGGAAACTTCGAATTTTCTCGAACCTATGGAAAAATACCTTTTCAACAAGTATTCATTCGAAGCAATCTCGGATCTTGAGATGAAACCAAGACCTATCCGACCCAATCCGTTGCTTTCACGAACAGCTGTTCGTCATTTCTATCTTCCAAGCAAAATCCTTTCTTATCTTAAACAACAGTGCCATTTACATACCATACGTCTGAATAGCATCCTAACAATCATCACATCGGCTGCTTATTATCTCGCACGCGATTGCGAGCAAGAGAAAACGATTAAAATACATATGATGGTTAATATTCGACCTCATCTTGAACTCAACTATGATCAATCGGGTATGTTTGCCACTGTTTTTGATTGTTTCGTCGAACTTGACAAATACTCGATCAATTCATTGTGGTCTAAAGCAATTGAACAACATCATGATCTTCATAATCGAATCAAGGAAAAAGAATACATAGCTAATTGTAAAAATGATACTGATCTATTAAAAATGATCCATAACAATGAAGATTTTTCGGTGAATGATGTCGATTTCGCATTTAGCAATCTTGGCTCATTAACAAACACAGTTGCAGATCAAATTGAAGAACATTATTATGGTGTTTCACTAATAGAACAACGTTGGACAAGTTTAATACTCGTTGGTGTGAGTACAATAAACAATCATCTTTGTTTCACGATTACATACAATAAAAATTGCATTTCGAAGGATTTTATCGAAAAATGGATCGAGAAAATGTTTTATTTGATTGAACAACTAGAAATCCAATCGAAATGACTAACACGAATATTTATACATCAATTCCACTCGATTTTAATGTCAATAAAGATATGAAATATTGTTGTGCTTCATAAACAATTCGAGCACATGGTCCATATGGAATGCCTAGACTTTGCAATTTCTTTTCGCTGATGTACGGTAATTCATAGAATCCAATTTTTTCTCGTTCGAGTAATGAAGCATATTCTTCATAATTCAATAGACTTAAGAAATAACGAAGCATTGCTTCAGGACCGAAAAATCTGAAATAAAAAGACAAGTTATAAGAATAGGAGAGAAACTATTTTCGTGGGTTTTATACTGTTCAATTTTTCGTGCTTGTCGTGGATCGATCACCGAATTTGATCGTTGGATCGTCGATGTCGAGGGCATATAGGACGAAGAGTAATTCAAATAATTGCTACTGTTAATCGTAGCGAGACGTTGCACATTCGCAGTAAGTAAACGGGATGGTTGCTGAGGTGTCGTCGAGGTTAGATCAGATTGCATTGCTGATGGTTGGCGGGAATAATGATGATATAATTGTTGACGAAGATCAGATACTTCTTGACGAAGGCGAAACACATCATCTTTGACAGTGCGCTGATTTTGAATTTGAGCAGAGAGCTTCGCAATAGATTCAGCTAAGGTGACCACAGATGATTCAAGACGAGTAAATCGTTGATTAACTTCCCTGGGAGAAGAATGAAACATTCTATAAGTTCGAGATAGGTTTAAAATGGATTTACCCCATGTCGATATTAGACTGTCGTAGAGATGGTGTTGGCATGATCTTTCGGAATCGATGTCTTCGATTATTATGATCGATTTGGGAAGAAATACTTGATTTCAAACTGCCACGAACAGATTCAACATCCACATCAAGTAATTTAAGAAGATCATTGTACATTGCTTGGAGATCTAAATGAATTCGTTTGTTTTCATTGACATCGAGTCAACTTTGACTATAAACAAACCAGTCAATTGTCTTCGTATTTGTCCAATCTCTTTTGAACTCATACTTGAACTGCGCGCGGTTATATTCGGTGTCGATGTTCGAATGTTCGGATGTTTGCGTAATTTTGTGTCACTAAATTCACTGGTTAAATCCGACCAGAAATCGCTACCAAGATCACTGGGAGGCGCTCCATGACGACGAACCATCTCTAGAAGTTAAATCGAACGTATTTATGACTATATTTCTATTGACATTGGAAAAAAAAATCAATCATTGATTCCTTTGTTTTCTATTTCGCTATGAAAAAATGTTGATAATAATATTCAATTGTTTGGCTTCTCGAAATGTTAATGTATTTCGAGGTTTCGCTTTTTTTGCATACCTTCTTCTCGACTCTGAGTTTCAGTTGCAGTCGTTTCGGAATCGGATTCGTCGTCATAGTTCTTCAGTCGACCCGGCGGTCGATGTGCTTTTGAACTCTTCCGATGGGATAGAGATCCGGTCGGAGATCGAATGACAAACTTATTTCGTTGCTTTTTCCAAATGCGATTTAATTCTTGAGTTATTGGTGATGGTGGAGAAACTAAAGAGGCTTTACCCTCACGCTCTTGTTCAATATATTTTTTAAGTGTAGATGTACTCTCGGTCTCGTTATTTGTCGGAGTGTTTTCTTGGCTTTGATATTCGCCATTGATGTGATTTCGTTCAACGTGACCATTACTGAGTGGATGTTTAGCAGAGAAATAACGATTATTGGCATCGAAATCAGATTTGGATGTGGATCGTTGGTGTTGAACAACGACATTCGGACGAATATCAATCACTTGTTGACTTTTTACAGGGGATGACGGACGTTTGAATGTACCAATGGGTTCCACTTGTATATGATGATGATTTGTATATTTTTCTCCGAGATTCATGTTAGAAATTGCGTAGCTTTCGTGAATTTCCGGACGAGTCTGTTCATTTGGTAGACCATTTGTCATAGATTCATCATTTGTTGGTACTGCACTCTGAATATGTGGATTAATGCTGACCTCTGGCAGTGAACGATGTTGACTTTCCACAGTCGGTATACGTGATGTGATTGATTGCTTTCGAGATACAGACCGTGTAACTGTGGATGAATCTGACCCGGCTTTCGATTTCTATTTCATAAAGAAAAGCAAAAACAAACGATGATTTGAATTTGAAAAATGTTCTCATTTACTTTTAATTTATCCGGATGTTCATCAACATTTACATTATCGAAATTGAAGCCATCCACTTGTTGTAAATTGACGTCTAGACTTTGAGCAGGTACACGTATCGCCGTCAGTGCACGTGTATGGCCGGTATCGATGGATTTGACTGTATTTTGGGCAGGCGCTATTATGATGGGTTGATGTCCATTTGTTGGACTACTGTCAGATGAAAGTTGGTTATTAGATAGACGTGATGTTGACGGTCGTTTGGTGATCAGTTGAGCAGGAAGAGGACCTCTGATTCCGCCGGGTGTCTGATAATAGAAATTCGACGTCGGCCCAACGTCATGATGCGAATGAGACGTTGTTTGACTTGTCGACGGTCGAGAAAAGTACGGGACATGATCTAACGAAGATGACCGACCGTTAGTCGTGGAAATGGGAACTGGTGAATCTTGACGTAACTTCTTCAATGACTTCGAAACAGCTACATTAACGTTTTGTATCGTTGTTTCAGTTTGAGATCGTGCGTGATTATTTATCTACAGGAAAGAGAAATGTTTAATGAAGAAGAAAACATTTGTTTCAATTATTTACTTGAGAATTCGAAGGCCAACGATGATCACTAAAATGTATATGTACAAGTTTGAAAAAAAAACACTATTTGTTTTCTAAAGATTTTTTTTACGAACAATCGCTGATCGGTTGGCGCATTTGTAGTAAGAAATTCTTTGACAGGCTTAAGTGGACGCTGATGAGATTGTGTTTGAATATGATTAGAGGGCTAATGAAAACACGAAAACAACGCAACTATTGGAGTGGAAAGAATTTTTAAAAAGTCGCGTTTATCTACCGAATGTGTACGCAATTGATTGTCGTCATTGCGCACGCCGAATGAAGTTAATGGCGTACCTTCTATAAAAACACTCTGATATCGTTTTGGTAATGAACCACTTGAAGTTGAATTCGACGATCCTTCAGGTCGACGATTTCCTTTTTCCTTAAATAAATAAAAGCGAATGTTCAATCTTGTCTGATGTAATCGAACTATTTTCATAATCAAACATCAATTAGGTGCAAATCTTTTTTCTTATTTTACCCAACGACACAACCAAGTATGTCATTAGCAGCACACGAAAAATGCCTTAGTACCTTCAGTTTTTGTGGATCAAACACGGTTGGTTTGGTTGGACGTGTTCCAGTAGCCATACGGATTGATTTATGTGACTGAAAGTAGTTCGAGCAGAGAAGGTGTGAACATCATTTGTGTCTATGAGCGGTTTCAAGAATGAGACAAATGCAAGTTGACAGCATGGTTAATGACAAAACAAATGAAAAAAGTTGCTCGAAAATGAATTGAAAAAAAGAGAAGGAATTTGTGCCGTAAAAGAAATCAACAGAAGTCTGGAGAATAGAAATAATAGGTGAGCGAGAGCGAGACAGAGAGAAAGAGAGGGAGAGAAAAGAAAAAAAGAATCTATTTCCTTATCCATCACGACAGCACGATTTCGTTGATCATTTTCGATCTGTTTAAGAAAAAGAAAAGTTTTCGTTTCAATTCGCAAGTCGTCGAGCTCTTTTTGTTTGTATGATTAGAATTATGCAGGAAAAAGAAAGAAAGAAAAAAAGAAATATTCTAATCGATTGTTGCTGACGACATTGAAGTCGAACTTGATAGGTTTCATATTATTATTACTTTTCAAGAAATTAAAAATTTTATGCATCAAATCTGATAATCGAATGAACAGAAGTCAGTTTATTTATTTATTTAGCTGTTTTCTCTCCATCGATTTAAACTAATCATTGAACAAAACGAAGAGAGATGATTTATTCAAAGCATAAATGGCAAATCTTTATTTTCTTCGCCAATGCCACAATACAGCGAACCGAATCGATTCGTTTCAGGAATGTGAAAGAACGCCATGCCAAGCCATTGAAGACTACGGATTTGTATCAAGCCACTGCCACGTTCGTACTGAACACTCCAGCCTAAATTTGACACAAATCAATTGCAGGACTTGTATTGATGAAAAATCTTTACCTTTGGGAATATCTTCATCGATAGTATCAAGAAAATGAACACTTTTATCGAGTGCTGCTCGATGTATGAGACTTTTTTGTTGCAGCTGAATTGGCTCACGGAAATGGAAATAGTTGGTCAATTTACCAGCTTCGGTTACTGTTAAACCTATTCCGATGAATCAGCGATATGTTCAGAAAGAAATTAGTTTTTAGTTTGTGTTTTTTTTTACCTTCGAATGTACGATTTCGCTCGACGTTGCCATTTGGTTGAAGAACATACGATCCACGTGGAATGATCAACGCGTCTTGTTCGATTTTCCATAAAACAGCGGCTAATCGTTCTTCTTCACGTAATTGTGACTAAAATGGAGAACAACTATAGGTGACAAAGAAGATTGTCGAAGATTTCATTACTTTATTCTCGTCGACATTTTCATCTTCAGTATTTTCATTCACAATTGTATATTTTGTCACTTCAAATTCATGCGACGGATCACCAGTGAAACGTCCTTGGCATAACAATGATAATTCTTTTGCTTCATCATCAGCTGCATTTAACATATTCCATTCGATACAATTTTTACTGAAAATCAATCAATTATTTAATTACAGTGAAATTACTCAATGAATAGTTTACCTGTAGAGAAATTGTCGTTCTTTTAGCTCATCTTTTTGACGGCCTTGAACAATGAAATAATCATCAGTTATTCCTAAAATTTTGCCCCATAAATGAATTGTTTTGAATTTATATTGTTCTTTAAGAATAACAAGCGATGTTTGTAATGAAGCGCGCTGTTCAGGACTGAAGACAATACCGCTAAACGCTAGGAGATCAACGTCAAGACCGAAATCTTTTGCTTCGATACCCATTCGATATTTAATCGATGATTTCTGAAAAGAAACGTTTCACAGCTTGTTAATGAAAACTTTGATAGAAACACACATATACAATCTAGTCATTTGGTAAATACGTTGCTTCGAAACCAACCTTTATTGAAAATAGAGCAGACGTTCGAAACGATAGAGGTCGCGTATGTAGATCAAGAAAAGCAGCTGCAATTTGTTCATTCATTAAAAGAGAACATCTTCGTAGTGTATTTTATTGGTGTGTTCAAATTTATCAGTATCGATATGGAATTTCAATAACTTACAACGTTGACTTGTTCCTGTTTGTTATTCTTTGAATGAAAGTGATATTAATGAGCAATGTTTTGTAAACTTCTCGAAGCTTTTATCACTGGAATGATTATCTCATGCAGAATCAATTCAGATTTGTCTTCAAATGATACGGAGGTAAAAGACTGAAATAATATATAATATTTTGTCAAAGAATTTTGCACGGAGCGTACGGATTCTAAAAAGATACGACATCTCTCATCAGAAATCTGATTGAATGTTAATGATGATATTATGAATCATTCTTCTCTCTTTTCTTGAGGTTCTTGAGTATTCTAGATATCATAATTCATGATCGATTGACGTTCACCAAAACATATTTATAAATCTATTTCACTGTTCAGAAACAAAGACAAAAAGTATCTAAAAATGCGCCATGTTATAATTGGTGATTTGGATGACGCAATATATTTTATTCCCCTTATAGTCGTAGTCACTAGTTTCGTAATTACAGATTTTGTTTATGTCATGTTATCCAACAAAGAAGCCATCCTCGTATATATATATATAACCGTTTTTTACATTAAAATAATTTCGAAAATCATTCTATTTCAGACTGACGATGACAGAAAGTTTTGCGCAATCGGACTATCCCGAAAATCTTCATCTAGAAGACACATATTCAAATTCAGCTTCCAATAACAATACTAATCATCATAACAGAAGACAAAAACGTCGTCCAATGCAAACAAGTTCACAAGATGCTCGATACAGTCATCGTTCGTACCAACAACAACAACACCAGCAGCAGTCCTGGTATCCACCGAATGCATATTATGAACAGCAATATTATAGTCCACAATCGGCACGCGCCGGTGGACATTTTAACCACCCTTATCAGCATCATTATCAACCGCAGCCACAATATCGAAGAGGTCAGCAGCGACATGCCGCACCATCAAGACAAGTAAATCAACAAGTGACTAATCGTCCATCTAGTCATCATGCATCAGGACGAACCACAGGTGAAGTTGAAAATCTCCGCTCGACATTAATCGAACAATTATTGGAAAACACTTATGAATGTATGATATGTATTATCAAAATTAAGTATGTTATCCGAATATTACTGTTCCGGTTATTTGTTCATTGAATTTCTATTTATTTTTAGCCGAGACGAAGAAATATGGTCGTGCGATGTTTGTTATAAAATGTTTCATTTGACTTGTATTAGAAAATGGGCTAATTCTGAAGAAAGTGGTACCGATAAAAACTGGCGTTGTCCAGGTTGTCAATATTCTTACTCGAGCCATCCAAATTATAAATGCTTTTGTCATAAACGTACAAATCCCGTTTTTCAACCTGGTGAAATTCCTCATTCATGTGGTGAGCGATGTGCAAAGCGATTGAATACAAAATCAAATGATTGCAACCATCATTGCACCGAGTAAAGATCAAATAAAAATTGAAATTCTATGTTCTCTATTGATTCCTCTACTTTAGACTTTGTCATCCAGGTCCATGTCCAACATGTACAACGATGATTAAACGTTCGTGCTTATGTGGACGCGAATCTCAAACAATTATGTGTAGTTCAAGTTCTCTCATAAAATGTGAAAATAAATGTGGTAAACTCAAATCTTGTCAGCACCATTACTGTGAATTGGTATGATCTATCGTACGATGTTTCTCTTCGAACTAATGTCTATTTTGAATTTTTTTAGGTTTGCCATCCACGTGAATGTGAACCATGCGATCATTTAGTCAAACAAGTTTGTTCATCGCATGGTACCGAACGAGAAGTTTCATGTACGGCTGAAACAGGCGATAGAAACCACTACACATGCGGGGAAATATGCGACAAATCACTTGAATGTGGACAGCATCGATGTACAAAAATGTGCCATGATGGGCCATGTGTAGATTGTTTGTTTCTGCCTGAAAATTGTAAAACATGTGCCTGTGGAAAAACAGCGATGGATAATCAACAACGAACGTCATGTATCGATCCAGTAAGATTGCTTTCAGTAGAGGAGTCACTGCTAGAAATGAAGGGTTCTTTCGTTTTCAGTTACCAACTTGTGACAAGCCATGTGACAAAATTCTTTCTTGTGGTCCGATTGGTGATCGTCATCGATGCTCAGCTCAATGTCATAATGGACCATGTCCGCCATGTAAAAAAGAATCTACTCTTCAGTGTCGTTGTGGACAACTTAGTAAATCAACAACGTGTATCGAAGCAGTACAATACGATCCAATCAAAAATCCATTCTGTTGTGAACGACGATGTAATCGTAAAAAATTATGCGGAAAGCATCGGTCGGTTATGATATTTTTCATTTTAGTATGACATAGAATCTTCTTTTCTCTTTCTACAGATGTAACGAACTATGCTGCGATCGTGATATTCATGTTTGTGAACTTGTCTGCGGTAAAACTCTTAATTGTGGTATTCAGTAAGTGTCTTTTATAAGAACCAATCATTTGTAGTCAATCGTCACTTATTTGTAGCACATGCGAAGAATTATGCCATAAAAATCCGTGTCGTAAATGTCCAATAAATATCTATGATGAATTATCTTGTCGGTGTGGACAAACTGTACTTCAACCACCGATTGAATGCGGCACAAAACCGCCAATATGTAATTATAAATGTAATCGCACACATGCATGTGATCATCCAGTCTACCACAGTTGTCACAACGATAATGAATGTCCGCCATGTACACATCTTGTGTCAAAGATGTGTGTCGGAGAGCACACTCTACGTAACAATGTAAGCTTGCAATTTATGCCTAATTTCCAATCAATATGATGTTTTTCATCGTAGGTTCCTTGCCATTTAAAAGAAGTCTTATGCGGTCTACCATGTGGTAAACCGCTTTCATGCGGTGTTCATACATGTCAGCGTGCTTGCCATTCTGGCCCATGTCAAGCAAACGATCAGAAATGCACCCAGCTTTGTTCCATCAAGCGGCGTGAATGTGGTCATCCTTGCAATCTCCAATGCCATGGACGCGAGCCGTGCCCATCGACAACTTGTCGAGAAAAGGTTGAAGTTCGTTGCCCATGTGGTCGATTAGTGAAAGATGTTGTATGTAACATAAAGTCCAATAAAGCTAGCGAGGACAAAGATGATGCTGCTTTGACCCAATCACTCGTTCAAGCACTATCTGTGCGAACGATAGATTTATCATTGGCAAGAAAACAACAACCCGCACAGCCAGCACCGCTTGAATGCGATGATGATTGTCGCGTTATACAACGAAATAAGAATTTAGCACAAGCATTGTCGATCAATACCGAAGAACCACGACAATCGACCGTTGTTTACACAGACTTCTTACGTGATTATGCGAAGAAAAATTTAGATTTCGTTCAGGGCGTCGAACGACAACTTGGTCAACTTGTTGAAGAAACTCAACGGCATCGTGTTTCAAAGCGATGTTACTCATTCAAACCTATGAAAATCAACGAACGCCATGTTGTTCACGAATTAGCTTCATTCTATGGCTTAGAAACACATTCCATGGATCCGGAGCCGCATCGCAATGTTGTCGCATATGCATCCTATGGTGTATGCAAAATTCCAATCACTCTACTGAGTAATACGATAAAACGAGAGAAATCGAGAATACCACCTCCTGTTACATCAATATAAGCGGATATTACGATAAATACATTCATAGATATACGTAGCTTTTTTAATTTTCATTTTCGTTTGTTTTCTTCTCTCATATTTTGTTGAAATAAAGAAAAAACTTATCTCAGAATATGTGTACATATCATCCTAGTTTTCACAGTAAATAAGAACTCGAAAGTAAGCTACTTTCTAACACATATGGTCTTCTGTTTATCTTTCTTCATATTAGATTATCTTATTTCTGCACTAAATTCAAAGATGTACTGCAGATCATTAATCTTGCTTTCTCAATTGTCTATAAATAAAGCGCATGTGTTCAATCGATGTGTCATTGCATCTTGCACTCATCAACTACTATTTCCCTCTCAACAACAAAATCGTTTTTTAGCTCAAAATACTGCTTCTAAGCCGGCACCTGGTCGTATACGTCGATTTTTTCGTTGGATCACAGGAAGATCGAAACCGATTGAAACGAAGACGATCAATTTTGCAGCATCACCGGCACCGCCGCCGACAACGATGCAACGAGTTAAACGTTTCCTTGCTCTTTCACCGCCAATCGAACGGCTTCTTCTACATTCACGGATTATCGAAAACGAAGACTTAGCACGGCTAATATCGAAAACAGTTGCCGTCACGATCTATGCATTTATTAGTGTTAGTGTATTAGGAACACTTGGTGTCGATACAAAACCATTATTGGCTGGTATTGGTATAACTGGTTTCACCATTGGTTTTGCTTTGAAAGAAGTGGCAACGAATTTTATCTCAGGTATATTTCTCGTCATTAGTAAACCATTTGTACGCGGATGTCGAATTAAAATTCACGGAAGTGGGGGTGGAATCGAAGGTAAGTTAGCATTCATTTCTCGATCGTGATAATAATTTTGAAATGTATAAACAAGGTCTCGTCCACTATATCGACGTGCGATACGTACATCTCAAAACTAAAGATCGTAAGCCATTGTGGTTGAGTTCTGTCGACATTTTGAATCTGCTGTTTTCTATTTCATCAGGTGGCGTAATTATGGTTCCATCGGCAGTTGTGTACACAAACCCATTCACTGTCTTTCCGGCTGATGATGATGCAAATGCTGGTTTCATTGATATGACAAAACCACCATCAAGTGATCCAACAAAACAACCTACAGAACCCGTTCCAGATATTTCAAAGACTTCCCATTCAAAAGAAACCAAATTACAAATGAAACTAACCACTGAACCAGCAGGATCGTTCAAAAAAGCACCATTCAACGAGAAATTATAAACAAAATATTCGATACATCTATTTTTTGCTAAACTAACATATATTTTTTAGAAAGCATTTCATTTCTATTCTTTCGTACATCTTTTAGAAATTAGTAAAGTGTAGAAATAATCTTCTCTTTTTTCATTAAGTATAAATAAAAGTGATTAAAATCTGTGATAATCCTATAAAATTAATCGCAAATTACTCAATTGTGTCGGGAGCAATCATACTGTCATCACGATCAAAGATTGGTCGTCCGGATGATTTTGAACGGTAGTTTTCATTAAACACAGCATGTGCCCACGTTAGCGTTTCATTGCAGACTTGCATGGCCCAATGCGATTTTCGTGGTTGTACGAGCCAGTCAGGATCATTGAGAAGTAGATCAAGCGCTTGTGCAGCTCTATACCAATCGACAAGTAATCGTCCGTTGCAAGGTAACAGGACATTTTGTGAACGAATGTACGATATAATTGAATTCAATGTGGGAAATCGTCGTGTTCCTTTAGTGATGATATCGACGATTGATTCAGTTGAACGTAAAACAATTAATAAAGCAGTTTTTGTGATCGATGTTGCAAGTGTGACTTGTTGAACATCGTCCTTTTTTAATTCCAGCATTCGATTGAATGTTCGTTTTAAATCAGTGAAACTGTCACCCAGTTTGTCCAAGGTAAAATTACCAGTCTTAGCAAAGAGAAGTTCGTTTTGAAAAGATTCGACGTAATCCGCTTGAGCTGCGACGGATGTGATGACACTTGTTTCGCGATTATCCGCTGCTGGAATATTAAATGCGAGTTGTCGTAATTGTTCGTCTTTTTTTATTTCAGTATTATGGCGAAGTTGGTCGGCGAGAGCAAGAGCGTGAGACCAGCGACTACGAGCAAAATGACTAGATTGTCTTTCAGTAGCTGCGGAACGATTGTGATCATTATTGTTAACTGATGGTGTCGAGCTCTCGCTCATTTTCTCAAATAAAAAGAAATTAAAGAATATTACTAAAAACGAAGTACCTAAAATTTAAAATCATAAACAAAAGTAATCAAATTTATCGCGCTGTATTTATGACTCCTATATATTTCATCTCTGCTGGCTAAACTGTCCTCATATATGTTTGTCCTTGAATATGATTCGCGATGTGCAATAATACGCCTATATGTTTTTTTTTCTTCCTTCCACACGAAAACTATTCAATATGTACTACAGAGTAGGGTTGTTTGCCTCATAAGACCATGTGTTAGTGTATGTTATCTTTCTTCCCGTTTGGACTGGAAAATAAGAGAAAAAGAAGCATGACGTCGTTGACTTTTATTGTATTCGTCAAAAACAAAACTGTTCTTTACCATTCGAGATTTTTCTTACTTTTTCAATAGGCCCTATCATGTTTTACAATACAAAGAAACTTTGTTGATTTCATCCTTAATTAAACTCAAGTCTGTCGAATATGACATGCAGCTCTGCCGACACATTTATATAGCCAATTAGCATTTCTAGTCAACATCCGACAAAAGATAATAAGTCATAAATAGCACGAAGACGACTTTGTTTATATACGAAGAAAAGAATTGTAAGAGTGTAGGCTCTCTTCCAGTCTCAACTGTTTATTACCATAAATTTTGCATGGAATAATCAAAACAAGAAGAAAGGAAATTGAGACTGTGATTTACATGTTATAGGCCATGGCTAAACAGTGTGTACTACTCATGTTTTTGTCGATCAAGTTTAGGGGCAAACTAATCTCTACATGTTAGAGTCGTAAAATGAGCAACGAAGGACAATATCATGGTTTATTTGTCTCATGACTCATTTATTATTTGTTACTTTGTTATTGCGAACTTTGTCAGATCCGAGCGTTGGTTAATGTTTTGATGATAAGACGCCAAGATAAATGTAGAATGTCATTTACAAAAACATTGATGAAAGGCTAAATATGTCTTTTAAAATGACTATTGCTACTAATCGATTATAGAAATTGAGTTAGATTCTTCGAATTTCACGGTTCCTTTTGTGATACCCGTGACAATTTTAAGCTATATACGTCAAGAAGAAATTTAGACATGACGCTGGAAAAGAACACGAAATACGACGTCTTTCATCAATTATAAATCCAGACATTTGGATTAATCAACTGATGATTGGTATAGAAAATCAATCATAAGCGCATGATAAACTAGCCTAACACGCAGCTGATGTATAGACTCTCTCCTCAGTACATGCTATTCATCATTCGAAGGTAAAACTTAGATATGTTCAAGATATTTTGGTTGCTAGTCACCAAGACGATATTTAGAACACTATCTTTCAATTCAATTGATTCGATCCGTTTTTCTATTCCAAATTTGGAATATGCAGTGTAAATCAAGTGATTGACGCAAGCTGATGCATATACGTTAGACTGTCTATTTTGAATGGGAATTCAAGCTTGGCAATCTACTATCATTAAAGCAGATTTTACGGTAATGGCACTTCGGGAGACTAAGGATTAGCACGTGATACAATAAATTAGACAATGTGAATATGATATCTTCGATGGAAATTGTCTTTGCATGACGTTTTGTTTTGATTATTTTCATAATTACGTACAATAGAACAAAGAGTAAACGAAAGACACACATGACTGATTTGTATACTTGAGATGCTGATCATCACCATTTTCATCGTCATATTATTATTATTTATTCATATACTTTTTCACCGTTACATCTCTCGAAAAATAGTGCAATGGGTTCGTCTTCGAGTAAAAAGCAGAATAATCAAAGTCAACAAGGAGTTCCTCTCCAGCAGGCTCCTCAACAGCAAGCGCCTGTACAGTCGATGCCTGCTCAGCAGCCAGTTCCGCAGGGACAAGGTTTTGTACCACCTCAACAGCCTATGATGACAAGTGCTCCTCCTCAGCAATCTGGTATGGCACCTGTTTCTCAATCGCGACCAGTAATGACAGCACCTCAGCAACCTGTGATAGTACCTGCTCCTCAACAGCCTCAACAACCTCAACCGGTGATTGTAGCACAGCAACAACCCATGGTAGTACCTTCTCAACAGCCTCAAATGGTTGCTATGCCTCAACAACCTCAACCGGTGATTGTAGCACCTCAACAACCCATGGTAGTACCTCCTCAACAGGCTCAACCGGTGATTGTAGCACCTCAACAGCAGCAACAACCCATGGTAGTACCTTCTCAACAACCTCAGATGGTTACTATGTCTCAACAACAACAGCCTATGATGGCTCCAATATCCCAGCAACAACCAGTGGTTGCTTCAGCACAAGCGCCGCCAGTACAAGGCGGCTACTTTTAATAAATTCTGTGCGTGTGTATAAGAAATGTTATCAAATTTGCTTTTTCATTTTGTATTTTGTTGTTATGTATTGATTGTTTATTTATACAAGCTGTTTTGATTTCTATTTACACTTCTGCTGCTGTATGTAAAAATGAAAAAAAAATAACAATATTGTACACTAAGACAACTTTTCTTAAGAGTGAATAGAGTATCTACTCTGTTGATGCTCTGTAAATTTTGCTTGAGAACTATTCACAACTCATTGTCGTGAAGTTTACAGTAATGCACATATAAACCTATCATGGAAGCGTATTTGATAATGTAATAGATGTAGACATGTTTGCAATTGATTGATTTGATCTGAGCACAGTTATAACGTAGACAAGATTTTTAAAAAGGAGAAAAATAATATAACACCTGTCTGACCAACACCGAGTAGGAAGCAAAAGAATGGTTTAATTTCCACAGATGCAGCATAAAATATTGCTGATAAAAGTGCAGCTACAAGAAGTAATAAACATTCAATAAATCCTAGTTAAAAAAATAAGACTATTCACTTGTAAGGGCAGATGGAACAATCGGTGTTATTATACCAGCTAACATGATTAACAGTGAATACCATCGGCCTATTTTATGACTTCTCAAAGATACAATAGCGATTATCATAGCGACGAAGTGAACAACAATGGAAGTCATGAAGCACCAAAGAAATATTTCTACCCATATGTCTAAAATCAAATAAAATTTGGATGAAAAAGACTTTTCTGTTCAAAAATAGAATACAATACGTACCACCAAACTCAACGAGACGATATTTAGGTGTTAATTTCAGTGAGTCAAGAAAACGTTTAAAGGAAAGTTCATGTACTATTTGCGGCATTGAAGTTTTAGTTTGAGAAATGATAATAAATTACTAAATGCAACATGTAATTATAATTACTATTTTCATTTGTTTTTGTTCGTTTCACTTTGCTTTGCTTATTATTGCTTATTTCATTCTTTCCTCTCATTAGAGCTAACTGCATCCAATCATTGACTGGTAGGTGCTCTTCTGAAGGGTGTCTACTAAGCTACATTCTTTAGCAATGGCAGCAATGTTCATGATTGATTGAGGTGTAAAATTTTATGGGATTGAGTTCAACTGAACGATGCGTTTGAAATTTACATTTCCTACAACCTTTAGACACTATGGTCGTGTGGACTGTATTGGTTGGATGTCACCAGATGATCTATATTCGATAGGAGAAGATCATATTATATATAAATACAATGGGGCACAAAATGAATTGAGTAAAATTGGTGAATTAGGACAACATCTGTATGCACTTGACATGCACTGGTTGCCGAGATGTATAACAAGTCTAGGTAGTAGTGGCATTGTTCATGGGGTCAATTCAGGTTCAGGAGGCAAACAGACCATTGGATCAGATCTTTTTCTTCTAGCTACTAACGATGGTATGGACTCTTTAGACCATTTATTAACGACAACATATGAGTTATTTTTAGGTAAATTCTTTTTTGTGAATAAAACTGGACGCATGGAAAAAGCTGTTGAAGCACATCAAGGTGCAATCATATGTGTACGATGGAGTTCTGATGGCAGCCAAATAGCAACAGGTTAATTTCCGTTCAAAATATGGTTCAGGATGTAAACTCGAATTTTAGGTGGAGAAGATGGACAAGTTCGAATATGGACACGATCGGGTATATTGCGTTCGAATCTAGTCCAATCAGGTATTTACTTTTACACAAGCGATTGATTCTTACATTGTGTAAAAGTTTAGGTACATCAGTATTTTGTCTGCGTTGGTCACCTGATAACAGTTCAATACTCTATTGTGCTGGAAAACATCTCGTGATAAAACCACTTCTATCCAATTCAAAGCAAAATACTGTATGGATATTCAAAAATCTTACAAATCGATCTTTGTATCTATTATTGTTACATTGTTGTAGTGGAAAGCACACGAACAAGTTGTTCTGAAATGTTACTGTAATTCAGTTAATAATCTAATCATTTCTGGCAGTGAAGATTGTCGATATAAAGTATGTATCATCCGAGTTTTATCCGTTTATACCGTACTTTTCATTTTTATGAAGATATGGGATGCGCTCGGTCGCCTATTATATACTAGTCAAGCGTATGAGTACCCTATTACAAGTCTCGCATGGGCACCTGATGGTCGAGATTTTGCTGTGGGTTCTTATAATACCATACGATTATGTGATAGTGCTGGTGTATGTATTTGAAACAGCCCGAATGGAATACATTGGGATTTTCTCGAATTTCTCCATTTTCTAGTGGTGTCATTCGGTTGCTAGATTCAACGATGGTAGTATATTTGGTGTATCATGGTCCAGCGATAGCACACAATTAGCATGTGGATGTGGAACTGGTCGAATTGGAATTGGACATATAATTGAACGGTACTGAGTTGTATGACAATGGTTGAGAATATGGAAAGTAATTACAAACATTTGCATTTTAGTGGGATGAACTGGCGTCATTTCGAATTCGTTCTTACTGATTCGAAAATGATTACTGTTAATAACTATGAAACAGAATTGAGCGATCGGATAGAATTAAGAGATCGTCTTGTCAAAATGTCTGTTGGCTTTGGATTTTTAATCGTTTTGACTACCAATCAAGGTTTAATCTATAAGTAATCAAAAATTCATGAATAATCCATTAAACTACCATATTTACTTCCTTTCAGTTGTAAACAATTCGGTCATCCAGCTCTATTCGATTTGCGCGATATCTTTATGAACTTAATTGTTCAATCAGAGAAGTAAATCAACATTTCTACTAAATATCTTTTTCGCAATTGCGTTCTATGTAGATATTTTCTTCTTTCCGATGGAATGAATGTTTCAGTCTATTCATATGAAGGTCGATTTGTTTCAACTCTGAAGTTAATATCACCTAGACCAAATTCGATCCATCTAAATACTATTTCAATGAGTTATGATATGATCGCTGTACGAGATTCAACCGATACGAAATGTAAGCTAAAATTCATGCAATGATTTCCTTCAATAGTTGATATTTCTCGTCTACTTAGCCGTTATGTTCTTTGATATTAATGGAAAGCCAATGGTAGATGGAAAACTCACTTCGCATAAGGTAAATCAATTCGTTGACTATCATGTATTTATTAGTTTTTCTTCTGTTTAGCATGAGATAAGTCATTTGGCACTTGACCAGACAAGTTCAACTAATGAACGAAAACTTGCATTTCTCGATAAGTTTCAAGATCTTTTCGTGATGTGTATTCATACTTCTGGACAACATCAGCAGTCGAACTACCAAAAACTGCGAAAGCTCTGTAACGTTTTCTCGATAAATTTTTCCACATCTTTATTGTGTTTTGCATTTTGAGGTACAAATGTAAGCAGTTTCCGTTGGAATGAGAAAAATGGTATGCTAGCTTGTATTGCCGATGGAAAACTAACTATTTGGCTCTATCCAAACGTTGTTTTCATCGATCCAAGCTTACTGAATAAAACCGTATATCGAATAGAATCAAAGTAATTGTAAATGATGACAATACATTTGCGGTAAACAGGCTGTTTCTCTTAGTGATTTCGGGAAAAGTCCATCGATTGTGAATTTTCTCGGCTGTCAAATCACGATCCGTAAGTCTACTGGTGCATTAATTCAATGTGCAATACCAATCTACTACGAACTTTGTCTGGATTTACTTGCTGCAAATCGAGGAGATGAAGCTTTACAATTGTGCCAATACATCTCAGTAACAATTAGTGGCTTTATTTGAAAAAGATAGAGATGTGTTCGTTTAGGATGATTCTATCTACGCTTTGATTGCAGTGAGTTCATTGTACAATCGTGATTTGGATTCAGCAGAGAATGCTTTCGCTCAATTATCGAATGTAAAATCGAATTCGGCATTGAAAATACCATTTGAACTTCATTTAGACCGAAATGATTTTATTTCTACAGCATCTTCGTTCGGTTACATCGAAAGACGAATATGAAGCTGAACTAGTATTACTTACTGGAGTGAATGTACAACAGGCAGAGGAGTATTATTTTCGGGGAAACAAGCCTCTACACGCTATCATGTTGCATATCAATGAACATAATTGGAATCGGTTTGTGATTGAAAGTTAATCCGAAAATTTTTTCGTTATAGAAAATGATTTTAGTGCCATTGATTTGACTCAACGATATCCTCAATACTTGGACGTAGTTGTTGGTTATCGACAAAGATATTTGAACGAATATGGAAACGGAAGAAAAGAAACTATTTCCAAGTATCTGCAAGCAATGAGAACAGTGCGTTTAGTTGTGTGTTGCTTTGCATTATTTGATCACTTTCTCTTTGATGATAGGTTGACATTGATTGGAATCGAATTAATGCAAAACTATGCAAAGATTTGAACGAAGACAATGCACTGAGAATTATTAATTAAACATCGTCTCTGTTGTTCTATTTATCTAAACGCAAAATCTACACATCTCTCCTTTCTTTGTGCAATTGAACCTCTAATCTCAATATATTCTCACATCGACATTATTTTCAGATTATTTCTCAATAATGAGTGCTGCTCGTCGTCGTATCAAAACGAAAACTTCGTCAGCAACTTCTCTGAAGTTTGTTTAGCTTTACCGTCGTGTTGATAATCATTTTTATCATTTCAGAGATCGTTCAACTGAAAGCGAGCCATTTATTCCTGTACCTTCTCGACAAGGATTCTTGAATGATCGAACAGATTTCACTTTAGATCCATCGTTAGTGTTTGATCAATTACCTCAACCATTTCGGTACGTTCTGCTGAAGAAAAGATGCGAAAATTGATTTGTGAATGTCTTTAGACGAATTAACAAAGTACTCGAATCGATATTCGATGAAGCTTGGACTATCATCGAACAACGCGAAAAGCATCGCGCCTCTGAACAAGCCAAATTTGTCTCTGCACAACATACATCCTCTACAATAATAAACGTGCGAATCTATTCAAATTCATTTCGGATTACACAAGTCCGTTTTCTTTGTTTTAGATTCCATTTCCTGTATCATTGATTGGCAGTCACATATCTGGAACGTTGTGTTTTTTTAATGGAATCCAAAACGAACAATCATACATTGTTTGTTATGACAATCAAGTCGATGAAATCGTCAATCAAGTCCCAATTGACAGTCTATTAAAACAAATGATTGTGTTTAAAACAGAAGCATCGATTAAAAACACGATCTATTTCTTAAGTGCTATCGATAAATCTGGTAAAGTCAAATGAGTGGAAAAGTTTCGAGTTGTTTTTCTATGTATTTGCTTGAAGGATATTGGAAAATGATGGCTTATAAGAATCAAAAATTCTATCAATTATTTACTCAATATGAAACAGAAGTATGAAGAGAACATTTGAGTAATTATTCGAAGTTAGTCGGATGTTTTGTAGGATGATAGTAAACGTCCATTGTGTTTGCTCACTCAAAGTGGATTGAAAGATGAGTACTTAATTGTTTCTTGGTTTGGTATGTTGAAATGACTGGTTCGGGAGAGATTGTTAGGAATAATCTCGATTTAACTTAGGTGTCAATCATGATTCTTGGATTGAAGTGTACAAATTACCGAAAGAGCAATGGAAAACAGAAATTGCAAATCAAGAACAAGTATTCAGATCGTGTTTTTGAAATCGTTTTTATCAATTGTGATTATTATAGGCAATCGCTGCGAGTAAGAATCAATCCGAGGAGAACACAACAGATCCACCAGTAGACAGCGAAATGACATTAGTACGTGCTCAATTCTCTCGTCCAACAGTTCTGTTCAAAGCTAAAGCTCCTAAATTTAGTCCAGGTATGGGAAGAAACACGATATATTGAACCTTCTAACCGTATGTTTAGGTTCGAATAATTTTCAACAGCTGATGAAAAGCACCGAAAACTCAACAAATGTTGGACAAGGAACAACAAATCATTTTTTTACTCCGCAAATTATTGACTTCAAAACGGTATTGATCAGAGATCTCATGTTACAATCAAAGAAAATAGATGTGGCTGATCGACCAATAACAGTACCTAAATCGGAACAACTTCCACCAATGTAAAAATCCTCCTCTATGAAAACAATCTACCGGATTCTCTTGTAGGATCCCAACTATGCTTTTCATTCCGGCTGGAACACCGACAGGTATATGAAATATTCATTTGGCTAACTAATGTGCTTTTTCAAACATTTTAGGGATGAATACATTGGCAATTAGTTGGCCAACGATAAATCAACTATTAATCTATAAAGTTGCCAAACCTGACAGTAAAGGGAAAGGTAAATGAAACTCTTCGAAGTTCTTTGCTTCAATTTATTTCGACGTATCTTCGTTTCAGAATCAACAGATGCTCGTCCAATGGCAATATGGCCATTTTCCACTCAGATCACCAGTTTATCTTATGACACCAAGCACGAACATCTCGCTGTCGGCCTTCGGTCAGGAAATGTCTGTATTATTGAACGAACCAATGGTAATTTGAGAATTGAGATTAAACAATGAAAAGTGTGACTTGTTTGAGTTACTTTAGGTGTCAATGATCTCCCCACTGTTCAACATATTAGTTCGGTTCCAGCTCTTGATATTCATGCACTTGACTCTCATGAATGTTCATTGAATACGACAAGTAATCAAAAGAAACACAATGGATTCTTTGTTTTATCGGACGATGGTAGAATTTATCGAGTGAAATTCAAGCCCATATTATCCGATGAAAATATGGACGAACAACAACATCCCATTGTTTGTTTTCCACCGTATGTTCACACTATTCACCATTAAATCAAATGATTTTCACAAATTTCAATAGAGAGCAAAGTAAAGATGCATCAAAGATCATTCAGATGATGTTTTTCAATTGTAATCCATCGAATATGGTAAGGAAAACATCTTGACAAAGAAGAAAACAACCTAAAAGTTCATTTCAATTATCAGTTTGTGACTATCAATGAATTAAATCGTATCTATATAAATGACGCATTAAAATGTATCCAACTATGTGAAATCATTTTGCCTGACTCGACTAAAAATGAAAACGAACCATTTCAAATTGCATTTGTAGACGATGCAAGGTTCATTATTATCGGAGGTACATATCAAATTCTCGAAATTCTTTTTTGTTTATCAATCTTGATTGATTTCAGTTCCTGAGAACACAAATCAATCATCAGAAGAAGAAAATACACCATCATCTTTACGTCTTTATCGTGTACCATTAGAACACTTTCCTTCATTGGAAAGTTATTATCCTGAACGTAAACCTCCGATTGTTGATGAAGTTGAACCAGTCGCTGAAACAAAGCCATCCAAAGCAGCTGCTTCTCATTCAAAAAAAGCACCTCCGGTTGTTGAGATTGATAAAACTGCTTTATTATTTGATGAAAAAATCAAAGAAATCTTTCTTCAAAGGTACGTCAATCGATTTGATCTCAACTATTATTCAGCTTTTTCTTTAGACAAGCGAATTCTCTCGACCGACGTGAACGTCTACGAACTCGTTGGAGTGAAATCAAACTTCACTGCAATCCAGTTTATGAACAATCAACATAAAATGAGATATGTTTATTGTTATTGACAATAAAATATAAAAGAGAGAGAGAGAAAGAGAAAGAGAAAGCGATGATAATGAACATGATGACAGAGTAAATAAATCTATATTTTGACGTTTGCATGCAATTTAATCGGCACTGTTAGACATGTGTTTAAATCAGGATTATTTTCAGCCAATGAATTTTTCTTATAGAATTCTACTAAATCCTTCAATGAGTAAAATGATCGATCACAATAAGCACTAAAGTTTCCATTCATTGTAGTTGCCTGCGCATTTTTAGGTACATTGGAGGCAATAAATCGAAAGGCGTAGGAGTTCGCTGGATCACGACCAATGCGACAATCATAAATTGTATTATTATGAACTAATGTCAATGCATATAAGCCATTAGATGATGTACGAATAAGGAATGTTCCTTCGCCGCATGGTTTTAATAACTTATGAGCCGTTTCGCGTGTAATATTTGCTAAATACCATGGCTCATCAGTTGGCAGACCGAGAAAGCTAGTTTCGGAAAAGCAGATTAGATGAAAGCTGATGAAAAAGAAATGCGGCTTTACTTGTTAATTTCATGTTGCTCGACATTTTTATCGCCAACTAGTTTAACACACATGGCGATCTTGTTTTCGCAGGTGACCATTTCGACTTTGATTTTTTCGAGTGTTTTAACTAGTTGTTCGCGTTTTAGTTGCCGTTCAGTGTAAGTTTCGTTTAATCCTTTGAGATTATTGACAAATTGTTCGACACGTTGTTCAAGATACTTGAATGAACGATCAAATTCACTTTTTTCTGTTGCTTTTTGACACTGTAGGAAATTGTCACGATTCAGTTTCATTTGTTTTTCGTAAATCATTTGAATTCTAAAAGTCAAATCAATTACATCCACGTCATTTTCCTCAATTCAATACGATCTACCTTCCGTATGCCATAGTTGATCGTTGTATTTCACTCATGTACGCTGTAATTTGATCAATTTCAACTTTCAATGACGAACACTCCTGCTCCATTTCTGTATATTTGTTGGTTAATTCTAATAGTGTAATACGCAAAAGATTAATATCGTGTTTGATGTTCGAGAGGCCAGCAGCATAACTATCGGTGTCATCATAGCCGGTATTGGATAGAAATATATCACGACGGATGGGTTTATTCAATTTCATATCGGATTTTAAGATAGGAAAGTGTTTTGATAACGAATTCTGTGTGTAATACTGAATTAGTTCTTGTATTGATGAGAAAAAACATGAGTTTAACGAAAACCCGTATTGACCTTGTTTATTCATACAGATTTTAATAAATCGTTGTTGACCATCGAGTTGGACAACGAGCGTGAAAGGTGCCGATACACTTGCTTCGGTGGAAAATCGCACATAAAAATCACCATCGTTAATTGCAATCGAATTCGTCGAAAGTTTGTTGACTAATAACTGATGATCTTGTCGTTTGTAAAACCATGGACATTGATCAAGTGATTGTTCTTGAGAAATAACTGTGGCAAGCGGTGGCGTTTGTTGAAAAGCATTGAACGGTGGTCGTTCCACATCCCAATCGATTTCATAGATAAAACGTTTCAGTAAATGTACATGATCTTTGTCGTTACGCGAATGGGACATGATCATTGGCCATGGTGGTCTAAATAACAGCAAAATGAGAAGTTTATGATGAAGTATAATGAATTACCGAAAGATGAGTTGTTTGAATATTGCAACGAGTTTGTCGACCACTCGTTCGGGTTCATAGGGTTTAACAGCATGATGTTGATTGATATTTTTCATAGTAAATTCATGATCGAGCTTCCAGATTTTAATTATATGACACATGATAAATTTGAGAAAATCAACATAGAAAGGCATGGAATAATTAACAACGAATTCTTGAATGACTTGAGTTGGAGCATTGACTAATCGAAGGAAATCTTCATAGTTTTCATCAGGTATAATACCTGAATCGTACAAATGTTTAGTAAATTGAAACAAAACTTTACTATTTACCTATTCCTGGCTCTTTCAAGCTAACTTTAACTAAACTTGCTAATTCAGATAGTTCCATTCTTTTGAAATCCATTTGTTCGATATCCTAAAAAAGAAATGTTAAATAAACAAAACGATAAGAATAAGAAAAGAATATTCTAATACATTATCATTAATTAATTTTCTTAATTGAGCAATACGTGCAGATTCAATGGAGAATCGATAGGCATCAATTAATGATAATGCCGGATTTTCTTGCACCATAATTTCTAAAGATTGACATAACCGTGTGATAATAATAGGCAATTGCGTTTTTGTATCAATCGGTTGATCGTTGAAATCGGTACCAATGATTATATGACATTCCAATTGTTTATTCGTATGTACACAACGTTTCGAAGGTAATTTCGAACATTGCCGATGCATAACAAGACCACAGCGACTGCATTGTAAACCTTGATGAATAATTCCGTATAGATATTTTTCACATAAATCACATGTTCTTCGTTCGTAGAATGTCGTACAAATGAAATTATCTCCGTGATTATTTGTTGTCAACTGCGTACGAAAACGTTCGAACGAGATCGGACGATACTTATCACGCGTTTTCAATTCTTTAATTGCATCTAATATTGCTTGACGCTGAAACACATCATGAATATGATCGTGTTTCAACTGTTCATCCGTTAACGATAATAAAATTTCACCATCATACTTCAACGATTGGAAATTCGGCGCATAACGATAGAGATTTACAACAGCTAACCATTCACACACGTCATTAACCGTCCAGTCACAGACAGGTATACTGGAATCATGTGTGACTAACGCTCGATTATTCGGATGACATGCACTCAAACCGGGACATGATCCTGTTGTTAAAACTAATGTACATTCCACATGAAAATAGTCTCCACAGTTCGTACATTGATAACCAATATTTCCCGAGCCCCAAATATAATCTTCACAGTACGGACACCAAGCTGGAGTTTTGAAATATCGTAAACGATACTTATGATCACTTACGATTGTCTCACGATGAGGAGATGTAATACTGACATAATTCGCCATGCGATTTTAATGTGAATAGAACGTGAGGAAAAAACATATATCTATCTGTAACATGACATACAGAACAAAACCTTATTCGAAATGTTTGGTTCATTAATATGCCAATAGCCGATTGTTTTTACATCTAGATGTCAGGTTTGATTAATTGAACCAATGAAAAAGCTGTTTTCTATTTATTTGTTCCGTTCTTTTTTTTTCTTCTTTTTTAGTTAGCTGTTTGATTGATGAAGAATTTTTTCATGACAAACGAGATTATTACTTTTTTGTGTTCTACAGTTGAGATTAGAATGTTTCCACAAGATCATTATCAAATTTCATCATGTTGATCGTCGTCTGATTTTCTATTCACAGTTGTCACTAGACATGACTTATTAAATATACACCGGCAAGCATCGGCATTAACTCAATGCCTAGTTTTTCATAGATCAGTATGTATGAAAGTCAGCTTTTTTTTATGACTTTACGTGTTATACTACAAGAACGCAAATGTCAATTAGAGTTGCTCGAGTATTCCATGGGTCTTTTTCTCTTTTTTGTGTATTTATATGTTGGCATTATATATATATATATATATACTTCGGCTTTCGATAGTTAGTCCTGGAGTTCTTTTACTCTTCTGTGTTGTTGACATATATCCAGACATATACTCGTTTTTTGTGTTTTCGTTAGAATGCTTGTCTTTCTCTTTGCCATCTTTAGAAATATGTAAGTAAACACCAAATGTCCTTTAAAACAAGGGAAAAAAGGAGTAAGCGAGAGGAAAACTGGTCCTCTGGGGTGTGTGAGAAGTGACGCGAGAATGTCAATGGAAAAAAATGGAGGAAAAGCCAGGCAAAGAAAGCAAAACAGACTTCTTGATTAGTATACATTTACAAAATGATGGATTCGTTCAGTCGAGATATTTATCTTACGTTCGGTGAATCTATAAGGAAAAATACATTGACGATTTTCTTTCTTTTACATGCCTTTGTCATAATATGTGTCCGATGACGTTCCAAATTACTATTGATGAAAAACAAATACTATCGGCTTGTTTCAAGATAAGATTGTTACTGGCATTGTTAACTTACAAAAAAAGGAAGAAATCCGTTCTCTTCGTTCTTTGCTTATCTTTCTTCGCTACTTGCTTTTTTTCTTCTACTTCTTTTTAGTTCTTCGAGATAATTATGTTTGAGACACATCAAAACTGTCTGCTATTACTAATCAGGTGCGTATATGTGGAAGAAATGGTATTAAGACAAGTAGTCGTTTTGACGCGATGATTAGCTTCTAAGAAATTTCTTCTCGTGTAACTTCTTCTTTTGTATACATCAAGGTCAATGGCTTTCATCCAGATAAGTATATGTATAGATTGTTGCTTGAGCTTTTCCATTGAGTGTTATTCATCACATACCGCAGAAGGAAGGAAATAAAGGGAAAAGGTGTTTCTTTTGCATTTCGATTCATATTCATTTTCTCTCTCTCTTTTTCTTGGGTATGAATGTTTGTGACCAATTCATTTCCTTAATCGTTTTCATCTCATCATTCTCCTTTCTATCGAAGAGGATTTGCATCTAATCGATTAGCGATTCTTGTTGTTCTTCCTGTACTTTCCCTTGCCCCCAGTTCATCATGAAGAGTGTGCGTGTGTCTTGATACGTCAAGACTATATAATCAAAGATGTTGCCTTCGTTAACTTTCTCTGACAATAATTCATTTCATCAACAAATACATTGATAAGATGATCATGCGCTTTTGTTGACAGTTGCTTGATGATCATTCGCCATGATAAAAACAAATTATGTGAACACATGACGAGGAGAAATTGACTCTCCACGCGTATATGCCATCAACAGGACGAAGGTAACTCGCTTGCAAAATGTTGCTAACCATAGCACTCTTGATGTTAGATAGTAGTAACTAATTTGCTACTTTGCCTTCCTTTCTCTTCGGTTTTTTCTCTCTCTATGGTAAACTATCGTTCGCAGACGAGAAGAAAAAAGAAAAAAAAACTTAGTTTATGTGTTTGAATGCTCGCACACGCGTACATCAAACGCATGCTGTTTCTTTTCTATGCTTATGTAAGATGTTGTACCAATCCCATGAAATGGCTAGAGGAAAATTACAGATGAAAGGGATGAAATGAGCGTTCATGACCGAATTTGAAAAAAAGAAATAAACAAAAACATAGTGTCGCATTTCTTTTCACTGAATAAATGTTCTTGAGCCTCTCTCTCTCTCTCTATGGTAAGTCAATTATTAGATGGAACTATTGAACTAGTATATCGTTTAGCCATTAAGTAAAGAAAAGATATGGATCATTATTTATTTATATGCATATGAACTTCTTTCACTCATATGACTATGATTGGCTGTCCTATCATCGTTTCGCGTCATCTAATTTAACTATTTTTTAAAGAGACAATAGAAAGAACCAACGCACGCTTGCACTCGTGCGTTCGTGAAGAAACAATAACAACTAAACCGAGTATCGTCGATGAGAACTGTGAGTTGACAAAAGAGACGGATTTCAAGTAGTCGTACCAACAAGAGTTTAGAGTTAGGCGCCAAGTCACTTCGAGGACGACCACTCACGTCATCGATAGTGGTTTTCGAAGAGGGTGTGCGCGTGTAATTGTTTACTTTGGTTTCTGTTAGGACCGAACTAGACGATGATTTGATTTGATTGAATAAGAGCTTTTATGTCGAGACATAGATAACTCTTTTTTAAAACTTTTTATTAATTTTTCTTTTTTGTTATCTTTTCTAGAATAAAACAAAATCAGTTTTGTCTATAGATATAGATACATATATACAAGAATACAGAAATAAATGTCATTAATAAGATGTAATTAAACATTGATGATTAGGTTAATTCTATCCATCGTCTTATTGATGAGACTACTTAATGTAGAATAATGAAGACAACAAATTATGTTGCATGATTCTACGGATGATGATGATGATGAAGCCGTCGGTGATTTCGAAAGAGGTGCAGTTGGCCATCAGCCGGTAAGTTTCATACTCAACCTCGAATTAAACGATATGTTTTGTTTGTATAAGGTGTCACCAAATCGTTCGGGTCCTTTATCAGCTCGACCAGTAACACCATATCAGACGACCTCATATCCCACAACAACAACAAGTTCACCATTACTACCACCTAAATCAGCCAATGTCGATCATTTACCGCCAACAGGAAAAGCATCACCAATCCATCATCCAAATGTACCAAGTCATGTACATCCATCACCAATGCCAATACATCGAATATTACCTAGTTTACCAACGACCTCATTTATTGAATCACCAGCATTATGTGTACGTTCATCAACACAGGCCACTTTTCAACAGGACGCCACTCAACCATCGACAGTTCTCAAAGCTGAAACACATAGTTTGAGGAGTGCGGATTCCACTGGATCTTCAGAAGAACCAACACATCCATCATTACAACCACAGCTACCAAATGTCGTACGAAGTCCAGATCATGCATTGATCAATTCGAAACACCGTTCAGTACATGGCCATCCATCAGTATCAAGTACTGGTAATTTCACTCGATCTGCAGTAACTACATTTTGATTTTGTTTTCAGGTACAACACTGTCGAGTACTACTGGTGTGCCCATTGATCGTGTGCCATCCCCGTCGCCTTCGTTATTGAGTGAACGTGAACGTGAAGAAAGTGACCGTGTCGAACGTGAATTAGAATTCAAACGAAAACGTTTACAAATCTACGTCTTCATTTGTCGTTGCATTGCGTGTCCATTTAATTCAAAACAGTCGTCAGATATGGCACGAAAGCATTTGAAAGTGACTCTCATTCAATATGGAGTTATCAAAGAAAGATTCTTATCTTTTCTCAATGGAAAAACCCATATTGAAGCTGATGAAGGTACGATTACCGAGACTCTTTGTCGTTGAATGAATAATGTTGTTCATTTTAGCTTTTATCAATGCTGTTCGTTCATATTACGAAGTCTTTTTGAAAAGTGAACGTGTGGCCAAGATGGTCCAATCCGGTGGTTGTTCTTCAGATGATTTTCGTGATGTATTTCGTATCAATATCGAGAAACGTGTGCGAAACTTACCTGATATTGACTCATTAAAAATAAGCAAAGACACGGTGCTTACTCTATGGATGTCAAAATTTGATGCTATCTACCGTGGCCAAGATCAAGATCAAGATAATCCGAATCGTCGTCTATCAAAATCGAATTACATGTCAACGACAGCGGAATTAATTATGAGCAAAGAACAATTATACGATATGTTTCAGAATATTTTGAATATTAAAAAATTTGAGCATCAGTAAGTAAAAGAAAAAGGGCTTCAATTATCCTTCTATTGCTGAAAATGCTTTTATTCTCTTTGTTTAGAATGATTTTCAATAGCGCTCAAGTAAGGATAGAGAAAATACCGTTCGATTTTCTAAATATTCTATATCTAGCTTGACAACAACGACGAACAAGCTGCTACTATTCGTCGTGAACTCGACGGACGAATGAAACAAGCTGAGTCACTGCAGCGAGTAAGTAAACTAGATAAATATATTCGAATGATGAACTATTTAGTAAAAATAATAAATGAAAAGTTCAAGTTAATTCTACTTATTCCAGGATATATTAAATGATCTTTGTCAAAAGATGAAAAAGGTCTCTTCTTTGATAGTAGTACTCCATTGCTTGCATGAGATACGAATTAGACGGAATCTTGCAGCATGATTCAGTTTGAAAATGAATGAACTATCGTTTTTGCTCATCGAGTTCTGTTTATTTCGTTTTAGCAACGAGGTTTGATGCCAAAATTTGTACATAAAGAAATGGACACATTGTATGTTGATGAACTAAAAAAGACGATCAATGATCTTATGGGTAATTTGGAAAGTTTACCCGTACGCGGTGGCTCCGAACAAAAGCAATTACGACCGCGACGTGGCCCAGGCCATGGCCGCCTTACAAGTGCTGGCAGCAATCCATTGTCAGGTGGCAAATCTGCGACAAGACCAGCTAATGATGATGGCACCAATCATTTAGACGACAATGAACCGGGACTATCCAAATTAGCATTTGTATTAAATTTTAATGTGAATATCACAGTGAAGGAAGTGCGTGGATTGAAATCTGTGCCATCAAATCGTATTGTTTATTGTACGATGGAAGTGGATGGTGGTGAAAAATATCGAACTGAACATGCCGAAGCAGGAAAACCTGTTTGGGAGTCTTTAGCTGAATTTCCTACGAATTTAATCCTACCCATTGTTAAAGTGAAACTTTATATGGAAAATCCAGGGATACTTAGTTTAGACGATAATAAACTTGGCAAAGTGACACTACAAATCGATCCAACATTTAACAAAACCAATTGGTGGACGGATATGCTTAAAAATAAAAGTACATCTACAGATGAATTAAAAGTTAAATTAGATGTACGAATGGAAAAACCACAGAATCTTAAAATGTGTGGGTATGTATCAAACATAGAAGAGAAAAGGAACAGAACACATATGACTATGAATTTTCAGTTGGTGCTATGCTCGTGGAAAAAATGTTTGGAAGACATGGAAGCGGCGATACTATGCACTAGTTCAGGTAATTGCAATATCGATCAGTGAAATTCGACAATCTATCTTTGAAATATTTAGGTTTCGCAATATTGGTTTGCTATATGTAGTTATCGTGAAAAGAAATCTGAACCTACCGAAACCATGCCCCTCGAAGGTTACACAGTTGATTATGCTGAACCAGACAACGGTAGATTAAGTCTTCGGTTTAGATCATTGCATTGTATCGTTGTGCTTATGCTTGTATAGGTTTGGTGATGCACGATGCGAAATATTTTTTTAAAGCTGTACGTGAAGGTGACGTTGTGACATTTGCAACAAATGAAGAGAATGAACGTCATAGTTGGGTACAAGCACTATATCGTGCTACTGGTCAATCACATAAACCGACACCACCGGTAACGGCGACAAACAAAGCAAGTCAAGGTGCTGTTGGATCTACTGCAAAAGATCCAGTTGGTATGTAGTTCAGAAGAGAGAACATCGAAATGTTGATAAATTTTCTTGGAAAGATCGAATAAAGAGAAGTGAAATCTTTTCTATAGGACAGTTACCTGTTTCACGTACTCAGTCGTACGACCTCGTTGAGCGAGCCAATTATTTTCGAAGTTTATTCAAGATAATTCCAGCAAAGCAATGTGAAGTTTGAGTTTCATGAAGTTTTGAGCATGGCATGTACATCATATTCGAATGATGAATTTATTTTGCATGAGAACATTTTCTTTCTTCATGAATGATATCTATTCAATACATCGCCTGCGAACTTATGCTAATATTCTTCTCGGTTGGTTCTTTTAGACGCAGATCGATCGAAAAAGCTGGGCTTTGACGAATACATTCAAAGTGATCCATGTAAATTTGACCATCACGATTTTTTCAAAGCATTACAATCAGCAACATTGGATTACCGGTTGAACGATCCATATTGCTCATTAGTACGTACGAAAACAATCGAGTCTTACAGCGATAAGCAAGAATACATGACACGAGAGGTTTCGCTGTTTTTCTTTTATCTCTAGGGTTGGCTAAGTCCTGGACAAAGTTACATCCTAGAAGGTAATTGCCCGAGTTGCTCGTATGAATTCTAATCAATTCTTTGTTCAGAATATTGTTCTCGATATGGTGTTCGTGGTTGTGTGCGGCATTTATATTATTTAAATGATTTACTTGATCGAGCTGAACAAGGATTTATGGTTGATCCACAATTGATTCATTATAGTTATGTATTTTGTGCTTCACATGTCTCAGGAAATCGACCTGATAATAATGTAACGACGATTACAATGGAGGAGAAAGATCGTTTCAATGAAATAAAAGATCGTCTGAAAGCGTTTCTCGAACATCAAGTAACCAATTTTCGGTGAGTTCGTTCGTCTGAATGTGAGACAATGACGGATGTCCTTTTGTTATTAAGATATTCATTTCCATTCGGTCGGCCAGAAGGTGCATTGAAAGCGACATTGAGTTTACTGGAACGTGTTTCATCAAAAGATGTAGCAACACCGATTTCTCGTGACGAGATACGAAATTTCATTGGAAAATGTTTGGAAAATGCTGCTTATATCAACTATACTCGTGTCTCCGACCAAGCAAAGATTGAAGGTAAACTGTTAGAAAATAAATACCTCCTATTTTGCTATTTACTCTATCAATTTCTGGGGCGAGAATATATGTATTAACTGGGTTGATTTATTCTTTATCAAAGGCGAGCGAGAGATACTGAAACAATTGATTAACGGTAAACTTTCGCTGGTCACTCAATCTCGATTTGAGTTGATACTACAACAAATTGTTTTCTTCACTTGTATATTCTTTTGATTTATGTTCGTATATATTTATTTAGAAACGGTTTACAATAGTGATGATTCGCCGCGAAAGAAAATCGACGATTTAATTCATCTAGCTGAACTGTGCATTGAATTGTTACAACAAGATGCTGAACATTATCAAGAAGCATTTCAACAATATCGTGAATTGTTAGTCGAACATGAAGAAATCTTCTGGTCGTTATTCGCTGTTGACATGGAACATGTCATCGATCAACAGCCAATTGAAAGTTGGGATTCATTTCCATTGTTTCAATTGTTAAATGATTATCTTCGAGGACATAGTAAAGATTGTTGAGATGTGTGTGTTTCGAAAAGTTTGGTGATCTTTGTTCTTGTAGAATCTCTAGCATTAGGTCGATTTCATCAGCAATTACGTGATACATTTGCTCCATTGGTTGTTCGTTATGTTGATTTAATGGAATCGTGTATAGCTCAATCGATACATAAAGGTTTCGAAAAGGAAAACTGGAAAATGAAAACGTGAGTTGTTCTGTGATAGTAGTGAGGATCACATTGATTTTCGATGTTTTAGGCATGGATGTGCAACAAGTGAAGATATTTTATGGAAACTTGATGCTTTACAAGATTTCATTCGTCATCTACATTGGGTAGGAATTGATCTTTTGATACATCAACGAATAAATATTTATATTCATTTTCTAGCCGGATGAAATCTTTGGCGAACATTTAGAAAAACGATTAAAACAAATGGCTTCAGACATGATCGAAGCATGCGGGAAAAGGTGTGATCGAGTTGAAAAGATCTTTCTTCATATATTCTATTTCCGTGTAGAGTATGGCGTCATTTCGAAGCATGGATGAAAAAGGGCGGGTTAATTAGTGGAACGAGTTCCGATTATCTTCTCCCAGCTGAATGTTGTGTTATGGTGAATGTTATCCTTGATTGTAAAGCTCAAGTAAAGATTCTCGATTCTCCGATAAATTCTCATCGAAATGACATTGGCTTTTTTTTCTTGTTTCTAGGCTTTAAAACTATGTGCATTGAATAGTGGCGATCTTCATCAATATCACACACGTATTGATGAATATTTAGAGAAAATTCTTAAAGATATGTCGAAAGCATTAATACAAAAATTAATCAGTGCTCTTGATTCTGTTTTCAAAAAACTTGCGCGTTATGATGAAGGAACATTCTTTGCTCAAATACTTTCATTAGCAGTAAGAAATCTTCATGAGATGATATCATTCACCTTGTTCTTATTAGAAACCAATCAATGAAGATGGTCAAGCATATGTTTCATGTGTGAATACGAATCTCGAACAACTACGGCAGAAAATAAGTGATGAAATATTCACATTGAATATTTTCGAAGTCTGTCTCTCAGATGTTCCCTTTCAAAACAAAATTCCATTTGTTTATTTCATTAGGAATGGTATCGACAACAAACACAGTACATTTTCATTTGGTTGGGCGAACGAACAGAAATCAGTCTTCATCCATATCAACTAGCTTGTTTAATGTTGATAGCTAAAGTAAGACGATCTTCCAAGTTTAACATTCGTTGATTCATTTCAATTTAACAGAAAACTCGCGGAAGTTTTGAATTGCAAGGTGTGCCAGAAAAAGATTTGAATTCTCAATTATACAGTAGTATCATGCAAAGATTACACGTAAGCGAGATCTGAATCTCATTGTTTGCTTGTCTATGTTGTCTTGTTTGCATGTCCTTTGTGGTATGTTGAAAAAATCCCATCGAAATATCGCATCTTCTTTTTCATTTTCGTCTGTTTTAGTTCGAAGAAACAGCCAATGCTGTTAAGTAAAACTACATCCACATGAATTCTACCGAATGCAGGATATCTCACTAAAATTTTGTTTTTGTTTTCGAGTAACCGATTGATCCTCATTTGACTTTGTTTTGTTTTTGTACACTTTGAACTTCCAAGTATTTGAATAACAAGAACTCAACAGTACGATGAATTTGTTTTTTGTTTTGATGGTGGCCGGTGGATCTTCTATTTTCTGTTTCTTTGTTGCAATGTATTCTTGTTTGAAATCTAAAACTTTCTCAAACGACAATATTGGAACCTCTTGTGCAATTCTACTGTACGTCTTTATATCACTTTTTTTTGCAAAATGATGTTCTCTTGGTTGTTTCTTTTTTGTATAGCTTGTCTTACACAAATGAAATTGTGTTTTTTTCTTTCTTTCTCTGCGTGTTTCCCTTCTTCTTGAATAACGCTGTTATCGCTATTATTCTTCAATTCCATGAGTTTCTTTTTTGTATTTGTTTGTGTGCTCTTCTGGTTTTGTTTTTCAAGAAAAATGAAGACGAAAGGAACAATAGTTTCTATGCAATATAGAAAACAAATACGGATATCTTTTTCGTTTTCAGATTGAATCAAATGAGTGGTCAAACAATCATTGAATATCGGACAACGTGGAATAATGAATTGTTCTTCAAACATCGAGGTACTTGTCGATTGGCACGACGTTTGATTCGTAAAAGTGTTTTGATTAGTAAGTGTTTGTATAAATCGAAAAGCATTCGTTCAGTTTCATCTTCTTCAGATCAAACACGAATATATCGACAATTGCAATACACGGAAAATGATTTAGCAAAAGAGTTACGAAAGGTACTGCGTGATCGCGATTTATTGCATGGATATTGTCAATCAACTTCGTTATCGGATGGTTTGCAAAAAGTAAGTGGACATGCAACAGTTGACTCTGTTCATTCGGTTGAATTTGTTATTAGCGATTGAAAGTTTTACAAAATGAAATTGATAATTACAACCGTCAGATAAAGACTCTTGTCAAACAAGAGAAAAACTATTGGAAACAATTGGAACAAACAATTCTCAAGTGAGTCGAGTAATAAACCAAAATTCATAGAAATAAACTGTTTCTTTTAGACGAACAAAATCAAACTGCGCAACTATTCCACCACCTACGAAAGTTAATAATGCAACATTCGTTACATATGCTGATAAAAACAACGAAAATCGACCACCAACTAATGGTAACACTAGTCAATCCAATGAGAAAAGCCCTGTAAAAGTAATGAGAATTCGTAAGAAGAAAAAAGGTACAACCTAGTCAGATATTTTTTTCCATGTAAATAAACTCTTTTGTTCGATTGTTGTTATGATAAATGAAATAAATGTACTTCTTATGTTTGCACATTCTTTGTAATTAAATTCGGATAATAAAATAAATCATTGTATCATAGAAAATCTTTCTCTCTCTCATTGCATAGTATATCCAGATGAAAACTGATCCTAGTCACCACGAATACTTACGAATGATCATCAATTGAAAAACTTTGAATTCATTTTCTGAATGTACTTCACTTGACGGTTCTCGTCTTCTAGTATAGGTTTCTCTATCGTCGACAAAAAATTGAACATGTGAGACATCTATCGCGTATATAACATTTTCTTTTCACCTCATCTGTTGTCAGAACAACCGTGTGCATGATGGTCATGTCCGATTCATTTCTATCTGTGAAACTATTGATAGTTGACAGGAAGAAAAAGAGAGATGCTACGACGAGCACCTGAATTACCTCGAGCTGTTAATGATCGATTGAATCGATTAGCTACATCGGTTTTCACATCCATCGATGCAAATGATCCTAAACGAACGAATAATTTACATTCGAAACAATCTCGTATAGAAATTGATTATTCATCTAGTTTACCATTACAAATGTTATTGTATTTCAATGTTTGTTTCTTTCCATGTTGGTTATTCTCATTAACCTTTGTTTTACCTGTCCTAGCAGTAACTTCATCGAATCAACATGTCATTTTGATGGTTTTTGCTTTTGTTTTCAAAGCAATTATTGAATTTGTTCGGTTATATCTTGGTTACGCAGGCAACTTAGCAGAACGTATGCCTGAGTTGACGGCATTCTGTTTATTGACGATTATTTTTCAACTTCCATTAAGTGTATTTTTGCTTATTTATCAATTACTCGCAAAAATGCAAGTTCAACTGGCACTTGTGTTTGCAGTGGAAATTATCTATATAACATTTCTTGTGCTTCAAATGATATTCGGCATTTTGGCTGTTCGTATTATGGTCACAGCACAGTCAAGTCGCTTTCACTATCAACAATTTGAAGAAGCTCTACCAACGAATGAGAATGTCTCACCGTCGGGATAAACATTATTCTCTTTTTTTCTATAGTCTTGTAAGAAAAAAATAAGCGGAAACATTTCGTGCTTGCGGCTCTTTTTTTTGTTGGGAAATTTTTATGTTACTTTACTCATTTGAATGTAGTTCTAGATATCGAACGACGGGTTGCATCAATGCATAAATCATATCAACCAATACGACCAGCTACGAATCGTCTTCTTCAAAAGAAATGGGATGAGAAATATCATTCAGAGCATCAAATCTTGGTAAGAGCGACTCTCCAGTAATCTCCATCGATATATTCAATGGTTTCATTTAGGTACGTGATGCTCGACCGACTATTGACACACGTCCGCCACGCACATATATGCATCTTCATATGAAATTGAAAAAACTTCAGGTGTGACCGAACTTCATTCTATTTTATTGCAAATTTTTTTTCCTAATTTTTATTCAGTTGGAAGAAGAACGTACAGCAACTATCGAACGTGATAATCGTATATTATTAGAAAAAATGGCACATACGATGCGTAGAACAGATAATCTTGATAATCGCAATTACTATTCAGCAAAAAGGTAAAGAGTTCCATGTGTATATGTGTTGTCCAGTACTTATCTGATGATTTAGTCTGAATCAAGAGAAACGTCGTCGGGAATTATTACGTGTATCACGTGAGAACTCGACTATGGCCAAAAGAATTGTTGATCGTAAACCCGATTTAAACCGAAATGATTGGTCAAATAGTTGGTCGAAGAATCTCGCATATTTAGATAATATCGCGAAATACTCGCTGGATTGGCATGGCTCACGAGTATGAAACTAACCATTGGTTTGCTTTCATGTTGTTTCTCTTGGTATCTCTATTAGCCTAGTACTCGTCAAAGTCGTAGTCGCCAGCGGTCAGCACGACGAGCTGCAAGTGCTCCGCGAAGTTATCAAAGAGAATAAAGAGAACGTTGATATTGGTGGAAAATTTCATTTTGAGCATTGGTATTATTCCGGTCTTTTCTTGTGCATTGTGTGTCTTCCGATCCAAGAATGATGATTCTTGCCTTGATAAAACAAAATGTGATTTCAATTTAGTTCTGAAACATTTCTTCTTCTTCTTCTTCTTCTTCGCTTAATCTCATTTATTACCATATTTTGTATATCTCTAGTTGCTTCACTTTGCGATATAACTCAATATCTTTTTTGCTTCAATAAAACATATGTTTTCAATGTCGTATACATAACGCGCATGTCGTGGAAAGTTCATACAGTGAAAGATAAGAAATATCGCAATAAAAAAATAACGTCGAACATCGAAGAGATGAGAGAGAGAGCCATCGACTTGAAATAGATTTGACTTCTTGGTGCACTATAAAAAACTTCAATGACTTAATATCTGCTGATTTATATTTAGTGACATCTTAAATCCGTAAATTTACTGGTGCTGCCACGACATGTCGTTGTAAAAGCAACACAAGAACAATTCTCCCTTCTCCTGTTCACTTCTTCGTGTTTTCTAATAGAGTACTGGTTCATTTACCTGGTAGTCTCTCTTCTAAATTTACACAGTAGATGTCAGTTCCAGTAAATGAAAATATTTTGTTGTTATGTTTCCTTACCTCTATGATTCATCGAAAGAAGTTTTTTTTTCTTCATTATTATGTTCTATTAACAGGAAGGAGAATATGTTCGATTGCTTATCATTATTTTATTTTGACGCGAAGAAACGAACATGACGAAATAAACTCGTTTTCTAGATTTCAAATCGCTTCATTTCCTCTTGATTTTTATTCGACAAACGCAAATGAATCCGTCGATGGAACCACAAGCATTCGGCGCCGGCCGAGCTGGCTCGGCATTCGATGCAATTGAATTTCTGAAAAAGCCTCAAGTTATCTTACGCATTGTTGCTTGGGTATGTCTTTGTAAAGATTTTCTCCGTCAAATAATCCTGTCTTATTCTTCGAGGTTTTCGCTATTATTGTCTTTGCATGTATTGCACAAGAAGGATATGCAAATAATCAATGCCGCTACAATAATTCTGGTGCTTGTGGATACGGTATTGCTATTGGTGTGATCGCATTTCTTTTAACCATAGCATTTACCGGACTCGATGTTTATTTTCCAAATATTGCGAATATCAAAACACGAAAGATCATTGTGGTAACTGAATTGATCATATCAGGTACACACTTTCCCGATGTCCTGTTTGTTCTTTACAATTCATTAATATTTTGTTTAGCAATTATGGTGTTCTTATGGTTCATCGGATTCTGCTATTTAGCGGATCAATGGCGACAACAGGATCCCAAAGATATGCCAGGATGGAATGGTCGCAATAGCGTTCAAGCAGCTATCGCTTTTTCATTCTTCTCAATTCTAGCTTGGGTAATATTGTATAATTCAATGAATACGATCACCTGATTATGCTTTATCTGTTTTTTTTCTCTCAAGGGCGGACTGGTATTTTTCACATTTCGTCGTTATCGCGAAGGTGTCTCAAATTTATTCAGTTCAGGCTATGAAGATCATTCGACAGGTGGCGGACAGACATACGCTGGTTATCCACCAGCCGGTAATAATCCAGGTAGCTTTTCTCAACCGCCATTTACTGCTACTCAACAAGCACAATCGAATTATCAACCGCCAGCCTACTAAACAAATGATATCTATAGCAAGATCTGAAAAATGAATGATCTGTCTTTGTAGTATTTCCTTTATTCTTATTGTTTTGTCTCGTGAATCTCTTCTCTATTGGGGGCTAAATATGTGAAACAGTGACACAGTTTTTACTCTTTCTTTCTTTAGAATCTTTTTCTTTTCGTGTGAATTTTCGAATGAAACAAAGATGAAATAATCATATTTCGACTCGGAATCCAATCAAAATACTTGAGACTAGTCACATGAGTATTTGAGAATGAACAAAAATATGAAACCCATCGACATGAGATACTTCCAACGATGATTATTTCATTTTCTACTATCTGCCATGTCAGTATTAATTTGAGTGTCGATTTTCTTTTTTCCCGTCTGTTATATTTTATTCTTAAACCAGACAAGAACCACTTCTCGCTGCATTCCCTCATGCATTCTCTGTTTGTTGTTGTTACTGTAAGGGTATTTTCTCTTTTAAATATATGTCATTCAATTATATCAGGTATTAAAAGAGCGGCGAATGTTTTCACTGAAGAAAAAAACATTCCAAGCGCATGGACAAACTGTTACTGACTGATTTATGTTCTTCTGTTTGCTTGATGTAAGACAGGATTTTTCTTTGCATTGTTGCTCAAGCCTGAAGAGCAAGGACAAATGACAGGCAGACTGGCAAACATATATTGATAAAAACAAGATATGTGTATACGTGTAGTTCCTGTTGCCTTTCTTCTTGTTCCTGTTGACAACACCTACGAGTCAGAATGGAAGAATGTCATTATTTGGCTAGGATGATGAAAAAGAAATATTTTGTCAAGAAATAACTAAGAATCCTTTCTCGGCCCGACGAAGACATAAGTTATTAAGTAAAAAAACCATTTCTACGCTAACCAGCGACCTCTACAAACTATTAAACCGCCGTACAACTTCCCAATGACTCATTTCTTGCTTCGGTGTCAAATAAATAAATTCTATATATGCATCGCATCGAATCGATCGAAGAATGAATAACAACTTCTCCCTGATTGAAGTCGATTGACTTTGAACACACAAAAAATGACTTCAGCATTGCCAATCAATGCGACTAAGCCAATTCGTAAACGACGTTTTAATTCTCCAAATGAACATATAATGGCACTCGTTCAAGAATGGTATAACGATGCTAAGGCAAACGGCGCACAAACAATGCGTTGTTATCAAAAGGTGCTTCGAGTTATGAAAAAGTTATGTAAAAGAACGAAATTTCTATAGATACTTTTCTCTTCCATAGGCATTGCGCTCGTTAGAAAAATATCCATTACGATTAGAAACTGGTTCAGATTGTCGAATTTTATACGGATTTGGTGAGAAAATATGCGAAGCAATTGACCGACGATTGAATACAAACAATAAAACAAATGTTTCAACGACGAAAGTTATTCATAAAACTGTGTCAATGTCAAATTTTGATGAGAAAAAAGATTTGAGTCCAATTATTGACATTAACGATAATGATGATAATGAAATAATACCACCACCAGCAAAGCAATTGAAACTAACGATTGAAAACAAGAAGCCGAGTAGAGCAATTAAGAAAACTAATAGTGCGAGTGCAAAATTATTTGACAATCCGAGTACGTCATCAACCCAACCAACAACAATTTCCACTTTACTTGGTATTGTCGATTCATCGACGAAAACGACTTCAGTTTCACCGAACACTGTACAAGTTCTCAAACCTGGCTCATTTCAAATCACACTCTGTGTTGACAATGCCGAAGCGTCACGATCGACACAAAAAGTTCTGTTGGAACATTTGACCAAAAATTCAATCAATTACGATGTGCGGAAACTGAACATCGGCGACTTTCTTTGGACCGTTCGACGTAAGTGATTTCTTTTCTTTACAATTCCCAATCCATTTTCCTTTTAGCGACGGATAGAGATGTGAAAGTCGAAGCTATTCTCGATTATATCGTCGAACGTAAACGATTGGATGATCTTTCGAAGAGTATTATTGATGGAAGATACAACGAACAGAAAGTAGGCCGAGTGAAAACTGATGCAAAGAAAGCGAATTGACTCATCTTCGGTCGTCTAGTTTCGATTAAAACAATGTGGAATAACAAATTTAGTTTATCTAGTAGAAAGTTTAAAAAACACGAACAATCCGGGTATTCTAACACCAGCTGCACTCAATCAAGCCATTATCAATACTCAGGTAAATGAACTATTTTCATCCCAGACAGTTATCCGTAAATTCTCTTCAGATTGCTGAAGACTTCTTTGTTCGTGAAGTTTCCAATCCTGTTGAAATGGCTAATTATTTAGTAACAATGACCAAATATCTAATCAATCACTTCAAAGTACCAACCACTTTTCCTTCATTTCTCATTCGGTTTCACATTCTCTTCCAGGACAAAACCCTACACATACTTAGCGAAACCGATATGAGCAATAATTATAAAACATCTTTTCATGATACTGATCATTATGTTATGACGTTTGATTCGTTTAATTCCGGTGTGGTTAAAAGCAAGGTTTGAATAGAAATTTCTGTTGTCTTTTTGCAAAATGAAACTTGAATTCAGCCGCCAACAGTAAAAGAGATGTTTGCTCGTGCTCTTATGCAAATAGCTGGCATGTCAGTAGACAATGTTTTAGCATTGACTGAAGTTTATCCAACGCCAGCAAAGTAAATAATAACGTAAAGAAGAGGCGAAACAGAAAGAAAGCGTTCTTTTTCTCTTCATCTCGTAGACTTCTTCAATCATATCAACAATGTTCCAATGACAAAGAACGAAAGCTAATGTTATCAGTAATCAAAAAGATTACGAGTAATCGGTAAACATCTTCTGATTTATTGTTATTGAATTCTTCATTGTTGTGCTTTCAGAAAGTTAGGCAAAGTGCTGAGCACGGCGATTGAAATGCTCTTCAACAATATTTCATACCAATAATGTTTCTCTTCTTCATGTCTGATAAAATATTTTCTTCTCTTTATTAAAAATATGAAAATGAAAGCAAGGACAAAGATGTTTGATTTATGTTTTAGATTATGCAGCAAGCGAATCGAAACACAGATTTGATTTCACAAGCGCAGCAACTATTGAAAGATGCTGACGTGCGTGGTATTCAAACATTAGATGTTATCAGTAAATAATAACGACTAAACGAAATCGGAGAATTCCAAACTAAACATTTGATTTAGGTGACTCATCGTCCACACTCTCGAAAACAATCGATAAATACATTCTAAATGAACATCTGATTAACACATCACGTGATTTAATTAATCAATACGAAAGAAAAGCGAAATATGAAAAAATCATCATCGTTACTTTACTTGTTATCTTCTTCGCCGTTGCACTTAATATTGTTAAGACAAGGTTACTCTGGTAATCCGCCGAGTCATCCTTGATTCTTCTGGATATACATACCTATAAAGAGAACGTCAACAAATAAATTTGTTATATTTCATTTATGTTTTCATCAAACTGTTTATATTGTCTATTACTCTGTTTGTAGTTACGATTAGTCGACGCTATGTGATGTGTTATTGGTTCGTCAAGAAAAGAGAGAGAGAGAGTATTAGAGTAATATTGTTTTTCTTACCGATTCGAATTCATAAATATGTATAAGTGGAAAAAGGAATGAGAGGACGAGTTTTCTTTTTCATTCACGAAGTCTGTTTGCGTTGAGAGACACTCGAGACTCCTAAAAACGCAAGAGAAAGAGAAAGAAAGGATTTTTCTATTGTCCATCTCTCTTTCTCTTCACATTTGCTTTTTAGATGGAAAGTGACGATATGAATGATACATCTTCTCCCTCATCCCAGCCATTTTTCGTTCACGGTGGATGTAAGTCACTTTTGTACATAAGATTTCTTTCTTTGTTTCTTTAATTATAGTTCCTTTTGTATTTCTTCCGAGTACACTCGCAGGAGGTTTCAATTTTGCTAATCATCACACGCATGTTTCTTCGGCCAATGATCAATCAACATCTGAATCGAAAAAGAAAGCAGAGAACAATGATGATGATGACGACGACGAAGAAGAAGAAGAAGAAAGAACAGGTATGTACACATAGAAATATGTAGATGAGAGAAAAAATTTCTTTAATTGAATGCTTGTTCGACATGAGAGGACTACGACTGTTTGTTTTTATCTTAAAAAGTCTACAATAAAAACCAAGAAATGAAGTTGGAGGAGAGAAAAAGCATGGATTTATTTTTCTCTCTCTCTCTCTCAATCTCATTTTCTCTTTTCTCTTCTAGAAACTATTGACGATGATGAAGGAGATCGAAAAGATGAGAACGACGAAAGCTCAGATGAAAAAAGTAATCTTCGCATTAGTCAACCAAAATATAGTCAATTATTAAAAGAACTTGATTTCAGTCAAGCAAGAATGGTAAAAGGAGAAAAAACCCTGACTGTTGTTACACATAAATAAAAATCTTTGCAACTTTTTTTCTTTTGCTATCAAGGTTGATGTAACAAATCTCCTAAAAAATGAACTTGACCAATCAGATAATCAGTCGGCTCACAATGACAACGACAATGACAATAAACGACAAACGACTGATGACGAAAAGTACCAAAGTCTCTCATCTGCACGTTCAACACCATCTCAGGATGAGCTTTCGAACGCTCCGACCATCGATAACAATGACAAAACCAAAGAAGATACTCGACTACTCGACGCTGTTCATGAGATTGAAAACGATTTGAATAATTTAGCTACGATTATTCAAGAAGCAGCAACTGATAAGAATCCGAGTGGCGAAGAAGAAGGCAAAGAGGAGAAATTCACTTCTCAGAAAAAAGCAACGTACGATGAGGAAGACGATACAAGTAAACAAGCGACACAAGATTATGATCTTCACGAAAACGAACAAGAGGTATGAAAATTGTTCTACGTTTCTTTTTTATTTGTATAAATTAACGAAAGACATGAAGCACATTCTAGTAATAACACTGCGAAAAAGGCAATATACTCTCCCTTTTCTTTCGCATTCTCAATCGATTCCTTTCAAGTGTCTTTAACACCTTCAAACTTTTGCTTTCTATGGTTTCATCATTACACCCCCATAAGAATGTTGCGGCTTTCGCATCAACTTATCTGATTATGTTTTTCTCTTTTGAATAGAACATCGTCTCATCGTCGAAATCCAACAAAATTCAACATATCGTCAACCAACATACTTTTGATCTTACTGATGAAAACAAACAAACGATTTCTCAGGTGACTCAACATACCGAACCGCAAAAGCCACCAACAAATCAACAGGATGGAAAAGAACAAGAACAACCACCACCACAATCGTCTCCAGTCACTTGGGAAAACTTACTGTTCGGAACACGAATAACTGAACAAATATCAAATGAAGGTGCTCCATCTGTACTTGTTATTGAATCCCATTCCACGCCTAAACGAACTCCACAACAGCAACCCAGGCCTGCTGTTTCATCTGATGAAAAATCCAAACCACGAACTAGTTCGTTCACTAAACAGAAATTACCTTCTCGTCCACGTCAAGTAATCTCATCATCCAATTCATCATCCGATACAGACTCGATTGTCGAGTACGCATTACATCGATCGAAAGAAAAACATTCCGCTTCATTCCAAAACAAACAACACAAAGTTCCATTAATTCCGTCACAAACTTTAAGACAAGACAGTCAAGCAACGTTGATCGATGAAAATCTCGATGAGTTAAGTATTCAATTGCGACATGTTCTTCATGGTCAAGAACGTTACACATTCAATGATACAGGAAAAGATGAACGAACACCTGATGACCTCGGCGTATTTTCATTTCCATTATCACCACCTGATATTCTTTCGACTGCGATTATCGATGATGAATTACTGAATCGACAAAACGAGAATTTACTTCGGAACTTGTCAAATCAACGGGAGAGTCATAGCCAACATCGTAGTCGTCACTCAGCCTACGCTGCACAACGTTCAAGCTCTCACCGGAAAAAGAATAATCATCATCATCAGCAGCAGCAGCAACCAAAGTATTCAACGTCACATTATATTGATCAAGCTGAAGAAATCAATGCACGAAACGCGGATGTAAATATTGATTGAATGAAGATAGTGCTCTATTGATTTTTCTCTATTCTAGGACGATTGGTTAACCATGTTAGACAGACTTGAACGCGAACATCAAGCACGTATTGAACAGCAGAGAAAACAGTACGAAGATTATATGCACACACTCGAAGACAAGATGAAACGACGCTATGATGATATTACTTTGTTAACACATGGGTAGGGTCATTTCCTAGCAAATCCTTCATACATTTCAACTTTGTCTAGTTCACAAGAATCAAGATCGGAAGATTATGATAACATGGCACATACCAAGCGTGCTCCAACATCAGTACCAACTGATTTAAATGTTGGAAAACACTACAGTCATACTTATCGGCCAGTAGCTACAGATCTTGTTTCTCATTATTATCCAGCAGATTCAACACTCAATGTTCTTTCCTCCGACAAAAAACGAACAGTCATCGCTGATTATGTTCCATCATCACAATCGAGAGATGAGGCTTTCAAGTACGCATTGATAAATTTTAGTGTTTAAAATCAATAGACAATATTTTCTTTAGCTTTCGTTCGGATTTACCGTTACGACATAGCAAACATATTGATGATATAAAACTACGTCACGAACATGAAATCCATGATCTTCGAAGTCAATTGAATCGATCACGATTGAGGTATGATGTTCGTTCCAGCTTTCATTTTACTATTGATTTCTTAATAGTGGTCATACATCAAGTGTTGTTCGGCAATCGATGGGCACTATTGAACGTATCAATAGTGAAAACATTCGTTTGCGCGATGAATTGAACGGTACACGGCACTCATTGGTATGTAAACTCGAAACGATCACTTGAAATTGTTGAATTTTCTTTTGCAGAAGGTCTCGGATGATGAAAATGTTGCATTAAAACGACAATTAGATGAATTACGCGAACAAATCAATCACAAAGATTTAGACTTGAAAACACATTATCGCACAATTGCCAATCTCGAACGGCAATTGAACGAATCAGAAAATGTATGTCTGAGTTCGAAAAGAAAATCAAATGATAAGTTTCGTTTTTCACTCAGGTAAAGGAACGAAATAATGAAAAGTTACGCCACGCTGATAGACAAGCATCGTTGTATCGAGATGAAAATGAGAAACTCAAGATTGACCTGAATCGTACACGAGTAATTATCCAATCGTGTGCTTTTGAATTTATTTTTCATTTGAACTTTGATTAGGAGCGTCTTCTTCGATTAGAAGAACGTTCTCGCGAACAGGAAAACGAAAATGAAACGCTCCGACGACAAATATTTCTGTTAGAAAGTGATAATAATCGAATTAGAAATCGGTAACATCAACCTACACTTCATTTTCTTCTAAAAAATCTTTTAAACTTTCTCAAAGATTACCTGACGATCACAAGCTGAGCACTACTAAACCTGTTACCATCTCACCGTCACAAGATTATCAACATTTCACAGTGACAAACACAACAAAACACTCATCATCGACAATGAGTACACCAAGAGATGGAATCATTGATTCCACAAGATACCAATCAACTGGTAATACTAGTGATCCAACATTTGCGTTTAGAAATGTGTTATTTCTCTTTCTAGACAAAGGAACTTCATATCATTCACCTCGACCCTTATCACGAATCGCTGATTACTTAGCTGAGAAGTGTCTCCCTTCTCAATTGCATGTTTCTCCTTCAAGTAAATCGATTCGAAAGATTCTCTTCGATTGTAATGAGCTTTTGTAGGACATGTTTATTCGCCAAAAAAATCGTCGCCAACTCGTCGTCGAACGGAATCTTTACCTCGAAGAGTAACTTTATTTGCTTTTCTCGAACTATCAGTTGTCCTTCTCTCTTCCAGGATTCATTCGACCGACAGACAAGACAAACCGAACAATTAGAACAAAAATTCGATCATTTATTGAAGAAGAAACGTGATTTAGAAGCACGACTTAATCGCATTCCTTCTCGAGGTTTAACTAGCACTGACCATCAACTATATGATGTTCTCGAACGGGAAATCGAACGTGTCGATCAACAGATCATGACTGTTAAACTCGATCTTCGCAAATCCAACACTCTACGAACATATTAACTACACAAAATACATCACATTCCTTTTTCTATAACTATAGTTTTATCGGTGCCAACATTCGACTTTCTTTTCTCTTCATTTTATTCTGCCGTCCAACAAGATTCTCTCTGCCCACACTCTAGTTTGATGCTTTTTTTATACTAGTGAATTTTACATGTGTATTTTTTTGCTTCGAATTACATTACATTAGCAATTCCGTTTTGATATTTGAACATGAAATCATGCTTTGATAACAGTATTGTGTGATCTGTTTCTTTTTTTTTCTCGTCCAGATCGAAATTATGGTGTCAACTACAGCAATATGGGAAATGCCGGAGTTTTATCATCTAGATAATGATTTTTTTCGACCACAAGAAAAGAAACAACTACAGAATGCCTACGAAAACTTTATTCTCAATACAAAACATAAATCTTTTGATCGCGACGATCAATACGACGATGAAGACAATGCACAGATGTTATTACAATCGAAAATCCAATTATTTCAATTGTTCGTTCGTACACAGCCGGTTAACATTCGTAGTTTTAGGTAAATCTTCCAGAACTCTTCTCGACAAACATATCCGAACTTTTCCCTTTCGTTTAGTTTATTTCATCAACAACAACAACGTGTGTTTGTCGAACGACTCTTTTATCTTGTTTTGAATAACGTTGAACTAACCCATTTTTCGACTTTTAATGTCGGATCAATCATTAACATAAGTAAAGAATTAGAAAAATATCAACGTTCAACTAATAAAACTATCTTAAACACCGGCAAACTCAATACCGTTGTACAATTCGTTCTCTCCTTTTCATCATCAAGTATCTCGTCGTTTCAATTGAATAATCTTTTCTATTTATTACTAAACGATATGAATGATTTCTCGGGAAAAATTATCGATCGAATCGCTGAAGTATTACGAATATATCATTCGATGACATATGGCCACACAATCACCAAACAATACTTAATCACAACAGTAAGTTTTCTCCTCCTAACTAGAAATCGAATAACAAACAAAGCTTCTCATTAAACTATTCTCAGCAGACCTTGGTAGGATTCAGTTTTGCTTTGCACAGAAAAACATTCAAAATTGAGTCTTCGCGATACTCGATCTTATAACATGCATTCCAGCAAAGCAAACAAATCTTTTGACGTGTTCTTTCTTCCAAGTTATTAGATATACTTGAGACAATATGACTGTAAATTTAGATCGACAATGCCATCAGTACGATTAATTTTGTTAATCCAATTGTTTATCCGTTGTACGCCAATTTTCTCAACTCTTCCTTTGTTTATAAAGGACCATTAATATTAACAACACCGAACAGTCATACATCTCTATCATTATATACCATTATTCAAAATTTAGCGATTGTTCTATTGGGCCTAACAGTGGATGATTTCGAATGCGAAGAAATTTATCTTTCGTTGACATCGGAACAATGTTATCACACACGTTTATGTGTGCGTCATTTAACTTATCTGTTCAGACATTATCATTATACATTCGAATATCCACTAAGTCATTTGAATAAGCAAATTATTATGCAAATCATGAATTTAATCGTGTTTCACGAGATGACGTTCGACAAGTTGAAAATTCTTTTAAATTTGTATATAAAATACGTTCACGGATTTGCGTTAGTGAACATCAAACGTCTTCTATACGATCTCTTACTAAATGCATCATTGGAATTGTTTACGATCGAAACAATTCGTCATTTTATCGAACTAAATCGTTCTCGATCGAAATTACTCGTTTCAGAAAATGAAAATTCAACCGTCGATGACGATGGTTGGCTTACCAGTGATCAGATCCGATTGGTTCTGCATAAATTGTATTCAAATAATGTTTATCAAGAGATTCTTCTCCCGTTTATCAATGGCGATTGTCAAGAAGAACGTTCTTTAGTTGATATTCTAACATATTTAGATCAAATTCACGAATGCGACGAAGAACAAGTCATTGATGTACAAGAGATGAAAATCAAACTGACAATATACCCATAAATCTTTCAAAACTAGGTCGTTTTCTTCTCTTCTCTTCTCTCTGCTTTTCCTTAAAGATTGAAATGAACTCAGGGCTTTTATTCGCTAGATTATATTTATATCTCGTTATTCTTTTCTTTTATTCGATTGAACATGTATTTGTGTTTTGTTTAGCATAATCTATATGAATGTTAATACAATATCAGAGGAAATAATTTAATAAAAATATCCAATTCGAACTTGATTGTTGTTGAAGACAAGCATATGTATCCCCCATCACGTGGAAAAGATCTCATAGGGCGAGATTCGTTCGTTCTGCTAATCGATAAGTATGATTCTATTTTTAAGCATTGATAGCATCCTGGAACTATTCTACGTCTCGTTGCACTTGTTAGCCTATGAATGAATTCTGATTTGCACTAAGATCTTTCTCGAGAACGATCTAGCAAGTATACTATGACGTCCAGTGATTGAGATAAAGATATTTATTTACTCCGTTAATCACAAACAGACGACGGTAAACAAAAGAAACGCAAAACAATTAACATCACATGATTGTAGATTACCCAACAAGGAGAGAGAACCATTTCTATGTCGATGTGCTCTGAGATTTTCTAATCTTGATAAATTATTTTTTCTTTTCGATGAAACTTGCATGTTTCACTTGATAAGTATTTTTATCTTCTTAGTTGTAAATAACTCTGACTTACATAGACGAACTGATCCGCAGAAACAATTTCAACAGTCTTATTTATCTAAGATGAGAATTGTTTGATAACTTCAAGTGAATATTTGCATTTCGAAGGCAGACGCGAATTTATTTGCTTTTTCGAAGACTCACAACAAAAACTATCTGTTGTCAAGTCAACGGATATGAATATTTCAAAATGATTTTGTATTTTTTGACGAGAAGGTTGAAAAAGCAAGTTCGTTTGAGTGTACGAGAAACTAGAGCACCGTTTTTCTCTCTTTTTTTCTCTTTCATTCTTTCTCTTTTCATAATTTCACCACAAATATAGCGAGGTTTCCGCTGTTTTTCATCATCAACATCCGTTTCTATGTCATTTTCTATTTCTTTCTCGGTCTCACCACAAACAACCGCCATTACTATCAGCCGGTCTTAACAAGAATGTCAAAGGACGCGCGTATATCGAGAGAGAGAGAGAAAGAGAGAGAGCAGAGAAAAAGAAAGACGAAAAAAACCTCTAACACTCGTGATGAGGGCAATGATAATAGTATTGACAGCAGCGGTTTTTCTTCTTTTCCATACTCATAGACCTGCTGACGATTTTTTCCTCTTCTGTACCTCTTTGTTCTTTCGTCAATACGGCCACATCGAGTAAGCAGAGAAATAGGCGCATTCCTCTTGTTCATCCATCATTGAAGATTAGTACCAAATAGTTAAACACAATCATAACATTTTCGTTTATTCACATATCAGACATAGTTTCCTGTTGTTTTCAGTTTTCATGAAAATACGTGTCGATATGTCAGTGTCAGTTGCTATAGACGCATATCTGTACACCTACGTACATAAATGATTCCATGACGTCATGTTTTTTTCGCCAAATACCCGCAAAAAATATAGCAGTTCTCGCGCGCTTCACTACTACCACAAAAGAGAGTAGGGAGGGAGGGAGACAGACGAATAGAGGAAAGAAAAAGAATCCGGCCGAGTTAAAGAAGCAGGCTTCAGGCAGTTGTTAAATCCACAAAATTCTTCTATCTCTCGATTGAGAACGCCGTAGCGTTGTTGAGTCTCGACATATGAGTGCAAATATGAACTTAGGTTTGTTTTTTATTAAATCAAAACAAAAGTAAACTCGTCTGACAGCTGAGACGTTTTATTTTAGTTTTTCACCAATGGCATCAATTGTCCGACCACAAAGTAGAAAAGACATTACAGTTTTTTAGCGTCGTAGAAGGCAAAGATGGAGAGAGAGAGAAGGAAGAAGAAAGGAACGTGACATAGTGTTAACGACGAAGAAAGAAAATATGCGATGGTTTAAGAGGGAACAAATAAGAGGGTGAGGAGGGTGAAAGAAAATATATTTAAATGTAAAAGGTGAGAAAAACTATCGCATCACATGAGGTGATTAACAAAAAATATTTTATTTAACTTCCGATGAGAGACGATGACTAATTCTTAATCGCAGCAATTCGTCAAAATAACGTATCTTTCTAATATATCTGTTGTTTTTGGATTCTTCGACAAGATGTTGATACTCCGAAGTTTGACAGAATAGAACAGACATCAGTGTGTCATGTGCTCGATGCTTCTCTTTCTTTCCATCGTTTTTCTCAATTGTGCAATATGGCAAATTTTCTTTTCTCCTTCGTATTTTTTCTCTTTCGACATACGCTTATATACTCTACTCGAACTATAAATACAGAGGGACGTAATCACGAGTTGTATGTGTCATAGTTTATTAATACGTAAAATATTTTTTTCCTTTTTTTTCCTCGGTTAATGCAGAAAAGTAAATTAGTGCCTTTCTCCTACGCTGTCTGGGTTTAAATATATTAAACGCATCTTATCTCGACCATTTCTTACATTTGGTTTTGTTGATCTACTGATTAGAAACACCAATCATAATTGGGAATACATTTCTTTCGAAATTTTAGGTCAAGTGACCTGATTTCGAAATTTCCGGTTCTGCAAATTATACATATTGTACATACGAGAATTCTACGGAAGACATGGCTTATGAACGACGACGTTTATCGACTGAGAGTGATAAATCCTCAACAAGTACAAATCATTCAACAGAGTCAACCACCACATATCATACGATATCGCCACATCGAGTGCATCCAACGATCCCTGCGGATCAAAAACTTTCCATTTTATCGATGAAACAACCCACAAATATGGTCAAACGAAGTTCGACTATATCTTCTCCAGCTGAGCAGTTACTAGCGCGTACAAAAAACGCGTTCGTGGATTTAAATCCATACTTTCAATGTTCATCATTGCCAAGGTAATTCGCGCATTGTTTTTCAAAAGTAAAAACAAAATGTTATTTTTAGCCATTGGAGAAAAAACAAGTCCCTCCGCTTCGTTTTACGTGCAAAAGACGATGTCGACATAAAAGCCAACACACGTGTTACGATACTTGCGGGTAACGATTACAATCCATGCGCAGCATTGAAGAACAATATCAGTTGGTTTCGTGGTAGTCAAGCTGAATTCAATGACTTGCGCTTTCTCGGCGCCAGTGGGCGAGGTTTGCAGCGAGCGCGTTCGAACTCACACAAGAATATGTTTTGTTTTAGGGAAAAAGTTTACATTGACGATTGTTATCGAAACAACTCCACCGCAACAATGCACTTATCGTCGAGCAATTAAAATAACAGTGGATGGACCAAGAAAGAAGCGTGAATTAAGTATGTTTGTGTTGTCGATGTGGATTTTCAGTGCAGATTTCGTTGATTGAATTCTAGAAAATAAGTCAGATGCGAATGAACTTCAAGCGGATGATTCAAACGGGGATGGTGAATCCGATAATGAAACAAATACTTCAATGTTAACTGATACGAATGCAGGTATCGGTCAAGGTAAAACAGTTTTCAATTGTATCGAACATTCTTATTTCGATTTCTTGATCTTCGCAGTATCATCTGGACTTTTACTTCTGGCTGCTGCAGCTGAGCAAAAACGAAAAGATGAAGCAGGTAGGATACGACGCGCTCGTGCCTAGCAAAGCACTAGAAAATCATATTTAGATGAAACGCAAACTCGTCCATTACAATCAGCTCCAATGGTTATATCATATTCATCAAAACTAAGTGATACAAGTTCTTCATTGACCAATTGTCTTTCTCCATCATCATCACTAGCTTCACAATTTTCTCATTCGATTGCTTTTTCGCCTACATCATCCTCGTTGGATGATTTCAATTCACGTCTATCTTCTCGTCACGTCTTTTTAAACAGTCAAAACTCCGATCAATCAACTCCGACCGTTCCCGTAGTCTCCACTTTGCCAACATCCAATATCATCTTCAGTCTTACCCAACCAGCAAATCATTTCGAATTCTTTCATTCTCAACAACAAAGACGTGACCAACAAACGACTATGGTCGAACCATCGCCAAATACTTCATCAACAAATACACCAACTACACATGTCCTATGTCGATAAATCGTAGATCGACATCATCACCTTCAATGTACATATCCGCACGTATGAATAGCTTCAAGCAACAAATGATTAGTTTTCAAAACATTTATCGAACTAGGTGCGTGTAATTTCGATCTATTTGTTGATTATGCACACATACACATATATACTTCAAATCGGATTTTCTTCTCCGGTCAGACGATGAGATATTTTTCTTTCGATGATCAACTGGCTGGACGGTCTTGTCTGTTTATTTTCCGACATTCCCTCTTCTTCAAAATCCCTGGAAGACGAAACCGATTGGTAGCAAGCCGAGTGAGCGAGGCAAAAAAAGACTATTTTTCGATAGTAATTGGTTTAAACCCGGTGTCGCGTTGAGAGAAAACCTAGAGAGAAAACATTATTTTTTATTGTATTTTTTTTCCTTTTTTTTCCTTCTTCTTCTTGTTTGTATATAATGTAAGAGTGAGTGGTACCAACCTAGTCTGTACAACAAAACACACTGGTTCAATTGTAAATTTTCTTTTTCTTCTGTATTTATGTATCTGTGAGTAGAGTTTCAAGTCAGATCTGCGCTTGTTTACTTGTTCGAACTATCGATATGAGAACATCGGAACAGTAGCATGTGTCCGTGGGCAATATACATAAAACATAGAAAAGAAATAAAACACAATTGTCTTTAGAATGACAAAACGTCTTTGTTTCTCTTGTATTTCGTCTTTCGTGCAATACTGATGAAAAGAAAACTTCTTAAATTTGATTTCTTCTTCGTTCTCTAACCCTCTCTTTCTGTTTGTGGACGTGTGTATGTGTGTGTTGTTCAACGTGTCCATAGATAGAGTGAACGGCAACTGTGTATTCGACACGGTTGAGTTGTTAATGCTGATATTTGAATTCGAAAAAACGCATCCGTATTCAAGATCGACCGTTTTTTTGTGTCTCGATATCCAAGTTATGTTTCGTTTTCTTTTAACAAACAATCAAAAGTTTTGCCAACCTCTCATATTTACTTCGTTTTCTTTTTATCATGTATTTCGAACGCATTCGTTGTGGGTTTGCTAAATGAGTGTATTGTGAATCTCATCCGGTTTGTTTTCGACAGGCACAAACACACTTTGTTATGCGATCGATGTCTTCTCCAAAATTGAGACAGTCATATTCATAACATCCCCATAATGCTTTTTTTCTTCTTTCTGTTATTTTAACAACTAAGTTGTATTTGTATATTCTTTCTTACAAGCAAAACACGTGGATATTATCTTTTGTGTTATTTGAATGGATGTGCGTGCATGTGTGCAACTCGGACAGAGATCTCGATTTATCTATATGTATATATATATTTTTATAAATTCTATTTTTTTTATGTATATATGTGTGCGTTCCTTTGGCCGGTGAAAGTAATTTGATGGATTTTACACTTTGTCAGTTTGGCGAATGTTCTTCTTTTTTAATTGTTGTTTGATTTTATTTTATTCTTTCTTTCTGTGCGTATGTGTGAGTTCGGCATGTAAAGTTGTTCTTGATTTTCAATTCTTCTTCGTTTTACATTAACAATTGTAATCGTGAAAAATAAAAATGGAAAAAATAAATAACATTTCAGAGATAAACTTCTATCTTATAATGTAAAGAAGACATTGCTTCCATTCCTGCATGTTGGAATAGCTGGTATGAGTAATAGCATTCTAAGAATTAGTGAATGTGTAGAGAAATGAAATGTGTTTATTGAAGTTTTGGACGTAGGGCGCGAAATTGAGCATTGCTTGCTCGTAATGTTTCGCGGAAGCGATAAGCGTCGATTAGTTGAAAAGTAGATGAGGATGAGGAGGACGGCGGCGGTGGTAGGTGTTTTCGGACTTTGTCTATCGGAACGACGAAGAAGTGAATGTGATATTTTAGCAGAAGGTACAAGTTTTACTTGATAATGGTTTAGGATTACTTCGAGTTGTGGTGAACGTTTTTTTCGAAGAACTGTTCTGGAGTGTGGAACATTTTCGGTTGCTGTTCAGATTGACTTTTTCGTTGATAACAATCGATCGATTTGATGTAGTTGAGATAGACATCGAATTTGATGGCGAGATTAATTGTGTGATAGTTTCACATCGATCTTTTTCTGTTCCTAACGAACCACTTAATGAAGACATTGACACGATATTCGGTGGACGAGTAATGGAAGCCTAGAGAGAAAAATGAGTTGAAGCAAGCCAAAAGCAGAGGATTACGCGTTCAGATAACGATGATTTCATCGTTTGTTTGATATTCTTGCTATTCAACTTATTCATCAATTGAATGAAGCGTTCGAGAAACGCTAGGCGATACTTTTTTGTCAGTTGTTCGAATTCTTGTCGATAGTGATTGTAGAATAGATTAACGTTGGATAGAAGATGTTGGGTCATTTGTTTGATGGACAAAGTCAAGGCTTGACCAAAATAATTTTGAAATTCTTCGATGACAATTTCAATTATATGACGTAACTCATTTTCTTCGGTTTTATTCAAAGCAAGTCGTTTTATGGAGATCATATTGTTCGAATTTCGAACTATATCTAAACATGGTTGACAGAGAACACTCGACGATATACAGGTTGAACTTTTGCGAATAAGATTCAAACATTTTGAACACATTCTCTCTCGGCATTGAGTCGTTAGTTTGGTCGCGTTTTGCTTTGGGACTAAAGATTTCGTTTTCGCTTGGTAGTGATTATTATTTTTTGGTATTATAGTTCGACAGTGTGTCTTTCTGGTTTGTTTCGAATGAGATTTCAAATAACATGAAAAACGCGTATGCGAAGACTGTTTCTTCAATGTAGTCGGCAGAGTGGTTGCTTGTGATGTGGAATGAGTCGTTTGTCGCGTACTTGTTTCACTTAAACTAATCGCTATCGTACTCGGTGGACGATTTGAACTGTATGAAGTCGATTGACATGTATGTTCAATGAAAACTAGAATCTTACGTCGATTGGGAGGAATGTGCTTTAGATTCTTCTTCTAGATAGAATGATGAGAAATTGCTCGGTTTATCTGTGGTACGAAAAAACATACGAATAATGCGTTGACATGCATTAGAAGCAATTTGACGATATCGTTGATCGTCGTATGGACTAGTTTGTAGAAAAGATTTTGTCCAAAAGAGTTCATTGGTATTTTCGGAGAGGGTTTCATGTGACTGAACGTAACAATCAGTTAGTTCATGCTTTCCTGACGGCCACGCGCCGATATTCTATAGAATCCGGTGAAACATACGTTTAGTGAGTTTTAACGAACGAAACAACAAAAAAAAGATCATTTGAAATGATACGTAAAACGAAGCAAGATCGACGTATGTTTTTCTTTTGTTTACCATATTAGATATTTGTCGGTGGAAGTATATTAGCGAACAGAAGAATGATGATTTTGAACGATCTTCAAATCTATCTGTAAGTGTATTACATACTCAAAAATGATCTCTTATTCAGAACAAACCTGAACAGAGTAAAAGAAGATGTTTAATCGTGGCATAATTGAACATGCGAGCGAACGAAATCATTCATTTTAGCACATATTCCTATTTCCATAGCAACGATCAAATGATTGGTCGTTTCGCATCGACCAATAGAATCACTGGATAGAGAGCAGCCAAGTGTAAGTGCATTGGTGACTTGAAAGAATAGCGAAAACAAAGACCGATGAAACAACTTCAGTGTCGGAGATGACGCGTTTTTATGGAGGTTTGTTTTCGGTGGCCATCTTTGTGGGTGTTGTGTTTGTGCTCTCGTCGAACTCGACACTTTGCTGCGCTTTACGAACGCAAAATCATCCATAGACACACGTAAGAGAACAGGTAAGAAACCGCCTATTCCTTTTTTACTTAAATGCAAAAATCATCTCAACATATACGAAAGTCTAAAGTTCGAATTTTTCTACTTTTTAGATAAATTTTGTAACAAAGCGCAATGGCAGTGGTAAGTGAACTGATGATAAGAGTATGTTAATTAGGAATCTATTTCGATATTTAATTATTTAGAAAGAGAAACCCAAATTGAGCTTCATCGAAAATTTTGCCCTCAGTGGCGTTGCTGCTGTCGTTTCGAAAACAGCAGCTGCACCCATCGAACGGGTAAAATTGCTCGTCCAAAATCAAGGGGAAATGCTTAAACAAGGTATCATCACCGAACCATACAAAGGTGTTATTGATTGTACCGCTCGAACATTCAGAACCGAAGGCCTTATTCCATTCTGGCGAGGCAATTTGGCCAACTGTCTTCGATATTTTCCTACCCAGGTTTGACGTCAACGGGTTGTTTGTTGATGAAGAAAGTCATTGGTTGATGTTTATATTCTAGGCTTTGAACTTTGCTTTCAAAGACAAAATAAAAGCAATGTTCAAACAAAACAAAAATGATCCTTATATGATCAATTTTGCCAAGAACATTGCAAGTGGTGGTGTTGCTGGTGCATTGTCCTTGTGCTTCGTCTACTCACTTGATTACGCCCGTACACGTTTGGCAAATGACGTCAAGAGCACGAAGAAAGGTGGAGGTGAACGTAAATACAACGGTCTTATTGATGTCTACAGAAAGACAATGGCCACCGACGGTATTGCTGGTCTCTATCGTGGTTTCGTCATTTCATGTGTCGGTATCATTATCTATCGTGGTTGTTACTTCGGTTTCTATGATACTTTGAAACCAATCTTACTTGGACCCGATGCCGGTCTTCTCCTTTCATTTTTACTTGGTTATGGTGTCACAGTCACATCAGGTCTTATCTCATATCCAGTCGATACTATTCGACGACGTATGATGATGACATCAGGCCAAGCTGTTAAATACAAAGGATCATTGGACTGCATGTTCCAGATCATCCGCGCTGAAGGTGTTATTTCATTATTCAAAGGAGCCGGTGCCAATATTCTCAGAGGTATCGCCGGTGCTGGTGTCTTGGCTGGTTTCGATAAACTAGTACAAGTTTACACTGGTGTCAAAGTCGATACCAGCGGTGGTTAAGACAAATCCATGTAGATGAAATATTACACACAAAGTCATCTCAACCAGACTATCCTCCACTTTCCATCCACCTCCTCTTTACACATTTTTTTCTCGCTTTCAGCGAAAAAGAACGTAGATTCCTTTAACATCATCTTCTTCTTTTACACTCTTCTAGTACAATTTCGTTTGTTTTCTCTTTCTCTCCAACTGTAGCAGCAGTAAAATGTCTGTGTTCATGTGAATGCGTTTTATTTTTATTTATAACACCGAAAAGAAGAAAAATCCAATAACAATAGCGACATCAAACATCATTCTAGTTCTCTAGTGATCATTACCTAGCAAGTGACAGTCCTAAACTTTACTTGGAAGACGAATGATAAAGCTCGAACGATATGCTAGAATACAATCCTATGTCTTTTTTGCTTTTTAGAACATATCATTGATGTTGAATTAAGATAAATAAATTTTACTCGAAAACATGCTGAAGAAGTAATGTCCATCGATAAACAAACAATTCTACACGATCTATATTTGAAAGATTCCATTTATTCATCTGCTTATTCGTCGCCACTCATGTTTTCACGTGATTCATCGATGGAAACCTTATCCAGTTTCAATGTTAACTTCCATTCACACAATTCAACATATACATCTGAACACAGCACCAATCCATCAGGAATTTTATCGCCAAGTGATATTCCAGATTCTCCACCACGTGGTTGTGATGATGATATTGACAATGATCAACAACGAACATCCTTGCAGCCTTTAAATAGCACTCGATCAACTGGAATCACAGTTATCGAACGTTTAGAGAAATGTACGTACGATGATAACGATGTTGACAGTATACGAAATTATGCGACGTCACCACTGAGAGTATGCTACGATGGTGATGGAGACGATGATGATGATGATAATAATTCGATTCATTCATCACTGAGTTCATTGACTTTGCCACCACCACCGTCTTCATCATCATCATCGAATTTTCACGATTTGAGAAATTTGAAACATAACTTAAGTGTTATCAATGAAGAAAGTTTACATGAACAAAAAGAACGGCAGCGTTCATCAATTAACATGAGCCATACAACAACAACAACAACAACTGACGATGACGATGACGACGACGATGATGAAGATGAAGATCAAAATGGTAAACGATTACTATTCGAACTTATTCGACAACGTCTACCCCATCATCACATGTCGTTGACAAGTACATCAGATTCTTCGTCGAAAGTTCATGATGATGATTATCAAAATGATACGAAAGTTGCATCATCATCAATGAATGACCAAGTAATAGTTCATCTTTCTTTTCTTTTGGTGATACAATCATTTGTTTCATATTCATCACTAGACAATGCGCGAAGATTCTTCGAGTCACGGTTTATCATCGCATGATATAACAATTCCTTCATCAGCGATGCAAGAGAGTGGCTACGATAGTTTATTACCAATGGGTTCAGCACCGAAACGCTCGCTTTCGAACGCCTCTTTGTCAACAACACGTTCGATAACGATAAAAAAGAAACATCGATGTGATGAAGAGAATGATGATCCAATGAATGGTAATAGTAATACGGATATGACTGATGATGATGACGAACATTATGATAAAAAAGCGGGAGAAGCACTCCTACGCAATCTGATTGCTCAAGTTTTACCATCATGTAAGAATTTGGATCTTTCGAGTAGCATTGTGGGATGAGAAATCTTGTTCTCGTTTAGTTAATCCTCGATATTTGAATAATGATGATGAAGAGGAAGAAGATACTCGAAGTAATCCTCGTCGACCTTCGCCAACGAGTCAAACTTATAGCAGTAGTAATGCATCATCAGTACGCTCAGTCGAGATCGAAATAAACAAAAAAAGTGAAAAAAATCTCTGCATTCGTTCAAATAAAAAACCAATCACAGATATTCTTCAACAAGAAAAAGTAAGTCTGTTTTTAAACGAAATTTTCTTATAAAAATTTCTCGACTTAGATTCATTCCAAACGTTCATGTATCCATAAACCCGTACATCAAACTAAGACATCAGAATTACGTCGCCTTCAATCTCATGCACGTCGATAACATTCTCCAAATTTTCAATTCAATCAACAATCAATTTTTTTTGTTTTGTAAAAAGTTTCACTCATCTATTTCTTTCTTCTGTTTTTCTTTTACATATGTCAGATATGATATGTAACCATTACTTAAGTCATATATAAGATTTGTTTAACCCGTCAGCTTTCTTACAAATGAAGTCATTTTTCCTGTCTTGTTTTCATTTCATATTCAGTTAGTGTCTATCGAAGTTTTTCTTACAGAAACAAATAATAAATAATCTGTTAAAACAAAATCTTGCCGGCCAATATGAAGTATGTTTGTGATAAGACACCCGAGTACGAGAACGGGTAAAAGGTAAAGGTCGAATTAGGCCCACTTGACAAGTGATACCAGGTACACAAATGATTCGAGCGAATAGTTCGTTATGTTTAGGTGACGCCAATGGACCTATTTGATGTTTAAATTTAATTAATAATGAATGACGCTTTATTTACTCGAAAAAATGTACTTGGGTACATAGAAGCGAAGTACAAACCTGTTTTGATTTATAAATGGAAAAGTACGAGAACAAAGCAAATATTTTATTTCTGTAGTTTATCACCTGTGCTTATTTAACATCAAAGGAAAGTAAAACAACACGGAAATATCGTTACTGCCTTGCAGTATGTACACCCCGAAGTGACTCGTGAAAATTTTTATGACTTCGATGTACATTTTTCCAGTAAATGAATACCCATACTTTTTCATTGCCCATTTACATATAAAAAGAACTTCAGGTCCTCTCAATTGAATAAATATCAATAACCTTTTCTACGCATTGCATTTCATAACGCATTATTAGCAGATCGAAATTTGTCGATAACCTTCTAACGACTAATTTGTTTTGCTTATGTATATACTTTTATTCTTGTTTACTTTGTTTCTGTTTCAGCAACAAAAAATATCGACAAAACGACAAAAACGAGGAAAGCGAATCAATGAAAAAAGAAAACAAACAACAAATTTCTTGGGCCTGTTACTTCTTTGTTTTCCTCTTCTCAATGCAGTCATTTTCGATGCCTACAAAATGAGAAGGAAACAAAACGCGATTTCATCAATAGATATCATCTACTCATTTCGCTTGTCTGACTTTACAATATACACAACACAGGCGCAATCAGGCAGACAAACAGCGAAAACAAAAGAAAAATTCATAAACACGGACACACATGAAAAAAGAGAATGAATGACATGAAAATTTCAAGAATCGTTTAAGAATTACTTCGATGTTGTTCTTAGGCCTTCTGTTTCGATCCTGGAGCAAAACGACCACCGGCACCACGAACACGATTCATTGCATGTCGATGGCGGGACTCGTGTAGAAATTTACGCTAAATGAAAAATCCGACGATATCGATAAGATTTTCAAACGAGAGAACAACCCGTTCTGAACATACTTTACGTTCGCGTGGAATTCGTCCTTCTGCTTCGAGTTTAGCACGAGCAGCACGTCGTTTCAATATTCGATTATATTGCTTAGCATTCACATACAATGGTTCTTCTTCTGTGGGCTCGGATGCTACAGTTGTCTGAGCTGAAGTTGCTGCCGCTGCAGCTGCTGTCGTCAAGCTATTTTGTTGCATTTGAACAGCTTGCAATTGTCCGGAATTGCCTGGCACCATCTAAAATGAACATACAAACAATAAGACGATCTGATCTTCGCCATGCTTTTACCATGATAATAGTTCCATTTTGTGAATTGGCCGTCGTTGCAGTTTGAGTTTTTGTTGGTGTGGCTAATTGTACAATTTGTTGTCCATTACCACCAAGTTGAAGAGCACCAGCTGGAATAGTTATCGTTTGTGGTTGTTGTGTTGTTTGAACATTACTCAATTGTAAAACTATACACGATGAAAAAGATTAAAATAAATCAAATCGTTTAATCGTGTCTAGACTTACTTTGTCCACCAACTTGAACGTATTGTGTTTGCTGTTGTTGTGGCTGTTCAGCACTTTGTAAAATAATCAACTGGCCATCAGCTGTTTGAAGAATTTGTCCTTGTGGTAGTGCCGTCGTTGTTGTATTAGCTGTCGGTGATGTATTTGCTTTAAGAATAATCTAAATAAAACCGAAATAATCAATTAAATGCCAACCTACTTATTTCATCAGCAATACCTGTTGTCCATTCCCAAGACTCGTTCGTTGTTGCAGAAAATCATTATTATTCAATACGATAACATTTCCACCGGTCGTCCCAGTAGAATTTTGTTGTGTACCAGACGAATCCATATTTATCCGGACTGAAAAAAAATCAAATTTCTCACGATTAAAATTTTATCAATCGAAAATACGAGACAAAAAAAATAAACTTTGATTTTTAAATCTCGAATATACCTCATTAGTGACGATATGGAATTCTTTTTAATCATTGTCAACAACAGCAACATGAATTTTCTTCTATGAATTTTATATATTTTCTTTCAATGTATGTTATGTTCTTTTTTTTTCTTCTCGCTGTCTCAAACTCAACTGGTGGGAATTGGACAGCCAACCCGAGCTTCGTTGCTACTTACATTGGTCGCAAATGGTCCAACTAGAGCGAGATTTTCACTATTGGCGCACAGCTTGGTTAAGTTTCCACCAGCCGGTAACACGGAGAAGGAGAGGGAGAGGAAAAAAAGAAAACGACGATGTTAACAATGAAATGTGTATGTGCAAGGGTATAATTGGTCGATAGACGTGCACTTTCTTTTCTTTTTCTCTTTTGCGTTCTGTCAATTTTTTAGCGAACCCCGCCAGTTTCGTCGTCGACAGTAAGACAAGCACACTCCTCGCGTTTAGTATAACATCAGCAACGAGAACGATATGTGAAGAAAAAAGCTCGAATCGACGGAAGCAGACACAACAGCGAGTCGGTCATAAGAAGAAACAAGCAAATGTAGAGAAGGAGAAAACGAAGAAAAGAAAGAAATGATAGACTAGTCAAAAGACCTACTCTTTGTAGACACTATGAAAAGAATCGGTGCCTGATATGCTTTTCTACGTGTAGTCAAAATCTGGCAATGTAGTTGTTGTTTCATGTGATTCATTCATGCGTTATTAGTGTGCGATCCGTATGAGAAACTGCAGAATATCAAGAAATAAATGCATGTTACACTTTCGAATTACTAAATAAAGACGAAGAGTATGTTTTTATCTCGCGAAAAAAAAACAGAAAAAGTAGAGCAGATTTATTTGGCATTGATAAGCAAAATGGCAATGATGCTGGAAAGAACGAATTTGTTAACGGATGTTTTTGCTTAAAATGCCGAAATATGACACCTATTTCTCGTGAACATTCCGTTTTGCCAAATTAAATTTCAAATAATTATGAAAATACATACACAAAGCAATACACCGAAATGATATTCAGAATAGTAACACATTTAATCATCCGTGAAATAGTCATGCCTTGAGCCTAAAATACACTTTGATGTATTAGTGAATAAGAAAATGATTATGACATTTAACATTGAGACTATATCGGTCATAGCTTAGATGGCTCGAGCGAAAGCTTCGCTCATCCGATGACAAAAGTAACTGTTTTAAAGAAATGACATAGTACAGACACGAATCCATATCAGTTAGCGGAAGAAGTCTATGATGTATAAAAACAAATTTTAATTATGTTTCGATGAACTACAACAATCATGCAAATGATGAATACAAAATATGAACAATGAACACCGTAGCCCACCGATCAATATTTCGTTGGTACTTTCCACACGAACCAGATTAGTTCTATCATAAGTTTGAAGCTGTAAACCGCATATTAGTATTTCTGAAATGGTTTAAAAGCTGACATAGGCATCATTCATAAGTTATGAAACCATTTGAATAGCGTAGAACTTTCCTTTTAGCATATGTTCCGTAACCAAGGGTTCTTTTAACATCAGAATGTTTGCATGTCTTTTACAATTCATATTGTTCACCATTTTCAAAGTAAGACACTCGTCTTTTGATTATACTTCTTCATTGAGAGTTGGCTGAAGTTCGGAAAGTACTCAGTTGAAATCTGAGGGTATAATTATTAGCATGTATGACGTACTTATTCTAATACCTGAATGTTAGGTGGAAGATTCCCCGAACTATTGACTAGAGTAGATTGAAGGTAAATACAAATAATCGTGATTAAGTTTGCGGCTTATTTTTCTTCGTAATCAAACCTTCGAAGAAAACATAATTTGCAAATAAGAAGTTCTAAGTCAATCTACACCCTCGCTAAACCTGAACATGATCTTTCGACAATTTCCTTAGATTCATTCATAAATAAGTTAAGCAAGGAAAACATTAGCATGACGATCTTTTCGTGTCCTTTTTGCAGAACTTTAATCCTCTCCTATTACTTTACTCTCAATAGAAACCTCTTGACATCTCCAGGTTTAGAACTAATTTAACAATGATATTTGTTGTTTTTGCGTGAAGAAAAACGAACATTTGTGTGTTAGAAGTCATCACCCAGAAGCTTCTTCTCTTCGAGTTAGATGAGCAAGGAAGCGACGAGAGTATGAAATCATTATTTTTTATCTTGCCTAGTTTCTTCATTTCCATTAACATGAACTTTAATGATGCGTTCGAAATGGAAAGACCTGACAGAACTTCATAATTGCATTTAAATGACATTAAAGTAAAGCATCAGAGTGAATAATCTACAATTTTCCCACTCTCCCTTTATCTCTATCTATTTGCCTCACCCACTCCTTTCTCCTTCGACTCAACATGTATATATAAGTCCAACCTAGTCATATATTTTCTCATTAAAACCCCTCGTTCTTAAGTTCAGACAACGACGATAATACTCATAGGTATATGACTTTCCTAGACGTCATTTTGTGAATTTAATTCATAGTAATGAGGAAGTTCGTTTATTACTGTCAGATCGATCCACTTTGATTAGATAGAATAGGTTCAAAGTCTGAATATAAAGCACACCGACTATTCCGAGTTTTGTACATAATTATCGTTTCAAAGGAAAAGATTAGTAAGTGTAAGAGCATCACAGCCGAAAATCATTTTGTTTTCGGCATCAAAAAGCGCTGACATGAGAAAAAACGAGGCCTCCTAGAATGAGTTTTCTCCCTTGTATATAAATCAGTGATGTTTAATCATTTGTATGTTACTTTATGAGACTTTTCGCGGGTTCATTTTGTAAGCAGTTAACATGATCGTATCGCTTTTCTTTCAGGAACATTTATTTTCATACTTAATCCATTATTTCCAATATGTTAAAAGTAATCTGCTCGTTGATGGTTTTATTGGTTCTCTGCTCGGTTTTTTATTGCAATCAGGTTGAAGGCCGCGCACTTAATCAAGTAAGATATCGTTTTATTCGAGAGAATAACAGACATTCGATTGTAAACTTTGCTTCTTTCTTTAGTATTCCAATGATCTATCCGCATTTGAACGGCAACGTTTACATGCCGACAACTACCGAAATTTGAAAGAAAGTGACCATGATTTCGATGAAGGTGAATATGTCCATAGCAAACGCAAAAGTGATTTTCTGTTATCTTTATATGGTTTGCCGTATACCCTTGTCAACAAACGTGCTTTTGAGTAAAAATAAAGAGAAGAATGGTTTCGAACCGAGTGAAATGTATGAAGACATGTGGATGGAATAGCTCCTCTAATTTTCTCGTTTGTTTTGTGTTGTATTCATTAAATATTGTGCAAATTCAGCCTAATATAATCGAATCATAATCACAGAAAAAGAAACAATTAGCTAATGAAACTTTATTTAGAATATGCAAGTGAGGGAAAGGAAAAGAATGCACGCGAAATTCTTTTTATGCAAACGCATGAATAAAGATGAAAGTTATTCTTCTCGGCGCCATATAGTATAACATATGGTTGCCAAAAGCGCCGATATAACTGTAATCGTATTCAATCTAAGAAAAATAGAAAACAGGAAGGAAATGATTATTGAAAATCGAATGAATGTTACATTTTGTTAAAACTCTCTGCTGCATCGTACAAATCGTCACCATAACCACCGTATGCCGATACGTATTCATCAGGGATTGCACCACCGCAGCAAATTGGTGCGCCTTGCTCATCTGAAATGTCGCTTTTTGCAGCAAAAAAAAACAGTCGATTTTCAGAAAATATTTACCTTCACAACAAGTATCTGCTTCACTTGTCTTACATTCGATTTCAATTGGACACGTGACTAGTTCACCAGATATATTACATACACCAAACCCCTCGGCATCTAATGTTTGATTGACTAATGTTGTATTGAGATCTTCTTGTATACAATAGAAGACAGTTGGCGGCTTGCCATCGATTTCAGCCGGCTCATTGTCAACAACAGGAGGATATCCATAATAATCTAAAAACAATCAAGATGACATTTCCTTTCGGGAATTAACTGATGAATATTTTTCTTACTGTCTGGATAATAATTTCCATGATGGCCGTTCATACGACTTCCTGCATAATAACCCGCGCCAGCGCCGGCAGCAGCATACATACCTTTTTGATATTTTCGTCGTTGATAATATCTTTTACCAAAACGAACAGCATAGGGCAGAAATTTCTTTCCAGTACGAACCTAAATTGATAAAGAAGTATACAAATGCATCTTCAAGTTGAACTGATTTGATGATACTTACCCAAGCATTTCCGCCACTGCCACCAGAACCTCCCATACCAAATCCGCCTCCACTTATTCCGGATCCATAACGGCTTCCTCCCGATCCAGACGAACGGAACGTGCTACCACTACCACCACCGCTACCGTGTGTGATTTTACCTGAATGTCGTAACATTTTCGTGAAATTGGAATGAGAATTCGAAATTCGGTCACATACGAATCTTATCAGAGAGACTTGGCTTACTTCCTCCAGTGCCCGATAATCCTCCAGAAGTGGCTGGAACTCCTTGAAGAAGAAAAAACAATTAATAACATTTTTCATATTACTTAATAGCACATCTTTTCTCTACAGATTTCTAAAAACAAAACAAGATAAACATTTTCCATTTCCGTATGTGTCTATACACGTCAATTTATTTTTCCTTGAAAATGTTTCCAATGGTTTTGATTGAAGGTGCAACAATAGAATTCATTTGTCAAGCTGCATTGTTTCAAACCGAATACCAACCTGAACCAGATGTGGCTGGTTTACGTATCATTGAGCGAATGGCTTGACGTACGCGATGGCTCTTATCTCCAGATGACGATGACGATGATGATGACGATCCTAGATGAATATCACATAGGCGTTAAAGTTCGTCGTAAGAGCTCACAATACTAACGCGAAAAAATTCCGCCACGACTGCCGGTTGAAGATGACGAAGAGGTACCACTACCTTAAACAAATACACATTTCGTAATTACAACAGAGAAAAATATTCACTTCGACCAAACCATCGACTACCACCGCTACTGCTCGATGAAGTACCACTACCTAGTGTGAGAGTCTAGTCCCCTATAATAATCGCAAAAGATCTTTACTGCGACTGAAAAATCGACTTCCACTACTGCTGCTAGAAGACGAACCACTATCTAATATAAGAGTCTAATTAAAATTAACAGTGAATATCTGGTTGTGTTTACTTCGGCTAAAGATACGACTGCCAGAACTGGACGATGAACTGCGACCTTAAACAGAACAATACATCGAAGAACATGATTGAAAAACATCAATATAATAATCACTGCCGAAAATCCGCGATCCGCCAGATGAAGACGACGACGATGATCGACTACCTAAACGAATTTCGATTAAGAACTCGGCATAAACCAATCAAATATCTCTCACCACCAAAGAAACGCGAACCACTACTGCTACTTCTGCTGCTGCTGCTGCTACTTCTGCTACTACTACTACTTGACGAGCTGCGACTGCTCGAAAAGCGACTTCGCCGAAATCGTCTCAAAATTTGATTCGCATCGTCATCTAGAACAAAAGATACAAACATTGTTCGATCTCTCCAGAAGAGAAAAGACTAATCTTCTACCTGAATTTATATGATTGACATCAAAATCCGGTATGGTATCCAACTCTTCATTCTCGATTTGATCTCGAGCTGAATAAATTGCGTCACACAGCGCCCGTACGCGTCGTGATTTGCTTTCTTCAATTGTTCTCTCCTGATCATCATTTTCAACTTCATTTGATAATTCACATAATGGGATATATTGTGTGTTTATTACAAAAACAAATCCCAAAGTCAGAAGAATACACAAACTAATCTCAGTTCGTCGAGGCATAATTGTTTATCCTTGTTTTTCGCTATAAGTATTCTAGCAGCGTTGAATAGTTCTTCGAACAACTTCTAGCCGATATGTATCTGTATTAGTAATGTATATATAACAATTTTCTGTCGTTAATTGTTTCGTATTCAGACGAGAATGGGAGAGAAAAGCAATCGCGATAAGTAGATAGACGGATATTGATTAACAGAACAGCTGGTATCACATGATTCGCTATATACACAATAAACAAGAAAAATGTTATCGTTCTCCATGGACAAAAGAGAAAATTATTGACCAGTAAGAAGCAAAGAAGACCGTCAGAAGTAAGCATGATGTTTTTTTCTTACAAAAATATATCCTTTTTCTTTCGTAGTATTAAAACACAATAAATCGAAAAGCTACTTGAACAAAAAAATCGTTTTTTTTTTCTTATCAAGAGAGTGTTGTGAGTTGTTCATATGATGAAAGTGCACTACGGAACGATGGCAAATCATCATCAATTAGATCTTGCTGCTTTGGATATATATTGATTGACAATGACAGTTGAACAAGTTTATTCAATTGTTCTATGCGTTCTTCAAGAGAAAACATAAGACGATTAATCAGAGAACGAGATGACGAGATCTGAGCGACTTTTAATAATACTGAAAGACATTCAATAGTAGCTAATAACGTCGAATATCTAGATGAGTAGAGATAGATGTAGAAAGATTAGAATAGAATTCGTTCTTCTTACTTCGCTTCGAGTAGTTCAGGATCACGTGGTGTTCTCGCATTCACAAGTCTGATAGCATCAATTTTTAATTTGAATTTGTGTAATTGGTGTGTGAATTCACCGAGGAAATAACCATTATCGTCGAACTGCGTTATAATGTGACTCATTTTGCTTAAATCGAATAAACGAGTATGAAGTACAGTGGCATCATTAACTAAATCGCGATCATTACATAGACTATGATGAAATTGAGATTTAATCGAGAGAAGAGAAAGAGAAAAGATCGTTTTCTACCTATCGGACTGTTCGAATTCATCAATTTCATCGAGATTTTCTTCACTGGAATCTTCAACAATCGCATCGAGTGGTGTGGGTTTAACTGTTGACGAAGACTTTAAACTGAACATTTTCATGTTCAGACTATCAACTAGCTGTTGCATCTGGGCGCTCTGATAGGACGTTTTCTCGTTTTTAGCTTTAAGGTTATCATCATTGGAGACGGCATTGGACGTTTGCAAGCCGAATTCCGATAGAATCTTGGCATTACTTGTAGCCGGTAGCAACCGTTTCGTATCTGTGTGACCATTTGAAAAGGTACTAGCATGAGATATATGTTGACTTTGTGGAAGAAACGAAAAAAGTCGACGACGAGTGGTTCGGAGTAACTTACTTTGATTGATAATTTATCGTTTTTCTTGACTTTTTCTTCGTGTATTTGACTGCCGCAAAGCAACTTCGCCATGACCACCAGTGTCGAGTAGGATTTAAATCAGTCATTGTTAATTGGAGAAAAGCTAACAGTATCGGATATATATTGAATTGCAAATAATCACCGTTCCGTTCTGTCGACTAGGAACAGCGACTCGTTTTCTACTGTTATTTTTCGTTGAGAGAGAGAGAGAGGGAGAAAGAGAAAGGGAGAAAATGAATAGGGAGTAGAAAAAAATAAAAGAAAGAAAAAAGAGAGAAATATTAACAAACAACTACAAGACGAAGACAACACGATCCAATCTATGCGACGAACGACAACGATTATAGAAATAGGATAGAATATGTAGGGCGTTACCCTCATCACTCATCTCTTATTGGTAGTCACATTGATTCCTCGACTTCAAATTTAAATGTCAAAAGAAAGTATCGAAATATAAGCTAGATCAATAGATTTCGAGGTTAACAATGATTTTTCTTCCTTCTTCCTCTTCTCTACTAGCCTTTCATTTCATCGGTAGTGTCATTCGATGAACAGAGAACAATATCCATGATTTTATTGAATGTCAATTACTTTTGTTTTGTTCATTTGACAATTGAATATTATTCAACTAGACATAATAAGGTTTCCGATTTAGTTTTTTTGACCTGAATGTTTCGTTCGATATTTTCTTTTGAAAATAACTCATTTAGATTGATAAATAGCTTTCTATTTCCATAAATTTACATTTTTTTCACATATACCGAGCTCTTTCCGCTCTTCTATGCTGCGTCTCAATAGTACCAATTAAATATCTTGCATAGGATCGCGCTGTCGTCAGTAAAAGCAAATCCATCGTCGAAATCTTTTCCACATCGATCATAATAATGAACTGATGAATACGTGCGTGAGAGTTTAAAAATAGAAATGAAGATACGAGATCAATCGAGAAGAATATAGGCAAGTCGAGGCTTTCATTATTAAACGTTACATTTTTTCCAGTCAAGAACTTTCATGAAACATTCGGGTTTAATCTCTTGTACTTACATTGTCATCGACATGATTAATAATATCCTATGTCATATCGCTCAAATCTTCATGTATACGGTAATTGCACATATTCGTTTTATTCTTCATTGATTTTAATAATAACAACTAGATCTCTTTTTGATATCTTCGATGTTCTTTTATTAACACAAACACACAATCAGATAAACATCAAAGGATAAAGAAATTATATATGAAGAATAGATCGCATTCCTTCAAGACTATTCAATTAAAAGATTTCTTCGAAACGATTTGCACACACGCATATTGCCAGAGTATTCTATTCAACTTAACGAACTTTCAATTCACACACACACACATCTACATCACACAGGAAAATACTTTCTACATGTCAACTGGTTTCTATTCAATACACATATTAAATTAGATAGTTGACATAAGTTTATTTCCAAAAAAAGAAATAACAATGTATTAATCACAATCACAATGAGGACAGAATCTTCTCAACAAAACTCGACATTCTTCACGAAGAGAATAGTCCAACTACTTGTAATGTTTATAACTATTGTAGTTCCGTTCTTACCTTTTGCGAACAACTATGAGAATATCAATGGAGAAAAAAAAAAGCAATAATCAATCAGGGACAACAAATATTAATAATACATACTGCAGGTGCATTAGCCTTGCCTATGGCTAAATCAACGAAGTCATCATCATCAACTATAATTGTGATTTGTGCTTTGGCGCCTTCGTAAATGGTACCTTTCTTTCCATCGATTGCTGAAAAAAGGAAAGAGTCAGTCAATAATGAAATATTTTTTGTTTTTATGTCCTTGGACTTACTTCAGCTTTGTTCAACACTGCCAAAGTTTCGTTATATTAAATCCGGACAATTGTGTCGTCAGATTCTTCGAGTTTATCGAGTCTTTGTTTTGTTGAAAAACTGTGATTTTCACAAGATGGTTCTTGTCTACATCAGATACTCTTGACATATTTCGTATCTAGAATAGAACGGTGTAACTCACCATATTCACAAGTGAGCACTGTTTGCTTAGATGTTGGAATATATTTGCATAAATATACGACCTGACTTTTTTTGTTATACTCGCGACAATGTTGATCCTTAGTTTTTTTAATAATTTAGTCTTCTACTGAGATCGGCTGACTCAACAGAAAAAAAAACAATGAATTGATTGACAGCAATCGATGTGTTGATTTCATCAAGCATCTCGGCTAGAATGGATATGATAAAAAAATAAATCGGAAAGAAATTAGCATGATTTGATTACCATCATAGATAATAATAACACTTGGGCTTTTGAAAAGAACTAACCGAGCTCAACGGACTATTCACCACGGAAAAATAACTTTTTTTTCTAATCAACGCAATCCGGGATGAAAATACAAGTATTTCCAGTCATTTTTCCTCTGTGTAAACCATCCATCACGAAAACGAAGCACTTCTATTGCGTTCATCCAGATATTAAGAGTTGATGGTTTTCGATTATTGATAAAGCTGTTTCGGATGCTGCGTCTGTGTGAGATACACAAACTGACTGAACAATAAACAACGACAAGTAATAGAGTTGTGCAGTTATAGATTCGATCAATAGGACTGCGTGGAATAAAATCTGACTATGACGCATGTCGCCATCCACCGTAATTCAATTCATGATTTTAGAACGAGTAGACCGTACGTGACGGACAATATTTTTATCTCTGATGTTGTTAGATGAACGGCAATAATAATAAAAATCATCTATCGGCTCTCTTTTGACAACATTTGATGGTGATGGCAATACTTTATTAAAAGTTAAGCAGCACAAATCCATGAACGATGAAAAAAAGCAACTAGAAATGTGCGTGACAACATTTCCAATGGTTGTCAATCACCTAACAAGCTCGTTTTGAACCAACTCTCGTTCTACTTTAGCTTTACCGGCACTTACCTTACCCAAGTTGACTTAACAAATTTTCAAAAGGTAGACACGTCACGTTCTGCTTCTGTTTAACACATAAAATATTTGATTAGAGTTCAGTAAGAGTTCACTTTTTGAAAACGGAAAGAAAGATGTATCTATCACAAACACAATCACAGTGTGATAATCAGAAATAAAAAGAAAGAATCTCGCAGATTAAAAGTCCAGCTACATGCTATGTTGAACGCACAATCTCTAGAGTTTTGCTTGGTCTTTGAATAATGTCGATAGCTTTTGTGCTAACATCACATTGCCTTTGGCTCTTATTTTACCTTTTGCGAACAACTATAAGAATATCAATGGAGAGAAAAAAAAAGCAATAATCAATCAGGGACAACAAATATTAATAATACATACTGCAGGTGCATTAGCCTTGCCTGTGGCTAAATCAACGAAGTCATCATCATCAACTGTAATTGTGACTTGTGCTTTGGCGCCTTCTTGAGGTGAGCCTTCGTAAATGGTACCTTTCTTTCCATCGATTGCTGAAAAAAGAAAAGAGTCAGTCAATAATGAAATATTTTTTGTTTTTATGTCCTTGGACTTACTCCAACTTTGTTGAACATTGCCATCTTTTGTTATGTCGAATACAATAATAGCTCCAATCTTCTTGACGAGTTCCGGTTGACTTTGAGCACGTTTATTGATTTCAACAAAAGCTGCTTTCGTTTTTAAATTTACTCGAGATGATGTGGGTGTTGTTTTGCTCATTTCCTACAACACCGTTCATTGAAAACTATCAATCCAATAGAGAGTTTATCCGTACTTGTGGCGCGCCTGGTGATGTAGCATTGAACACGACATTATGCAAATCAACGTATCCGCCAGTCAACACTGTCTGACTTGATTCTGGTACCTAATATGAATATGAGTTTGCCACGAAGCAGGTAGAAAGTGTTGAACAAACTTTTGATTCGAAGAATATACGATTTCCTTCTCGCCACATATGTGTTTCTATTGTTTGACCAGGTTCGACAGGCTTCGTGAACCGAACCTAGATATCAATCGGAGTTGAAAAGAGACTTGAATTTATCGGTTTACTTTGATTGCTTTAAATAAGGCGGGATCATCATTTGCATATGTTGACAAAACATGACGAGCCGAATGACCGAACGTACATAGACCGTGGAGAATTGGTCGTGAAAAACCTTTCAGAGAAATAAACACGTTGTAGTGTCACAGTTAGAACTAGTGATGTTCTGTCATTACCAGCTGTTGACGCGAATGCCGGATCGATATGTAATGGATTTTCATCACCGGTTAAACGGTAGAGTGCTGCTTGATCGATCGTTGTTTTATCACTGCACACATGATCTGGTTTTCGTTTGGGTGCTGCTACTGTTGGTCGTTGATGTTCACTAACTTTTTTACCACCAAAACCGCCTGAACCAACAGAGAAGATAACGAATTGATTAAGGGCAATCAATGTGTCATTTTCATCAAACATTTCAACTAGAATTGATGTGATAAAAGAACAAGTCAGAAAGGAATTATTATGATTTGATTACCATCGTAGATAACAACAGCACCAGAACCTTTGTCAAGTACATCGACAACTTTGCCTTTGAGAGTGACTGTACCCGATGTTGGCAATGGTTGGTAGAGTTCAACATATTGCTCACCATGAAGAACCTAGTTGTTTCACAATGTCAGATAATTATATTCTGTGTGATAGTTTTAGAGTAGATTTACCCGAGAGAGATCGATGTCAATGCCCATTTTACCGGAACTGACAATAGCCATCGATAAGGACTGTGCGGGTATCACAGCAAACGTTGGCAAAGCGGCAAATTTTTCGTGATTTTCATAAAGAAAGCGTAAAGCATTTGGTTGACGTAATGAACATCCAACAGCAAGCGCATATAAGATAAGTTGATTGGGTGTATAAGTAAATGTTTCAGTTAAAACATTGGAATTCGCTTGATCTGTATTAGTGATTGATTCGACAGCATTCATTATATGTGTGACTTGATCGGCTTGTGTTAAATGGTAGAGTGGCTTAGCAAAACTGACAATTTCTTGCCAATTATCTCGTACATCTTCAACCGTCATTGGTGCGTTTGCTCGACGTACCATGGCTCCGGATGATTTCTGCAAACGAACTTTACCAATCCATCCACCGGCTACTTCGAATAGTGAACCCGTGTCGGCACATGATTCGTGACACAAATAAAGAACAAGTGGCATGACGAATACTGGTTTAAGATTTTCTTCCGCGCCTGGTGGAAGAAGATCTTGAGTTAACCGAGAAAATGCTGTTGGTGCAATCGTATTACACGTAATATTGTATTTCGCTCCTTCGAGTGAAAGAGTATTCGATAAACCAACTAAGCCCATCTTTGCAGCGCTATAATTTGCCTGAAAATATACTGACATGAAACAAAAGTTCAAATTGAAACAGTAATTCGAACCTGGCCGAAGTTGCCATACAATCCCGATGTTGACGATGTGACAATAACTTTTCCATACTTTTGTTTTCGCATGTATGGCCATGCTGCGTGTGATAACAAGTAAGCAGCTCGTAGATGTATTCGATGAACAAGATCCCAGTCTTGCTCTGTCATGTTAACAAAGCTTTTATCGCGTAAAATACCGGCATTGTTTACCTGACAATACAAAAAATCCCTCAAGTCAAGTCCGGATGAGACTCTTCTGCTTACTAGAATATCGACACGACCAAAGTTATCAATTGCTGTCTGAATGACAGCCTTGGCATCTTCGACAGAATGATAATCAGCCACAGCTTTTCCACCACGTGATTTGATAAGATCAACAACTTCATCTGCTGGTCGTGATGATTTACTGCCATCGCCTGATGTGCTTCCACCTAAATCATTCACTACAACACTCGCACCACGTTCTCCAAAAGCTAACGCATACTCCTAAAGACAATCTCTCATTGAACAAATTGTGTTCCCCTGTGTTTTACTCACTTTGCCTAAGCCATTACCAGCACCTGTAACAATAACAACGCGACCATCAAAACGAAGCATATCTAAAAGTAAACAAAATACATTTTGAATACTCAGAATAGCGCATAAAGGTATGAATTTATTGCAATACAAAAAAAAATGTATGAATACAATAAACATCTAAATAGTTTCTTCTTGTCCAAATGACCAATCCCATGGAATTGATAAAGTTCCATTCTGTGCTAGATTATAGTTTTTGTCAATTTTTAACCGGCATTGAGATAAAACATGCGAAAACAACTGCCGTTGGTTTAGCAAACGTTGACAGCATTCGATTATATCGCTTTTCATTATTCGTTGATTGATTGACAAATCTGTGAGTCGGAACTGCTCTTTGACTTTTTTCATGATATTCTTCTCTTTCTCTGCTTGACTTTCGTAGGATTTCCTCGTTTCATTGGCTTTTATTCGATTATTCACCATGAAATCCAAGATATCAATGGTAGCATCATATGCATTGATTTGAAAGTATCCGCTGTTGGTTACTGAGGGGTCCGAACTATATGGATTGATATATAAATGGAAATTTGTCCACAATTTATGTTTATGTGCTTCGTGATCACGGTTCAGATCAAAATGATGACTTAATTGTAATAAATGGTACAAATACGTGTGAGCACGGCACAAGCTTTGTGAATCGGGATCTTGTCGGATTTGAATTCCGTGAAAATACTCCGCAATATTCTTTTCGTAGGCAGCGATTTTGCCCATATATTGATCCGAGTCAATTAATTCACAGCAGATCACATGATCCCAGTACACAGGTGGATCATTTGCACCTAATTCCAACGAACCATCTTGAAGTAAGCATGACTTATCGCCAAACACTAGTCGTTTACCTAGAATAAGCAAATTCAAGTCAGATCATAACTTCACGAAGAAAAACAGTGAAAATACTCGAGATGAAAAAGTTCGTTCGACTGAAAATAGACTCATAAGACACGACAGATAAAAGATAAGATAAGTAATCAAGTCAGGAGAACTTTTATGTTGAACGAGTTTTTTCAGGGTTAATTAAAGATAAATTAACACTAACTAATTTCGATTAGAATACCTTGTAACGATAGAAGTCTGTCGTGCCATTTATCCACATACGTGAGCAACGTGCTTAAACAGGCGTTAAATTGTGGGACAGACCATTCATCTTTATATTCGATTGAACTCAATTTGAATCTTTCTTTGATACTATTGACTTTAGCACTTATTTCATTCATTAGCGCTTGATGCCGTTTAGCAATCGTACGTGCTGCGTCCACATTACTTGTTAACCATGTTCTAGAACAAAGTGGAACGGTTCCTTTGAGTAGAACAAAAGAAATCTATACTTACTCAATTGATATTTTCGGAATTTTTGAGAAATCATAGAACTTTTCGATTTCCACCACTTTAAATAGAATCTCTCGTTGTTTTATCGTGGCTTTTGCTTGTTTTGGAACATCAACTACAGGTAAACTTAACGCATCTAGGATACTATTCACACTAGCCAGTAGATCTCTTGAATTAAGAGTGATTCGATGAGGAGATAACTGAACCGGTGCCGCTAGAAAACCAATGAAAATTTAAATAACGAATCGCTCGCATGGACTGACCTACGAAGTGGTTCAGTCGCTGGTTGTTTCGTAAAGAAAGTGACAGTGATTGCTGCCATGTATTCCTTTTTCTGCAATCCAGAAAGATATGCACTGACTAGTTGCAAACTTTTTTCATTTACATCCTTAACGAAGCGAATATGTGTGAGTGCAAAAGACTTGGTTGGACTGGATTTACTTTTTCTTTTGGATATTGCGTGAAGAGATCAGGATGAACTTTGAGATAGAACTTTTTCAAAGCTGCCGAAATCGATTCCGGACGATCCGTTGATAAATAACAGTGACATGAATGAATTGGATTTGAATCCAACAAATACCGGCTTATTCGAGAGACATTTCTTAGTAAATTCATCTACAATTAAATGTACGATGAACAATATATGTATTACACTTGACAAAATAGACTATTCGAAAAGAAAAAGTATATTAAAACATCGTCATTAGACTATCGTTGGTATTTTGTTTCTCCACTGAAGATTTCCAATCGGAACCATTTTGATATTCATCAAAAATACGCAACTAAAACAAATACGAATCAGTCTATATGAACTCATCAATGAATAGCTCGACATTACTTTATCCCGAAATTGTTGCAACTGTAAAAGAATAAAAGTTAGGTGATTTAAAAGTTCAGCAAGTGCGGAAACATTAGCTTCAACCTAAATGAAACGTTATTTCAGAAAGTAATCATCGAATTATGGCATACGGCATGTTTAAAATAGCCACTTGATTTCCCTTGAACACTCGTGTGATAAACAGCAAAGGAAAGTTTGGAGCCTTGAACGTAAAAACTAAATGCAATGTTTTCGGGAATAGCCGGAGTGAAAATCGACTAGAAAAACGAAAGTTTTCAATCAATTTCAACTCTAATTGAACATATTTACAGTATTTTTATTTCGCCGTAAATCATCGATACGTTTCTTCTTTGGTAATAAAATATTATCTTTTGCGTCATTAACAGAATCAATGATCAAGTCAAGGTATTGTATGGCTTTATAAATTTGATCGATATTGCGCTCGAAATCAGCTAATTCAACATAGCGTAATGCACGTTCAAGATGTTGTCGACATTCATGTAACTAAATCAGAAGTTATTTCATTCATTATGCTAACTTTCTTTGTTACTTGTTGAAGAAACCAATATTTCATCTGTTGTGTAGCGATATTGGTTCGAAATGCAGTGTTCATTGGTGGCTGAACTTTAGTTCCAGCTTTGTAAATCACATCCTAAATAGAACGAAACATGTTGTATTTGAAATAGAAGAAGATTTTGCTTACAGCATTCGTAATATCTGATCCATGTAGTGTTAAAGTGCATTTGAGTATTTCGCTGTTCCTAGAAAACAGAATCATTGAAGGAAATGGAGGATTAGTTGGCATGTTTTCATACTGAGGATGTGTTAATGATAATAAAATGGGTTTTGCAGTTGCTTCAGCAGTTGTTGCTTCCGTTGCTAAATTTCAGAACAGAATATTGAGAAAGGATGTAGCAGTTGCGATAACTTACGATCATCGGAGCGTCTCAGCGAACGAATTGACATCTGAAATCGTTGAATAAACATGAGCGATGAGAAATATGAAATCTTACTTTAAGAATCTCACTGGTTTCGTTAAGAATACGATCAAAATCATTGCTCATCAAATCACTCAATTCACGACGCTAAAAATATGAAGGAAAGTATTGATAATACATCTCCGTTCGAATACATACCAAAACATGACATTCTTCAATTAATTCCAGCTGTTGTTCATCTACCATACTGATATTTTCGATCTAGAAACAGATACTCAGCTATTACTCATTCATTGTGACAAAACAAATAAAACCGATGATTCATTCGAATACTCTGCTTTCACAGAATTGAAAGTCTACAAATTATTCATTATTGACATTAATCAAGAAACCATGCAATTATTCGTCATTGTCTATGATGAGAATTCACACAAATGTGTCAGTTTTAGCACAAAATGCATAATGTCTTCACTTCTCCACATGATTGCTGTTCTAAAATGTCAAACCGTATGTTCGAGAAGAATTTCAAGCGACTAGAACATCGTTTCGCCTCGAAATTCGAACTTCACCATGAATATTCATGTTTGATTAGATCAATAATCTAATAACGATTTGCTTTCATTTTGATCTAATCGTGGCGTTTTATTTTTTTTCCTTCTTGTTTTCTTTTCTCATGGATGGTCAATAGAATGAACCAATGAGATGCTTAGCAGCTAAAATCTTCGGCTAAATAAACCTATATCATCATCGAAGAACGAACAAACGAACAAACGAAGGTGTGCTTTGCTTTGTATATTTATTTCTGTCTCTCTCTCTCAATGCACACACTCGAAATCCAGTAACGCGACGAGTAGAAGATAAGCGTTCGTGTGTCTATGCGGAACAACATTTGAAGACAATATCTCACCGAATAAAACTCTTGACTAAAATACGTAAGTTACGAGAAAAAATAACATTAAATACGAAACAGTCATTCGTTGTTTTTTTCCTTCTTCTTTTTAGAGTTTCAATGATTGTCGCTTCGCATCTAACGCCACAAAAGGTATATACATTTGTACTCGAAGAAGACAAAACTGAGAAATACAATGCTGTATTTGTTCTTGATTAGAGTAAAGTTGATCCTGAAGAAATATTCGAACGGCATGATCATATCGGTCGAGGATCGTTTGGAGTAGGTGTTTTTCTCTCCGAAGTGAAGCGAGGTTTGCAGTGAATTGATTTTTCCGTTTAGGAAGTTTATAAAGGTATAAATAAGAAATCGTCCAACGTGGTAGCCATCAAGATAATCGACTTGGAGAAAGCTGAAGATGAAATCGAGGATATTCAACAAGAAATTCAAGTACTTTCCCAGTGTAATTCGTCATATATCACGAAATACTTTGGTTCTTATTTAAAAGTAAACGAAATTGTGATTAAACCTTAATATTGATGTACGTTCTTTTTGCAGGGAACAAAACTATGGATTGTTATGGAATATCTCGGTGGTGGTTCAGCACTTGATCTTATGAAACCAGGCCCATTTGACGAACAGTATATTGCTATAATCTTACGAGAAGTCCTCAAAGGCCTCGAATATTTACATTCGGAGAAGAAAATCCATCGTGACATTAAAGCAGCGAATGTTCTCTTATCGGAAAACGGCGATGTTAAACTAGCTGACTTCGGTGTCGCTAAACAATTAACGGATTCGATCAGTAAAGGAAACACATTCGTTGGAACACCATTTTGGATGTCACCAGAAGTGATCATGCAACATAAATACGATTATTCAGTAAGAAACGAGTCATTTCGTTGAAAACAATCTGCATTGTCTTTCTTTTACAGGCGGATATTTGGTCACTTGGTATAACAGCGATTGAATTAGCTAAAGGTGAACCGCCCTACTCTGACCTCCATCCCATGAGAGTCCTTTTACAAATACCAAAGAATTCACCGCCGCAATTAGTTGGCAATTATTCGAAATTTTTTCGAGAATTCGTTGAAGCGTGTTTACAAAAGAATCCTGAGCATGTAAATAGAACATTATGGTGAAAACTAAAATTGTTTTGATTGTATAGAGACCAACAGCTCAGCAATTGCGTCGTTTAAAATTTGTTTCTCTAAATAAATCAACTAGATTTCTAGTTGAGTTGATCGAACGATACAGACGATGGAAAGAAAGTCATAAAAATGGTGGAGGATCAGATAGTGATTCAGGTTCCGATGACGACATGTAAGTTTGGATGATTTATGAGGCGAATTCGATCGCGAGTTTCATTTAGGCCAAAAGACAAAACATTTCGATGGAAATTTGATGGTGACGATACAGTTAGATTATCATCTGGAAATGGAATTTATCCTGTATGTACATTTTCATCTAAAACAACAATATTTCATAATCGATTTTGCACATATTTCTACTATTCTCGTGGTCAGAAATTAGATCTGCAGATATTCAGTAGTATTTTTAGAATTTTCCTTCGGGAATAGACAAATTGTTGACTAAAAATATTTGATTAGATTCATTCGCTTGATACGATTAGGTAGAATAAATTGAAGATTAGATTTCCACAGAATACTGTAGTATATCGATGTTTTTGTACGACGATTTGATTATCTTTTTAGCCCGCTGAATCAATTGAATTAAATCCGGTATTTAAATCAATTTTTGATGATGTAAGTTCATTCGATTATTCTCCCTCTCTACGAATTCTTTCCATTCGTTAGCTTGCTATTCGGTTCAATATTCCAACAGCACCAGTTAGTAATAACTCATCGAATGGTCTCGCACGTAATGTTCAAACTGGTGCTGAATTGTTTCAAAATCTACGGCGTGTATTTGAAAATGCTCAGATGCGTTATCCGGGTTTTAGCGATGACTTTGTTCGTACAATGCGTGAACACATATCCAAAGTCAATTATCCACCACCTCCGCCACCGATGGCAGCGTCGTCTAATCGAAGTAATTCAACAGTCGACGACAATAACAGTCAACTGTTACCTGGTGTTGTCAAACTGAGAATTTAATTTGTCTTGTTTCTTTCTTTTGTTTGTTTTCTCCCCTCTCCTTTCAAAACTATCTCTCTCTCTCTCACTGCTCGATCAGATAAATCTTTTTTTACGAGTGAGATACGTATGATTCCCCTCTTGGTTTCCTTATGATACATATTATCTATATATCCATAATCATTCTATCCATATTTATTCAATGTACATATATTTTCATTTTCATTTGTTAATCAACGGCAACCTATAGCATTCGTTTGTTATCTACACTTGCTATGTTTCATTCCTAGAACGTCAAACGAAACCTATAACACACTTCGGTCTTATTTATATGTATAAATATATATGTACAACAGTGATTCTATTTTACGTTCTCTTGTTCAATCACTATTAGCTTTCTTTCTTTTCTTATGATTCTGGGCAACATTCAACATTTTGTTCATTTTACATTGGCCGGCTTGGCTAGAACCTTCTTCTTCTTTTCTTTCGTTATTTGTTTCTTCTTCTTCTTCTTCTTCTTCTTCTTATGTATTTGCGATACTTGTGAAATGAGAGAAAAATCGAAAAAAAGCCCGCCTTTCGTTTTTTTTTGTTCCTTGTTTCTGGCCAATGATGCTTATTTCAAATATAACGATCGCGAAACAAATAGATCTCACACAAATCTTTCCTTTGAATCATATCATTGCTTCTTCATTCCATATGGTATAAGTGGAAGAGCGACAATGGAAGACTGTAAAAGTAACGGATTTCCAATTGATAAAGATGGGGAGAGCGTATAAAAGAAAAGCAACCATTATCCTCTTGGCATTTTAGATTGAAATAGATTCATTTGAAAAAAATGGCTGATGAAGCTAGTCAAAGAATTGAACAAGAAGAACAGAATGCTGCGAAAGCCGCAGCTGATGAAAATGTTCGCGAATTCCGCAAAGAAAATAGCGAACACAGTGATAGCGATGATGAAGTAGTGAAACACACATCGAAATTACCAGATTTAACCTCATCTTCAAGTGGCAAAACGAAACGAGAACAGCCCGAAATGAATATTCAACTTCAACGTTAAATGCAAGGTTTATATACCCGTATTTATTCAAGCTTATGTTCACATTCCTGCACTTTTTTGCCTTTCAATGTGTTCGCTTCTTCTTATGTTTCGTGAGTTATTCATTCGTTCGTACGTTCGTTATTCTCGCAATGTTTTAGTAGAGAAAAAATAAAATAGTTTTGACCTTCTTGCTCGAGATTCGAACAACACACAGATAAACGATGAGCCTTCGATTTTTCCTCTTCTTTTCGTTCGCTGAACACATATATGCTACATCGTAGATCTATGTGCTTTATTTACTAATAAATTTGTGTGAGATGTGATGCATTGAAAAAGAGAACGAAGAAGAAAAAACTCACATTCATTCTGCTCGTGATTTTCCATTCAGAAAACAATTAACCATGAATGGAGCGAAATGTCGACCGTTGTCTTGTTTTTTACTTTTTTATTCGTCTCGAGCAGCGGCGAGACAAGAGAAGAATGTACGTCTATATATATATACACACATAGAAGAGCAGAAACAAAAAGAAGCGTATGGATAACACACGAATATAGGTATAATAGTAACGATATAGTAGTCTCGGCGTTTACAATACGCCTTACATACGAAACCAGAAAAGTAGAAAGAAACAAAACAACATTGAAATAGAATAAAGGACAAAAGAAGGAGTACATTATCTGCAACGAATGATGAGATAGAAAATGAAGGTTTGTCTACAGGATACACACACACGAAAAAATAGATGTTATATCATTATATATATATACATGTTATTCTTTTGTCTCTTAAATAATTAGTTCACTTTTTGCTGGCGGCCTTTTTGGGACTTTTGGCTTTCTTGGCGGCTGGTTTGCTCGCTTTTTTGACTGGTTTAGCTGCACTGCTGGATGATCCACTTGCACTCGACGATGCGGATGGAGCAGCTTTCTTAGATTTTGGTTTGGATGCACCGGCAGCTTTCTTCTTTGGGGATGCGGTCTTCTTCTTTGGACTCTTGGCTTTAGCACTTCCTGCAGCTTTTGGTTTAGCTGCTGCTTTTGATTTTGGTTTAGCTAGAAGAAGATAATTCGTAATGAACGCTTTAATTTTCGTTGTATCAAATTTACGAACCTGATTTAGCTTTTTTGGGTGCGGCAGCTTTCTTCTTTGGAGCAGCAGCAGCAGCAGCAGGAGCAGCTGCAGTGGCTGAGGCATTGGCATCGGTTGTTGCAGTTGGAACGTTCGTAGCTTTGGCAGCTTTTTTCGTCGATGCTTTCTTTGTTGGAGATGCTGAGCGTTTTCGTTTTCCTTCACCGGCAGCTTTTCCTTTGCTTGACGATCGTGCTTTCTTTGGTGATGCACCAGCAGCTTTTTTGCTTCCACCTGGTGTCTTCGATCGGCTACGTGGTTTGGCTGCGGACGATTTTTTCGCTGCGACCTTCTTTGTACCAGTTGCCGATTTGACTTGCTTAGCTGGTGTGGCCAATTTAAAGCTTCCACTTGCACCAATACCTTTCGTTTGTTTTAATGTTTTATTTTTTGTACCGGCGCGTAATGCAACTTTAAGGTGTTGATTGGCAGTCGCAGCATTTACTTTAAAATTAGCTAAAATATATTTTAGAATAGCTGCTTTCGATGTACCATTACGATCATTCGATTGTGTTATTGCTTGTTTAATCATAGCGGCGAATTTTGGATGGGTGCTTGCGCTTTTCGCTTTTTTGGTTTTATTTGCTGATGAGCCAGCGGCCTTTTTCTTACCTTTACCAGCAGCAGCAGCACTAGCCGATGTATTAAGGTTGGATGAAGCAGCACTATTATCGGTCATTGTTCTTGAATTAACGAAGATTTCTTGTTTGAAAAAAGATGAAATGAATAGGGAGCAGAAAAAATTTGTGTCTGTAGCGTGTATGCGCGCACGAGAGAGCGATGTCGATAGAATGAATGAGAATGGTGGTGGTAATGTTGGTGTATGTGCGTCGTCGCCGTCGTCGTTGCCTTTTTTCCTCTTCTTCCTTCTCCCGAACGACTCGAACCGCACATAGGACACCTTTTGTCGTTCGAACTTTCATTAGATTGTTCAAGCCTTCTTTGAAAAATGGCAAATATTTTCGTTAAAATTAATGAAATAAAAGAGAGATTTTTCTCCGATCGGACAGAGAAGACTTTTTTCTATCGAATGACACCGAACATGACGGGAAATCTGTGGCGTAATATCGAAAAAAATCGGTAATAAGTCGACGAACAAGATGAGTTCGAGTGAATATTTGCCAAGAATTTAATTATTTTATCGAAATGAAAAGATTTTTTTCCCAAACATTCTACATGAATTGGTAGAGAAAAGTGTCTTCTTTCGAATGACTATCGAAAAAGTTCGAAACTCGTTCAAATGCGAAGGCAATTTTGGCAAAAAGCGAAGGATCTGGTGAACAAAATGGCCATACAAGAAACAACACACAACGCATTGACAGCGCATTGCAATAGAGCATCATCGACGATGTTGTTGCCAGTTATTACTTATATTCTCAGAGTCAGAAGACTAGATTCCACATAAATTTAGGAAACCTATTCACATCTCTCTGCGCCATAATCTTCCGTTGATTTAATGAATAAAGATCGATTTCATTATTAACATAAATGACACTAATCTTTCGATCAGTTTCTCCTAACTCCAAACGATTAAGTCAATCGAGTATGATGATTGTTTATGTAATGATCGTGTTTAATCAGTATTTCTAACAACTTATGCAAATACCTCCTTCAAAGTGTTAAGACAGCAAACGATCCGCTGCTCGTCTTTCTTAATTACAACAACAAAACTCGAAAGAATCTTTCATGAATTACGTTTTATATCTCGAATACGTCTACGCATGTGTTATGGTCACATCCGATAAGCCGTTTTGCTCAATATACAGTAAATGAAGGTGTGTGTATATGTTTCTCCAAAGGAAGTCTCATCAGAACACTATGTTACCCAATGATCAAGAATATCATGTCGTTTTTGAATGGAGAAAATACATTCTTGTCAAGGTCAAATAGCAAAGAAATCAACAAAATGTTGTTTTTGTGTGTGGAAGTAATTCATTTGGATTTCTCATGATTGACGGATAAAAACTTCGAATGAATTGGCGCGGCTATCACGTTCATGAAACAACGCCAATCGCTGAGTGTTTATCTTAGTGAAATCGTGACACTTGATAGTGACGGTGTTAGATCATCAAAGTGCGATGAAAATGACAACATCGTAATTGTTATGGTTCAGACGAAATTCAATTGAACAAATTGAATGTATTTATTTATCTATCTCTGTAGGAACAATCGAAATAAGCGTGAGAAAATTTTTTTATCTACTTTACACGTGTTGTTTTCACTTTTCAACAGAATTGTATTTGACACCTCGAAGACGACAAATTCATCGTAACAGCAAATGTAGATGTCTGATTTCAACCAGAATGTAAATGAAAATTCAGCTGTTCGTCGTTGTTTAGAGAATAAATCGAAAAAACGAAGATTTGAATATAACGTAGGACTAGATTTAGTTTCAATTCAATACATCTGTACGACATATCTTTATTCTACTATAAAAAAATAGAAATAGATTTATTCCGAACTGACTTACTTTTTGAATATGTACAACAAGGGTTAGATCTACTTCAAGAGTTAATTTCATATCGAGATTATTTTTTCAAGTCTCTATTGTTCAATTCAAATTCGAATTGGACATCTATTCCGACAACATCTTTGCTACGCTACGAACTAGTTAAACTCAGACCTAAATAAAAGATCAATTGTTAACCATATCTTGATTCGAAATCTATTCAAACCATCAAAGATGTGATTGTTTCTAATCATCAAATCTAACTATTTATCACTCGAACCCAATTGACATTGAGATTTTCTTAATCAATTCAATCAATCATCAAATGTCATATTAAAACTATATTGACCGAAAAATATCATTTACCATTTGAAAAAGAAAAGCGCTTCATTTGATAGATCTATTTTACGCATCAACTATCTCACCAGTTTATTTGTAGACTAAAATAAATACAATAAAATGTCACACACACACACACACGCGCGCGCGCGCATGGTCATTCACTTTACAACAAATAGGTTCAGTTTGTTCTCCGAATGAAAAAAGCAGTTGAGATACATCACTGTTGAATGTTTTCCGTTTTCTTTTTCAAATCAATTGCCAAAGTAGACGAATAAAAATACTCTTCCAAGCACACACACACACACACGTACAAACTAGCAAATCATTCACAATCGAAAATGAATTAAGAAGACAAAAGCAAAAAGAAGCTTTAAACAAATTTTAAGATTGTATTTGTTAAAATGATTGTGAATATCGACGACGAGGAGAGAAGTGGTAAAGCAGAAGAGTGACTTTCTTTGGATCGCCGTTGCATATTAGCTGTATCCAATGATGAACGTAGAGCAAACAACGGATTGCGTGTATTCTCTAGAAAAAAAAACGAATAGAATAAGAAGTTAATCAACATTAGCTCGAAATATAGTCGAACATTAGAGTGATAATCAAGACAAAAGGCAAATCTTGCTGAGAAATGTATGAAGTCGAATCTCTTGAGAATGAATTACGACTTTTATTGTCCACATCATCATTTGTCTATTGTCGTGTTCTCCTCAAGCGTGATACGTACCAAGAACCTTGACATGAAAGATTTTTGATATTGGTTTAATTGCTGTTAACACACAACTGTAATAACCTTCATCCGACGTATGAACATTTCGAATTTCCAGATTCCAATATTCACGATTATCTCTTTCGATCATATGAGTCAGATGGTATCGACTAAACGGAGTATATTTCAAAAGATCAACGAATAGAAGATTGGTTAATTTTTGGGTTTCATTCATGTATGTCACGCGTGACCATGTGACCTAGAAAAAGTGACGAATTAGATTAAGGAGACATTCAAGGGAATGAAGAATTACGTGTTGACGATTTTTGTTTTGAATTATGCACGATAATTTCGCGGTATGATTCACGTAAGTGATAATTTCATTTTGAGTCGAGATGATTTCGGCTTCGGTGTTCGCTGATGTGCCATCAACTTTAAGAATGTAAACAAAAAAAATATGAGCACTTGACTTGACAAGGTTTCTGTCCGTCTGACAATTTGATGATGTAAGGAAAAAAGAAGCAAAAGTTCAACTACGGCATAATTCTTTTCATCTTTATTGACTATATCTCGTCAATGACATATGTTCCCGTGAGAAAGACGAGAAATGTGACATATTGCTCGTATGCATAACACCGTATGATCGATGAAAATCGATCAGTCAAAGACAAGAGAAGATACAGTCATCAGAAACGGTACGGATCGACATATTCGCTCATTCATTTATTTTGAAGAATTCTTAATTGGAAAAAAGAGAAGTGAGGTGTCATTTGGTTTTAATGAACATCAGTCATACAAGAGAGTGATGCGTCCAGCTGTGTATATTTTGCCTCAAGGTTTTTCATTTTTTTCGAAAGAAAACTTATTTAATGAATCTGTATGTATAACGAGAGAAAGGAAAGAAAGAAAGATAGATAGATAGACAGATAGACAGATATGTATTTAGACATACTTACCGATAAGTAAAGTCATCACAATAGAATAAAGAAGACAGGCAAGTGTTGCTCGTCGGACAATAGAAACAGCCGTTAATGTCTGCTGTTTACATTCCATTGAATGAATAGGAATACGAAATGAATTTTAGCTAGTCGGAACAGAAAACGTGTCGTTGCTGTATGGATAATATATGTATATATTCAGATGCACAATTGAATTTGGTTTGTTCGAATACTAGTTTTACAGAAATGATAATCGAACATGTGTTAAATGCATTGAACTCTGTCGAATGATAATTTTCACAATGATAATGGTAATAGGAGTCGGAGTAATCGAACGACGTTATAATACAATTAAACCATTAGATGCCTTCGTCTAGAACAAAGAATGAGAAGGGATAGGGAGAGAAAAAAAAATGAATACTCTTAATATACATATATCCATCTATCTATCTATATGTATATAGTGATTAACATGAGAGCGCATACACATATATGTATACATTGAAAGTAAAAGATGTGAAAAGACAATATATTCAACAATCTGATGAAGAAAACAAGCAAGAAGAAGGAGAGAGAGAGAGAGAGATGAGTCAGTACATTGTTATTGTACATGTCGAGCCAGTTTTATCATTCGAATCTTTCTACTCTTCCCTTCGATTAATCAAAAAGAAAAGGAAAAAGAAAGATCAACGACGAAGTTATCATTCAATAGTCATAGAGTTATACCTGTAATCTTTTCTTCATGAAGATAGTCGCTAGGGAAGAAGAAGAAGAAGAAGAAGATATTATTCGGAAGAGAACGACTCATTCACTATCACTTGCTGAAAGATGCATTTCATTAAGTTGTCTTCTGAGAACGGACGCATATACATACTTCAATGCTCATCGTCGCCTTATCTCGATGGTGAGTCTAACGAGCTCTTCCAGTCATTTATTCATTTATACACATACACGCACATGCCTTATCATATGCGTTTTTTTCGCCTGCCTACGTTCACAATTGATTATAACGATCACGCAATTCGCGATCTCTCTATGTATGTATATCTCTATGTGATGTGTATAGAGAAAAGTAGACGACGACAGGTTTCACACGCTGTCTATCTACTCGAGGGCATCAGGTCGCTGCATCTCGAAAAACATATATATATACACATACATGCACCCGGATGTGATGGTATACTAATGATTACATCATTCACCTGTGTAATTCTTTCTTTCTATCTCGTGCTGTCTGATCGATAGTAGATAATCGGACTTTGATTGTTGGGATGTGTTTGTTTAGACACACCGAACGATCTACTACGCTGACTCCTGACTGAGTCTAACGAGCGATCGATCACACATATACATACATACATACCGAAACGTAAAAAGATAATATGAGCGAGTAAAAGTGTAAAGAAAAGAATTGTTGATGCCAATGTCTTTACTCGTCGTTGTGGCAATTGCAAGGATTCATCACAGAATGATTGTTTTCTGTTGGTCTCAAACAAACACATACAAACGGAAGAAAGCGAAAGAGAGAGAGAGCAAGTGAAAGAACGGCATTTCATACATAGGACTGTTTAGATAAAATAAAACAAAGAAGGGAAGCAACTGTTGATGTGGTGATTCCTGATATTAGAGTGCTCGATGTATGATGTAATCTGACCGTAGTGGACTTTTAGAGCTTGCCAAAACAAAGAAAAAGTTATTTGGTAGCAGTACTCATTAAACTGAACTTTGAACATGACAATAATATCGAATGAATAAATAGTTTTTCGAAATTTTCCAGTAATCTACTATGACATCCTTGAATAAATCGACTCGTATTTACAAGTAGATAAATGAAGAGCAGAAATGGCAAAACCGACCTAACCATAATCTAGAAGAGCAATCTACAACAGCCTGAGTACTCACTTGGCATTGACTACAACTAGGAAATGTGTATTGTCACACAAAAAAAGAAAATATATTGAACATGAAGGATAATGTATATGGAAGTGTTGAAAATTAAACATCAAGTTTTTTTTGTGTTGCTGTCACTGTTGATGTTCTATACTCAGCGTGAATGATGATTGAACAACACTCTACATATAAATACACATTAGAGTGTTGCAGTAAAAGCGAAAGAGTGAATAAAACATGCCGTTCGATGAGCACAATGCAATGTAACAATGCGAATAAAGTCAGAAGAGAGGAGAGGAAAGAGAGAACAAGTAAGGAGAGAAAGGAGAAAAAAAGAAAATGGCATTGAACCTGCGACGTGATGTCCACGAAAGTCACGCACCATCAGTAATATCCCAAACAGAAATGAAGGAAATGCTAGCCAGTTCTTCCGTTCGTCTCCTATACAGCTCAGATTGATTCATACATTCAAATGTAATTGACCATGCATCTATACATACAGATTGCATAAGAATTAAAGGCAATTCTAATCTGGATAGACACAAATTGTTGCTTACAAAAAAGAAAAAAAGAAAAAGAAAAGTAATTTGAGCTTTTAACCATTGATATCATCGATGTTGTATCAAAGAGAAATTAGCTCAATTTTTTTCTTTGAATGCAACTCACTTACACTGTCTTCATGCTTAAGAATGTGAATGGAAGCAAAAGAGAATTGATGTGATGTGTACAAAGAATTTTCTCCTTCTCCGCCTCTCTAAGCATCACATTTGCAATGTGTATTGATGAACAACGAATGACTGAATGAAAACGCATACGAGAAAGAACAGACAAACGGCGTTGTGTTGCACCAACACCACTATCCATCTAAGTGACCCATTTCCGATTCGTTTACTCCGATAGTCAAAGCAAAAGCAGTCTCATTAAGATATGAAAAACGAACACAAGGTTGTCTAATGTTTATCGTCGCGATGAACAAATTTAACTAGCATCAGTTTTCTCTTCTCACGGCCCTTTCAAGTTCAATGAAGCACATCATTCGCTCGTCAGAAGGAAATGAAAGTGATTTTCTTTTGCTTTTCATAATCATAACACAAATATATGACTAATAGAGAGAAAACTATGTGACATGCTGCACATCCGCTTCCTCTATTACCTATCTAGACATCTTCTACCTTCTGTAGTTCGCAAGGCGACCGTGTGCATCGGTCAATGTGCTGAGGAAACATAACTACATTTATCTGTCGCCGTTCGATTACTTAATTTTCTCTTCTTTCTTCTTCATTTCAGCTGTTCGGATTTACCAGTTAATGAAGCAAATGAACAAGTCACAGGATCGAATGGAGAAGACTAAACTGACAATGACAACAGCAGTAGAAGACGAGCTGGAAGTCTATAATTCAATAGTCAAGAAAAACTAAAGGCGAGGAAAAATTGAATCTACTTCCCAATGCTGATCAGATTTCTTACAATGTTTAAACAAGGATTTCCTTTACCAACCGAAATAGACTAAAACGCACAATGTTTATGTTGTATTTCACTTCTCTACACAACTTTGTTGTTAGCTTGCTGAAAAATTGTCTTTGCCAATGTCTATCACGAGCAGAGAATTGCATCGACCGAGATAAATACGCATCGATGTCTACGACATGCTGAGATAAATGAGAAAACTACATTACTAGTAGATTCCTACTACTGTGATGATGATAATAATTCTTTGAAGTGAATATTTGATATATGTAATACGGGTTTCATAAGAGATGATGTCATCACTAATCTATTTATTAATGGTACGAAGATAAGAGAGGATGATCTTACTAATTGTATTATTCTTCAAATTTTCGATGATGGGAATGGTCAGTTGTGGTTTATTGAGAGAGATTGTTGCTGACAATGAGTATCAGAGCGCTGCATTTCTTGTCTAGAGAAGAGCAACTACCTTGAAGAGACGACATACAATATATTAAAGTGTATTCACTGTATTTATTCTTCATCAATTTTTTAGTGACAAGCGAAAGGTCGAATTTCTAGTCCAAGGTCGAACTTATCCGGTATCACAACTCATCTGATATAGAGAAATACGATAGTATCAATGAACGTGTATAATAACAATTCGAGATCAGTTTGAAGAAAGAAAAACAACAATCAAACTTACGCATAGAAGTGGCAAATTCTTCGTTCATTTCAAATAAGAATCTTATCTCGATTATCCAAATCGATCATTTTGCCGGTAAGAAGCTCAGTTTGAAATCGATCACTCGGAAGAAAAGTAGTCGATTATCCGTTTTTCTTACTTCTGAAAAGAATGCACCTTCAAATCTGAACATCTCGGCTATTAATTAACTCTCTGCTACTTCGCACATCAGTTTTTGCCAAGGCCAGACAAATGTCTATGATAAACGACATCGAAGAATATTTCATCTTAGACCCGACTGATTAGATATGACAGATAATTAACAACTTCATAATTAGAAGTATTTTATGAACTTGTGATTTTCTTACCTAAATATATCTGAAGTGAAACAATGTTTCTCGTCTTCTTTCGGTATGTTCATATATATTGATTAATGAAAATGTGTTGTCGATAGTAATGCTTCTGCTGGCTTAATGATACCTTGGAAGGAATTCATTGAAGTCGATTGATGTTCATGTAATTATTCATCTAAAACTTGAGACAACATTCTACATCGAATATTAGCATTATTATCTTGCAAGGCACAAACAGAATGAGAGAGAGAGAGAGAGAAAACTCATCAGTCAAAATCTTGATAGATAGTTCATTGTTTCATCTTTGTTATATAATCCAGTTCTCAAGTTCAAGTTTCTCTCATATTCGTCGATTTCTTTCATAATGTTTGATCTGTTCTCCACCACACACACATTCACAGACAGAAAAGAGAAATGTCGACCGCTGCCAAGCATAATTTTAATATCCTGTTCATATTAGATAATTAATGTTCGTTCTGTTATTTGAAATCAGTCGATGAATTCCATAGGAACTCATATATCATTGCCCTTAAAAATATCCAATAAAGATCCTTTTCAAAGGTTTCCACATGTACGTATAGATCATATAAATTCAATAGAAAAAAACCTAGTGTTGTAAATGTGCGCGTAGTGTTAAGTCTGGAAGAAATTGTATAAATCATGTTCACCTTCCACAACACGATTTTGACACATTTATTTGCTGAGAGAAACTAACCGCAAACACGAAGCAACATCAACAAAAGGAGAGGAAACGAAAACACGAATTCGAATGCAATGAGCACGCTTATACACCAAACACACACACACTGAAATTGAACTTGAGAACGAAGAAAAAGATAAAATAAGTAAGGCTGTTGTTGATGATGTAAATACCAAGAGGAGAAGGCAAAGTAAATATGACAACTCCTGTTCATATCGGCAGACTGTATTTGGTTTTACGAAACAGGAAAATTAAATCGTAAAACATACAGCGAAGGGAAGAAATGTATGTGTCAGAACTCGAAGAAAAACTATTTCTGATCACAAACATTTGCAAATGAAAACAAAAACGAAGAGAGAAGATTAATTGAAATTGAAAAAACGAAACTTATCTATAATTTCTGACTGTTTGATTGTCATAGTCAGAAAGATAGATAGATACATACAACAGCAACAAAGAAATACTGTAGAAAAAGATGAGACAATGATAGAGAGAAAACAAACACGTTTTAAAGCTTATCCAACGCATATGGAGATAGAAGCTAGTCTAGATTATACCGTTGTGCGTTGAGACGGAACAGAAAAAAAGAGAGAAAAAGAAAAACGGTTTTGTTTTAGGATATTATACTGTTGGTGGTGATCATTCTTAAATGATACTATCAGAAGATGTATTTTGTTTGATAAGGAAGCAGAACAAAGAGAGAAAAAAGTGAAGAAGAGAAGAAAAGATCAGACACGATTTTCTTCGTTTAGTGATGTGAGTTTCGATCCATTAAGATTGCCATTGGAACCATTTCGGTCACTGAAATATTCGATAGGGACGATGGCTAAAAGAAAGAGAAACGAAAATTAGATATTCGAATATCAAAAACGAATAGATGCAGTTTTGGATTTGAAAATCGAAGAGGCAAAAGCAGAATATGTGTTTCTACAGAGAGCATATGCAAAGTGAAAGATCGTTTATTTGCTTTGACAGCTCTAGTGCAAATGAATATTGGTTTCGGTTGAGTTTTGTTTATCTTACCCACGCATATCATCGAGACCGTAGGCTGAAAAATATATATCGATTGTGACTATGTTGATATTTATAGAAACTACTATGTAGCTTTAACTAATTCGAAAAAGATACATGCGTGATGAGAAAATGTCAACGGAATCACAATTACGCAGGAGCAAAAGAGATCTTTCTGATTGTTTTCGTACCTCCTTCGGCGTCAGTGACGATAGTTGGAAAATTGGGTCGAACACCAACTGTTTCATGTTCAATTGTTTTACCTTGTAATTGTTCACCACATGCAGCACAATAGATACGAAGTGCGTAAGCTGGTTCTCCATGTTGGAACAGATCAATACCTTGAAAAGCGCAAAGAACATCGTAGATGAAGAAAATTAAAGATTGCAATTTACCTCGTAATTCTTCTTCATTAGAAACTTTAAGTAAACGAAGTAATTTAAGCACTAGGAAGAGAATAGCAACAAAGATAGCTGTCCAAGCCATGACGACTGCTGCAGTACATAATGAATTGAGTAATCCCTATGTAAATATAAATATTGAAGAGATAAACTAGTTTGTTATACTATCTCCGTACCCGCCAACTTTCTCCAAGAGTGATTCGATAAATAATTGAGAAAGTATTATTTGCAAAACTGCCATCAGCTTGAGCTTCGATTGTTCGCCGAAAGATTGGTACAGCAAAAATGCCCCATAGACCTCCACCAATGTGAACTATTGAACAAGAAAAAGAAATCAACGAAAATCATGTTCAGCTTTCTGTTATACCAGCTGCGGTTTCGACAGGATCATCAACATGAAGTTTAATCAATAATTTGCTCCATAACAAGAAGCTCAATGCAGCAATGAAACCAATGACTATTGCAGACCATGGATTGTAAATAATAGCTCCACCAGCAACGGCAACCATTCCAGCAATAATAGAGTTTACAGTCGATAGAAACACACGTCGTTTAAGATGACGGGTAGGTTTTGCGAATGCTAAAAGAGAAGGTTGAAATATAATTCCATTCGATTTTTATACAAGAGTCATACTTTCAATAAGACGTTGTAATAAATAATAAGCTGCTCCCGATGTTGCACCCGATAGAACTGTATTGATCAGACCGTGTCCTACACGATCACCATAGGCTACACCTGAAATACGATGATCGGCGCCTGAATTGAGTACGAAAAAGCCAAATGCAACAAGAATTGCACCAACCGATGTGATCTAAACGAATTCAAAAGCGAGATTTTCTCAACTATCAAAGAAATCATTTTTTTCCATATTTACAGGAATACTGTGACCAAATAGAGGTAATGTTCGTGGCTCAAATCGACCAAAACGTGGCCCAAGAAAGATTGTACCAATCAAAGCCGCTACACCTGCTGTTAAATAAATGATTGCACTGCCACCATAATCCTAATTTTACAAATTCAATGACAATGAAACCCGTTGGCCAATCTATCTTACCCGTGCGCCGACAACATAGCCAAGCCAACCATTTGCACCCCACATCCAATGTGCAAGGAATGGGTAAACAAAACCTGTAGAAATGCATGTAAATCAAGATATTTCTCCTGAAGAGATCTCTCCTACCAGCCATCAAAATTGAGAAGAGTGCATAAACGATAATTTGACATCGTTCAGCAAATGCACTCGCAGCAATATTTGTTACAAGAAACGTAATCATATATTGATAAAAGAAATGAATGTAAGGATCTTGATTATTCAAATTATAGAGATTATTCGAATTGGTGAAATTATCTACGCCTGGACGATTATACAATGCCCCGAATTGTTCACTTGCCCAAAATCGTGTGCCTAAGATAACATTGGGATATCCACCAAAAGCGAACGGATAACCAATAATCCAATAAGCCAATGCCGATGAAACTAGAATTGCTCGTTCTTACTCATCACAAGTCGTTTTCTTTTCACTTACTGAAGATCACAAGTGTTTTAAAAAGACTGTGACCTGCATTTTGACTGCGAACACCACCTGATTCGATAAGTGTGTAGCCACAACTCATTACTAGAAGGTGAAATCATTCGTTGTACATATGGTTCGAATAAAAGCGAGTTGACTTACGAAAAACAATAACCCCATTGAACAGAAGAAAGAAACTTTCAACTGCTTGTTGAATTTCATCAGTTGCCACCATGACGCTGAATTTCGATCGTCAACTATTCAAATATAATACCTAACAGAGTTTTCTATTCTTTGTCTAGAATAAACACAGACAAGACAAACTATAGATAGATATTTCAAGGTTTTAAAATAAATAAGAAGAAAAAAAGAAATGGATTGTTTTATTTTTGAGGTAAGATCTTTCGAATAAAAAAAAAGAAACATCATAACAAATCGTTCTCACTGTTACATTGATTGATTTTCAACATGTGACGCTCGTTATGCACACTAACTGGTAAGACGATATCAGATCTCATCTCATACTACGAACACTGACTGTGAAACAGTATAAAACATTGTTATCAATCCGATTCGATTTCTACGTGTAAAAATGCTTGATAAAATTAATCTTCTTCTTTTTCTTTTTTTCTCTCCTCCTCAATAGATAATCTAGGGAAATGATTTGTTTATTCATCGAATAGAATGTCCATGCAAGTGACGGCTTACTTTGAATGCAACAACGAGAGAAAATTGAAGTCGACTCTCGGCTGATAACTCGAACAGTTTAACTTTTATTTAATGCCAAGAAGAAACGAGATAGACAGAGTCGGTCCGAAAAAAATACCAACACCAATGCAAACGAGAATCGAGAGAATGTGAGAAGACGAAGAAAAAGAAGAAGATCTGTTTTCTCTTTTGCTTATTCGAATGCCGCTCCTGACGAGAAAGAATAGTCCGAGCACGAACTAAATGACGTAATCCGATCTTCCAGATTCATTCATTCATTTTCTCTCGCTCTTTCTCTCTGCGTAAATTTCAAAATGAAGACAACAAGGCAATTCGAGTATTATTTCTGTATAGACACATCAGCACACGAAAACGAACTCAAATGATAATGTCGATATTGAGAAAATGAAAGTACATAGATCTATATATAGACATACACACACAAATATATATATACGTGTTTTATGGTTCTAAGCAATGATTGTTGAAAAGAACATATAACTGTGTTATACATATTTCAAATACTTTTGTGCTTCCTTCTTTTTTTTATATGTCTATTACTATAACTATTTGAATAAATCTACACGTACCCACCGTTTTTCTTTTTCGCTTATGTATACTTATGAATGGCACGAATATAACAAGAAAAGAAATCGACGACAAGAGAGATATTTGGTTGTTTTAGTCTTGTAATGGATGATTCGAAGCACAAGTCGACAGATAGTTCTCCTCTTCTGACAAGACAAGATAGACTATTGCACATCGCTTTATGAATCTAATCTTAATCTACGCTGAAAATTGTTCGCACAGTTTTCAATGTGTCTTGTCTTTTTGGACATACTGTGATCAATAACTATCAACAAATTGTATCTAAAGTTCAGAGAGATATCGATGTACGATTGGATGAGTGCTATGGTTATTCTCCTCATTCAATAGTTTACTTGTATTTGATTTCGATATCATAAGGTCTCGTTCGTTCAAACAAATTATTTTGTCAATTGAACAATGACAAATTCGATTTCAAAAGGGTTATTGTTTTTCGTAAGTCAACTCGCTTTTATTCGAACCATATGTACAACGAATNGTTTAGCGTGGGTTGTTATCTTTCAAGTATGTTGCCGTCTTCGCCTTTCTGTTTCTTCAACACTGTTTTGCTTTATTGTAGATAATTAGTCTGGAAAGTTGGGTTAATATTATGTATTATATACAAGATGCTCATTCATTTTGGGATTGGATTTATTTTGTCTTTCTAATTATTATTGGATCATTTTTTATGATTAATTTATGTCTTGTTGTTATTGCTACGCAGTTTAGTGAGACAAAAAAGCGTGAAACTGAACGTATGCTTGCTGAACGTCGCCGATTTTCCCGCTCGTCGAGCACATTGTTGAGTGACGAGCCCGGTTCATGTTGGGAGGAAACAATCAAATATCTAGAACATCTCTGGAAGCGCGGCTATCGACACCTAGTTGCATTCTGTCGAGCTTATCAGCAAAAACATGGCAAAGTAATATTTAATCGAGCATTTCATGTCAGAATGTCCAGCTTCTCTTTGTTATTTCTAGGCTAAGAGAAAGAACCTATTAGGAGAGAAAAAGCGTCTTCAAAGAGAGTTGTTAGCATACAATTCATCTCAATTACCGAATCATCATTTCACACATCAAGCTAATTGTCCACTGTATCAATTTACAGAGATACGAAATATCCCAACATGTCCATCAACAGCCTCATCCATATCTCCGTATTCAGTCGAAGCACCTGCTGCTAGTCCTGAAATTTCCGAAATTGTCGATTCTGGTCACTCGCCGACTCCCCCCAACGAAATACAAACGAACCCATCGAAGCCACTCGTTCTCAATTCTGTCACGCCAACATTAGCACCACTGAAATCAAGATATAATTCAAAGAAAACGACTGATGTCACAGAAATTATCTGTGCAGACGTGAATATAATTCCCTCAGCAAATAACATCGTTGAACATCTATTACTTGAAACATCCGATAGGAAGGCGAATATTCAATTTTGTGAATGTCAACGTCAAGGCGAAATCAGTGACAATGACGAAGATGATGATGATGATGATGTTGAACAAGAAGAACATAAATGCAAAAAACCACCATCAAAAATTAGTCTTTGTCTTGATCGATATATCTTCTCCTATTTTACAAAATTTCGTCATTTGATCTCCGCTTTCGTTGCCAGTAAATATTTTCGTCGAATCGTCCTCTCGGCGATTGTTGTTAATACATTATCCATGGGTATTGAATATCACGGTCAGCCAGCATCGTTAACCAATGCATTGGAATATAGTAATCTGGTATTCACATCACTCTTTGTGATTGAGATGGTCTGCAAAATAATTGCTGATGGATTTTTGAAATATATCAAGAGTGCTTACAATCTATTCGATGGAATCATCGTTGTAATGAGTGTGGTTGAATTACAAGGAAATAAAAATAGTGGTCTCTCAGTTCTACGTACATTTCGTTTGTTACGTGTTTTGAAACTAGTGAGATTTATGCCAACATTACGACGACAATTGGTAAGACAAAATGCGGAGTATAAATCAAGTTTTGATGGATTATCTTCTTCAGGTTGTTATGCTCAAAACGATGGATAATGTTGCGACATTCTTCTCGTTATTAATCCTTTTCATATTCATATTCAGGTGAGTGTTTGTTAGTTGTTCTTTCCTTTCCGTTCTCTCTCTCGCTCTGTCTCTCTGACTACCTATTAAAAATCTTCGAATATGTTCGAAGGGCATATTCATTGATTTGTAATAGATCCTTGAATCTATCTGAACTAATCTAAACTTCTTTCTCCAGTATCTTGGGTATGAATATTTTTGGATGCAAATTTTGCAAATACATCGAAGATAAACACAGCAATCGTCTTGACTTCGAGTGTTCACGAAAGAACTTTGATTCTCTCTTATGGGCAACTTTAACTGTCTTTCAAGTAATTAAAAAAGTCAAACACAGTTACATACGTGCACATATTGATATTTCACTGATAAAAATTTCGTCTATGTCATTGCTGACATTGTCTTTGTATGTTGTCCTTCATGTTCATATACAAATCAGCAAAAGCAGACATACCCTATTCACGAGGATAGCTCCGTCAGTCCGTATTCATGAATATGCTATCGCTTTCGATGTTCTCGTTTGTTTTGACTCTCATTGCACCGAATCATTCTATTTCGTTTGTTGTGTTTTTTGTTTTTTTTTCGATAATCGACAAATAGTATTCTTGGCATGCATTTATTTGGCGGTGAATTTTGTACATTACAAGCGTTCAATTCCACATCACGTGAACAACTTGACATGAAATGTCGTTGTTGCACGTGTCCCGAAATGGATCTTCTCAGAAATCATACTGACCTCCAAGATCTCAAATGTATACAAGAGAGAAAAAATTTCGATTCACTACGTTTTGCAGTATTAACCGTCTTCCAGGTATCGCTTTTCTCAGACAAATTCTTGTCTAGAGAATGAAATCTAGCATTGAAATTACCTATTATCCGTTAATTACTGCATTCTTTTTCTCTCCTCTATACATTACATGTTAGATATGGATGATTTGCTATTCTCTATCTCTACTTTATGCTTTGATTCTTCTTTCTGCACACACCTGTCACCGTCCTGCTTGATGTATTTTATATGAATTGCTTATGTAGAATGTTGATTTGATGAGAGATTTTAGAATGGGACACATGTTTTTGTCTAGGTGTTAACACAGGAAGATTGGAATGAAGTACTTTACAATGGAATGGAGAAAACAAGTGCTTGGGCAGCGTTGTATTTCATTGCATTGATGACATTTGGAAATTATGTTTTGTTCAACTTGTTGGTTGCCATTCTTGTCGAAGGATTTTCGACAGAGGTAGGAAACTATTCTTGTCCATTTTGAATTTTGTTTAATCACAATGAAATGTTCTCAGAAAGGAAGTAGTGGCTCAGAAAGTGGAAGTAGTACTGATCGCTTAGCCAAAGCTGATCCATTCAAGGTAAGATTCAATGTTTGGGTATGAAATGCGCACTACTTATTGGTCACTGTCATTTAGACTCAAGCTCTTTTAACTGGTGACGTTGAAGTGCCAGCTAATCCACATGAATTAGTTACAGATGATGTCGCAAGTGCGAAAAATAGTAATAATGAAAACCGAAGTACTCGTACAACAAAAGGTACATTATTTCTTAACTTTCATTTTTGAGCATCGGGTTCGTTTGTAGAAGTAAAAATCATGATTCCAAAAATCTCCATTAGTAACAATGATGATGATCCAACTTTATTAATGCTTGAAGCACACAGACGACGAGCAACTACTGTCTCATCTCCACCATCGCCATATAAATCTATAATCAAACATCGTCCCTCCCAACCTCAAACACCTTCATCTACTTCAACAACGACGCAAAGTTACTATACATGTCCAACGCGGGTCGAATCTTATGTTTCGAATGATCTCGCACGAAAGTCATCAACTATGAAACATACAAATCAAGGACCGAGAAAGAAACAAAGTGTTGATGAGAACGACACTGAAAATGATGTTTCCGAAATGTCGCAAATAGAAGATATTACAAGTATAACCGCATCCATCCGCGAACGCAGACCTTTTAAACGACGTGATACAATATCAACTACTTCAATGTCAAATCGACACCAAAATATTCTCAGAAGGCAATACAGTTTAGGTGGACAGCGTTCATCAAATATTGTTAATACCTCCTTGACTACAGGACTTACGAAATCGACACAAAAACAGTTCATCCCACATGTCTCAACGCCGCCTCCTCCATTACCGTGCGTTGAGAGAAACGTTCGCAATTCATTATCTCAGACAAATTCAAATCAGCAAGAAAAAAAATGCGTGCCAATACGTCGAACTGCTTCTCAACGCCCATCAACTACATCCTCGTCATCATCGACGACAACGATCTATCGTAGTTTCATTGAACGAGATGGAAAATTAATTGAACAAGAAATCAATTCATTGGATCCGATGAGAGAACGACGATCGACGCTCGATAATTCTTCGCGTCGAACAACAAAAAATGAAACATCAAGTATTTACGAAACACCAAAACACGAATGTGAACAATTCTATCCGAAAAGCCGAACTAATTCGATTCGATTGATCACAGATGCAAATTTCAATACACTATCGGTCGTAAACGATCAAAGTGATATGCAACTAGGCGTCAAAACACCAAATTTCGAACAAAATGGTGTAAGATGTTTTGCTAAGTACACATAATTTCTTCGTATTTTCCGATTTAGCTTTGTCAAACATGTTTTTCTCATCTATGTGGAACACGTATGTATGATTGGTTCCAACGACGAGAAGATTACTCACTGTATCTTTTCTCACCGACAAACCGGTAAGTGAAATCCACTGTGATGACAACAATATGACAGGTTATGTTTCTGGCTAGATTACGGAAAGCATTGCAATGTTTGATAACAAAGAAATCATTTGACTACACTGTTCTGTTTTTCATTGCTCTGAATTGTATAACATTAGCCATGGAACGTCCGTCGATTCCATCCAACAGCGCTGTATGTTTCGACTTTCATTGTCCATCGAGCATTCATCAGTTGAATTGATTTTTTAGGAACGTCAATTTCTGAATATGACCAATTATATCTTCACTGTCATATTTAGCGTTGAGATGATTATAAAAATCATTGCTAGTGGACTTATCTGTGGACCACAAACCTATTTACATACAGGATGGAATGTTATGGATGGATCACTTGTTGTTATATCTATAGTCGATCTTTTGACAATGCATCGAGGAGGCGGACCGTCGGTAGGTGCAGAGTCTGATGCGACAACGCGTATATTTAGTATGTTACGCGTGTTTCGTCTACTAAGAACATTAAGACCACTGAGAGGTAAGAAGATAGAAGAACAAAATAAATTGGTCATGAACGATGTGGCTTTTCTTTAGTAATCAGTCGAGCACCAGGCTTGAAACTGGTCGTACAAACCTTAATGTCATCGTTGAGACCTATCGGTCATATTGTGGTTATTTGTTGTACATTTTTTATCATTTTCGGCATTCTTGGTGTACAGGTACTTTCAATCTTTACTATTTTTAACGATTTTCTCAGTTCTCTGCTGTTTTCTCGTAGCTCTTCAAGGGAAAATTCTATTATTGTGAAGGCCCATACGTTCGCAATGTGACAACACGGCAACAATGTGAAGATACCCCAGATCATCGTTGGAAGAATCAACAATACAATTTCGATAATTTAGGCCAAGTAAAACTCCTCTGTGCTTTTCACCCAATCATCTCTTCCACTTTCTTCATAGGCATTACTCGCCTTATTCGTCTTAGCATCTCGTGATGGTTGGGTACAGATAATGTACAATGGCATCGATGCTGTTGATGTTGATATGCAACCAATAAGAAATTATAATGAAGCTAAATTAATATATTTTATATCATTTTTATTACTTGTGGGCTTTTTTGTGTTGAACATGTTCGTTGGTGTTGTGGTAGAAAACTTTCATAAGTGCCGTGCCGAACAAGAGCGAGAAGAGAAAGCGCGTCGGACAGCGAAACGCGCGAAGAAAATCGAACGTAAACGACGACGAATGCGCGAAGTGCCGTACTATGCACATTTTTCTCCATGGAGAAGACGATTACATGATATATGTAATAGTAAATATTTCGATTTGATCATTGCGGCTGTCATCGGTCTCAACGTTGTTACCATGTCATTAGAATTTTACTTAATGCCGCCGGTAAGAAGACATTTTTCCAAAAAAAGCTTTCTGTAGGTGCCTTTAGGTTTTTGACTTGGCACTTGATTATTGTAATTATGTGTTTACGAGTGTGTTCATATTGGAATCAATATCCAAAGTAATCGCGCTAGGACCATTACGATATTTTAAAGACAAGTAAATTACTTTTTGATTGAATTTCAAATGCATTATTCGCTCTGTAGATGGAATCAGTTAGATACAATGATTGTTATTTTGTCAATCGCTGGTATTGTCATGGAAAAAATGAAAAGTGGACAAGTACTTCCAATCAATCCAACATTGATTCGTGTGATGCGAGTTCTCCGAATTGCTCGAGGTAATGTCTTTTTTAAATTCAACATCATCCTCATCTCTTACTTACGATTTAGTTCTAAAATTGCTCAAAATGGCAAAGGGAATCCGAGCATTATTAGACACAGTTATTCAAGCTCTTCCACAAGTGGGAAATCTGGTAAGGGAATCGTAATTGTCAATAAGAATCATGTTCAGTGGATAATTTAGGGTCTTCTATTTTTTCTTCTGTTCTTCATATTTGCTGCTCTTGGAGTTGAGTTATTTGGAAAACTAGAATGTAGCGAAGAACGTCCATGTGCTGGTCTAGATAAACATGCGCATTTCAAAGATTTTGGCATGGCTTTTTTAACATTATTTCGAATTGCAACTGGTGATAATTGGAATGGAATTATGAAGGTAAGACGATTTCTCAAAAGAACTTGTTTATTGGAAGACCGATTTATTGAATAGGATGCTTTACGTCAAGATGATTCACCTCACGGCGTTAAAAATCAATTTGTAACTGCTGTAGCTCCAGTTTATTTTGTCATTTTCGTTCTTATGGCTCAATTTGTGCTTGTCAATGTTGTCGTGGCTGTTCTCATGAAGAAACTCGATGTAAATGAGAAGGATTTTGTGTGATACGTGTATTTTGATTTTGCTCATTTGAATAGGAATCCAATCGTATGATGGCCGATGATGCAGAAATCGATGAAGAAATTGAAAGACAATTAGAAGCCGATGCACAAGATCGAAATTATCTTCATCAGTCTCTTCTAGATGATAAAGAACTCGATGTAAGTAATTCGATCAGTTGTTATATAGAATCGATCATATGAGAGTTCTTTCACAGTTCCTAAATGATACGAATACTCAAACTTTTCCGTTAACGAAACAATTGTCTCTCCCGCCAAATTTTACCTTCCATTCGATGGCATCACCCGTAGTGCGTCGACAAAAATGTACGTATCCAAGTTCTGTTTTCCCAAAACAATGAAGAATGTTTGCTTTGTAGCTAAACCAATTGAAGTCGTTAAGGGTTCATCTGTTGCTTCAGTCGTTGGTTCGACATCACGTTTTCTACTGCTACAAATTGATAAATCACCACCATCAGATCGTGAAGAAGAATCGATTCCACTAGATGACCAAATCAATACAGAAAGTATGTCACATCGTCGTTCAAATACTGTCCCATCACGTCCGCGAAAACCTCAAGAAAGAAAAGCATCTACGGAACAATCAACACATCTGTCGCCAACTTATAAACGCAATACAACCAATTCCCAACAACAGCCACCATTCTCACCCTCGGTATTAAGAGCTCAACCAAAACGTCTTATACGTGTTATTGATGATACTGACGATGGCGAAACTCCGAGTGTTAGTACGGTCAATCCAGATGACCGCTAATACAATTCATATATTCCGTCCAGAAACAGAGAAAAAACCAGAAACAAAAACTCTTTTTTTGTATGACAGACAATAGTTTCTGTCAGATAGAAGATATAATTTCGGTTTCACTTGATTCATCTATTACAATTCGGAAAGAGTACGTCTGATAAAATTAACATCAAATAAATTATTTTAATTCTTTGTGGTTTTGTCTTCTCTTTGATTTGACCGGTTGACGTATCTCTCCTATTTTTCATTTTCTTTTCTTTTTCTTCTTTGTGTGTTTGTGTGTTCGTTGCATATCAATATTTTTCTCTTGTTTTATTTCTCTTCGTTTTTTTAATAGAAAAAAGAAAAATTACACTTAGAATTTATTGTAAACGAAGACATGACTGACGTAGGTCTTCATATCGTCGACGGTCCTAATAACATTCAATATTAAATGAACATGCAACTCGATTAGATTACTCACCGTTTCAGATACGGATGGAAGAATTTTACTGAATGCCCGATCGAGGTGTGATTGATGGACGCAAGCGTCTTCGGGTGGTAGAACTTTAGAAATATGATCTGTCATCGCAATTTCCGATGCTTCACGAATCAGTGCAGCGAGATCAGCTCCCCTGAAAATAGCAGATCAGTATGACCTTGCATTCAGAGAGTCTTTTTCGAGTAAAATGACACTTACGTATAGCCATGACATCGTTCGTCATCACTCATCAACTGTAGATTAACATCGGATGCCAGAGGAGGCCGAGTGCCATTCTACAAAAATAGAATTTCATTTCTACTGCTTGCACTTGATAGGAGAAAATGCGGATCGCATACTTTGGTAATTGTCCTGAGAATGTCAAGTCGTCCTTGAGCATTCGGAAGTCCAACGTATATGTGTTTATCAAGACGGCCTGGACGAAGAATAGCTGGATCGAGAATATCTAATATGAATAGAAAGAAAGATGATTGATTTTCCTCTAGGGATGAATTTGTCTCTCTTACGAACCCATTCGATTTGTTGCTGCCATGACATAAACGCGTTTGCTTGCAGTAGTTTGATCCACGCCATCCATCTCAGTTAGTAATTGATTCACTACTCGTGCTGTTGATCCAGTATCGTGAGCCGTTCGACGCGGACACAGTGCGTCAATCTCGTCGAAAAATATCACACATGGATTGGAATCCCGCGCGCGTTGAAATACTTGTCGAACGGCACGCTCACTTTCACCCACGTACTATTCAAATAATCACAAACAATTAACTATAGTGAAAAAGAGTCATTCTTCGAGAAAATATACCATATTCAATAATTCCGGTCCTTTGACTGAAATAAAATTGATGCCAGATTCATTAGCAATTGCTTTTGCAAGTAAAGTCTTTCCTACAAATAAATAACTGATTAGATGATCTATATATATGTATCGAAATGATGGACTACGAACCACATCCCGGTGGACCAACCAGTAAAACTCCAGGTGAGCGAACAAATCCAAATCGATCATATAGAGTCGGATGACGAATGGATGCCTATAGCAAAAAATTCATCGACTTCGAAATCTTAGAATAGAATCTTACTAGGATTGCCATGCTTAATTCTTCACGAACATCTTTCAATGCACCAATATCATCAAATGTAACATCCGGTACTGTGACAAAACCTTCTCGTTTACTTGATGGTTGGACACTTTTCAATGCTTTCTATTTAACGGAAAGAAAGATGTGCGAAACGACGGTTTTCCTTTGAACATACTCGAAAATCGTCCATGGTGATCACATGTGAACTCGCACTTGTTTGTTCTTCGGTTTCGGGTTCATGAATTTTCTGTTTCACCCATTCAATCACTGTCAAACCTTGCATAAACTTGAAATAGTTATTAAATGCAAACTTACTCGACTGATTTGTATCGACGTCAGAATTCATTTTTCTAAATGGACTCATTTTTAAAAGTACACGTTCAGATCTATCTATACCTGTTCAATGCTGCAAACAATGCTTCGTCAATTAATGCACTTAGATCAGCACCGACAAAACCAGGCGTTTTCAAAACAAGCTCGTCGAGATGAAACTGAGGATCAAGTGAAGTTAGCTTTCGACACATCATTGTTAGAATTCTGTTGTAATGTAATGTATGATGACAAAGATTTCTTTAGAAACTTTTTACCTTCGTCGTTCAACTTCGTTCGGAATTCCCAGAGCAATTTCATGATCAAATCGACCAGCACGTCTCAACGCTGGATCAAGTGAATCAGGTCGATTAGTAGAACCAATAATGATGACGCGAGTCATTGGCGAATGAGATAATTCTATGTGAGGAGCTTTTCGGAGACAATTCAATGTAGTGATTTGATACATACCATCGAGACAGGCTAATAATTGAGTAACAATCCGTCTTTCCATATCCTTCGAAGCTGATTCACGACGTTGGGAAATCGCTTCGATTTCATCAATAAACAGAATACACGGCGAATGACGCTATAAATCACAGAATAGACTTTCAAGATTTTCAATGATTGAGTATCAAGATATTTGTACTTTTGCTTGATCGAATAACTTTCGTATTTTATATTCGGAGTCACCGGATATACCTGAGACTAGTTCGGTCGATGTTGTTTTCAACATCGGTAAGTTCAATTCCTAAGAAGAAAATTCGAGTGAGTGATAATTAGAATTGGAAGATGTGCGTACGCCCGCCAAAGCCTGAGCTAAAAGAGATTTTCCAACACCAGGCGGCCCGTGTAAAAGAAATCCGCGCGGCGGTGTTTTTCCATTTTGGATAAAACATTCCGGTCGTAAGATGAAATAGATTCGACGAATTAAATTCTAAAACCAACCATCAAACATTTCTATTTTCATAGGCCATAAAACAACATCACACACTTCTTTAAATTGATCAGATGCAGCAAAATCTTCGAATGTAATCGTCGAGTATTCGACATCAGGGCCTAACCAAAAGAGATTTAGGGCGATCGTTGAGAACGAATATGTCATACCTTCAATGTCGTTGGCCGATGGAGATTCTATCGGTCGTTTCCTTTTTACTTTCTTCGTGGGCTTTTCGCTCGTTTGTTTCCGTTTCGTGTCGTCAGGTTTGGCCGATGTGTCCATTGCAGTCGTGGAATTTTCAGGAGTAGTTGATGACGCCGCAGTGTTGTTTGCATAGAGATTAGCGACCATTTGATTCATAGTATTAGGACGCTAAACTAGATCAGCAAGATAAGATTTCTGAAATATAGAATTTCATCGTAGATTTACATGAGTTGCTTGCTCATCCCATTCCGCTCCAGATTCCGAAGACCTACACGCAGATATGAAACAAAGTTTCGACGACTTTTCAAAGCTGAAACTCACGATTCATTCTGTAAGGTTTGATTTTTCGATGAAACAGTGGCGATGAATTCGTTATCACTTAGCAGAACTTTGTACGCTTAACAGAATTCAAAAGAACCGTTATGATAAATTAGGTTTCGATTGTTCCAATCGATATTCTACCTTTTTCTACAGAATGAGTAAACGGTCGTATCTTCTGTCGTTGATATTCTCTAAAAATTAAGTTCATACATATGCTAATCCCGAGATATGTCTTTTACCGATATCGATCTTTCAAAGCTTGTGCGATTCTTTCTAAACTCCATCCGACTCTCTTCGTATCTTCTAATAGAAACTAGATGAAAACAAAATAACATTCTGTACTTCTTCAGATCATCATAATCACCTCTCTTAATTGCGAAAACAGCCGATCGTGTAACATGTAAGGTGCCGGCATCTGAAACGAAAACATCGAAACACTCACTACTATTCTCCTTTTATCTTTTTTTCTTCGAATAAACAATAAGATGTAACGAATTCGAATTTTATACGCTAACAATAAAATCTTAAACGAGCAGAAACAAAAAAAACGTAGTACATGTTCAGTTGGGTTTTCTTCCAATTATACCTGGTTTACATAAACGCATATCTACACACAAACACACGCACGTGAAGAAACAGAAAGGTAGTGTTGAATTTAGATGAATTGGACATGATTTTCCCAGAAGGCAATGATTGCTTGAGGATATTTTCGATTGGCTACTCGAGCTGAGATCCATTGCGAACGATTTTCGTTGATTAATTTGATGCGGAAGGCGATTTCATCGCGAGCATAACGAACAGCTTCAATCTTATCCACTCGATCACTTTCATCGATGTCCTGTTCCGATGTTTGAATATTTGTAGAAACTTTGCCACTGGGATTGTTATTGTTATCATTATCATTCAATGCTACCGAAATCGATGAGCTTGAACTTGGCGAGATGTGAAGACAGAGATTAATTGTTGTCGGCTCACTCACATTGCATTCTCTCGTTGGTGTCTTTTGAGGAGAAGCAATTTCATTTGGAAACTTCGTCTCCTCAAGAACTAATATCGGTTTTTCATTCGATGTTTTCTTTCGCTTTGGACTTGGTGGAACTATTTCTTCTATAACATTATCAACTTCATCATTGTTGTTGTCTGTACTTTGATCTATAATCAAACGAAGATTACATTGAACATGTTCGGCTGTCGAAGAATACTTACACATTGTTGTTATACGAGTTTTGGTTTGATCGGCAGTTTTCCGACTAGAATGGCGGCGAGATGATGATGATGAATCCTCCATTGAACTGTCAGTATTGACTTTTTTCCGTGGACTGTTACGTGTAGCCATTCGAGTATCTTCGTAATTTCCAGTCGATTCAACATCATTCTCTGTATCCATCGATTGATCTGTATCGCTTCGATAATCTTCATCAGTTTCATGCATATTTGTATTCTTAGCTTTGGTTGATGTTGATCGTTTTCGTGGAGATGATTTTCGTTGATTATTCTTGACTTTTGATCGCTCTTCGAATTCCCGTATTAAATCTGGACAGTTCAAACGACTGACATCTTCCCACTAAACATACAAAATTACATTTCTAATTGTTCTTTTTTCTACTCTAAACACTAATATCTACTCTAAAGTTAATCAACTAATCTCGTTTTTCCATGACAGACAAGCAGCACATCAGTTACGAACTACTCCGAACCTTAATTCGAGATACTTGTCTTGTAAATAAACTTTATTCTAAATGCGAAACGATATCAGTTTTCGTCGGAACTCTTACGGTATTATCTGTACTTGAGTAACCTTGCCATTTTAAAAGATATTCGATTTTTTTTCCATGAACACGTTTGTCCACGATTGCTTCGACTTGGTATTCGTGTTCGGAGTTTTTGTTAACATTGTTCTTATATCTATTTACCCGTCCACGTTTTTTCGATGATAACTTGCCCATTTCACTTCGTATTTCTCGAAATAACTATCTGAAAAAGAACAAACAAGCCGCAATTCGATCAATCTTTATGCATCACAATGTCGATAATAACGAGGAAACAAAATCACATCTCGAACATTATCAATACCAGTAAGAGCCATTAGAAATCTTTCGATACCTAAACCAAAACCACCGGTTGGTAAACCTCCGAATCGTCTCAAATCCAGATACCATTGTAGATCACGTGTGATATCTAGTTCATCTAAACATAGTTTAAACTGTTCGTAACGATGCTCTCGAAGACTTCCACCGGATAGTTCACCAATGGATGGAAAAATGAAGTCAAAGTTGGCAACGGTCGATTCGTCTTCGTTCACTAACATATAGAATGGTTTCAGCTTTTTCGGATAGTTAATGATGAAAAACGCTTGGTTATTCATCACTGTTTCACATAGATAATGTTCATGTGCACGAGTGAAATCATCATTGTCGGAAAATTGATGGAAATCAGCACTTTTTCGTAGATATTCTACAGCTTGTTGGTAGGTTATTCGCGGAAATTCGGTCTGATTGAGGAGTTGTTCGAGATATTTCGGTTGAATGTTGTGTGTCAATAGATGTTTGTATTCTTCCGAACATTTCTTATGAACTTGACCAGCAACAGTACGTAAAAGATGAACATATATATCAAGAAGTTTATCGAGTTGGGTTAGACCTAGAAAGAGAAAAAGAAAAGTAAAGAAATTGAATTTTCTACACGAGGCAACGGTTTTCTCATTAATCAGATTGTGTTCATTGTCAACAGAGGGCGCTACAATGTGTTTGAAAACCTTAATTAACTTTTTATCACCAAAACTGCTGACATTTCTTGTCAGATACATGAACTATCTCAGATAATTGATGAAAATAATGCAGTAATGCTACCTGCAACTTCGACTTCTAACATCCAAAATTCGGCGAGATGAAATCGACTGAAGTTCTTATCTGCACGAAATGTTGGATTCAATGTGTAAACACGACCAAAGCCACTAATAAAAAACAATGAAAATCTCTTTTGAGAAAGACAGTTTAGCAAAATCTTACTTAGCTGCTGTTTCAAGATGTAATTGTCCTGAAACAGTTAAATAAACTTGCGTATCGAAATATTCCTTGTCTTTTCCCGTTGTTCTTGATTTGTACGGTTGAATACGAAAGGTTTCTCCGCCACCCTCACAGTCATTTCGAGTTAAACACGGTGTTTGAATCTGTATAAATCTCTGTTCTTGAAAATACTCATGTATACTGTACATCAATTGACTTCGTAAACGAAAAATAGCTTGGCTAAGTTTTGAACGCAAACGGAGATGTTCATCTTGACGTAATGTGACGAGTGTTTCGTTAGATTTTGGTTTGAATGGATAGTTCGATGCATCGCACGAGTTAATTAACTTGATTTGCTCAGCGATGAATTCATACTCTTGTTTCGGATGATCACTTGGAATAAGCTTTCCTTGAATGTTTACAGAACAGCCGTAGGTGAGATGAGGTAAGCTTGGGTGAGCATTTAATGGTGCAACGACTTGTAAGTGTTTTTGATTGTTCGTTAACGAGCCATCGAATAGATCGAGGAAATAATGAGTTTTCTGCTTTCGAATATTGAGCAGATAACCGGTGAGATTTACCGATTGGTTGAGTGGTTTTTGTTCGAAGATCTCACGGATGGTTAGCGGGTATAATGAATGAGATCGTCGAAACGAAGAAAGAGGTTTCGGTGTTGAATATCGAAGATGACGGAGAAGAAAACAATGTAACATTGGAAAATGTCCAATTATTCGAATTTTGACTTTATTCAGAACAAATCGCACTATTTAATCTAGAATGAGAATAGAATCAATATGTTGCTATGTATTCATTTTTCGAAATCGATCGTTTGGTTTCGTTATTTTCCTAGTTTCTTGATGATTTCAACAAAACCGAAATTTCATCCATGTCTCAATTCGATTGAAACAACTGTTCATCAGCCATTACAAATCCGAACGAATAAACATCGTTGTTTCATCTTTTGCGTTGAACATACCTCACTAACGTGTGTACCAGGAATCGGAAAAATGAATGAACGTCTTTTAAATCGATCGGGAATCTATAACCTTTCGGCACTCTATGCGAAATATCGTTCGATGAAGAATGCTCAGCGATTTAAACAATGGTTACAAGATGAAATCGGTTTTACGTCATATCAGGCGAAAATGACAACATGTGGAATTAGTTCGAAATTGGGAGACGTTCGGGAAGTGAATACGGGCTTAATGCCAATCTGTTGTCCGAGAAAAGGACACAAAAATAAAAGATTTAAAAGTAAAAAATCAGATGATGATGATGAAGAAGAGATAAACACGAAGATCGATCATTCATTACTTCAAGAGGACAATTCGCCAATAGAGCAGAAACCAAATCTAAGTATGTGTGTGTTTTTTATATAGCAAAATATTTCCATTTTATTAACAGAGAAAATTCTAAAGAACCAACCGAGTCATTCCCCACGGACTTTGTCAAACAATATTGATTCAAATAAAGTATCTATGAACTATTAATAAACGATCACGCTTGGCGTACTTTCCTATATTTCCTTTCTAGGGTGCAATACGAGTTGTCGATAGCTCTGAAAAGATTCCTGACGCTGTCAAACAAGACTCAGATGAATCGGACTCAGTATTTACGAAGAATAACACGACCAGTAAATAATTCCCTTTGACTTTCTTGTTTGTCAAAAAGAAATACTTTCATGAAATCTATAGAGAAAAAGCCGGATTCTCCATCAGTTCATGACGGTAATAAAGTAATGAACGAAGAATCCGATAATATCTTATCGATTAATAATGATATACGCTTGAACATGAAATCGACTCTTGGTGGTGACAATCTTTTAGATCTGATGAAAGGACAGAAAATACAAAACAGTCGATTTAAGAGAATACATTTATCAGAGTCCGATTGGATTGAGAATGCTACGAATTACGGAATTGATTCTGATCTGTCATCAATATCACATGAGACACCACCGAATACTAAACGCAGTGGAAGTAATTCAACTACCAAACCATCCTATTTATTATCTTCTTCATCACCACCCTTACAGATATTGCCAAACAATCAGCAGGACACATCTTCTCAATCTCCAGGTTCTTTAAAACTAATTCAAATCTCGTAGAATTGTCTAATACGTTTTATCCGAAAATCAGCTATTGCATCGTCTAAACATGAAAGTAGTGCAAAGAAGAACGTTACGCCGAACTCGCGTCAGACGTCGTCAGCGTCGAATTCTCCAACCCTCAAAAAGCAACTTGGAAATAACGACACAATCGAGTATCCAGATGTATTTTCTAGTGATTATTCAAAATCGCCCAACGATACAAGTGTTTCAACTATTTCCAAACAAACGACTGACCGATAAATCTTTCTTCTTCTTCTGTTTCCAGATCAAACTTCGTTTACTACTGTCACTCCTATGTCAACTGATGAAAACTTTCAAAAACAAACAAATGTTGTCGCTCACGAAAGTCTTCATTCAAAGCGATCTATTGTGATCTCACGAACTACGACGCCATCAAAGAGTGTTTCATTCATCAACGATTCGCCAACGAGACCAGCTATTCAACAACCGACTTTACCGGCAAATTTATCTTTCGAAACATTGGATATGATTCCAACGAAAGAAGGAAAGTCTCTGTCAACACTCTGTAAAGCTTTTATACGTCTGAACTGACTATAAATTCAATAATGGTGTTTGTTTTAGCATCACTTTCAAATGAACAGCCATTGCATTCACCTCACACTGTTCGTTTTGACGAAAACGAAGCCAGTAAACTTTCCAATTCTGATAACATTTCAACATTGTATGAGTCTACTCGTGAAATCAACGAGATGTCAGTCTTCCTGTCAGGCCACCAAACTTTGATATTCAGAATGAACATTTCTTTAGTTCTTCCACCACTTCTCCTCCATTCCATCACGAAAAAGTGATTCAATGGTAAAATTCTATTTGATTCCAACACATACATTCCATGACCTATTTTATATAGCGATGACTCCACGATAACACCTCGTGCCAAAACTCAATTGCACTCCACAGAACGGATAATGGGAGCCCAATCCTTAGAAGAAAATCCTCCGATGCCGACTCATTCTTCAAACGATTGTAGTAGACACGAGACACATTCTGGTGTATCTCATCTAAAACGTCAACCAACTGTGCGCCTATCATCTCCGTCGCCATGTTTGGCTCTTTGGAATAACATTTCCCATGAAAAGCTCATCAGGCAATATAAAAATCGTCACTTTACCTTAGCTAAACAAACACCATCAAATCAAAGTAAGATTCAATCATTTTCACATCGAATCAAATCGTTTTTCTAAAGAAATAAATCAAAATGATTATAATCAAAATTATCATTCGTACACCACCTTGTTCACATATATCGCACGGCGACAATATTTTCGAGAGCAACAAGCTCTCAATGAGCACATTCTTTATATTAATCCAGCGAAAAACTTCTGTAAAAAGTGTCCGAACGATTGAATCTTGTTTCAGATATTACGAGCAAGTTGCCTTCTTGTGGTATAGAAGCATCTATCGATAGAAGAAAACTATCAACCAATCGTATTCTGCAAGTACTTTAATGACCTCTAGATTTGAGAAAAAATAACGAATGAAATAAAATGTGTGGAACGAACTATATTTCGCAGTTTATAACGGAAAAAATACTAATAATTTGCAAAACATGTTCTGTGTAGGATACTGGTAACATACACAGTCGAATCATTATTCGGTCTCAGTACATATGAGTTGTTTCTGTACGTTAACAGGAGGTAGTAACATTTATTTGGTAAATTGATGGCACATCTAGGGTGTTAGTTCTCTGTATTAACTCATCAAAATACAAATGAGGCTTAAACGAAGAATAAATAAAGAAAATATCATTGAATTATAGCACCTGATTGCACCTATTTTAAGTAAATAAGGCAGTATTCTTTACTACGTCGATGGAATTCGGTTCGAGGATACGAGCCATTAAATTGAATAAGCTGCAGAGGTGAAAAGATCCAGAGAAGTGCATCTCAGTTTTACGTCACTTTTCTCGTCTATTGAAGCCCATGATTAAACATTGATAGCGAAATGACTGCAGTTCATATAGTTGCATAATTTCAAAGGATCACCAAGTGAATGACTGACGTTATGATATGAATGTTGGAGAACGACAAATTTATATCAATGCTCGATGACTGTTACGAATTGGAACCAAAGATCATTTTCATCATAAACACTTCTTCCTCATCGTAGTTATTCATGTAGAAAAATTCACCACATTGTGTTCGAAGTTCGCTCGTCGCATTTGTCAACATATCCACACTATTCTTACTGTTTTAGTTTTTCGAAAACATGGGTATTCTTATTGTATGTGGCTAAACATAATTCGAGCAGGCTTCTATTGAATATGTTTCTATAAATAATTCCTCGATGAATGATAATTTCATCGTGTTCGTCGCACTGTTGATAAAATTACTTTGAATTCTGAATGTATAATTATAGAATATTGCCATATGCTGATAAGAAAACCATTGTTAAAATATCTGTCTAACATATCTCTCGTCCCATGTCTCACATATTTGCTTGCCCAAATGTGACATACGCATGATATCCAGAAGGATATCTCGCGAGTAATAAAATCGAACTTAAAAATGTGTCACGGCGTCCTTTTGAAAGGGATCGTCATTACATTGGATTCAGCATCCATCTGCACGCATACATGAACAGATGAAAACACTTCAATTATTAGTCTATGTTTGCCGCATGTTCTCCACGAGCAATTTCATCGTTCGTTGTTTATTAACTTACATTTATTTGGTAAATGAATATTGATAAGACATAAGGTTAATAAATTACCTCTGTCAATGAGAGAAAAAGTACTCACATTGAACAGACAGCGCTATAAATAACGAAATGTTTTCACATATCTTTGCTTTTCATTGATAATGATACTCAAACTATCGTAGCACTTATCCGAGTTTCTGAATCAAAATCGAATGAAAATGAACTACACGTGCTCATCTTGTTTGAATAAACATTAAATGACGACACCAATGCCCTCTTTTCTACTCACGTGATTGGTACAGTACAAACGCCTATTAGCATTTGCATTTCTCAGCTTCCGTTCCGATATATTTTTTTTCTATTTTCTTCCTCAACTGTTACTTCAATATAAAATGCAACGCATTTTCACCTTTTTATTTCACAAGTCACAAACAATATAAATTGAAGTACGTTTAACATTCTTCTAAGACAAAAAAACAATTAAGAAGATGTGTGACTAGATAGTTTCGGTGAATCACCTCACTCTTCGTATTGTTGGGTACAAAATAAAACAATAATAGTGATGTAATACGTAGAAAAGAAGTTATATTTATCCATTTAGAAGATAGTGAGCACTCTGTTTTGCTTTTTTTCGCATTGTATTTCGTGGCAAAATGAAAACAAACGATTAATATCTAGTGCTTTCTTCTTCATATAATCAATTGGCCAATAAATACTCGCATGAGCGTGAAATCAAATAGAATCTACCATTTATTTATTTACATTTTTCGCACTTTTTTCTCTTATTAGCTATTTCGCATTCTTCGTTCGATTATCATCTGTAATAAGTATAACAAATGTCGACAGCGCCCATCGATAGTGGCGGGTCAGGCGGTGGCGTCAACCGTATTCTCTCACATTTCACAACTGTTTACCACCCAAATGCGGACCGTGCTGGTGAAAATCGTGTGACCCCGACTAGTACCTCATCTGCTATTCCTATCACAACACAATTATCATCACCATCACTTCCAGAAACTGAGGATTCAACATGGATTAACACATTTACCAAAGTTGATCGGTTATTATCTGGAAGTTCACTTCATTTATTCTATCGTATTATTGACATTACACTTCTATTGATTGGTTTAACAACAAGCAAACATGCCTGTCAAATGTCAAATCGTTTGGCTATAACATCGATATGCTTATTAATATTTTATTTTATTGATTTAACAATTATTCTTCTTCTTTTCATTCGGAATGTAACTCCGAGAAATTCGAGCTTAAGTGAAGAAGAAAAACTTGCACAATTGCGGAGTGCTTCGGCTTTACGAGGCTTTTTCGTGTTTTTCAAACTCATTCCTGTATGTGTTGGAACCGGATACTCATTTTCGCCAGGAGCAAATGCGATTACTGATTGTGAATCGATACGTTTTTGTCTTGGTATTGTTTGTTTGAGTACATGGCTACTCATCCTCATTCCACCGACCAAACCCGAACTACCAGTTCGACGTTCATTCATTGTCGAATGCTTTATCCTTGTTTTCGTCCTTGCTATCAATTTAACCTACATCGGAACAGTGACAACAGCCATGAAAGGCGTCGAACAATCAACATGTATATACAATAACAGCGAAGATCTGTATCTGAGATCACCGTTGAAGTCATATGCGTTTGTTGGTTTAATTCTCTTCGGTTGCACCACCATTATTCATATAGTAAATTTAACTATTAGTCAGTTATGCCTGCGATTGAACCGTGGGCGACAAATTTACATTCGCTATTACGCTGTACAATATATCGTAAACTATTTGGGTGCCATTGCTGTGATTTATTATTTTTCTGTCGGAGCTTTATTTTTGTTTCAACCACGATCAGGCCAACCGTGTCGAGCAGATGCACCGGAATTGTATCGAGTACTGTTGATTTGGGAATGGATTCGAATCCTATCGCCATTGATCGCCATTCCATTGATTTGTGTATTATGCTGTTTAGGAGTGTTTTTCGGAGTTATTTTAAGTTATTGTTTACCTGCATCGATCACTGTGCCATTGCTGGAATCGCTTCGAGTAGGATGAATAGGTCTTGAAAGTATTTTGATTGAAATTATGTTGAAGGGATGGCTGTCCGCAGCGCCAATGACAATCAATACGAACCCACCAGCATCACAAGAAAATATTGATGCATTACCTACGATCTCATTCGGACAGGAGTCCGATCAATTTAATCAAACTGACTGGTAAGACTGAAGTCATACGTCTGATTATATTCGTTATTTTTCTTTTCAGCGCCATATGTCGATCAAATTTCGAAGCGAATGAACAATTGAAAAAACTACAATGTGGACATCTATTTCATCCAGAATGTGTGACTAACTGGTTGTTAATAACTCGAATATGTCCGATTTGCCGACAGCGCATGTCCGTAACAAATTTATGAACGTTTTCTATTCATATCGTTCGTATTTGAGTTTTTCACCTGAAATTGATCTCTTTCTCTCTATTTATGTATTTATCTATGTTTTCTTATCATTACATTGTTCTTTCTTTTCTCGAAAACTAATTCTTTGGTAAGTCAAAACCATATACTTGTTTTTGCTCCTTTCTTCTCACACTGAACACTTGTGACGTCTAGAGACAAATAGTTCTCTGCTATTCCGTTATGAAACTGTTGTCTTTCGGTGAATATGCCTATTTTTGAATATTCTTGTTACACAGCGACAACAAAAAACAATATAGAAAGTGCACTATGAATTATCTGTATTGCAATTTGTCTTCGCATGCGAATTAATTATCGACTGTTTAAATTTCGAAACACCAATCGAAATGTTTTTCTCATCAATATATAATTACTTCGTTGACAAACAGAACCATTCATTTCCATCTGTTCTAGACTCCTTTACCCATCAATTTATGACTCATCCGCTTTTCTCCCTTTCCTAATGACATATACAGGACGGGTTGTTGAAAATAAATATTTGATGTTTCATAGAAGAAAATTCATTATTTATAACCGTGCTGATGATAACTGATATACATGGAAGAGCAAGACATAGGGGAGAGATTTTTGACCAAAATGAATGCAAATGAGAAGTGTAGTGACAGCTCATCGATGTCGGCAGAGGTAAATTTGATCACATCAATGGAACATCTTGATTATTTCTTTATAGAAACGATATCGCGCTCGGCAAACAGCAAAAATTATCTATCCGCCCTTATCCTCTATACCAGATGAATCGTCCAAATGGTCCTTAAGACCTGATGGCCGTGAGTTATACGAATCAGTTCGTATGGATCCCGAATTGAACCAAAAGGAAAACAATAATTCTCACGAAAGACATCCGATGCAATATGAAGATGGTACTCTTACAGTACTTTCGCAATGCTCAACGCACTATGATCATGTCTTCCGTCTGTAATAAGTTTTTCAAACTTCAAGTTTCTCTAGTTATTTTCTTTATACATATCAATTATGTTTATCGATTTGACAAAATGTTCCCAAGACTTTTCAATTATTCTTTTAAAATACAGCACCATTTAGCGTTCGAGTTCACGTCTGTAATGATCTATTGAAATGCAACTAAATAGAGCCTCAAGCATGACATTTTGCGCCATTCCACCTATGACTTGTTCAAATCACGGATTCGTACCAATCATCGGTCGACTAGTTACAAAAAGATTCAAACCTTTTACTTTTTTCATACAGCGCATGTTTATATTTAAAAAAAAGAGAATATCGAAGATAGTTTCTGATGGTAAATTTCATAATCAATTATCGAAGACTGGTTTATCACCAGGTGGAAGAAACGGTGGATTAACAAAACGTCGACGATGTGTTTCACCCAGTTGATTAATTCGACGCATGTCAGTATCAGACAATGCAAAATCATAGATATGAGCATTCTCAGCTAATCTCTCCGGTGTCACAGTTTTCGGTATAACAACAAGACCGTGCTGAAGATGCCAACGGATAATAATTTGTGCCGGCGTTTTATGTTTTTCTTTGGCGATCTCTTGAATAACTGGATTGTACAAAGCCGATGCATCTTCCTCTCGTTCGTTCTCTCGTTTTAAGTTTGATAATGGGGAGTAACTTGTGACAACAATATCGTTCTTGGCGCAATATTCACGCATTTCAGCTTGGTTGAAATACGGATGCAGTTCGATTTGATTGACAACTGGTCGAATACGAGCGATCTGAAGAATTTCATCGATTTGAGATTGATTAAAATTCGAAACACCAATCGATCGGACTAATTGAGCATCAACTAGTTTCTCCATCGCTTTCCATGTATCAGCAAGTGTCACATTCTCAGCATAGAGTCGTGTTTTCTCACCGTCTTTTTGCGACCAGACATTATCGGGAATGTTCTTGAATGCAACCGGCCAATGAATAAGATAAAGGTCAATGTAATCTAAACGAAGTTTTTTCAAACTGTCACGCACTGCCCATTCAACATCTTGAGGTTCATGGTGCTAAAGAAAAGAAAGCTTTATTTGTGATAAATCAACTAGAGCTCATCGAATTTACTTGATTCCATAGTTTCGTTGTAATGAAAAGATCTTCGCGTTTGACTGCTCCTTGACTTTGTTCTAGAGCTTCATGAATGCCATTTCCAACTTCATGTTCATTTTGATAAATCCAAGCACCATCAAACAAACGATACCCATGATTGAGGATGGCTTCTCTCACAATATTCTGAACTTTACCAGGTTCGCTTCTCCATGTTCCAAGACCTAAATCGACGTAATGAATAAATACTGTAAAGCATTTTCAATACGATCATTACCGAATCGTGGCATAGAATTGTTATCATGAAACGTCACTCGCGAGTCTAATGTTAATGTTTTGTCGTTATGTGGAATCATACTTGCCATGGAAGTAATCTGAAATATGAAAAAATCGAATATTCCGTTACAAAGAAAATTCTTGTCGTACATTCGAGTGCTGCTTCGTTGGATTTTTAGTGAACTGAGAAAAGTACCTAGTCGTGTTTCTTACTAAATACATCAGCGAAATCTGCTATATAATAATGATATAGTGAAAAGAAAGAAGAGAAAAGAAATGACGTCATATCAAAACAACCCTCGTTTTGGTTACTTTTTAGACATGAATCTTTTGCACCAAGAAAACAAATAACCGCTGTGGTTATATCTAATCTCAATGTAAACTCGAAATGATTTTAATGACAGAAAGGTCGTTGCAAAGATAAACCGTATTCCACCCGTTTATTTATTGACTTAGAATTTGCACAGAAAGTTTCTTTTTTCCTTCGAGCGTATTTGATCGAAACAAGTATAATATACAGTTAAGATAATGAACTAGACATCACAAATCATCGTACGAATCTGTATCGCTCGATGAGAAATTTGAATGATTCGTATCTTCATTCGTTGACGAGAAAATATCCAATGCAAACGACGTCGTATCATGTTTAACTGGCCGTACAGCTGTCGTCACAGGTGTATAAGAAGACGATATATTTTGTGGCGCAGATGAATCGACTACTGTCGCTGATGTGACCATTGAATTTGATGTGGTGAATTGTTGTTGTTGTTGTCGTTGTAAGATTTGTTCACTGATCCGACCGAGCAGACCACGTCTCATATCGATATTTGTTGGATAGGGTCGCCGTAGATCGCCTTGCTGCCAATTATCTGGTGCAACAGTTGAATAACATGACGCTAATTGATGAGCATAACGAATGATTGTTTCTGAAGGGAATGTTTTCGCCCGACGAATATTCGCTAATTTTTCACGGGCTTGGTAAACTGCTGACGAAAGAACTTGAACTGCTTGTAAGAGATATGTCTGTAAGCAGCGTAGTGCGCGATCACATTTGAGAATCTCATCACGTTTGATCTGTAATTGTCGTTCGAGCTCCTGTTGTTGCCGAACAATCTGAATTTGTTGTGTTAGATAATTCTGCCGTTCAATGAACATATCGATGAGCGTTTGAGCATTGAGATTGGAAGTTGTGAACGAGGGATTGTATAATTGAGAAATGATTTCACGACAGATGGTGTCCATTTCTTGTAAAAGTAAATCTAATTTTCGACGTGTACTCAAATTGGGATTCTCGACAATTTCAGTCATTTTGAGAGAAATTGAATTTGTTGTTTTCCGATTCAGTTCGATTGCATTTAGGTTAGGTGTTGTTCGATAGATCGAGAGATGTCCAATCGAAACGAGAATTTTTCGATGCTGACCTCTATAACGAGTTTTTCTTTCTCGGTATTCAATGGATGCATTTGACAGACAGCAGCTGATTTTCTTCTTCTCGCGTATACTTTTGTGGTGCAGAAAGGGCAAGCGATTGTCGTATTCTCTCGTCTTACCCATTTGCCCTCTTTTTAGTTGATGCAGCGTTAAATATTCACTTCAAATATCTCGAATAGATCATTATATTTGATTTCTGTTGCTATCTAGAATATATGTTAGTGGGATTTTCATTCGAACGAATCTAATTTAACAAGAGAAAACACTATTCTAACATGGCACTCGGGCCATCAGTACCAGCATCGGCTTTTGTAGTTGTTTATAATCCATCTCAGGTACAGCACAAGTCGACTTTTTCGGATGAAAAATTTCAATTTTGAATTTAGTATATCAACACGATTACGAATGGTCAAAATCCTGAACGAATCGAAGCATTGAAACATCTGCTGGACTGTTTAATACAATCGGATATCGATCTGGTAAGAAACAAACATATACAGGATCGATATAAATTTCGTTTGTAGATCACACTCGGAAGCATTTGGTTATGTGTTACAGGTTTATTAACCAATGAAGAACAACAAGGGTCAATAAATACAGAAACTCGTTTGTTGGCATTGAAATGCATAGTAGAATTAATCAAAATCGATGTAAGTATATTGTCAAATTTAGAGTAGATGATTAGATAGTCTTTGAAATTTACGTGAACGATGCGCATGTTTTCGTTGATATGTCGTATCTGATTGTTGACCGAACGATTTTAGAAAACGACTTATTGCCGATGATTTCCACCATGTGCTGAGCGTTTTTAATCGATGCGCAGGATGATTTGAGGATGTGGAGGCAAAGCGCATATTAGGTGTTGAAATTGATCGATTGATCGATTCGATTTCATAGTGATGCTTCTTCTCGTGATGACGATGATGGATTAAGTGGCGGAGAAGACTTTTTCGCGAACGATGAGAGGTTGTGACAGCATGTAGTTGAGGTGATCGAGTCGGAGAATCTTTTCTTGAATACATTGAATGAGATTCGATATTTTCATCGGAATCTGTCTAGAATGTTTTGAACATTCTCAAGAATTAGTTCGTTGATGAAAATCGTTACTAACCGTAACTGCATCGTCATTGATATGGTGTCGATTTCGAATGATAATAACGAAATCTTTTCCGATGATGGTTTTGTGGTGACACGGCTGAAAAGAAAAGTGTTAGAAGTGAAGTTTATGTAGTGAAAATTGTTTTACTGAATGATCTATTTCGTATTCATTTTCTGGTAAATCAAATACCGATGTAAGTGATGCAAAGGTCACTGATTTTTTCGATATACTTCGCGATATATCAGATGTTTTGATGATTGATCGACGACGTGGACAAATTTGTTGTTGTTTTTGCTCATTACCAGCGTGACTGTCATGTTTTTGTTGTTCATTAGTTCGATTTTCCAAAACATCATTAAAATGACATTGCTGTTCGAAATTCATTAATGAAAGATGGTATGATTGATGATATTTTGCATTTTTCAATAATGAATTACGAGAAATACATTCTAAGGAACGGGATTTTCTCTTTTGACAGCTTGAATTCAACATTTGTTAACTGAAATACAAAGATCGTTTCGTAAATTTGTGTTTTTCGACTCGACTCATTCATACCCGGTTGTATAATAACGATTAAGCACTCAATTGAATTATTAACCTTGATAAGTGTATATTACGAGTGAAGAGTCATTTAATTTTCGTCGATGAGCTTTGGAGAAAGAGAAAAAACGAGAATCGTCGACGTTTATCGCCGATTTCTCGTTTATTTTATCAATTATCTACCTGGCTTGCACAAAAATTTATTTTGAGAACATCCCTATTGACGCTAATAAACAAGTCTAATTAAACACATTCTATTAGACTCGGTGAAATATTCGAAATAAGCGAAGAGTTATATATAGAAATGATAGATAACTGACACAAAAAAGCAATTTTTCTGATTGATTGATTCGACACTTGTCATTGTATTCGAATATTTGAGGAAAATTGCAATAGAAGTGTAAAGAATGCCGTTGTAAGTGATCAGATCGGAATTTCTAAAGAAAAAATGTGAATACCAATCGAACTGATTTTGTTTATTTCAGCAACTACAGCGGCGATTTTTTAATCTCTGGCTTTCATTCGATTTTCTGATTCGGTACAGAATCGAGAATGAAAATGACGCCGGGTTATGGTAAATAACGAAGAAATTCGACGAATTTCTGAGAATTTCTCTTTAGGCTTGAATGTTTCTACTCGTTGACTGAAAATGGACGACGTATGGATTATATCGATGATCGTTTACGAGGTAGGACGAACCTTTGTCGAGAGATCGTCTTCATTCTCTTGCTGATTTAGTTCGTATTCTAACTAAATTGATTAATGCAGTTCTAACTAGTCCAATGAGTCGAAACAATCATGCAAATCAGATTTTGAGAGAACTCTTCACAAATCTCTGCCATTTGCGTTACGATGAAATATCTGTCATTGTGGAACATATTTTCGAGTATTTAAATCATGATGAGGACGATGCATCTAATCTCAATCGTAATCTATACCAACAATCAATTACTGTAAAGTTCCTCGAAAGAAAAATCTTTTTTAACTAATCGAGTATTTTAGAAATGTCTTGAGATTTTGTGTTGGCTGATTGATTATCATACATTAAACACAACACTATTACACTATCTTATTCAAAATATCGTAGATTTACATGATAAATACACGTTTTCTGCAACATTAAATACTGAATTATTACAAGTAGGTTCACTGCCAAACAACCTTTCTTTTCCAACATTCACTCTCAAATTTAGTTAATCACCACCCGCTTGCCAAAAAATCCGAGTTACGGTATGTCCGTCATATCTATCCTATGTGGTATAATTGTTGAAAGGTAAAACCCATTGAAATTTCCGGTCGGTCGTCTTTGTTCAATGTTAATTTTAGATTAGAAACACCGATGAATGACGATATTGATCCATTGTCAACTCTTTTATTTGTGTTAACTCAAACACTGATCGACATTCGTCAGTACCGTTCGATTGATCAACATCACGTTCAACTATCGAACACGGACATCATTCATCAGAAATGCTTTCAGAATACAATTCAGCAATTACCATTATGTTGGTTGACTGTTCTCCATCAAGTTTATGTTAAACGTCAGAACGTAAATATAATCTTGATTAACTTTCAACAATTTTTAACGAAATTGAATGTGAAAACGCCGATGTGTGCCTTGAATTTGTTCAATATGAATGTTTGGAAGATGATGCACGAAATCATGAAGATTTGTCATCAATATTTAGTCGTAAGCAATCATTTTTGCATTGACATTTCTCACAATGTATTTCTCACAGATTGATAAAAGGAGTCCGACAACAGTTGCGATGTATGAAGAGTGTTTGATGATTCTTGCGAATTTAGCAAATCAATTGTGCTGTTTACCACATACAATGGTCACGGATTTATTCGATATCAAACGTTTGACTTTAATACAGGTAAGACTTCTTTTCTTCATTTCAATTTTGAGATCTACCGAAACAGTCTGGTAGTACACTTGAGTAAACGACAGATTGCAGTTTTAGAATTGAAGTACAACCATTTGAGTCTCTGTTGATTTAGAAAACTCCACTTCGTGAACAAATGTTCAAACAATCCTATGCAAAGTTGTTATGTTTGATTCGACCAAATAATTCGGAATGGTCATCAGCATTGAAAGAAGTCATCGAATACATTATTTTGTAAGATTTTCACGGAATTTCATTAATTAATCCGTTGGTTTTGTCTAGAAATGCAAATGAGGCAGTGACCACGCGAATCGATGCGTTAACAACCGTATTCGAGAAATATCTATGGTTTAAAATGACCGATCAAGTAAGATATGCTCTTCTTTTATCAAAACGAAGTCAAACGTGAATCTGCTTTCATTTAGGTCACCACGATCGGACAGATAATTCTGGATGCGCTAGAAAATTTGATTCATATTGACTTGAATGCGTTGACAGAAGACGAATTTCTATCCAAACACGCATTGATGAAACAGAATGCCGTGAAATCTATCTTCGAACACTTTCTCTCCGATCATTCAATCGATTCCACAATCGCCAATCATTGTTACAAGATCATTAAAACAGTAACACATTTCCTTGTTGAAAAAAAAATTGCTTTCGATTTCGTGTGTAGGTCTACGAACAAGATTGTGCTCATATCTCGTCGATTCAATCGATTCATCGGCCACTGATTGAAATTATTCTTGAACAAATGTATCTGCTTTTTGAAAATAATCTTTCCTATTCACGTCTAACATCGGTCAACCATTGTTCGTTTATATTGGATTTCTTTCTACAGCAATGCTCGTCGAATTATGCGAAAATCGTTTCGTTTGCTCAAACGAAAATTCGCCTTCTCATCTGGCAGTTGTTGTTGAATATGCGGCTACGCTCATCGGATTTGGCGATTGGAATGATTTCATTTAAAACAAATCTCATCGTCTATGGAGTTTATCGGTAAAATTTCCGAATGAATCGAATAAATCGATGATTTTGAACTTTTTAGATTGGATACGGAGCATAAAGCAATTGAAAATGAGAACTTGCTTGATGTTGCGGGATATTTAACATATATGATCGATTGGTTGAGCATGGTAAGATGAATTTCGAACAAATTTCCTCGAAGTTTTGTATTTTTCGTCGTGAAGGAATCACCCGATGTGATGAATATCATTTTGGAATACGTCTGCGCATTTCTGAAAGAACAATCAATGATGAAACTAAGTGGAATTAATATTGAACAATTGATTTCATTTCTAATCGACAAAGTACGATAAGGCAACCGAATTCGATTTGAAATCATATTTTTCTTTCAGTTTCACGACGATCTATTGAGCAAAACTCAGCTATCACCATCGTTGAAATGTCTTCTCGTCTGTACTAGTTACAGAACTCAAATATCTCATCTCGATTCACTCATCAATTGCTTTCTCGAAGCAATGGATTCATCGAAATCTTCATTTATCGTCATGGCCATTCAAGCATTTACTCTCTCATTAGCGAATCTTTCGTACGAAATTCAAAACTATCTTCCACGAATTATTTTTCAATTAACTAAAACATCTAATTACGATATGCATATCACCCAAACGATACTCGAGTTTTTAATGCGTAAGAACCGAAAATATCGTAAATGACAAAGTCAAACACTGTCAAAAATTCCATTTTAGATCTTTTATTCGGAACGTTTCATAACATTTCGTTAACAGGTTATGTATTTCAAAGTCTCATCAATATCATCAATCAACATCTCTCTCAAACCGCACATAATCTAATCCTGGCTCATACATTATTGTGTTTCTATTTTAAGCAATTAGAAAATTCTGAACGACATTTATTCGGTTATTTCATTCTTCGAGTAAGGTTTCCTTTGATCGAACGAATTTCGATCTCTTCTTTTTCTAGTCTCTGCCAACCACATCATCGGCACGTAATTGTGAACAAAGTTCTCTCGAACGTCCATCGCGTTTACATCGCTCTGGCTCGTTATCATCACTAAATGACGATAGTCATGCAAATGATCCAGTAAGACGAAAAATGACTGTCTTAGACACCGCATCGATCTTATCGTCCTCATCAAGTAACGTGGAAGATAATAATCCATTGAAAAAGTTAAACGACGAATTGCTTCGTATCACAACCAACTATATCAATGAACATCTCTGGGAATGTTGTCTGCCGAGTTCAGTTTTAGTTTTATTACCACGTGAAGTACGTCGTCATCATTTGAACAATAGCTGGTTGGCTGACGAGAAGATTTTGTATCAAATTCAATCGTTTGATTTCAATCAATTGAATACAGCGAAGGACGTTCTGCTGAAAGTCACTCATGAAGCGGATGATACAGGGAAAAACCGTTTTCGACGATATACAGATGGCAATAAGCAACGTTCACGAAGGAATAAAGAAATACATTTGTTGACCAAATGTCAGGATGATTTACATATTCGATCTTTAGGTTTGTTGAGAGACTTTTCGTGATGAAGATTACTCTTTTCATTGTTGAGTAGAATTGGATACGAATCGATCGGTGTTTAATGAAAGGAACTTATGGATTGCAGTTACTGTTCGTTCGTTCACAAGTACGAAAACATTTCTAGCTATCAATCTATCAGCTTCAGCTGGCTTATTACATCAAAAACACGAAAAACTGCATTGGTTTGAAGGTAAGCCGCGAATTCTCTTTTGATGCTTTCAAATCTCAATGTTTTAGCTATCAAATTAAGCGATACAAGTACTGATAAATCCATATCAATGAAGGATATACCCAATTATTGCGCAGAAGAACACATAAGTTACTCACTAAATGAAATCGCTTTGAAAAATGAGCTGCAGTCAGTTGTTGGCAATGTCGAGTGAGCATTTGGGAAGAAAAATATTAGGAAATCTTTGTAAATTGAACTATATTTCAGTCGAAAAGATGAAGAAAATTTGTTGAATCGTCACAATGACTGTTACTATCCTCGAACAGTTCATCGCGTTCCATCCGTAAGATCTATCTCGGAACCAAATTCACATCTTTGTCTACTCGTTATGATTCCGTATAGGATGCTCATAAATACATCGAACCAATAGACAACATTAAACCAGTCCGCGTTGCGAAGATCGGTGTTATTTACATTCATTCCGAACAAGTAAAACTTCGCTTAATTTCAGTTCTTTACATCGATTGTCTACCTTTTAGAAAATAACGGAATCAAACATTTTGTCAAATATTCAAACATCGCAACGATATAAACAATTCATGTCATCAATTGCTACATTAAAATCGATCAGAAGTCTGGAACAAGACAATTTCTATCGTCCATTATTAGACGTGAACAACTCAGATAATTGCGGTCAGTATGCTTATGTCTGGCAAAATCCAGTCTATCAAGGTAAACTTATTCGAAACGAAGAATGGAACTGGAACGTTTTAGTCTATTCTAGTCCTGTTTCACACGTCCACATTAATGCCGAATACGCGAGCTGATCATGAATTTAAAAAGAAATTAATTGGAAATGATTGTGTCATTATTGTATACAATGAAAGTGAACATCCATTCGATATGAAAACATTAAAGGTAAGTTTTGTCGGTTTGCTCTAGGAGACATTTGACGATTTTGAATTGATTCAGACTGGAGTATGTCGATATATGATCGAAGTTTGTCCACAAATCAATTCGAATTATACGCGTATTCGACTTATCAGACGAAATCATTCCTCTGCATCACGTATGTTTTAAGATGTCATCTTATTTGTCTTTAGCTAATACGAAAAGAGGAATTCATTCGATGATCTACATATTGGTCACAGAAGATATCAGATAGGCATACGTGCTGTTTTCTTTCTCATGCTTGGATTAAGCTGCAAACATATTCTCACGTGGGACGTCGGTGATCCTTGAGAATATGAATAATAAATACTAATCTTCATAAGTAATCTGATCATTTCCTACGTAATATCGTTTATACTTTGAGTACATCGCGAACAGGCTGGTTAGGCAGATCAATCTTTGCTGATATTCAAAATATAAATATCGAAACTCTTCTTCTCCTATATGATTCTTCGAATTGATACTTAACGGTCTTGACTTAACATTTGATAAATCGTTTTTAATATTTAACTAGATGATTCTTCTATGGCGGATTTCATGTTGTCAAATGGCATTGATTATTTAATATCCGATGATCATGTTGCATCTTATGTTCGCATCTTAGCATTATGTTTATGTCAACAAGGTGAACTGGAAAATCGTCCGAAGACATCTTCTTCATCATCGACTTTGACCATATTTCCATGGCTGAATCGTTTCCAAACATTTCGATCGCTACATACATGTTGTTGTCTTTCATATCAGAATTGACAACAGTTTCGTTGTTTGAGAAATTGAAGTAACTCAATCAGATTCGTCTTCATTTGTTCTCGCAACCAACCTATTTGTTATTTAAAAAACTTGATGTACCTTTTCTACTTAGATAGTCGAGCAGTTCTTGTTCGTTTTTCTCTCACTCTCTAGAAATGCAAGATTAAAACAGTCGTTTATATTCGCCAGATTCATTTCCTTCATCGTTTCCTGCATGTGTTCTTCTTCCTTTTTTCTTTCTTTCTCTTCACATGTGTGTGTTGTATTCGACATATCGATACTCCTCTAAGTGAATGACGGTGGTGATGAACACGAGAGCAATAAAATAAAACTAAAGGAAACGCAGAGGACGGTGATAGCCATTCATGGGAAATCTTTTAGTAAAACAAAACAACGATCTTCTATTTAGATTATTTCTAATTTCACCATATTTTCTGTCCGTATGTGTCGAGAACGGAAAGTAAGTCGAACTTTTCGGCTCTTCTGATGATCTTTATTGTAATTAGATCGACGACGTTCAAGTTGATAATACAGCCACTGAACAAGTCAGTCAAATACTTGAACAACTTCGTATGTATATGTCATTCTGCACAAAAGATTCACTTCGCTCGACGATATTTTTTCTAGATGATGAATTGTTTGAATTGATAGTAACAACGGCACATTTACAAGAGGAAAGTAAGCGGCTTGAACATGAAGCACGGAAATTAGTTGACGCGCAGATTCAAGTACAGATTGAAGCGAGATTATCTAAAGATAAATGCCATTACCGGCGGCAAAAACGACGTTATCCATTGTCGATCAAAAACAAACGATTGAATTTTCGACAGTTAAAACAGGAATTACAACGTCAACGGCAAAGTTTCCTTCGTTTCGAACGGCGTTTACGTGCCAAGTATGAACAACCGTTCTATGACATCGTTTCCAATTCCACGAAAAGTCAACAGCGACGTTGTCGTCGTATTCGATCTATCCCGTCAGAATCTATTGATTAAAAATCAAGTTTCTGTACATAAATCGATGAATATATGTATGAAATAGATTGAGAAAGCCAGTTTCATGTTTGTATTTTAACTGTAGTTTGAAAATAAATCGATCGATTGCAACAAACAGAATTATCACTTGATCATTACGACTGACAGCGCCTCACGAAATAGAAATCGTTGAAGACTATAGGTGTCCTTTTCTATTGAGTACATCGATCTCTTCACTTCATCGAAGACATGTCCCGATTTCCACTGGGAAATAAATAATCGATAGGCTCATTTGAAAGATAATATCATCTATGACGGTATGCTTATTGTCTGACAATCCTTTAACAAGCATTTGATCTAGTCGAGATATTTCAGCATGTAAAAGATTCCTTTACTCTTCGTATTCAATTCAAAAGCAAATCAAATACATAATCAATGAAATCAATAAAAGAGATGTTAGATGTTTCAATGAGTTTGACGTATTACAGAGGTCCGATTGACAACAATATACTTTAATATCACTTGTGGATGCTTGTGTGCAGCTGAATGTTGTACCCCGACTGACTAACTTTCCATTAGGCACAGTTAAAACTGTTTTCTGGACAAAAGAAAAGCGAAATATATGAGGCCAAATGATGAATCGAAGTTTGACTTACAATACAAGCTGCACCGTAATTTTGATTTGTTACAACACTTGTGTACGGATATGCTGCACTAAACGGATCACCACAATCAGCACAAAGATAACATTGTAATAAACTTTCACTGGTTCGAAACTCTACAAACGATGTGAATGGCTCAGATTCGAGCAAGAGCGTTCAAATTTCAAACTACTCACTGCTTGTCACGATAAAAAGGTAAAAGAAAAGCACGTATCTACACTTGACCATATTTGACGCAGTCGTAATCGAAAATGAAATGTTTTAGTATGTCTTGCTGAATGATTACTATTGATATTTGAAGGTTGGACTCTACACAACGTGTTGATAGACGATGATTTGCTATTTTATTTTCGTGTTTGAGATTGTAATTTCTATTAACTCTGGTAATTGATAATTTTACATGACAAATAACAGCAGCAAACTGAAAGAAGGTCACAACAGAAATTATGTCTTGCAGAACAACTATGCTTAACACCTAACAATCTAGTAAGACTATGAATCTCTCGAATAATATATGAGTCAGCTATGTAAACTTGTCTGATCATGTCAATATGATGAATAATATACGGTCGAATGTTTGAAATTCGAAGAAATATTGAAGTAGGACTATGTCGATTTGTTTTATGTAATATGAGATGAAATAAGAGTAGAATTGTTCAATTAACGTTACATTATGAAAATGAATTGATAGAGATCAATAGCTATACACCTTCTTTAGTCAATAGAATGATAGAAGAGTTCAATAGATGTTTGTTCAATATGGCGGAGGGATGATGAAGAAAGTTCGATTCGATTGTCATTTATTCATCATTCGGTGGAATTGAACAGGATCGATCTTTACTATGCAGATTCATCCATTTCTCATTGGAATCCTAATCTTCATTTGTAAAAACTTTCGAATGATTATATTAATCATCGATCATCAATTTGTTTCTGTTTAGACGCTCCTACAGCTGATTCAATTACATGTTTTCAATGTACAGATTGTCCAGAACCATTTATAGAAACCTATCCGTATGTAACATTAGCGAATAATACAAATTTCCTTGCTAAATGTACAGTAAGTAATGATTTCTTGTTTTACACATAAAATAGAATGTTCAATTACGAGCTTTTTTTTCATGTACATAGAAAACAATCATGAAGATGGCCGATGGGCGTCGTTTAGTATCCAAAGGTACAGTATTCTTTTGTCCAACTCAAGCAGCAGCTGCCGACGCTGAAATATATTGTTGCAATACAGACTTTTGTAACGGAAGTTCTCATATTCACTTATCTATTACTATAATGTTTCTCTTTCTTTTCATTTTAATAAAACCATATTTATGAGTGCATAATCCGCTAAGTTACCAACTTTTTCTCTGTTTTTACATATATTTTTTTGTTGGCTTTCTTTCCAAAGACGCGACTGTTTCCATTATTTCATATTTCTTCTACTATATTATGTACAAAAAGCTATACACAAAAAAACAATAACAATATCGTATCCCTGACATAAAATATTACTTAAGTAAATTCTCTGTTATGATTACATCATTCTAACCTCAGTGAACAATTATCTCTTTATAAACTGATGATCGCGTACCAATGGTGCAATTAGCAAAGACGGTGGGTTGATGTAGCTTCTCATTTACCGGTAAACTGCTGATAATGTTGTTTTCCGCATGGTTTGCTGTAAAATTCAATCTTCTTTTGGTAAAACAAAGAAGGGCCTCATCCACAGAGATGAGACCCATCCGGCTCCGCAGCGGATGAGGCCCTTCAGCAACAGCAACCTTGATCACATGAGCTATTCGATCCGGGCCGTTATGATTTAACCCTTTGACACCGGGGAACGTACATATACGTCCGACCATCTCTTATAAAAATCCAAGTTTTCGTTAAAAAAGCTGGAAGTCAAAGGATAAAAAGACACCCCATTTGATAGAGGTTGACGAGATCTATCTTTCACGCCAACATTTAGCCTTTGAACTCCAGACTTTTTCTGCGAAAACCCAAACTTTTAATAGAAATGTTTGCACACATATAGGTATCACCCGGAATGAAAGGGTTAACGACCCGTACTTAATCTCTTGTCGTCCGTTTGCTGGCTACCTGTTGGCATGTTTTCAACGTTGTGATAATATTGATCTACCCTTTCTGATCATAAAACTTACACCAGTCATTCTTGCACCAGATCAAATTGTGTTGAACAAATTGACTGTTGTGCCACAAAGGACATTCAGTTTTGTGTGCTGAAGTTCCTCAGGTACGCATTGTTATTTGAGACGAGGTAAAACTACGTTTTAAGCCGGCCTCTGATTGCTTCTTTTGAAAGCAAGTTTGGTAACATATACTGGAACCGAAGTATATTTCTGCAAAAATCTTCCTTTCGCCTGAATCTTGAGAGTACTATGTTATGCTCAAGATAGACATTCATCCCAATTCAACCGTGGAAGCTCGTCAATGACAGTAAGCCTTGTACTAGTTAGACTGAATCGAAGACTGGAGAAATTCATTCAAAGATACTGGCCCATAGATAAATCTATAAAGACTGGTATTCCCTGAATTCCTTCAATTCCTGATTTCAAATCCCAACTATTTTGCAAAACTTGTTCTCATTTTGATCCTTCCACAGAGCAAGCACATGAAATGTCCGGCTTGAATCATTTGGCACATTCTTTTTCCATCTGAATGACCAAATAGCATCTCTTGTAGTCTTCCACCGTTTTGTGGAATTCTTATTAAATGCAAATTCCTTTGAATGTGCTGAGACTGATCAAGTAAGCATTCATAACTTTCACAGACATTTGACAAATATTCCATCTGAACATATCTTTCATTTAGTTCATAATCACCACTAGAATACTTGTGACTAGCATTTTTTGCACCGTATTATTGTACACCATATAAATACGGCGAAGCTCCTTTTATTTATGCCTCATTAATTTAATTTAATGCGTTTTTTTAGAATAAATTTCTATTCACCAACTGTCTGCATTTTTGTTCCTATAAAAGACAATCATCATGACGTAACGTACGACTATTTCGAAATTCTGGCAACTGCGCAAGTTTAATTAGCAGCTTATGAAATTTCCCCCGCTGAGAATCATCATGTAAGCTGCAATATTGTTCTTTTCTCCGAATTAATTGAAAAGGAAGTCTTATTCATCTTTTAAAGAAACTCTCTCGAATTGTTGTGCAATTACATATCCTCGACACTCACTGAATGATGCATACGGAAAAAACCCTAAATCACCGCCACGAATCCTAAAACATTTTACTTACTCTTTTTCTTGTGCATTTTGTTGAAAAGCCTTTATCAATTGTTTCATGTATTCTTCTAGTTTTTCCATTCTTGAATATTTGTGTTCACCATCAAGCATTACTTCACTGAATAATCTGAAAACACGATCATGAAAGCTGCGATCTTATATATATATATATCCATGGCTATATAATCTTTCAGACTGGGTAAAAACCAAGCAATGTTACTATAGAAAGGAGAAATATATATTTGCACTGGGTAAAAGTGCATCAGATGAATAAATATGCTGAGAAAAAGCACGTTTTTCTTCCAAACTGGCGTAGAAAGAAAAAACATTTTGCTCCTTCGCTATTCTTGCACCTACACCATGGACTCTTCCAGCACATACGTTAATATTCCTTTTCTCTATTAGTAATCATGGGACGCAGCACGTTAAAAATGGGAAAAATTTATATCTACTAGAATTAGAAAATTCTAGAGTAAATGCGATAAACATCGAACAATTGTAATCTTTATGACACCAAGATAGGAAGAATCTTAAGAACGAAATTCTTTTCCATTCTTTACTGAAGTATGTTGTATAGAGTGTAGTGGCCAACATTTGCTGTTATTTGCCGACTGAGTGTTCTGTTTTTTTTTTCATTCTGTATGATATTTTTGCCGGAGTATCGAGCGAAGGATATTCTTTTCCGTTCTAACGCCTTCGTCAAGAAACGGGGACAATTGCTGAATAATCTAGCGGAACAGTCATTTATTAAAAATATCATGCTTTACCAAACAAGAAAAAAGCGCTTTTTCTGCAGTGAAAATATTCTTTCTGTATTCATAGTTGTTCGAATAGTATTTCATTGAAAGATGCATAGCACTAAGAGAGAAAGAAGTGTAATCATATGTTTCAAGTACAACAGTGTCGGTTATCTTTGACGTCAAAGTATAAAATTAACATAAGGGTTGTAAATATATTCGTACAAGTTATTGCCATTTTGATAAGAATCTTTTTCTCTGCTTTATTTTAATATTTTAAATATTTACTAACATATAAACGAGCAGCGTTCTGTTTTTTGAAGGCAAGGCTTGCTTATCCCAAGTTATATTGCAAAAAAAAGCTGAATAAATTGTGCTAAACCACTGAGCACTCGAAAGGTGGCGCGCATGATTATTTAAAATGCTATATTATTTCTCTCATCTAAATGTATCACAATGTGATATCAATGTTTCGTTTTGTTTACTTTCAAAACAATACACTTGTTGATCTGTACTTGAAAAGGGTTCGTTACATGGTAACGTTGAACCTTATGGAGCGTTCAACCAATCGCATTCGAGGAGAGAAGCAAACGACGAGTTACGACTCTTACCGGAATATGAAGATACCTTTGAAAAGATGAAAGTTAAGAGAAAGAAATTTAAATAAACATATATCTTCGTGTTAAATTTGAATCAACAGGTTTCAAGATTGATTTTAAATCTCCTACGTATTTCAGACTTCGATTTTCTTTGCAAATGTCTCAGAGGAGCATGCGAAAGCATTCTCGAAATACCAGTGTGAGCAGCTATGGTCGCAGTATATGTTCCAGTTATGGTAGTGCTGATAACGAGTTATTTATGGTATGAATCTCTGTGAACCTCTTGTCTTTTATATCTTGTTCAAATTCAATCGGGATTAACATTTTTGATTCTCATCTTTCCTATTCTTCTTGTTTGATTAATCACAAAACATTCGAAGATGATCTACAATATATCTACTCGACGAATGACATCATAAAAAATAAACAAATCCTTTGTTGAACGTAAATCAAGGCTTCAGCATAAATGTACATATACATGTTGCGTTGAAATGTAAAGAAAAAAGCTCGTGTAGTATTTGTTCTTCTTTTCCTTTCATCAAATGTGAACTTCGAAGTACATATGTGCATCTCTACGTACATTTCTTCCGCTACTCTTGCTACTCATCATACTTCTTTGCTTATTGGTATCTATGAAAATCAATATTAGTCATGTCCAGCTGTTGCATCTCTTCTTGCCTACAGTCTCATTATTTCTTGAAAATATTCGTCGTCTCTGCCTCGATTGAAATGTCTCGCACACATACAGAATGAAGTTTATAATTATATATATATGAAAAAAAGGCGATTTATTTGCCTAATCTTATATGTGTACACCATTGAGTTCTTCTACTCTTTCATTTTTTCAATCATCAACAGATGACCTTCGATTGCACATCTGTCACTGAATATTGTCTTCTACTTTTCTTTCGACTAGGAACTCACCGACGAGCACGTTTTGCGTTTACTCGACCGTGCTATTGATCAACACGACGATAACAGTTCAATGAATTCGCGACGATATTTACCACAAGTGCCTTCTCAATCAGCAACTATGACGATCAATAACCATGTCCTATTATCATCTCGCTCGGCGATTGAAGATTTGTTCCATGTTTTCGAAAATGATCCAGAATTTATCACAATGGGCAAACGGCTGTTGAATAAAAAAAGAAAATTAGAACAATTGAGAGCTCAACTTAACCTACCCGCCGATTTATCGACAGAAGATACAGTGAAGTTATTGCAAATCAGAGAACGTCTTCGAGCGAAACGAAAACTTCGTATGGGCATTGAATTTTCACGAGAAAAATAAAACTTATGTTTTCATTTTTAGCTACGGTATTTGTCGAACCAGAAAAACCACCTCTTATCCAACGAAAATCATCCAACAGCATGCCTGACTTAAGTCAAGGAGCATTGTATATGAATAGTTGTATAAAAAGCAAACGAGTTTCGTCTTTTGTTTTACTTCTAGAACGAATAAATCAAGCCGAGCATCATTACTCGATCTGAATGCGTCATTGAATAGTACAATCTACCGGAAACGACGACGACGATCGCTCTTTCGGGTGAATAGGACTTCTAAAACAATTTTTTTAATTAGTATCAATGAATTTCTTTGCAGTCACCTTTATCTTTTATGGTAAACTAAGAAAATAGATTCACCAAGGTGAAAGAATTTATCATTTTGTTAAAAGCTCACGTTTATCTTTTGCTTCCATATGATAATCATTTCCAGAGATACTGTTGACATAGAATAGAGGTCAAGTAGTTGTCAAAATCTTGATTCATAAAACAGCTGCTTATATAATAGACATGAATCATAAGACACGCTTGAATGTGTCGACTCAATGGATGGTGCAAGTTGAGGAGAGAAATTCTTTTCATTACTTTTCTTTTGTTCGTGGAGAGCTGGCTTTTAAATATGTTTATTGGCGATTTCTAAAGAATGAACCGGTTCTTGTTTTATTGTTACAGAAACAACTTGGTCCTGAATTTGTGCTAAATCCTGATAGCAAAATTGAAAAAATAACTGTTCCTAATCGAGTAAGTAAAATACATTGTTTCACAACAATCTCTCCCTATTTTTCATGCAGAATCCAACGGAATGCATCTGCCAAGTTATAGTCCTTCTTCCTAACAATAATCGTGTTCAAGTTTACTGCAAATCTGATGCTACTGTACGAATTATTCATGAAACCATCGTGTCGTACATCGATCTAATTGAACACGATCTATTTGCTCTGACAATTCTTCTAGGTATAACGATTTTCATATTTGTTTTCTTGTTTATAATGTTGAATACTCAGACGGTGAATATTGTTTTCCTGCAATGGATTTGAAAATCTCCAAGTTAGTCAACGATCCAAAATGGAAAAGTGGCCAAGCGAAATTTGTTATGCAGTTAAAAATCAAATACTTTGTCGATGATATTTCCGTACTTAGGTTTGATTTCTTTCGCAGAAGAGAAAAGATCTTTCATGAGAAAATTGTTCTTTGCAGACATTTTCTAACCCAACACTTGTTCTACTTACAATTTCGACAAATGGTTCTCGCTGATACATTTCAAATAAGTAAAGAACAGAAACTTTCATTCACTTCATTGGCGTTTCAAGCCGAGTATGGAGATGGTGGGGATGATGAACAGTATAAAGATGAGTTTATTATTGAGCATTACGCGTCGAATGATCTGATTAACGAAGTAAGAAGTCTGTTTGTTGATCACGAGTCATTTGAGAAAATATGTTTTTGCTAGTACGGTACTCGTAATTTACGGCAAGAAATCCTGGAACGGCAACGATTCTATGCAGAATTAAATGATGTACAAGCTGAGCGAATGTTCGTCGAAAATGTGATGAAATTAGGTAGAAGAGACGAAGTTCTTACAACGAAAACAAAATATCTGACTTTTACGTAGACGATTATGGTTATCATATGTACAAGTTGTATAAAGATACGAAACAGGATGATGTATATCTTGTCGGTATACGTTTACGTGATGTATCAGTGTGGCAACTGAGAATGCAACAACGGCAAGCGAAAATCACGTATAACTGGGATCAGATCGAACGCATTGGTTATGACAAGAAGACATTTGCAATCATATTGAAACGACATATCAATGAAGGAAAAATTAAATATCTTACAAATAATAGTAAAAAGTATCAAGTTTCCTTTTTTGCTCCGTTTTCCGACAAACTAGGCTTTGTTTCAGAGGAAAATATCTGTTTGAACTATGTTACGATACATACACATTTACGAAATCTCTTCTCCTTCGTCACAATAGTCGATATAGTTTGCTGAACGAACCGATCAATGATGGTGAGTGTAGAAACGATCAGATCAAGTTAGTAAACCATAGGGTTGTTCTAGTTGAATTTGTTCGCAATAGTTCCGATGTGGACAGTATTGATTATAACGTATGTGATCATCATTGGTATTTCTATTTTGAGAATTGTTTGTATTTTATACATGGAATTTAGACGGAGCAAAGTCGAACGCAATCACAAGAAAATTTGGGCATAATTGGAAAGTATGATTTTGCTCTTAAAATCAAGGAATTCATCTTAAAAAAAAACATTTCCTAGGAATTCCGATGGTGTTGCATCGTCAACAATGATCTATGAAGTCGAACTATATAAAGACAATAATAATAGCCTGGGAATGTCACTCATGGGTGATGCAATGATAGGAATATTTATTAAATCCATCTATCCGCTGGATGGAAGCGCTGCTCGATCAGGAAAGATTCAAACAGGTACGAGTAACGATTTCGTCTTGGAAAACATGAAAGATACTTTCATTTATAGGTGATCGACTTCTATCTTACAATGGGAAACTAATTCATAATATGACTGTACAAGAAGTTGCTGATGTTCTCAGTTTATTACCAGATCCATGTCGATTAAAATTATGTCGTTATTCCATTCCATCACAGGCTAAACACGAGAGACCACGACGACCAATGAGCGTGGATGCCGAATCATTATTTCAACATGAGAAGCAGAATAATAATTCACCAAGTGCTTTATCAGTGAGATTATTCCTTTCTTCAATAGATAATCTCCAATTTTTCGATTTGGTATTATAGGCAACGTGGTCCAATGGTAACTTTTCGAATACGCTACCAGGAAAGCGCGTCCTATCCAATGAGAGTATCATATCACAAGCATCCGATCTTCAAAGTGCGCATGACATCAAAAGTGCTGTATTTCCTGTCACTATTGATAAGACTGGTCAGACTAGTTTGGGTTTTCTAGTCGTGGTATGAATATTCTCTGGAAATTTCATGACATTCAGATGATGATCTTTGTTCGTTGGTCTTGTAGGGTGGTTTAGACTCAGAAATTGAAGATCATGGAATCTATGTCAAGAGTATTACACCAGGTGGTGCTGCTGCAAAATCCAAACTCTTAATAGAAGGTATAGTACAAATGTGCATTCGAATAGCTTATCGAAGATGGACTTTTGTATTTAGGCGATAAGATTCTAGAAGTCAATGGTGTCCCATTGTCGCGAGTGACACATGCCGAAGCTGTAGAAATCTTTCGTCGAGCAACAAAACCCAAATGTCATTTGCTGGTTCAACGTCTTATCTTGCCAAGTCGAACACGTTCATCATCAATCACGAATATCTATTCTTTTGCTCGGCCTGGTATGAAATTTGTGAAGAAAAACGAACGCTTCACGTCAGTTGAACTTTTCGTTCTAGAAAATACATTTGAAGTGCTTTTGAATCGTGGGCAGAATGGTTTAGGCCTCAGTTTATCAGGTGGATCAGCAGAGAACAAACCAATTGAAATCATCGACATCTATCCAGATCAGCCAGCAGCTTTGTCTGGTCGATTGAAAATTGGTGACGTCATTCTATCAATTAATGACGTTATTATGCATAATCGCAACGTTCGCGTATGTCAATCTTTTTGCTGGAGACAAAAATAGACGAATTTATGACTTTTTCATAGGATGTACCATCTGTTTTAGCTGACTCTACACGAAATGTTAAGCTCGTTGTTTGTCGACCAGATCCACAAGAATATCAAGTCTATTTGGTAGGATCTGATCATTAAGAAAACAGATGTTCAACATTCTTTTGATACACTAGGATAATCGAACAAATGGTTCGAGTAAACCAAGTCGAACAGGAACGACCGAAACAATCAATAGCGAACAACGCCGAGTTTCTAGTGATGTTGTTCGCGACTTACCACCTAAATCACCTGCCACCAGACGTCATGGTTCATCAAAAGTCAAACGTGGAGAGGTAATGATTGATTTCGATTAGTGTTAAACACGTGTGATAAAGTGGGCTCATAACATTCAATACTGAAAAACTCCTTATTTCGAAGAGAGAAAAGGATTTCAGTATTTGATTGTTTATTAGAAAGAAACCGATAGATTCCGATGATTTGCTCTGTTTCTTTTCTATAATAATTGTAACTATTTTGCAATAATGAAAATGCTTTGTTCCCAACGCATCTATTAGGTGTTCACAGTAAGGATGGACAAAGAAACCGATAGTGGATTCGGTTTTACCTTGTCGGCAGGTTCAACATCCATTGGATATCCACACATTCGATCCGTTCTACGTGAACCTGCTCTTTCTGCTGGCTTAAAGCATTGGGATCGCATTCTGTTCATAGATAATTACGATTGCCAAACAATCAGTCATCGCGATCTTGTGGCACGTCTTCGCTATTCGCCTACTGGCCCAGTAGATTTCATTCTTTATCGGCCACGTATTGATGAAATTGTTCATGCAAAAGAAAGAAGCCGAACGATACACAATACATCGTATACATCAACTAGTGTTGGCGTGAGTTAGAGAGTGGCGCTTTTCACTCTCTATATCCTTCTCCTGAACAACTGCATGTCATACGATTAAAAACACAACAACAACTAAATTATATATGAAAACCACTTTCTGCTGCTTCTTCTTCTACAACTAATACATTCTTGTAGATCTCTTTAAACATATACTAACTCCATCCTAATATTAAGATTATGTTTTGTGTTTATTTCTGAATTTTCTCATGATCATTGAAATATACATAATCATTGTATCTATTTGTAGGACCAATCAAATATGAGCAATTCGGCTCCACCATCACCTGTTCTACCAGCTAAGACCACAAAACCGGAAATATTCAATGAACCAGTGGTAAGATTGGACACGCGTATTCTTCACGAATGGGAAGCATCGGAACACTTTTAGCAATATGAAAAAATACAAATTGTATTACCAAAAGCTTCTCAAGGAACGTACGGTATTGGTCTTAGTCAAATTGATCCTCAGCAAATACGTGGTGGAATATTCATATGTGCACTTCAACCAAATGGTATCGCAGCAAAGGATGGACGCTTACAGATCGATGATCGTTTATTGTGTATCAACGATCGAAATACCGATCAGATGACTTATCGAGAAGTTGTAGAAGGATTGAAAGCAACTACAAAGAAAGGTGTTACTCTACTTATCGCAAGGTAGATTGTGAATTTGCTCATAAAAGGACTTGATAGTATACTGTTTTTAGGCCGGTAACCGATCCTTCTACAACGAACAAAGCAAATCTTGTTACGGAAAAAGATATTTCTACTGTAAGTTAATTTGATACCTGAGTATACACTGATCATAGTTAACATACTCTAGAAACCTAAAGATACTGTTCCATCCACTTCTGCAACTACCAAGCCAGTACCCCCAACTTCATCAATTATAGACATGTTAATTCCACGGGAAAAACCCAAACTATTACCCTTGTCGAATACTGAAAAGACACAAACGTCGAAACCTGTTATATCACCCGATGCTATAGAATCCCCGTCTGCATCGTCGCCAGCGCCTACTAATTCGACAATAAAAGCTCTTTTCGAGAAAAAAAAGAGTAGGCCAACGCCACCATCGAATCTTGATATTTCTACGAATCAAAATACGACCAGTCCAGACAAAAAGAAACCCTCTCCGGCTTCCAATACCGATCTTGACGAAGACACAAGTGATATCAAAACGCCACCGATGTCTCCTCGTTCACCAGTCGCACCTTCGCCGCCAGTTCTCGAGTTGAATGCACCACGAGCACCTCTAAAACCAATCTCGAGTAATTCGAAATAATTTCCATCATCTATGATTTCAATTCTTTGTCTTTAGCATCGCAATCTAACGATCTTTCGAAGCGCATCGAATATTATCAAGTAAATACTTCGACTAAACTGACTTCTGAAGTATATGTAACGACAATTGTTTTCTTTAGCGAGGGACGGAAAAAGAAACTTTAGTACTCAATGCTGGTGTAGCTGAAAAAATCGAAAATTTAACTGCACAGTTAGTCAACAAGATAAGCACACCGGCGATAACAATGGAAACAGCGACATTAATGGACGAATGCCGTGAGATTGATATGAAAATTGACTCGCAAGAGTACTTAGAAGAATTCCGAGTAAACTATTCATTTCTTCATCGAATCAATGAAATCCATCGATGCTCTTTCGTAAATGTTTAGGCATTAAAAACTCTCAATGAACACGAACCAGCAGAATTCAGTTCTATAGCTACTCAACCGAAAAATCAATCGTTGAATCGTTTCCAGAATATCGTTCCTTACGATTTTAATCGTGTTATTCTCTCTACACAGCCCGACTATATCAATGCAAGCCATATAGTGATTCCCATCGGAGAGAAATCAATGAAATACATCATTTGTCCCCCTCCAGTGCCAGATAGTGTCAGTAAGTATTTTCTTGCTCGAAATTTCATGACCTCTTGGCGCTTGTAGACGATTTCTGGCAAATGATTGCTGATCAACGTATCCGATGTATGATAGGCATATTCAACGAGCAAGATTTAAAGAAAATGAAATGTCCGGTCTATTGGCCAACAACAGTCAAAACAACAATGACACTTTCACAATTGTAAGTAACAAAGGCAAAGAAAATCCTGAGGGTTAAGTATTCCAAAACTATTGTTTTAGTTTATCTGTGACATTAACGAAACAACGTCAGTTGGACGGTGGTTTAGACGTGAAAGAGTTTCTCGTTCATGCTACCGATCAATCTAGTCACAAGCAAGATCATTACGTCATGTTTCTAACATACAATGGATGGGCGTCAGATGAAAATGCTCCAAACGATACGGAACCATTTCTCAATTTGATTCATTTAGCACATTCATATCAAACCAATGAAACGCCATTATTAATTCATTGCAATACAGGTGTAGGACGAACTGGCTGCGCCTTATTAGTGAGTTTACTTTTGATAAAAATGATACGTGGCAGGACATTAGATATTTATACCATGGCGAAAGAATGCCGTCGGCAACGCTCAAACGTTATACAAACACAGCAACAGTATCGATTTGTTTATGAATGTGCGCGTGACGCACTAAACAAGGCTATCGAACATTCAATTATGCAAAGTGCACAATAAATGTGTTTTTTGACTCCTTTATCTGACGTTCTCATACAACCAGAAAGGCTGAAAGAATACATGATATAGTTTTTTTAATCTAATCTTTGTGTTTATTTTCTAAATAAATATAAGCTAAATACAAAAGAGCCATCATGGAGTTGAGGGTAGAATGAGTTCGACACTTGCTGTACTCGTCGTCATCGCACATCCGGACGATGAAACGATGTTTGCTGGTTTTCTTCATGCATTAACACATAAAATTGGAGCTAATGTTGACCTCGTGTGTGTGACGAATGGCGAGGGTGGATATCGACATTCTGCTCCAGCAGAGTATCTATACGGTCATTTACAATTATCTAGAGAAACTATTGGAAGACAACACTTGCCACGTATACGAAAACAAGAACTACTTGGTAGTGGAAGAATCCTAGGTATTCGGAAGATCTTTTTCTATGATCAACTTGACTTAAAGTATGACCGAGATGTTGACGTTGTTTTTGCTGATCAATGGAATAAAGGAGAGATCATTCAAAGACTCGAACAAACAATTCGAACTGGAAATGGAAACGAAGGTTATGATATAATGCTCATTATGTTACCAAGCAGTCAATCGCATGGCCATCACACAGCATCGGGTCTTATCGCGTTAGAAACTATTGATCGTCTTCGACAAAAGCAAGATTCTCATATCAAAGTTCCAACAGTGCTCGGCGCATCAGAATTTGTTGTTAACGAAACTCCGACGTATCTATCGAATCGATTAGCGTCTATATCTTCTCAAACACCGAATGAATTTTGTTTCGATCGTACTTGGAAACTAAGTCCAACGAGTAACATGTCTGACTATCAAACGATTGTTATGTGGACATGCAGTGAACACAAATCGCAATGTGGTCTGATAACTGAAACATTGACATCGTACTCTCGAAGTCAAGAAAACTATTTCTATTTTTCTCTTAATGAAGAACCTGAGCGACTTCCGCAGATCGAAAATCTATTTAAACAACTAAATGAAATTCACCAATATTAGACTGAAATCATGCTTTGCTAATTTGTGTCGAACATGTCTGAATAGATTTCATGATGTGGAATTCATTTCCTCTATGTTAATTGACGCATATCTGGAACAGCAAACATGCAAAATTCACTTTTTGAACTCATTGAATATTCTCCTAGTTGCAAACTTTCTTTTTAATCGAAACGTTTCATGATAATTATTAACATTACTCATTTTTCTTTTTCTTAATGCCGATGGCCAACCATTCGTATTCTTGATGAATACGCCGATCTTAATACTAGGTTTTCCTGTTTGCCATCTGTTAACATTTTCTTCTTCATCGTAGTAAGACAGGAGATATATGATTTTGTCGAAAGAGGAAAAAAAGAGAGTTTATCATTGACTGAAAATACAGAAAGGGTTCCGGATGAATTTCTCCTTCCTGTTTTTTGAAGAATAGGTCTCCTAATCAAAGATGATCTATGACTTTTCTTCTTTGTTTCTCTGATCAGTCTCTCTTGGCATATATATATATATACATACACACACATAGTTGCCCTCAATACTAGTGTTGTTACCTTTCTTTTGTTCATTTCTTATTTCTTTTGTCGAGATGAAGTATTCCACTGAGAACTGATAACTAAATTTCTTCTTATTTTTTTTCTCGCTGTTTTCTTTCTCTGGTTTGCAACACCACTTGTGCCTTTTCTCTTTGGTCTCACTTGATTCGCGTTCGATGTGCTTATTAGTTTCTTCTCGTCTTATGACGGGAAGTCATCGAGATGTTCGAGACGCGAAGAAGAAATGTCACACTCTCTCAGATTATCAAACGCCATCGACATATGACAATTGCTTTCCTAGGTTCTCTCATAGTCTCTGATCAAGTTTTTTCTTCAATAATTGATAGAAGAAAGAAACACGAAAGATGTGATATACGATGATCGAGAGAAAGTCCATTCTTTTTTTTTCTCGAACTCTTAAGAACTTTTGATCCACTCGTGTGCTTTGTCATTCAGTCTTCTAGATAAGAATTACGCAGCAATTTCTTAAACTAACAATGAGCATCCAAATTTCATTCTTATTTTGTATATGCATTGCTGTGGCTGTTCCACTAGTGGCTTTGGCTACATCGAATCATCAAGTAGAAGAAGGTATGGTTGACAATTTTAACGGCATCGACCGGTTCGAAGAGACACGTCATCGTGGCCAACAGCCTCACCATTCTCTCTCCCAAGATGATGGATCAAGCGAAAATGAGCATTTTCTTTTAAAGAAAGCCGCTGATTTCGAACAAATTCTAAAGCCCTGCAACAAAATACCAGCCAGCGGTCGTGGTCAAGAATATGCTGATTGTGTTCGCAATCGTATGTTATTGATGGGCAGACGAAAACGTCGTCAAGCGGTCTAAAACGAGTCACTTCACAACATCAGATTTACCCAGTAGTCGCGAATTACGGTGTATATTCTTTATCACTCATATTCAGTTTATTTTTCTCTACCTCTTTAATTCTCTCATTCTCATTCATTTTTTGCTTTTTAATTCCGGTTACTTTTTGGCTGTTCGGCAAACAGATGTCATTCGAAGTCATAAATAAAGGACGATCAAACCATTCCCAAATGTGTCTCATATTTCTTTCCAGTTTAAACTGTATGAAAAAGGAAAAACTTGCTTTTCAAGCTTGACTCGATGCATTACAGATATCACCGAGACCTCGCTCTCCAGACTTCCTCTTTGAAATATCAACCAGAGACGTAACCATCGCGTTCCTATAAACGTTTTCCTTGATCTTTTACTTGAAGTGAACGGTAACTAGGTGGAATGTAATCAGAGCATTCAACCGCGCCTCGATTTAAATTATTGTCATACGACGCGCTCATCCGCTTGACTTTTAGGATATTTATATATACATATATTTAGTGGAAAGAAAAATCATGACTATTGACTTCATCTAGATTGTCATTTGATCCCCATTTGATTCGCTCCATACCCTTCATCTACTTTTTTGATAGCATGTTATGCTGAGAAAAAATTCTAATTACACCACAGGATATGAACGGGAAACGTTATTTCGAAGGTAATTATGACGCAGACTTGGAGAGAACAACATCGAAAGGCAAATATGGAAAACAATGGATTGTTTTCCCAATTGATTAATCAATGTAGACTGTGACAAGTGAATACATTTCTTTTTGATAAGTTTTACACCGAAGAATGTTGACAATCAGCAACAAATATATTTACATGAGTCTCCTGTCTAAATTATTTATATAAGCAAATTTTAATTAAACTATCGAATGACGTCTGTTTGAGGAAATATTATCTTGATTAAGCTCACGCGAGAAATATGTCGACCCTAACAAACAGTTCTTTGGAAATGATAATTTCAATATCGAGATCACTTTATGATTGTAATAAATTGAGATATTTATTTATTATTCTAATGGATCAATGACGTAGATCGACGGATGAGTCAACTTATGGATATACTGTAGAGAAATAATAGATTTCTTTGTTTATTGATTGTGACACATGCTTCTGAAATAATCCCATCACTTATTGCGTTGTCTTAGAAAGACTGTTGTTCTATCGTTAAAATATGAGCATCTTGAGCTGCTCGGTTCACAATAATATATTGACAGTCGACTTTCTTTACATCATTTCGAATTCTGTTTGCCAATCTATTTAAGAAGAAATGAATTAATTGATCTAAGAGATTTTTTAGTGTATTTCGAAGACTCGAACATTTCTCTCCTTGACTCTGTATCAACAGATAACTTTTTATTTAGATCTTATTCAACAACGGCCGAAACTATTCTGTGAAAAGTTAGCCAAGATTGACACCTTCAGTAGCTAAATTGGCGAGCCATCCGGCAGCAGTAAGAGCACCATCTAAGAAAATGACGAATACGATGAACGGGAAAAGTTATACGTAGAATAACTCACTTTGAACAAAGGTTTCAAGTGGAGCTTGGAAAATGTTGTTCCAGACACCGGCTAAACCATTGACAACAGCACCGGTGACTGAGCTAAAGATACCACGTAATTCATCTTCGCGACCGCTAAAGTCGACATCACGTTTGCCGAGGAGACCAGATAAACTGATACCATTAGTACCGAGTCCAGCGAGAACTTGAGCTAACATAAGTGCACCATCTAACAAACGATTTTTAAATCATATGAACGAAAGAAAGCTTTTTAATTACTGGAAAGAGCGTTTTCGATTGGTTTTTGGAGAACGTTTGCGTAGACATCATTGACGGCTTGGCCCAAGGAGTCGAGGAAACCGCGCATTTCTTCTTCTGTCAAGTCCCGTTTACCGATACCGAGGTTGATACCATTTGAACCAATACCGGCCAAAACTTGAGCAGCCAAAAGAGCGACATCTAAACAGATTAGATTTCAAATTATTCAATGGTTTCAACGTTGCTGAATTGGTGACAAACTTTGGAGGGTGTTTTCAAGAGGTGGTTTAAGAGCTTCGTTCCATAAACCACTGAAGAAACCGCGCATTTCTTCTTCTGTCAAATCACGTTTACCGATACCGAGGTTGATACCATTTGAACCAATACCGGCCAAAACTTGAGCAGCCAAAAGAGCGATATCTAAACAGATCAGATTTCAAATCATTCAATGGCTTCAACGTTGCTGAATTGATGACAAACTTTGAATGGTGTTTTCAAGAGGTGGTTTAAGAGCTTCGTTCCACAAACCACTGAAGAAACCACGGAGTTGCTCATCTGATGGATGAACTCGTCGGCCATCAGCAGAGAGGACGCCGATTTGGGAAACGCGAGCTACAATTTCAGCAACTAAAGCTGCCAATTCTGAAACGAACAAAGGAGGATCGCTAAGGTGTCAGAACGCCTTCATCGGCAGTCAGATGTACTTGTAACAATATCTTTGAGTGGTGGGAAGATTACTTGAGTGTACAAATCGCCAATAAAGTTAGCTACGCGTGGCTCAAGAGCAGCTGAACGTTTAGCATGGGAAAGGTCAAGGCCATATGTAGATACTGCCAAGCCGAGAAGTAATACGATAATTGTTTGTTGTTGCATTCCTGCTAAACAACAAGAATCAACGAATCATTCACTATCAATCCAGTTCAAGATGAAAGTACCCACCGACTCCACTCGAAAAACAAGTTGAATGATAACTGAAGTGATGATTTTCAGGTCCTCGTTTATATATCCAATCGATCGAAAACAAACTCCAGTTCGCGCACTATCATCTGCTACGATTCCCACGTATCTCAATGGTACACACCGTCTTTTTGCAAAGAATATGGCGTGGTCCCATGAATATTTATTTAATTCAGGCGGTATTATCTCTCGTACAAAACCAGCACATGACTTGCAATTCTGCATATTTGCATATTCCTATCGCAAGCCGTACTTTACGAAAGTATTTAGTTTCAAACACTCCTATTTATAGCTTATAGTGTGAAAAACCTGTGTAGAAGATAACGTAGGAGCCATGCTAGATAACCAACTTGGACAACAAATAAAATTAATCCAAAAAATGAGAAAATAAAAGCGATGTTAAATAAAACTTTCGCTCGAGTCATTTGATTTTTCTTCGCTGCTATTAACGCAAAGATGCTGATGATCGCCGATGGAATCGTACATATCCAACAACCAAAAATGCATACACTATGTATCGCACATGAGTATTTATCCGTATAGATAAGTTGTCGTTCAGTTTCAAATAGAAAAATACCTCCGTTATCGATTTCATCAACGATATTAATCATCGAATCCATAGGATATATTGGTTGTAATGGTGATATCGGTGATAGACATGGTTTACTTGGTGTTTCAGAAAGAGACAATGACAATATTGAAGAAGAAGAAGAAGACTGCATGCAAAAGGATTGGAGATGGATGTTAGGTAGTTTTTCGCGCCGTGTCTCTGCTAATTAATGATGACCGTTCAACCTTTAGCTGATTGGCATTAGGCATGTCGCATTATCAAGAAAAAATCGCTTGTCAATATGGCTGGTAGGTACTTTTACCTTTCAGCAGTTCGCCGAAATAAATATTCATTAGAGAGAAAATCTAAAGCTATGATGTTTGTAAATTGCTATTTCAATAATATAAACCATTATCAGTTGTTGTATGATTTTTCCTCATGAAAAGAAAGTAATTACTGGTGTAAATACAACGACTTGATGACTGATAAAGAAAGAAAAAGTTCTTTGATTCTTCGTTAATTGTCTGATGATATGGTACAATTCATTGGTTGAGAACCCATTTGATACCACGAGTTTTTTCTCTCGGTGGTCTGCACACTAAACATCGACAGTCGATATGCAATCGTGGCGGTAAAGTGTAATCTTCCGGTTGTTTTAAAATTTTATAATATCGACGTGGTGATTCATACCATTTCGGTGATACATAATGATACTCAGGCGCTCGCCAGGATTTCGGCGCATGAACCGACGTATTCAGATACCACCAACGAGGATCGAATGTTTCGAGGGTTCGATGAGTATGGCCGTGTTCATGATGGTGATGTTGTTGTTGATGATTGTTATGATGGCGGTGATGCTCATGTTCATGATGATGTTGGACTGGTTCGTGCTCATGGTGCTGATGATGTTCGACCGGTTGGTGCTCATGGTGATGATGACCGTGATCTGGGTTATGGTCATGATTCAATAGGGGTAATGATGCACGTCCGGAATGATGATGATGATGATGATGAGAATGCTGATGCTTTGCTGAAAGGCGCGAAGAATTATCAGGATGATAATGATCGTGCACGTGATTCGTGTTATACTGATGTTGAGAGATCGGTGGCAAATGTACTTGTCCATGGTTTTGGTCGGTATTCGGCTGAACTGTGTGTGTTGGAAGTTGTACGGACTCATCAATATCAACTAGGATCATTCAATCAGGAGATTTCATAGTTATTTCATAGAATCATTGATTTTTAAAACTTACCCGCGCCGGTCGGCACCATCGGTGTATTTGCTGGCCAATTGACTGGTGTTGGGTCATCGTCATCCACGAGTATCATGTTCTTTGGTTGACTAGGTTGTTTACTTCCTCGACTAAAAAATCCTCGTTTTTTGGGTGGCATCTTCTAGACGAATTGTTGCCCCCAACAAATTCTTCTGATTTTATTTGTACGACTGAATAAAGTAAATAATCGGTCGTTTATTAAGATTACATTCGCTGTGTCATTCATTCGCTTTACTTCTTCTATTTTTTCTCTTGGCAAGGTGAGATTTGTCGTAAGTCTATGTTTTCATCTCTTTTATTTCGAACAGAAACACAACACTTAACAGCCAACACATGGCTTCAGCGTCGTGAAAACATTTTCAAACTTAATTATGAAAAGACAAAAACATGTTTTTTCAAACGACGGATTTTATTGGGCATGCCTACTTGTGAGTAATCATATTATGAAACACACGCAAGATAAGACTTTGCCATTGAGTACAATCGACATCGAGTAAATCTTCGATCAATTCGAGATTATACACTATAAACTGAAAATCGTGAGTATCGACAAAGAAAAACGTGTCGTGCATATAAAATCTTTCTTTCGAACTAGTTAATCCCTCTTTAACATCAATTCTCTCTCATATAGGAAAAAGCAAACCTTACGTTTCGAAGAAATTTCATTTGTAATTCTCAACGATGAAATCTCAGACTACCACCAAACATTTCTCAACTATCTTCATTCCAAATGTTCTCTTTGACAACTACCTTCTTCGATGATAGTCTCGCTTGCTTTCATTTGTATTCATACATGGATTTCTAAACAGATGTCAAGGAAGTGTATCATTAAAGACATGTATTAATAATCTGTTCGATTGAAATTCAGGTCAACGAGAATAGCTCGTCTCCGATCTGAAATTTCCACATTGTTTAGTCGATAACAATTGATACCACTCATTTATCTGTATGTGTGGATTGTTGAAACGCATATGTCATCTCGAGGAATTGTTTATCCATAAACAGAACAGAGCAATGACATGAACTCAACATTAAGCAAAATATAACATTCTGTACGTATGTAAACTGCCAATTTATCACTATAATGTAAGTGTCCCTTCTTGGATTACAGAGTATACTATAATAAGAAAGAGCGGGTAACAATTCTTTTTTTTATAAAAATCTGTTCTTTCTCAACAATCTTTTCAAAAGACTAGAATTTCAAACTTGATTCTCATTAAGAATATTTCAAAGATCAGATTGCGTCTTAATTTTCAGAAACACTCGTTTGTCACTCTCGAACAACACATGTTTCATCTTCTCTCAGAATCCTTTGGTCAATAAAACGCCTAAACTATCGTTGTTAACATCATTCCACTTCATAAAACGATTCTGCAGCTGACGATCACATCTCACATCAGGAACAATTAACCTATCTGTAATGCTGTTTTATTAATGTTGACATCATTCGTCGTCACAGATACTCGATGACATTGACGTCACGGCTTATCTCTCCTTTGTCATATAATGAAAATTTCATTCATGACTGATGTTTTGATCCATAAACAACTAAGAAATCTTATTAGAAAAGATTCTCTTTGATTTACCACAAGGTCTTTTTACTTTACCATTGGAAGTCTGTTGATGAACAGATTCTATCGGCTTATTACAAATTACAAGAGCTATTAAAACAGAAGGCAAGCATGCGGGGTCATATGTCAGCGGCTCTAGTCGTTTCAAAAACTGATTATCCGATTTTTATAGTCACAAACAAGAGAATCTTGGCTTTTCCATCAAGCAAAATGAGCATCTACCGAGATACATACAAGTCTATATTTGCTATTTTTGAGCAAATAGCCAACAAAAAACAACATTGGAGAAGGGAATATTTGATATATATGTTTACAGTGAAGACAAACAAGAAAAATCGACTGTATCATTATTCTCAACGTCGACCGAAGAGATTTTTAAACCAGCCAAAGTATGATTCAGTTAATGACACCGGTTTCGTGTTAATCTGCTCTCCAACACGCTCCTCTTCCCGTATTGTCAATTCATGCTGTTGATTATCATAGCGCGTGTTTGCATTTAAACTCAGCGCTAAGTCGTGTTCGTGATCATAGGATAATCGTTGTCGCCTGAAGCGTCTCATTGGCGATAGCGATGTTATTGATGTTTTCGCTGTTGACGTACCACCACTGCTATGACGTTTTGACGTATTTGTATAAGTTTTACCGTTTGAATTCTCATCGACAGTTAGATAAGATTTGGCTTTGGCAGTATTCTTATCAGAACCTTGACTATGATTTGATATTAGTTGTTTTAATTGTTGTTGATCATCTCTTATGTGGCTTGTTCGGGTTGGTAGGGCGACTTTATTGAACATACAACAATAGGTTCGAGTAAATTCCGAACGAAATTTTGTCCCATAGACGATAAACATAATGAATGTTGTGGCGGCACTGAGTGTTGCACAAAGATTGGCAATGGAATGAAATTTTCGTAGAGGAAATGGTGGCTTTTCATTAACGAACATCTTTGCCCGGATCAACCACATAACAGAAAGAATAGCACATGGCGAACGAAATACTAGTAAGGTTATTGTCGTTGCTAATAACATGATTGTTACACCTAAAAATAGATTCACATGATATTTCGGTGTTTTGTTTTGCAAATCTGTTTGATAATAGAAAAGAAAACTTCAAAAGATTTATTCGATTGATCAACGACATTCTCTTCTACTCCTTCAGGATATGATTATTCAAGTTGAATGCATCATCTATCATAGGAAATAATCTTTCAAACTTCTTCTGCTAAAGCAACAAAAACAAATAACTATTCCTCATCTGTCTTGAACATCTGACCTTGAAATAATTCCATTAGTACGTACAAAGAAAAATGAGAGAGATTGTAATCAATCATTTACAATTTACCTTGTTTTGTTGGCAACGGCGCATTGTATTCAGCTGAACGTCGCTCCAATAAACGTATCGCAATAAGTAGTTTTCGATTAAGTATGACAATAATCGTTATTGGAATGATATAAACAGCAAGAGCATTAATAATTACATAAGTCCAACGAAAGATTGAATTTTGTCCCACATCACTTAAAATATACCGATAGAACTTTTTGTTCTGATTAGCAAGAATTTCCGATAAGGCTGTTTCTTCATGTGGTTTGTATTCATAGAATAGTGGCGTGGCATAGAAGATGGCAATTATGTAAAGAATGACTGTAACACGTCGAGCATTTTTCATCGTGCAGTAAAGTGGACCAACGAATGGACGACAAATCACTAAATTAGCAGGAAAAAAAGACGAAAGAGTAGAATACAAATTGTCTAATATTCATGTACATACTAATCCATCGATCAATTGTAAATGCGACACAAAGCCAGACGCTAAGAGCACGAGCCGTCGTGCTAATTGCACCTAAAATCATTCAGAAAAAAAATCAGATAATAACGATAATCTCGTAGATTCGATGTCGTACCTGCGATGACGAGAATTTTCGTATAAGTGTACGTTCTTGGCAATTCAAAATCAGGTACCTCGACCGGATACGCATCCAAAATGTAGCCAGGTATGAGAAACAGACAAGCTGTAAAGTCACTTAAGCAAAGACCGGCCAAATAGACATAAGTCGAAAGACGCATGGTACGTCGAGCAAGAATAGAGAAACTTAATGCATTACTTAGTGTGCCTAATAAACAAATGAATAGACCAAAAACGCCATTGACATAATGATCAAATGGATCGCGTGAGAATGATTTACGAAATGTTTCATACAATGCCATATTATCAATAACTAAATCATCAATAGTTACATTCGATGTCATGTCCATGCTTGTAAATGTCTTGCGTTCGTCTTCTTTCGACTGATTACATTATTTGAAGGTTTCAAAAGCAAGCAGAATGTCTATCTTGAAAGTAAAAAAGGAAACAAATAGTAATAAAGAAAAAAACTCTTTAAGAGTAGTAAATTAACTTCATTATATGATAAGATAAAAATACACCAAGGGGATAGACATTTCTACACATTTCCTTCATAGAACAAACTTGCGGACGAAGTGAAATGAGAAAAACTACTCGATATTACATATATACATTCAGGTAGACAGTTGCTTTTAATCATTAACATTCTTATCAATATTACCTTTAATAATTTAAGAAGACAGATCAATTAAGAAAAAAATGTATATCTGATTACTAATAGAAAACAAGAGAGAGAGAGAGAATGAGAATGAGAAAATCTTCTTCTCAGACTTGCGACGTTTCTTTTCGGACGAAAACTACTATCTAAGAGAACGCAGTGATAATGATAGGTTTATTCAATGGCAACTACGAAGTATTTGAGTAGGAGATAATGACAGACATGATGGAACAGCTAACGAGAAAAAGAAAAGGCATAATAAAGAGATAGAAGGCCGAGGAATTGGCCATCGACCAAAAGAATTGCCCTTTCCATTGTCTTTCACTAACGTATAAATGAACATAACGATATAGTTCAATTAGAAGCGTATTTTCCAGCTGTTGTCAGAAGAGATAAGAACGAAGAAAAAAATGGTTTTCGTAGGGAATTCTCTTCTACCTTTCTTTCTTTTTTTTTCTTTATCACCATCATCATTATTTTTCTCTGCTCTCTTCTCTTCCTTCTTACATATATCTTTACAGCATACAAACAAAAAAACTAGGCACATCATCCAATGGTAGAAACAACCGCTCGCACATTATCCATACGGGAATATGTCTTTCGCATCGAAACTGTCATGAATAACTAATGAAAACCTGTATGATTAGATCTTTTCTTTTCGGTATTCATCATACAGATTGATATCGGTTGATAAAATAATCCATTTAAATGCACCATGTTTTTAGTGCAAACGCACATCGGCTGATAATTTTCACACGTATATTCCTCTGAATCATCGTTTCGTCGACGATTTTTCTGCTCAATAACATCCTGGAATGTGACGCGTATTAAGAAGAAACTTTTACTCTCTTCTTATTACACAATAGGCGTATAAGGAAAAAAAAGTCGGTAGATTGTGTCTAATTGGTAACTGATAATGAAATGAAATCTTATATTGACGCACAAAACCCGGTAGTTGTTATATCCTGTATTAAAGATTCGTTATTAAAGTAGTCTCTTGACGTGTATATATCTTTTATAAATAGAATTTCAAGATACTTTCTTAATGCCTCATTTGGAAACAAACCGAGTTGGTACTTAGATTTCAAGTTTTTCTTCCAGCACGTGTTAATCTGTTTTCTTTTCTCATGGATTCTTTCGTGTGTGTATGATCATTGGTGATGCTGTTTTTCAGATCATTGAAATACGAGTTATTATAAGAAAAATCAGTAGTTTTCTTGTTATTTTTCTCTCCTCGTTAATCTTTTCGTGACTGAAAAATGTCGCGAAGGGGAAAATGATGGCAAACGTCAATACGGTCCTTATGGAATCACACGACAAATCCAATCATCATGTTACAAAAAAGTTTTCCGATCAACTGATGTCCTTATACACCCTCAAACACTTCCAAGAAATTGTTTTCATTAGAGATCATTCATTCATATGTGTAGGTGCAACAAATTGTGATCAATTGTTTTGAACTAATAAGCTAAAAATACGTTTAGTTTGCCACTGAACAAAGGAAACGACATTTTACATCAATATATAATGAAACAGAGATTCATTGGGTATAAAAAATGAAAATTTCCTTGTGATTTATTCATTCCTTGTCTCTCTCGAGATTGCAACAACGGTATCAATCATTGTGTAGTGACATCTATTCTTGTTTGTTCTCTAACAAATCTTGAAAAGGTAAAAATTCTTCACGAATTCGAAAAGAATGTTAATTTCATTTGAAAAGTGAAATTATTTTTAAAAAACAATCCCATTATTGCATCACCACAACGCATAGTATTTCGGTGACTCATGTTTTCATCGAATAAATTGTCGAGTCTCACAAAAAAAATAAAGTCCCATATATAAACACACAAACAAACCGTTCGTTCGTTTGTTCATCGTGTGCCGAATCCGAATAATTGACATTCTGTTTTCTGTAATTGATTTTAACTTATTTTCACATTTAAACAAACATTCTTCATGATGAGTGTTGCCAATCCAAAATTACCACAATCTGTTCTATCTACCAATGCAAACAGCACAAAAAGTTCACCATCGTCAACGATGAAAAAGGAGTCGAATAATAACACAAAAGCTGCGTCGAACGGAAATAGTTCGAAATCATCGCCGGTGGTTAATAAAAGACCGCCCATGCAGAGTTCACCAATAAAACGCAAAACTCGTATTTTATCTGATAGTGATGAATCAGACAATGACAATCAATCATTGGTGAGTTGGAGAAAAAGAATTTTTCTTTCATTGCGCCTAGTTTTTTTTTTCTTCAAAAATGTCTATTCAAATCACACTCTTCGAATATTTAGTTCCAATTCTACTGAAAGATTTTGTCTGTGTCGGAAAAACGACCAATATCTACATATTTTCTTTATTTTTTCTTTGCTTAGGCGAAGAAAGCAGCAACATTAACAACAACAACAGCGTCAAACGGTCCATCGATGACCAACAGTGAACCAAAACCTGCATTAACACCGACTAAAACCGACACTCTTCAAACATCTATTGTGAAAAAAGAACCAACATCTACAACAGCAAGTCCAGCTGTTAAAAAAGAAGCGACAACTCCTACGATCAAAAAGGAATCGACGACGCCCATTGTTAAGAAGGAAACAACTATTGTCATTAAAAAAGAGCCAAAAACCGAACCATCACCGCCGAAACGTAAAAGTACAACTATCGATTCTGATGATGACGATGCTCCATTGGTAAGGAAGTCTTACAAACTCGCTTTTTCCAGCTAATCTGAATGTTTCTAGTCGAAAAAAGCAAAAAGTCATATAGCAAAAAAAGCGGTTACTTCTACAACACCGACTGCTGTCAAAAATGAAAAACCTTCTACGTCTAAATCTCCGTCATCCGCGTCCACAAAGAAGTCGACAGCGACTGTTAAACAAGAAAAAGTCACACCGAAAAAAGAATCGAAGCCGATTGTCAATTCTTCACCGACGAAAGGAACAACTACTGGGAAACGAACTAAAAAAGAAGAAGAAGATGTTTGGCGATGGTACATATCCTTATATTTTCTCATTTTTCTCACTTTCATTCCTTTATTTTCCAGGTGGGAAGATGAACAATACACCGATGGTCGCAAGTGGACAACTCTCGAACACAAGGGACCATTATTTCCTCCTCCATACGAACCATTGCCATCTCGTGTGAAGTTTTTCTACAATGGTACGTTTCTGTCTTGGGTTGACGCGCGGTATTTGAAACCTTCGTTATGTTCTAGGTGCTGAGGTTAAATTGAAACCAGCAGCCGAAGAAATAATGACATTCTATGCTCGTATGCTCGATCACGATTATACTTCGAAATCGATTTTCAATGAAAATTTCATGAATGACTGGCGGGAATCAATGACGTCGGCAGAACGTGAAGTTATCAAAGATATTCGTAAATGCGATTTTACTCAAGTAGCAAATTATTTCAAGGAACAAACCGAATTACGCAAAAACATGAGTAAAGAAGAAAAGAAACAAATCAAAGAGGAAAATGAACGGATCCGCAAAGAATACGGCTTTTGTCTATGGGACGGACATCGACAACCTGTAGGAAATTACAAAATTGAACCTCCTGGTCTCTTTCGTGGCCGCGGTGAACATCCAAAAATGGGATGTTTGAAAAAACGTATTCGACCGGAAGACGTTATTATCAATATTGGTCGAACAGCAACAATACCAAAACCACCGGAAGGACACAAATGGAAAGAAGTTCGACATGATAACAAAGTTACTTGGCTTGTTATGTGGACAGAGAACATTCGAGGAAATCATAAGTACATTATGTTAAGTGCATCATCTCGTGTTAAGGTTTGTTGTTTGTTTCTGTGCAATTGCTATGTTTAACTTTCTTTACCTTCAGGGCGAACGGGATTGGCAAAAGTATGAGAAAGCACGAAAACTTCATCGAATCATTGATAAAATACGTGAAAATTATCAAATGGATTGGAAAAGTAAAGAGATGAAAATACGTCAACGAGCTGTTGCACTTTACTTTATCGACAAGGTAATTCAATGCTTATCGTACACTTTTCAAACAAACATATTTTCTTTCTCTTGAAGCTCGCACTTCGTGCTGGTAACGAAAAAGATGAAGACGAAGCAGACACCGTCGGTTGCTGCTCATTACGTGTCGAACACATCCGATTACATGATCGAGATGAAAGACTCGGCGACAACGTTGTCGAATTTGACTTTCTTGGCAAAGATAGTATAAGGTACACTATAGCGGATCTTTCATAAACTTTATCTATTGACCAATTCTATTTGATCTTTAGATACAATAATAGAGTTGCCGTTGAGCCACGTGTATATAAAAATTTGAAACTATTCATTGAAAACAAAGAACACGAAGATGAATTATTCGATCGTCTTACAGTAAGACGCGACAAAATTGATGAATTCCCTTTTGATTTTAATTTGGAATTTTAGACGGCAAGTTTAAATCAATATCTGAGCGAATTAATGGATGGTCTTACTGCAAAAGTGTTTCGAACATACAATGCATCGAAAACTCTTCAAGAACAACTTGATCTTCTCACAGATCGCAAAGCTAATGTCGCCGAAAAAGTCCTCGCTTACAATCGTGCTAATCGGCAAGTTGCATTGTTGTGTAATCACCAACGTTCCATACCGAAAACATTCGAGAAAAGCATGAGTGCTTTAAAGACGAAGGTAAGTCAATGCGAATCTTGATGAAGATTTTTCCTGATGAATGTATTTAGATCGATGCAAAGAAAAGCGAAGTTAATGAACTGAAAGGCGAGTTAAAACGAGCGAAAGCTGAGCATAAAAATTCGAAAAGCCAAGCATCGCAAAAGAAGGTTGAAGCCGCCGAAAAGAAATTGCAACGTGCAGACGAAGCGCTCAAGAAGTTAGAAGTTCAAGAATTAGATCGCAGAGAAAACGCAGAAATCGCATTGGGCACGTCCAAATTAAACTATCTCGATCCGCGAATCAGTGTTGCATGGTAAAGAGTCATTCAACTACTGCTCACATGACACTCATTGACTTTTTAGGTGTAAGAAATGGAGTGTTCCGATCGAGAAAGTCTATTCCAAAACTCAACGTGATAAATTTCGTTGGGCGATTGATATGGCAACTGCTGACTATCATTTTCATAACTACAAAGGTGAAATTGTTTTGCGTAACATCGATGAGAGTAACAATAATGGTGAGGGTGATGATGAAGACGATGTTGATGATGATGAACAAAACTCAGAAGATGCGTAATTCGTTTTTCCGTCGAGATTTTCTCGTCTTGTTTTGTCTCTAAACTTTTCTTTTTTTTTTCTTTTCGTTCATATATTGCTTTTCATTTGCTTTTTTTCATTTTTCCGCTAACAATGTTCGTTTTTGTCTTGTTTTTTTTTTTCTTCTTTTCTTCTCATTACAATGTTTATTCGTATTGACTAATAAAGATGGAGAAAAAGTCAACTAGCAATGTGCTTGATGTTGTTTGTCATATGACAAATGCTAACCATCATCAATCAACCGAGCATATGCAAGAGAAAAGTGTAGATAACATCAAATATGATTCATAATAGTACAGCAATTCAAAAGAAAACATTAACAGAAATGACTTTTTATCAGTTGATAAATAGACGTGATATCTCACTGATTTCTCTCAATAGTTATTTGATGGCTCGACTTGTTTCGTATATAAACACGGGCAAAGTTTAGGACGCTCCTTTCAGTGCTCTTTACAAAACGAATTGAAACTTTCCTTCGTAATGGTTGTGACAATGAACAATTCGAAGCCGAATCCTCAACGCACACAAGAAGGATATCATAGACCTCCGACAGTTATCATCGTCTATGACCAACCGAAAGTCGTAGTCGAACGACACTACACAAAAACATTTGTTCCTCATGTTAATCCTGTCGAATATGAACATCGATTCAGTAATGTCTTACTTGACACATCAACACTACTAGATCTTGTTCGGCGACTTAATATTCGAGAAGATGAAGTAAGACTATAAACTTATCTATACAAAAAAAAACTAATCGAATCATTTGTTTGTTTTTTTTTCTTCTTTAGATTACACCTCCACCCTATCGTCAATTGTTTTAAGAAACACGAAAGTACAAAGAACAGAAATGGAATGTCAACATCCTGATTGAACTGAAAAGAGAATGAACATTAACATGATTTCTTTTTTGATGAGCTCAACTTTGGTCTAAATCATTGTATATATCTAATCACGATCATAATAAAGATTCTTCAACAAAAAGAAAACATCCTTACCGTAACAAATCATTGACTGGAATTAAATATTAGGAATTTCATGCAACTTTAAAGATGTTGTATAATTGAGACTTTGAGAAGTAGATGAAAGAGTACCGACTCATCAAGACTGCGTGGGTTTCTTTCGTGAGAAATTATCTATGTATGAGAGAATATGAAAATGGTTAGTTAGTTTATCTTATCTTTGTTTGACACTCACCAGAATTTCGATCATTGGAAGCAACTGACTTATCAAAGACGCTTGCTCCTTTCAGCACAAATCAATCAAGATCTTAAAGAAAGAACTGAAGTTGAACAATATTATCTTATGATTCATAAATAAGACATAAGAACATGAGAATCATTGTTGAAAGATCGTTAGACGAATTTCTCTCAAGGATGTTTGACGCCTTTGGTTTGATCGTATAATTAGATTAGAAGAGTACATTGTTGAGAAAACAACTTGTGTTGCAAGGAATAATCTCAGCGATCTACTTTTTTTGTATCGAATATCATGTGGAGAACCGTCCCCTTCGTCGAATTCGGGTTGTTTATTATTATGAGAGTACATTTCTAGTTTGAACTTGCTGTCTTAGGTTCATGTTTGATTCGTTCAGCCTTGATGATTTATTTCTTTTATTCTACTGTCGTATTGTTTGACTGAATATATACATTCGCATCTGGAGACTAGCTGGATGCATTTTATTTGAATATTAATATAACCCTCTGTATGACAGAATAATGATTTTTTTGTTACAACGATGAACCGATCATGGATATAGATGTTTCAGCGAGAACTTGACAATATGTACGGTGATATTCAACAAGAGATACAATCTTTGTCACTTATGCAAATTGTGAACCTTTCAATTCATTTAGATAGAAATCTCATCGGAAAAATATTTTTATATTAGTTTTATTTGTATTTTTTTTCTTCATATTAGCGAGTTCTTGTTATTTACGAACAGAAGTTCAGGAATACGCCGAGGAAGACGAATACAATGCCGTGGTGTTGTTTATTGTTTTTGAAAATTATCTATGACTTTACATATTTGTCTCAATCATCGTGAATGCTTTCGTTAGCCCAAGATGGTATAACAAAATCTTGAATTAATTGCCAGATGATTTCTGAAATTCAAGGGCATATTTCATTCAGATTTAAACTATTAACTAGCCTTTAATGAATCAGTCGGAATCGTTCCATGCACTTACTTTTCCATTCCTCTACGCTGTACTCTGCGTCTTGGTGTTGATCAACTATTGAATTCAAAGTCGGTTCATCCATAGGATCATGATAGTCGGCCAGAAATGGATGAGCTATGCAGAAAAAAACAAAATTTGCGACAGGTTAACAACATCAACTGAATCTCAGTATTGAAAGTTCGCTAACCGAGTGATTGAGCGGCAGTCGGACGGTCACGATGATCAAAAGTTAAAAGACATTTGAGAAGATCAATACCCATCGGTGAAACACCGGATATTGGTTGCGGATTTCCTGCAGCGTATTTGAAACCGAATAGTTTATTCAAATCTTGTGGTGGATGAACTGGAATTTGTTTGATGTACGACGCTGCGCCTGTAAAAGTATTTTCATAAGTCTAGCTTGGATGTTATCTACCAACCTGGTATGCATATTTCGTCTATCTTTGTTGGATCAGGAGTACCAAGAACGTCAATGATTTGTTTTAGATAATCCATATGATCTTCTCCACGGAAAAGTGGTTGATGTAAGATCAATTCAGCCATGATGGCACCAACAGACCATACGTCTACTTTGCTACTACATTGTGCTGGATTAGCAAGTATCTCTGGTGCATCCCAAGATCTAATCAGAGAGACTGTGTTTAATACGACAAGTCCAAATCGGTTTTCTTAATATACCTAGAGGGGATATTGCAAGCGCTGTTATCATTGGATGGAAAATTAGCGACAAAATCGGTTGTAATCTAAATATAAGTGACAGAGTATGAAAGTGCATCTTAACAATATTAAGAGGGACGATGTTGATTGATGATTTTTCTGCATACTTTACCGACTGTAACACTTACTGAGACATTTCCACACTTGTCTATCCTAACGTTTTGCGGTGTCAGACCCTATTTGAAACGAAAAAAACCATCGGTCAATCAATATTTTCATTTTTCTATAGTATAATTACATAGTGAACAATCCCCGCTGAATGAATGAGCTAAAACAAAAGTAAAACACCTAATATACTGCGAATCACTAGTGATGACAAGCGAAAATACTTTTAAACCACGAAGTAACTGATATATCACTAATTTGATATGTTCTTCAGTAAATGTCGTACACTGAATAGCTTCGTGTAGGTCATAATCAATGTAATTCAGAACAAAGTACCTACAAGGTATTCACACAGAATGATACATCGTCTAATAAAATTTCCTTTCGGAAATCATACAAAGTCTGAAAATTATTCACATCTCGTTCTGGTGTGAAGACATTGTATAATTGCACTACCTACAATGATCAAAAATGGCTATTCGCAAGTAAGATGATAGTTGAGCGTGCATACTTGTGTATCCGGATAGTTGAAATCCAAGAGAAGTTTTAATTCACGGTACGTTCGTTTTGCGTGCATTGCATCTCGGAAAGGTTCTCTCACCTTTTTAATAGCTACGTATTTACCTGTTTTCTAAATGAGAGTACATTAATAGTCATTACTAATCCTAGACATTATCATTCGTACTGAATCTATCGCTTGACTAAAGTACAAAGACGATCAAAAAGGAAGAAGAAAGTACATTTGAACTTACAGAACAAAACTAAATGCTCCTTCTCCGGTAACATGTGCATGTTGATATCGTATGGGTAATGTAAATGTCTCGTTGTTAGAAATTGTCGTATACCACTGTTCTTGATTTTCGATCACTGCAGCCATATTGATATCTATTCTCAATGATAAAAAGAAATCCTATCGAATGTAATTGAGTTTATGTGAGAACGACTGTATACAAACATAAAATATAACCAAATGATGAATCTCACCTATTGGTTAAGACTAGATGAGAGAGAGAGACATATAATGATCGATAGTAGCGATAAATGAAAGCAATCATGACGAGTTAAACGTGGATGATATGCTTTATAGTGATTCATCTTTTTATGATATTTTTTTAAGTATATAGAAATTGATATTTCGTCTGCAACTCAGTAGAAAAGTGGGATCAATCGTTTAACCCTCTTTTTATGTTTCATATCAATTCGCTCTTTGAAATCTAATTATATTTTATGCGTGCGACCGTTGATAGAATATTTTCTTAAATATTTCATGCATATACGCAAAAGTTCACATGCAGAAAGAGGCGACATTTCGAAACTACTATTTAACCAGAAGCTTCGTGATACAACGAAAGACAAACAGCGACGATCATATATTGATGTAGTCAATACACAATAGATCGGTGGAAATACAAAAAAAACATCACAAACGACAGTCTTTTTTCTTAGTTATCTTGTAATCTATGGTATGTTTTGTGAATCGGTATCCATATCGTCGTTATCATCGTCAGCGTCTACTACGGGTTCCTCAAACCGTTGAATTAGTTCCCAGATTATACCTAAAAAGACATTAAATGTATTAAACAATCGATAACTAAAATCACCACACTCATTCTACTAAATTGCGATAACGATCGCTCATAGACGAATAGAGTATGTTACATTTACTTTTCCACTTTTCCACATTGTAACATGCATTTTGATGTTCGTCAACCAATGAGTCTAGAGTCGGTTCATCCTCAGGATTATGAAAGCCAGTCAGAAATGGATGAGCTACATAGACAAAAACATTTTTACAGAATTGTTCACATCAATTGAACTGCAGTCCGGAAAACTAACTTACCTAGTGCTTCTTCAGCAGTTGGCCGATCAAAATGATTAAACGTTAGAAGATGTCGGAGAAGATCGACACCTACTGGTGAAATTCCGGATGTTGGTTGAGGATTTCCTGCAGCATATTTGTAACCAAACAGTTCATTGAAATTTTGTCCGACTTGTCGCGGCATTTTTGAGATAAATTCTACCACATCTAAAGAATCTGTTTCACAGCAATGAGAATATTGTGTAGTTATTCAAACTGTGATACTATATCGATAAATTTAGGAACTATTATCAACCGATATTCTCTTGATCTTATGAACTCCTCTTGAATATTCCCAATCCAAGATTATTCCTCTCAGAACCTTTAAAACCTAAAATTGATCTGCACATCGCTTACGAACCTGGTGTGCAAATTTCATCTAGTGTTGACCTATCAGGTGTACCGATAATTTCAAATATCTTCTTCAAATGATCGGTATGATCTTTTCCAGGAAAAATTGGTTTACGTAAAATCAATTCGCCCATTATACAACCAACAGACCACATATCCAATTTATCATCATATCTCTGCCAGTTCGTATATATATCCGGTGCACGCCACCATCTAACGAAGTCAATATTATATTTCTTATAAATGATGAATCGTATACCTTGTTTGAACATAACCGGTTTTATCCCCGTCGGCTGCAACACGTCCTAAGCCAAAATCGAGAATCTATCAAAAACAAACACTATTCATATTTTTGTTTTCATGCGCGATCGAAAACATTAGTTTTGTAATTTTAATAATTTTTTATGAGAAATCTTGAAATGTATCAGAATCAATTGAATAAACCGAGGAAAGTGTCAATATCGTTGAAAGCGATCGAAAGTAGGTGTATACTCCTTCTACTCACCGTGAGATTCGAATCTTCATCAATTCCAATATTTGATGGTTTCAAGTCCTATTTAAAATATTGAAAGCGTATCATAATTTCCTACCTATTTTTCAAAAAGAAATTCCTACGCGGTGAAGGATTTCAGCTGAATGTGCGAACTGAAATTGAAGAGCAACGAAACCGTTCGTATTGTATGGAAGACTATAATTTTCATAGAAAACTCCTACTTTCAAAGCACGAAGTATCGAATAAATGATTTGTTTGATATGTTCTTCAGTGAATGCATGTCTTTTAATAATACGATTCAAATCAACACCGGCATATTTCATCACCAAATAACTAAACAATCAGTGTTCTCAATAGGTGATAAACTTCCTTATAAACAAACATACAAAGTTTCAAATTCGCGCAAGTTATTATTAGGTGTGAAAACGTTCAATAATCGTACGATCTACGTATATTTACAAGTAATACACATCCATGGAAAAAGTATTAGAAGAAAGTCAGCATTTATTTACGTACATGCATACCAGGATGGTCTAGATGCATGAGTAATTTGAGTTCGCGATAAGCTCGTTTTGCATATTCTGTGCCTCGAAATGGTTGAATTAACTTTTTGATAGCAACAATTTTGCCGGTGACCTAATTCATTATACCGTAATATTTATTCCGCGATATTAACGGTAATTTTTCATACCGTATCTGTCATCTGACTAGACAAAGAACGTATTCATAGAAAAATCAAAGAGGATATTAGTACTTACGCTACAGCGCCGAAAGCACCGTATCCGATTTTTTTCGGATCTTTATATCGAATAGGCACTGTGTACTCTTCTTCGCCACAGGTAAATGTGTGCCATTGAGTTTGATCAGAATTGGCAGCTGCCATTCTTAGTTCTATAATGTTTAACAATATGTTAAATGTGAAATTTTCGTCAATTGTTTAAAAGTTGTTTAGAAGTGATGCTCAGAATTGCAAAGAATCACAAATGTTTCATGAAAATGTCTGCGCAGTGATGTACAATATCGATGTGAGCTATTTGCTTACAGTATCCTAGATGCGTAAAAAATAATCAAACGTAAAAAGAGGAAGAAACGGTCGCTTATATAGAACACGTGAATGGGGAAAGTTCCGATTATCCATCAGTTTGTATTGGAATTTTCCACCTAAAAAAAAGTCTTATTTTTGGAAGAGAGAAACTTCTAATTTCGTCAGACTGGACTTGTCCGCGAAACGTCGAGATAAGACTATTGCAATCGTATTTTTGCTAGACAGAAAAAAAGTAATCAAAACCTCATTGTAAAAGATACAGACACAAAGTCAACATTGCACCATGTGGAAAAATGTATGCTGCGTATGTTTTTCTTTCTCTGCATCCCACCATTTCTCCTGTAGACCATTTCATACGTGTCGTGAAGAACAAGAAAAATTATACGCTGCAGCATGTATAGGTATCTCCGTATTTTATCGATATGCAGGTAACATTATGTGGTTATCGATTTCGAAAGAAAAAGATTTTGTTGGGTTGAAAATTTGCTCGTGCTGATTTTGATCGGCGCATGCTAATAGACTTGTATGAATGATGATGCAAGAATATGAAGAATTATCTATTGAGTTGTCGGCGGGAACTGAGAAATAATGTGACGAGGAATGTCTTGATCCGCCCTTGGCGAGACATCGTATCGCAGAACTAATGTCACGAACGAAACTGTTCTTCCTTTCTGTATGAGAAAATAGATGTTTTCTCCTTTGAATTCTATTGATATTCAATGCATTTCGAATTCACAATGCCTCGTGATTTTCATACAACACAAATCAGCATGAAAATAAATAATCAAACATTCACATTAAGACATTCTTTTACCGATAAAATCTTTTTATCACAAAACTCATCTTAATTAAATGGAAAACAAACAGTCGACCTTTTCCTCTTCTTCCTAAGAAAAGAATCATCTTCCCCATTTTAACAACAACTTTATGTCCCCAACCTACAATAGTTATCACTAACACCCCAGTTTTCGAAATGTGAAAAAGTCACAGTAGGACGTCTTTGTATTGTCTTATTTAACATTAAAATTCTTAAGACAGATTGAGTAATATCTCCGTGCTATCTTAATCATGAGATCGAGAGAATTCTGTTCGTTGATTTATATTTTTCTCTTCTTTGCTCGCTGTTCCTCCTGTTTCCTCATCGTTTTCCTTTTTTTGTGTGGTATATAGTTTCTAAAAGTGAGTATGTCATAGGAGTAATGATAGATGACTGACGTGCTTTTCCTCTCCTTCCCTCTCTCTCTCTGCGCTACTCGCTTTCTTGCATAAAAAATAAATGAATGAAGTAAGAAAGAATAGATATATGAAAGAAGGAAAACTTTTCTGTATATACACTATCATGGGTAAATTTTCTTCGTCTTCGATGCCAACGAGATCTTCATGGGGAACAGCGACAAGAATTAATGCCAGTTATGAAAATATAGTCAGCAATCGACAAGTGAAATTACAGCGATGGCTTTTCGGAATGATTGTTGGCTCTGCGCCGTTTTTCTTCATTCTTTTTTGTTGGATGTTCGTGTCATTATGTCTGAATAATCTTGTTCGACTTTATCAATACAGGAAAAACCGGTACCGACGTGCATTACAATCAAATGATGCTGATTCTCAGATGTTTAAAACGACAATTTAATCCGATAGATGTAATGATTCAGACACAATTCAAAGTGTTTCATCGGTAAGAATATTTTTAGTTTCTTGTGTTATTTTAATAGGAGAAATGAGAAGAATTTTAATTTTGTGAAAAGGTTTCGCAAACGGTCCTTATCTAAGAGTCGCGCATATGTAACGACACTGAAGTGAGAAGCACAATACTGTCGTAATAGTACTTTCTAGATGGGAGTAAATTGACTCGAATAGAATCGTTTCTTATAAAAAAAAAAAGAAATGTCCTCGAGTGTAAAGAAATAGAATGTTTAACTACAATGAATAATTATATCCGAATATGAGTAGTAATTGATCGTCCAGTAATTGTTGATATATCTGCAGACGCTGCTTAATTTTTCTCACGATCCAGGTACGCATCATCTCGTCAAGTTCGATGAATATTTCACGAGGACTAATGAATGTTTCTTACTCATTCATTTCTGATCTAATCCTTGTGACATGTGAACATTTAATTATTGATATTTCACACAATCTGTCGTGTATAAATGGTAATGCACTATTGTTCTGTTTGTGTTTAGGAATCTTCGATACAACAGCGTATGTGAATGATACGAAAACTCTTCGATTTTGTTATATTAATATGTGTATGATAGAGCGAAAAAAGAAAAAAGAAAATTTATTTTTATCTTCACCAGTCATGAGGAACAGCAAAAGGAGACAAATTAAGCCAAAGAAAAACACACACACACGGAAGAAAGGGGAAAGAGAGAGAGAAATATTCGTGTTTTTCATAGATAGATACTGTTACGAGAGGGAACTATGCTTGGGTTTACCGCGTTACTTTTCGCCTATTTCGTTTAGCTTGGTGGGGACTGATGCAGATGATAAACTCGATGGAATGCAAGCAAATCGAGGTGACAAAAACAAAAAAGAGAGAAAGAAAAAAACCGAGAAGCTTTAATCGACAAGTAGCACCCTGTGTAAAAGAGAGCGAGAGAGAGAGAGAGAATCAATCATCAGACTAAATATTTTGTGGCTAGAGTGGTTGAAAAAGAAAACGAAGAGAGAGAAAAATTGTACAGTTATAATCAAATCTATCTCGATGAGGAATCCATTCGACGAGTACCACTGTTCGACGAATAAAGTTGAAGCCAGGCATCGAGTGACTGTTGACACACCTGAGGACGTTTCCCTGAAACATAATTTACAATCGATGATACAAAGAAGCACAGCAAAAGATCGTTTCCGACTTACCAACTTTTTGTTTAGCTACTAATAGACCATTACTTGTGAAACCGCAGTCAAGCCATTGATGAAGGATTGCTTGTTCATGTCCGATCTAAAAGGATGAGTGATTGTTAAATGTTTCGATGAAAATAGAAAAGATGACATACTTCAGATGCTGTGAGAAAGTGTACAGGTAGAAGATTTCCATCGCAATCCATCAATGGATGATAGAAAATTTGTTGGTCATTATTCTCGTTTTGTGGTTGAGTTATTAACGAAGATGAAGAAGGCGGTGGACGTTGTTGAACATCGTTTTCGTGATTGAGAATCAATGGTGACGACGAACGGGATGATGATGATGATGAGATATTGATGCGTTCTTGCATAGGTACAAGCGCGGAGAAATGATTACGAGTAAAACCGAGACATATAGGTGATTTTGAACAGAAATTCGTTTCCCAAAGTAATGGTAAGTAAACACCTTGAAAACGAGCAAGACCAATGAAATATTCTCCTCGGTAGGATTTGACATTCGTCACACCATAAACAATGATCGGTCGACGGAGGATATGTGATAGTGCAAATATATGTGCATGTCCCAAACTTTCACCAGGTTGATTTGCGAATGTTAATACATCATTCCAGTCACTTTTTAATTGATGTTCATCTTGCCGGTATTGCTGTTTTTCAGCTACCAATCGTTCGTATTCACTCCATCGTTCGAAAAATCTAAGAGAAGCCTATTTCAAACATTCGTTTTCATTATCAACCGTCCTACTTATTTGAGCCATGTTGTAAACACTCAGCCATTGCTCGGCGTAGCGTATTCTCTGTATCCCATACTCCTAGGCAAACCTGCAGAACACTATCTAATAAACAATCGCCATTCTTTCGATTCCACAATGCATATAAACGAGAATGAAACCGAGTGGTGACTTCACTATTCCAGTTGATGATTCGATTATCAATTTCAAGCTCTATACAAAGATGAAATTCACTCCGAGATGTCTATTTGCGAGAGATCTCTACCTTGTTGGACTTGTTGATCAAGAATATCATCGAATATTTGCTGTTGGGTTCGATGAGAGAAGTCACGAATTTCTAAATATAAATGTGTTCGACATCGATTTGTTCCATCGAAATTCGTTTACCTGCTGGTAACACAGCTGTAAACCATTCTGTTAAAAAGTACGAATGAAAATCAGTGATCTTCTTTAGTTTCAAATGACTGTGAAAAAAATGTTGAATCATTCCATTTATTCGAGTACAAATATTTGCTGGTACACGTCGTGTATGTGGCTGTTTCTTTTGTTGTCTCATCAATTGTTGAAATGCACTTTCAAATTTACAGAATTGTTCAATTTGTCCAGTTATATTTGCTAAATTCTTCAACGTTCGTCCGACGAGATCGATCGAGGATAAATATGAACAAGTAAGAAATTGACTATCCTCAATTGTGATTTGTCGGGTTGGATCACCGCCGCAGAGTAAATATTCGAAAACGATCGTTAATGAACCATGATCCAATAGTGTTTGACAAGCTTTCAACCATAATCGGTCAGATGGCGTCGATGAAGACTTCTTTGGATTCGATATGAAACGTTTTTCACTACTGAGACGATTGGTTTTGCTTTCTTTATTCGATACTCTTTCGACATTAATATTTTCCATCGATTTGTTGATAGCATTCATACGCTGTTCTTCGTCAGTACCGATTAAGATTGATGAACACGTCGATGATGATGATGACGATGAACATATTGGTGTTGGGATGATTGGATTCGAACTGTTGGTACTATGATGACGTGAGTTTCCGCATGATATACATCTTTTGGTTGCAGGATAATCTAATGGAAATGAAAAGACGTCGAAACGAAGAGAACAAGTACAGAAAAAGAAAAAAAAGAAATCCATTGTTGTTTATATGACCTTGATCTTTACGAGTTCGACGTGTTTTTACTGACAAGGACATTTTTCATACTACTAGATTATCTATTCTATTGGATTCGAGTTATAATTGCAAATATTGATCGATACAAATGAAAAGTAAAGTGCTTACTATCAGTTGTGCATCGATTACAAGTCCATTTTCTTAAACGTTGGGCAATACGACGTGAATCAGCTGTGGACGCTGGTGGGGAAATTCGTTCATTGACATTCGCATCGATCGATGGTTGAACAGGCGATACACGTGCTGTACCAATTATACGATATGAACCACATTGAGTACAGCGCACTGCTCGTGGATAATTAAGAAATGTACATTGATCACATGGCCATTTTTCAACTGAATCGATATAAGTCGCTGGTATTTGTTGTTGTTGTTGTTGAGCTTGTTCTTGTTGGGTATTCGATTCTGAAGATGCACTTAATTGATAGATATCGGCTGAAGCAGCGTTCACTGTTGTTAGTTTCGGTTGTCGACACATGGTACATTTTTGTGCTACAGCAAAGTTTAAATATGTACATATGGAGCAAGCCCATTTATCTTCAATAATAGTCGTTGTTGCCGTTGGATTTGCCGAATTCGTCTCGGAATTTTCATTTCGATGTTCAAAATCATCGATGGACGAATCGTCATCATCATCATCGGCTGGATTATTCATCTAATAGGACAAAAAACAACAACAACAACAGTAAGATTGTAGGTAAATAAGTAAACATATTAGTCGGGTATATAAATATATACTCAAATAAAAAAAAAGATCTTCTAAAGTATTTATTTGCTTACAATTGCAAAGGTATTGGTTGTTATTGTTCCGATGTGAACATTGACACTGATGAAAACAATTGCTCATCGAAATTGAAAATTGTGGAAGGAAAAAATATGTGTCGTGTTCTTTTTCTAGGGATTTAGAAATAAATATCTAAAAATAATCAACAGATTTTGTTTTCTGGAGTGTCATTTAGACCAATGATGACGGCAACAGAAAAGTCACCTGCTTTCCTTCGTGCCTCGCTCGTTCTTGCAGCTACGTCTTCCTTCCTGTTGCTTTTTCTCGCTGTATGTCTATTTGTCTGCTTAGTTACTACGAATGAATATAATCAACCAATCAGATTCATTTAGAGATCCTCTACGTATTTATCATATGAAAAGTCCATTTTCACTCGAAAAAATCGACATCCTTGAATTTTAGTTAAATTATAATCAGAATTTTGTAATAATGGCATTTATATTTCTGTTGTTTTTTTTTCGATAATAATTTCTTTTCTTTTTTTTATAACAGATCAATACAAAACACACACATTAACAAAAGCAAACGTAACGTGTACGAATGATGATGATGTGAATTTGTTTGATGGAAATTAACCGATGATTTACTTTGTTTTTTATTTATTTTAATCAAATAAACCAAAGCCCTAGAATAAACACAAACAAGTCTCACAAATTGTTGCTCTTTAGTTAAAAGAATACAAACCATATCATCTCCTTCCTCATCCGATTCTTCTTTCTTCTTTTCTTCTTTCTTTGGTTCTTCTTTAGCACCACCTTTCTTAGCATCACCTCCAGCAGCTGGAGCTGCAGCGGCAGCGGCGGGTGCAGCAGCACCACCGGCTGGTAAACTTGTAAGTTTCTTTGTACCTTCGGCGATGATTTGTTCAAGATCTTTTCCTTTGCATGCATCGACTACTTTTTGTGCTTTGGTTTTATCACAGTCGATACCGACACTGCCGAGGATTTTTGCAATTGTTGCAGCATCTGGAGTGGCATTACCACCAAGTACAGCTAAAACGTAGGCAGCAGCGTAACGCATCTTGATGAAATCGGAAATAGACTAGTTCGAAAAGAAACTTCTAAAAAAGACAACAAAAGAGATTTAGCTGAGCAATTTTCATGTGAAAATTTCGAAAGTGATACAACACAACTAACTAATAATAAACCAACAGAAGTATTTATCGAACCTCGACGAAAGAGGATATGTGCTATTGCATGATTGCATTGGAAATATTCGAAAAAATAAACATTCACTCGATTGGCGAATGGTTTTTGCCAATAGCATGCGAAGAAATAAGAAGAACACGACAAATTTGTTTACTTTTATTTCTTCTCTTCTTTTCCTATCCTTTTTGATGTCACTTTGATTTCTATCAACTTATTTTCATGGTTTATTATATCAAACATCAATTAAAAGTCGTCTTACTCTGAAAATTTCCTTCGTCAAACGACAACAATCTTTTCTTTTCGTAATTCTTAATAATCTTTCAAGCTGGATTATCCACCTGATGTCGACATGCAGAGTTTGTTATTTTAATTGCATCAATTAAAACGCAGAGAGAGAAAACGCTTTTCTTTTCTTTCTTTTCTTAGATGCCGGCAGTGGCGATGATTTACTAGAGTGGTATCCATCACAAGTCAAAGGACCGGTTGATGATGAAGTTCAAGAAGGTAAATGTTCGTGTATTTCAGTCGGATAGTGTTTGTTGAACTTGTCATACGAATCTTCTAGCGGATTTAATCTCGACGATTGAATTCAACGATGATGGGAATCTCCTCGCCGTGGGAGATAAAGGCGGGCGAATAGTGGTATTTCAACGTGAACAACAAGTAGGAATTTGGTGTCAAATCGATCCTATTCGCAGGGGAAAATACTTGATTTCAGACGAAAACATCGCCGCGTCGTAATGAATACAATGTTTACATAACATTTCACTCACATGAGCCCGAATTCGATTATCTAAAAAGTTTGGAAATTGAAGAGAAAATCAATCAAATACGCTGGTTGAAAAGAAAAAATGCCGCACATTTTCTTCTGTCAACAAATGGTATGTCGATCAATATTTTCATGAATGCCATACACGGCATGGTTTCATTCTAGATAAAACTGTCAAATTATGGAAAATTTCCGAGAAAACCAAACGTGCCGAAGGTTATAATTTACGCGATGACAATGGTACCGTTCGTTCAACAAATCACATCGTAAATCTACGTATACCAGTAATCAAACCCATGGAATTAATGGTTGAAGCAGCCCCGAAGCGTGTCTTTGGCAATGCTCATACATATCACATTAATTCAATATCACTAAACAGTGACCAAGAAACGTTTCTCTCTGCAGATGATTTGCGCATTAATCTCTGGCATACCGAAGTAACCGATCAAAGTTTTAGTACGTATTTCTCGCTACTCTAACCTTGACTTTTGTCAGAATAATCTCTAATAAGTAGATGTTATTACATCTAATTATTTCGAACATCCTGTTGAGAGTATTTTCATTTCAAATGACGTTCCATTTGAACATAATCATCTAATCTTTCGTCGAAGATTTCCACAAGAAAAAAAGATTCTACTCAATTGAGTACTGACACTGATGGCCAATTATATGTTGTACTGCATCAACTACGAGACAAGCTCGAACATGAGATTATGTTGATTTACTTGAGGCCGAAAGTGCGCAACTACAGTCATGGATGAGATAATTGAACGGTTGTGTTTCTTCTATGCCGAGTATAATTATAAAAATGATGTGTTTTTTCTTCTTGTGGAAATACGTGAAATTGTCTGTATAATAATGAATGGTAGCATTTGTGCGTTATTTGACATGAGAATCATTAATTAGAATCAAAATGACATTTGATTTATGAAAAGAACTTTATTTTTTATGAGAGAGAGAGAGTGCGGTGAAACTCTAAGAAAAGTAAACTTGAGACTACCGCTGATTCAACAATATTCGTTTATTGAGTATGAACCCTCGGAGAGTTGTAGGTGAAACATGATAATTTATTGAATAGAAGAAAACCGTTGTAATTTCATGTCAAAAGTTTTGGGTAAGATCGCGTCTTCTTGAGATTCCTTTTGCTTCGTCGAACTGGAATCGATTCGTCTTTCCGGTTCCGCAAAGAAGACCTGTATTATCCATTTGCCTCACGAGAAGTTATGAATCAACATAATCGCTCTGCTTGTTATAATCCCCCGAGAAGAACTCCATTTTTTTCACACCGAATAGAACTCGACAAAGCAGAGAGAGAGAGAGAGAGAAACATCTTAATGGGCCCATCTCTTTAGATATTGTGGATATCAAACCACCCAACATGGAAGATCTTACTGAAGTGATAACTGGTGCCGAATTTCATCCACGTGAATGTAATATATTTGTATACAGTAGTTCAAGAGGTATTATTCGTCTTTGTGACATGCGGCAGTCCGCACTTTGTGATCGACATTGCAAAGGTAAAGTGGTCAAATTCAGAACCGTTCGACTGTGTTTGTTTAGTTTTCGAAGAACCTGAAGATCCGACGACACGAAGTTTCTTCTCGGAAATTATTTCGTCTATAAGCGACATCAAATTCAGTCATTCAGGCAGATATATGCTCACAAGAGATTTCCTTAATCTGAAAATCTGGGATTTACAGATGGATAATAAACCAGTCGAGACCTATCCGATTCACGAATACTTACGAACAAAACTGTGTGTTTTGTACGAGAATGATTGCATTTTTGATAAATTCGAATGCTGTTGGTCGCCGCATGATGAGTAAGTTTGTCAGTAGCTATCTTCGCGTAAAAATTTATCGGAGACGTTGTTTAGTCATCTACTTACGGGTTCTTATCACAACTTGTTCAAAGTCACCTCACGTTCAACACGAAAAGATGCAATATTCGAAGCTTCGCGTGAACAAGCCATTCGACCACGACAATTGTTAAAAGCGAAAAAAGTTCTGCCATCTGCTCGTCGAACTCGTCGAGATGAAATCAATCCGGATAGTTTAGAGTATCCGAAGAAAATTCTTCATTGTGCTTACCATCCTACAGATAATATTATAGCAATTGCTACTGCGCACAATCTTTTTACATATGTAGCCAAGGATTCGTCTTCAACGTTGTCATCTTAGATAAACAAACACGTTTCTTTTTTTCTACTCAAATTAGATTATTCAAATGAACAAACCAACATATGTTTCTATATATTTTTCTTTTCGTTTCAGCATGTATTTCTTTTCTTTTCGTGTGCTTCTTTCTAAATCATCTTGAATGGTAGGTGAAAAAGAATCAGGCAGTGCATAGGAAAAGTCGCAAATTTCATTTATTTATCTATTTGTCTACGAAATGAAACAGAAATACGTTTCTATCACTGTTATATCTTTCTCATTCTGGAACCTCGGTGATTTCTTCTCTATCCTATCTTCTCCTCTCCAATGTCATTTTGTTTCTATTCTTAAACTAGACCAGTGAGTTTTCTTCGATCGTATACACACATATACCATTCCATCCTTTTCAAAATGTATTATGTGTCTATATAGTATTTATCTATCTTGTTCCCTTATGCTTCGTGTTGTTATTCTCAAAGAAAGGCATGTATCGGTGTGTGTGTGTGCGTATTTTTTTATCACTCGACTTTTTTCCCTCTTACCATCAAATCAAAAAAAAGACAAGAAAAACAACAAACAAGAATGATTTTGTCTGTCTTTTGTCATCTTTTTCTTCGTTCATCTGTCAAAAACTTGAAAAGAAACGCAACAAACAATAAAAAAAAGTTTTGAGAATTCCAACCTATTAACTTTCTATTTTCTTGTAGTAGCCATTATGACAGTTGACTACCTGCAATCAATCACCGACGAACATTTAGCTGTGAAAATTCGCCATTCGTTCAATGTGCTTGAACAATGCTTAACGAAATACACACCAGATCAAATCGTTGTTGCTTTCAATGGCGGCAAAGATTGCACGGTTGTTCTTCATCAATATTCCTTAGTCTTACGAGAAAAATACGCACATTTAAGTAAAAAACCAACGTTGCGTGCGTTATTTATACATAATAAACCACAATTCGATAGCGTTTTGCAATTTATCGATGAATGTGTACAACGATATGAGATCGATCTGATTCAAATCAATGGTTGGATTAAAGACGCTCTGTTTCAATTGAAATCGTCTCATCCAGATATACAGTGTGTTATCATGGGATCACGGTTAACCGATCCACATTCAGCGAATTTAAAAGATTTCTCACCAACCGATCCAACTTGGCCAGAATATATGAGATGCAATCCGATACTGAACTATTCTTATAATGATATTTGGACATTTTTAAGGACCTATCAAGTGTCATATTGTTCAATGTATGATCAAGGTTTTACATCCTTAGGTGATAAGGAAAGAACCAGTCCGAATGCGAATTTGCGATATCATAATAGTGCTACAGGTTTAGTTGAATATAGACCAGCGTATTTATTAGATGATGAGATCAGTGAACGACATGGACGAGAACAATAAATCAAAAGGAAGTATTTGAACTATTTCGATTCTTTTCGTAGATGTTGAATTTATTGTTCTAGTTAAATAAATCTTTTAAAATAAATTCTACACGATGATATCATCGTCGAAGGGGAAACCGACAATTACATCGTTTCGAGTTGTTCTTTTCGAAGGTCGGTCACGTTATTCAGCTTCTTTTGTGCATAATCAATCGAATTCTGTTCATCACCGCAACTTTCGGGACCAAATTTAATGTCTATAGGAAGAAACAACTATACCGTTAACACGTACAAATCTTTCTCCTACAAGCTAAAAGAAAAGTGAAATTCCATTCATCATACACACAATTAGAGCCTAAGCATTTGAACGAGAACGTCTGTGAATAACAGTACAAGGAAAAGAAAACAAACACGAAGCAAATGATCATATACGCGAAAGACTCAATCACATTGGTACAGGTATTAATTCATTTCTCGACGATGAACTTGGATGAGTTTGGGACTTGACTTGCCGATGAATAACCATAAGTGTGAACAATAATGGTAAATGTATCAGACTGTAACGAAAAAGTTTTCTCGATGATTGCGCATCGCGTTGACGATAGAATTTATAGGAAAGATAGATCAAATAACCATTCACAGGTAATGTATCTAAAGCGAATAACCAAGTCGTCATGTCGATCGCTGGTGCAATTAATGAACATGAAAGAAGGATCATAACTGAATAACGAAGAGATGTGGCTAGACATAATCGTTCGTGAGAGACACACATCATTTTATAACCTGCACGATCGTATTCACGTCGGATATTCCAACTTAAAGAATTGAAATGAGGAAATTGCCAGGCATAGAGCAGAAAAGCGAGTAGAAGTGCACCTAGAAACAAGTTAGATGTAGTTCTCTTGAAGAACGAGATTGTATACTACACAAACCTGAATCAATCGAACCGGTACATGCCGTCCAACCCATCACGGGTGGTATTGCTCCAACTATAGATCCTAACCATGTATTGATAATATGTTTTCGTTTCATTGGTGTATAAACAGACGTATAGAGTAAAAAGTTTGATAATCCAAGAAGACCAGTTAATGTATTACATCCTAGTGTAAGCAGAGTGACACCTGAGATCAATGTTACAGTGGCAAAGCCAATTGCATGTCGATAGCTAGAAATAGATGAATGAGTCGAGGAGAATTATATGACCTGAAAAGACGGGTACCTCATTTGGCCAAGAACAAGTACTCGATTTCGAGTGCGTTTCATTTGCGCATCATATGGAATTTCCATCAACTGATTGATTGTATTCGCTGAGGCGGATGTCAAAACAGTTCCAAGTGTTACACACGCGAGTAATGGGATATTGACTGGAAGAGGTGCAACAACAAATCCATAGGCAGCAGTGGTCGCGACAAGAACTGTAAACAAGGAGATTCATGATTCACTAAGAAAACAGAGACAGTCTCGACGCACTAGTGAGATTCTTCTTTGACAATCTTGTGTAATAGTCACACAATTGTCGGATTGATACATGAGCGTTTTTATTCAAATCGGCCGGAAGTATCGCCACTTCTTGTTCAGTTTCTTTGAATGTATGTTTGGTTTCCACATCATCAGCTTTTATTGGCGGATCACAAAACGGTTGCGATGCAGTCGATGTTGTTGTTTTTGTTGTTGATGTTGACGATGCAAGATCGATGAAACTACGTCTGAGTTTCTCATTAGATTTTACCGTCGATGTCGAATTTGCAATCCATTCGTCAGTGTTCGTTACTTCGGAGAGTTTCGGTCGAGGAGCAGAAGCATAGTTTCGACAAAAAATCAACGAAGTCTAATAAAATGAATACAAAAATTCATTTCAATCAATCACAATTCCTCACAGTAGACGCTGATCGATTTATCGATGAAATTAAATACAACGATTGTTTATGAATAGTATGAATTGTTAAACCATACCGAGAAGAGATACAAGAGAATAATAAACGATTCATTGTGAAAGGTAGTGCATCTAAAAACAAGGAAAATATCTGACGCATTGCGTGATTAGAATAAATACAAAAAAAAACAGCTTCCTAAATGGAGACTTCCTATTGATAAATTCAATCATCATCAAGTAGAGTTAATGCATCTGGCTTATGTGCTGCTTCAGCGCCTGTTTTATCACTTTTGACTAGATATTGTGGTTCATCTCTGGATGCTTTGACTTGGTGATCTTTAATATGAGTATCCGACGTTAATTTTTTCACAACCACACCCTCAACTGGACCATTTAATGAATTCCATTGAACACGATCGCCTTTCTTGAATTCATCGGTTGTTGATTGACTGTTTGGCATTGTTAGTAAGCGTTGACTAGAAGAAATTGTTCACAAAAATAATCTAAAATTCTTTCAGGCAGGTTCAAGATAGACGTTGTTGTTTTTTTTCTGCTATCGACAAGAAACGATTCTTTCATTGGTCACGCACTCAAATAAAGAATGGATTTCATGTAACCAGAATCAGCTCATAGCTGACTGCTATCGACATCTATGGAAAGGCTCTCGAGAGTATATAAGTGCAAATTTTATTTTAATGATTCTTGTCAAAGCAAATATAAATATGTTATTTTCAGAAAGCATTGGAAATAGAAGAAGTACATTGTTACAAAAAAGCGTGAGATATCCACTATCGGTAAAATTATTTTAATCGATTTTGAAGAGTTGTTTTTTTCTTTGAAAACTAACATGTTTGTTCATTATCATCAGTTGTTTGAAATTCAAGTTGATCGATTGCATTCAAATCTATCGGGGTTGGTATTGCTGATTGATGACTGCCATCTGTATGCAGTTCGGAATGTGTACCGATGATTACTGGAATTTGTAAATCGAAGTTAGTGAAGAGTCCTTTAACTTTCACTTCGAATCTGATGTCATATTTGACCTGAACACGTATGTCGTAACGATTATCTTGCCGTTCGAAATAATAGGTTGGCGAAATGCCCATGGGAACAGTGAACGGACACGCTGTTTCGACGTGTTGATCATCGAAATTAGTTAGTCGAGGTATCGAAACACGTGTGATTTCCAGACGACGTCGAAATTGTGCGATTTCATAACGCTGAATCAGGCAGATATCCATACGCTTAATCATTAAATGAAGCGGATTGAAAATGTCAAGTGAAAAGGTTGTCGTTTCGCCTGGCATTAAGCCCGAACGTTGAAGAACACCTTTGACGATCACGCCGTTGTGTTCGATATCAAATTTAACTGAACATTGAGAATTGGGTATGTGACGAAGATTTACACGAGGGTAAATACGTAATGGATATTCAAGATAAGTGTTTGCCACATACCATTTCTTTTCGACTAGAAGCTTTTCAAAATGGAGATTAGGAACGTTGTCTTTTCATTACTTTATACGTAAATAATTTACCTCTAGTTGATAACGAACAAATGGATATTCGTTCGGATGTAACGTTGGAGGGAGAAGATCCGGTAAACGAATTGAAAAGGGATACGTATACTGACCAGGTTCAAAACTTGTCATATCACTAAAACCACTCTTCATGCGTTGATGTGCGGCAGGTATCATTTGACCGAATCGTACTTTTTGTCTAACAATACATATATCATGACGATCGGTTACTTGATTTGCTTGTCCGTTTTGCATTCGATGCCTATGGATGGTCGTATAGCCAACAGTTCCTTTCAGGACCAGATGAATATTATCGGTAGTCGGTATACTTTCCGAAACAGTAAATTGCACCTCACCCGATATGACTTCGGCTGTGTAATAAACCGTCGGTTGTACACGGTCGAGAACAATGTTGATGGAAGCACTATTGTTGCCCATCGTGCTTGTGAGAATGTCCAAATGAGTTCTTATCGGAAGAAATCAGCTTTGTTGATTTTTGTGTCTAATTTTGTCAGATGATATTCCGGCTAGATTCTTCGACGAGAAAAATATCACGTTCTTTTAAATAACAAAGCAAGCGGCAGTTAGAGCAGAATTCAAATATTTTGGAAATGAATGATCAATAAGAAATGCTCTCGGAAAGAATATCAACATGGTTTTTTTCTTTGCAGAGAAATCCATATATTCCTCTTGTGTTTCAATGGCGTAATTAACGAAGAGTTCAAAGAAGAGTTTCGCCAATTAAGCATTATGACATGAAGTCTATATTTAACGTCCCATCTGATAGAAATTCAATGTAATTATATCAAGGAAGTTGCTCATCTGAACAATTTTCTCGATTAACTTCTTGTCAAGAATAAAACATGAAAGAGTTTTGCATCAGTGTTGAATAGCCCTCTAAAATATTTCAGTTTTATTGAAAACAACTGGAATTATCATGAGAAAATCGTCGTAATTTGATCGTAGGCCAGAATTAGAGCAGAAAACAGGCATGTTTCTACCCCAGTCAATATGATACAAGACACCCGAGAACAATATTGACAAGATTGGATTCTAACAAAGTTGTTCACGATTCAGTTTTAATTAATTTTTTATCTCTGCGAACCATTTTTTTCTCATTTCACGCTTTAGTAAATCAGTCGGTATAGATAAGAGAAAATTAGTTTATATCAACATAGTCACCTTGATTGCATTGAGTACTCGTCCGTGTTTCTCTATTTGACAAGTCGAGTCAAGGCTGTTTATCGATTTTTAATTATCGTCTGTTTGCTTGTTGGTTTGTTGTTAGAATGAAAACGAAATAGTCAAATTATCGAGTTGAAATGAAAATACTCGTGTTATTGTATTATGAAAGGAAAATGAGTAATGAAAATAGATAAATATGCACAGGTTAAAACAAAAGTGACACTAGAATATCGAATCTTGTTTTGAAATCACTTATTTCAAATTGAACTACTTGGTTTCGCAAATGTCAACGAAACTTTAATGCCTATAAATGAAGAACATTGAAAAAGAGTGAAGATGTTCTTTCAATTCAACTTACATGTCTATTGGAACAATTTCGATTTCTTCGATTTCATTTTCTTTTTCCGACGAAGATGTGTCTAGAGTACTACTCGAGTCTCGCGATGGCGATCGAGGAGATTGATGAACATGTTGATTGATTTGTGTTGTTCGACGTATGACTGTTGATGACTGTTTATTCAACATGGATGTGTTGACTTGTGGTTGGCCGGCAAATTGTAGATTTTCGTCTATTTGCATACTGAGGTCTAAGGCAGCTTTCAATGCGAGATTGTCACTGCTTCTGACATGTTGAATAATATCATTGGGCAGTTGATCAACAATGACAGGTTCGGGATATTTATTCTCGGCATCGGGCGATTTCGATGGAATTGGAACGTCTGTTGGTTCTGCATACTCAATACTAAATTGACAACCATTTAGACTAGGAATTTGGCTGTAATGCAATAAATGCGAAGAAAAAGTTGAATTTCGAATGTACCCTTACTTGAGCATGTTACGAAGATTTACTTCACTTAACTCAGGTATGTCCAATGCCGATGGAGGTCGGAACATTTCCGTGAACGATGGCGCAGTGTGCGGTCTCGGGATGAGATTCTCCGGTATATGAAGAGAATTATTGTTGTTGCTGTTGACTGATGTTGGTGATCTGCCATTAGTCAAGTCAAAGTTAATTGGTAGAAAACTATTTGGAGTGAAACGATGAGCCTGATGTTTGTACAAATTAGGTGCTGTAATCAAGCAAAAAAAAACACGATTAATAGACTATTCATAGTTTTAATTGATCGTCCCATGAAATTAGGAAGAGAGAAAGAAAGAATGAATAAATCAGTTTACCTGCTGATAGAGGACTACTAGTTAATGACGCACTTATATTTCGAATCGGCGAACGATGCCTAGTGATAGCCGATGCTTGAATATTTCTGATCGGAATTGGGGCTAATGGAACTGAATGCCCTAGTCGATTATTACTATTTGGTATAAACATATCAGGCGAACGATTCATAGAAATAGGTCGGCTGGTTGGCTGAGATCTGGGTGGACGTGGAGCCACTGGCGGTAGATATGCAGACATGGTAACTTTTTCCTGTGTTGGCTGCTGTTGTAGTTCTTGGTGCTTCTGTTGATTTTGCTGCTGTTGTAACAACTGCCGATATCTTTGTTGTTCTTGTTCTAGTTGCGCCTGTTGTTGTTCAATTTGTTGTTGTTTTTGTTGTAACAGTTGCCAATATTTCTGTTGTTGCTGGTGTATTTGTTGTTGTTCTTGTTGCAACAGTTGCTCTTTTATATTCTGCCTTTGTTGCTGTTCCAGTAATAACTGCTGTTGTTTTTGTTGTTCTTGTACCACTTGCTGTTGCTTCAACTGTTGTTCCGCTAACTGTTGCTGTTTCTGTCTTTGTTGCTGCAAGAGAAACTCTTGTTGAAGTCTTTGCTGCGGCTTCTGCGGTACCGAGGGCTGAGGTTTCAGCGGCTGAGGCTTTTGTGGTAGCGGTTGGTTTTGTTGTTGACTTTGCTGTAGAGTCTGTTGCTGAGTTTGCTGTTGATTTTGTTGACTTTTCTGTTGTCTTTGCTGTGATTGCAACTGTTGTTGTTTTTGTTGGGATTGTAGCTGTTGTAGCTGTTGTTTTTGATGTTGTTGAACTTGTTGTTGATGTTTTTGCTGGAGCGGCGTTTGATGTTGCTTTTGTTGTTGTTTTGGGTTCGCCACTGGCGGCTTGTTTTGACTTGGTAATTGATTGTGAGGTCTTTGTAGTTGAGCTTGTGTTTGCTGAGGATTCTTTTGTAGAGCTTGTGTTTGTTGTTGCACCTTTTGCTGCTGTTGAATTTGTTGTTGTTGTTGCGGTTGCTGTTGCTGTTTCTGTTGTGGTGTCTGCGATGGCTGTAGCATTTGTTTTTGTTGCAATTGTTGTTTTTGTTGCAATTGTTGCTTTTGCTGCAATTGTTGTTTCTGTTGCATCTGCAATTGCTGTTCTTTATTTTGAGCTTGTTGCGCAGCCTGTTGGGGCTGCGGTGGCTGTGGGAGTGGAGGTTTACTCTGTAGTGTTTGTTGCTGTTGTTGTTTCTTCTGTGGTTGAGGTGGTTGAGGTGGTTGACTTTGTTTTTGCAATTGTGTTACTTGTTGTACCGGTGTGTGTGGTTTTTGTTGTGCTTGTTGCGTCACTTGTGATAGTTGTTGTAGCTTCGATTGTGCCGCTTGTGGATGTGTTTGCGGTGACGAGGCCTGCTTTTGTTGCTGCTGTTGACTTTGAAATAATTGCTGTTGTTTTTGTTGCAATAGCTGTAGCTGTTGCAATTGTTGCAGCTGTTGCTGTATCTGCTGTTGTCTCTGTGCCTGCTGCTGTTGTTGTTGCTGCTGCTGCTGCTGCTGCTGCTGTTGTTGTTGTTGCTGCTGCTGATGTTGCTGCTGCTGTTGAAATTGTTGTTGATGCTGCGGTTGCTGCTGCTGTTGTTGTTGGTGGTGCTGTTGCTGTTGCTGCTGTTGTTGCTGTTGTTGCTGCTGTTGTTGCTGCTGCTGCTGTTGTTGTTGCTGTTGCTGCTGTTGTTGTTGTTGTTGCTGCTGTTGTTGTTGCTGTTGCTGCTGCTGCTGCTGATATTGTTGTTGATGCTGTTGAACGAGTTGTTGATGCTGCTGTATCAGCTGTTGCTGTTGAAGGTGTTGTCGCTGTATCGATTGTAGACTTTGCTGTTGCTGTAACGGTGTTGGAAAGCGAATATTTGGCCGATTGAGCGCAGTTCCAGATACTGTTGGTTGAAGATTAAATGTTTGTTGTGGCTGCGCCTGCGTTGGCGGTGGTACTCTCAATGCTGCCTGCAATATCTGAGGATTAATAGTCTCGTTTAAAAAGTTAAGAATAATTGGATCATTAGCCATTCGCTGTCCCGAATCTCGTTGCAATTGATTGTCAACAGCTTGTCGAATAGCATCTTCCGATGGTGGACCACCGGCGTCTGGATCATAGCGAACTTTGACAATGATTGGTGCATCGTCATCATCATCTTCTTCGCCATTAGCATCATCAACATCAGCCAACTCTACAGCATTTTGTTGACTATATGAATTTAAAACTGCACCAGACAGTGATTGTGGCAATCCACTTGCTTTCATAGTTTGAGCGTCACTTGGAGCGAGAGTACTAGCGAACATATTTGTTTTTTGTGCGTAATTCGGCCCTGATATTTTAGTTAGAGGGGCCACTGTATGAGCTTTTCGTTCTCTTTGAATATAATCGTGTATCGTACCAATCGAACGTGAATTCGTTAAAGGTGCGGCAGGCTGCGGTAAAATATCTTCGATAGTAGGCAACGCGCCTAAACTTGCTTGTCGAGCTAATGTTCGATTTGGAACTTGATTAGACATAAGTGTTGCAGTCCTAGTTGCTAAAAAGACGAGTGTGTACAATTAGTAAAAAATAGGTTTAGAGGAAACTCATATACATTCTCGAGAAAGATTATCATTTTTAAATTTCGGCTCTTTTCTCAATTCACTTTGATGTTTCATTGCTTCTTCCAACGATGAGTATATATGTTTATCCATATTGGCACGTTGAGGAACAGTATGCGATTGATGTAATTCGTTAGTGCGATTCCAAACGATTTCATTAATCTGTCTTAGATTTGACACTGGTTGACGATAGAATGATTGGTGATTAAATCCATGTGTTGGTACCGGCGATTGATACATTACTGTACGAAACTACTGGAATAGATAGCTGTCGTTTTCCTTGTGTTCTTGTCGACACTGACGAACGAAAGTAATAAAACGAAACAGGTGAACGAACAGAATAGAAATATAATATATTTAATATATACACATATGGACAGAAAAAAACACCTTGGTTATATGAAATATACAGACCGCAACAGTGATTTCAAGTGTCTGTATGTTGATGATTCGGTTATTTACGTGCATGAAATTATTCTATTTTTACCTGATGAATCGTATTTACAAATCAGAAAGGAAAAAACTATAAACATGGATGGAAAAGAGAAAATGGAAAGGTCGAAGTTGATTGAAACGTAATTGTCTAATTTGTTCCAGGAAAAGAAAACCTTGTCAAAGACGAAAATGAAAAAAAAAACTCGATTCCAATTAGTTTCGTACCTTTCTTCATGTTTTGAATGTCATTAATTGACAGATCATTATCAGTTTTATCTTCAAAGCTAATTATCACATAAGAACTACAAATTCAAAACACGAAATTATGACTGGAATTGATTGATCGAAATTTGTCAACGAAGGTATTTTCTTTCTTATCACACCTCATTGGCAAATCATGACCGAGTGATGATTCGTATATTTACAATAATTACGATGTTATTCAATCAATATATCGATGATGTGCTTACTTATTTTCTCATACCTATCAATGGGGGTTCAATTGTTGATTCTTTGTCTATAGAACACTTTTTTTTATTGGGAATAAACGAGATTGAAGACGTATATACACATTCTGTGTAGCAGATGCTTAACAAAAAAAAAGGTTCTATGCAAGAAATACTACAATTTTCGATGAACAGTGGTTACATTAAAGATTTCTATTTGTACGCAAGACACACGAAATACAATTCAGGACGTTCAGATAAAAATATATTTTGTTCTCATTAGAAAATCATTCTCAGTAATGTACTCGACTACGACATTAATTGTCGTGATTTATATCGTTTAAGAAAATCTGTGTTGAAGACGCGATAGAAAAGAATTGGATTTATAATCCACATGACTGGAATAAGTACACATGTTACAAACACATAATAAGAATCTCCTACGCGATGACGATCATGATAAACAAAAATTGTAACAAAAAATAACATACATAGACGACAAAGAAAGAATGTCAGAATATTAAAAATCATATTTAGTCGAACAAGAAAATTCTCTCGTGAAATATGAAATAAATGCAAAAGTTTTCGTGCATGAAGAAATATTGAATTGACTTCAGCCAATAATGCGAAGATTTGATAGCCGATATTCTTCTTGCAAAAAATATTCCAGCCGAAAAACAGCAAGACCTAAACGAAACGGAAGAATCAAATTAGAGTTTGACTTGCGTTCAAAGTCTTTTAATCGGTAACACATTTGGTTTCGAGTGTTTCATTGGAAAATTAATCAATCAAACAAGATATCAATCGTAATATGTTACGGTACGTTTGTTTGTAAGGTAAATTATAGACACATAAATATTGATTCTTCATACCTGTCACGAACCGGAACAGGTCTATTCTATATGTTACGGTGAGCTGGAAGAGGAAGCTCATTAGATCTCGGTCGACAAACGTCAACTGTCATTGACAATGGGCCTTTCCATGACAAAAGGGAAACAATATGTCATGACTTATTTTCCGTGTTCTATTAGCAGAACATTGACCATGATCTCGAAATGAAGATGTTTGTGTCTACAGAGACATATGATCATCAGTGAAACTTCAATGAACTGAGAAGGTTTTTCCTCGAAGACGAAACATGTCTCGGTCAAATGACTTACCACAATATGATGGAGAAGAATTTCGAACAGATCTGATCCTTTTCGATTGGAAATCACATCACATAGATCGTACCAAAAATAGCCTAAGCGAGAATACAAGAATATTGCTTCGAAACATTCAATACATCGACTTCTGCCTACCGAAAGATAAAGAACAAGTGACATATGTGACAAGATTGACATGTTCGACGAAATCACTACGTAGATCTGGATAGACGAGAAAACTGTAAAGAACAAGTACACCGGTGATAAGAGCATGTAGCCAACTGATTAACAAATTCAATCGTTGCCATCGTTTTTCGTTTGGATCGGTCAGCCAAGTGTGAAATGACGGCGAAGGAACATTCTTTTCGTTATCTGTTTTGTTTGCAAATAAGCGATAATTTGTCAACGGACGTACGAGATATCGACAAAGTAAGAAGAAACCAAAGGAGACGATCGTGCAACTAAGGCCAAGTGTTACAGTAATTGTAACCATTTATCTAAACAGAATGCAGATGTGAAGAATAGACAAGTTAACAATTATTATTTGAGTTTATTTTTTCATCAATGATTATCATAAGTTTCTTTTTCAATGTCAAAGCACGTGGAAGAGAAATAAATGCCACTGATATGCGAGCAAAAGCGGTGGAGTCATAAATAAGCGGTGCCTTTAAACATATCACTGTCGTCACAAAAAGAAAAGCGAAAGAAAGAAAACAGTCGTTTTGGATTTCGTCAATGTTATAGCAAAGATACAATAGGAACACAAAAGTAGAGTAAAGAACATGATAGTCAATAATAGGTATATGTATATATAAATACGTCGAAATAAACAATAAAGAGAAAAAAAATATGAAATGGATGCAGAAGTTATCTGACAAAGTGAGTCGAATGCATTGCGTCAATCGAAGGAAGATGATAGAAGTAATTCACATTAACCAATAGATAGTTTTGGAAAGAAAAAAAACGGCGTATGAACACAAAAATCTATTTCTATTTGGTTGTTTCTTTTGTGTGCATTTTTGATCAAAGATAAGGACGCATTAACATATACACGAAGCAACAAGAAAAAAAGAAACGAAGACAAAAGACAATTCCTGGGAAGATAATAAATAGATGATGTTGAGAAAAAGAACAAACTAAAAGTATAACGTGGATATGAAGAGAAGATCTTCCTTGCAACTAATTCAGTGTTCCAAAATTTGATGCTGGTGGAGTATCAAAATAGAAATCTCTTTGCTTTAATGTTTCCCGTGCAAATTTTTCTTCTAATTCCTAAAATATAATAACAAAAAGACATATAATCCTTGCCAATACAAATCAAAAGATTGATTTTCGTTTAGAATGTTAGACATATGTGCAGGGTAACATCAGATGAATAGAACAATATGTGATAGTTGTATATGAGAGTTCGAGCAGCAGCAGCAGTAACAACAATAGTCACAATAATTGTTGATTAGTGAATAGAAATATGAAGAAAAGAAATGCCCGATCGATATAAGATGATATAGTGTTCGTGGGAGAACTACCTCTCCATGAGTATCTCAGGTTTTAGAAGAGAATATGCTCGCTATCATTGCTTAATTTGAAGAATTGCTCATCGTCAGTTAACTCGACACCCGGCCATGAATGCCATGATTGAAGACGATAACCACCAGTTGAACGAAGTAGAGCAGGTGCATGCGATGTTACTGGGGATTGAACGACTTTTGCCGTGTTGGGCGAAAATCGAGTTCGAGTAGCTGTCGCACTCGAAAATGGAAGAGAGATAGGCAATTGCTAGAGAGAAATACAAAGCACCGTTAAAAAAATCGACATAAGACAAGTTAATCAATTCCTAAAACCAATCACCAATCATTAGCTTGACTTCGTTTGCCGTTAGCGAAACAAAATCGATTAGCGACCTAGCACTAACTATTTTACTATCGGTCTACCGGTCTCTCAAATGTGAATGACGGCGACATTGTCTACACTAGACTGCGGACGACGACGACGGCGAGTGGGTAGTGTTGAAAATGGTTGAACAGCTGGTATATCAATCGATGGATCAAACGAAGCTCGATCGTATCGAATATTTGGTATTACATTTGCTAATGAATGAGGTGCGGAATGGTAATTAGTTGGATAGACTTGTTGAGATGATGTTGGTGTTGTCATTGGACGAAAACTCGGATCCAATAGAGCTTCAAGAGAGATCTCATCTGCATTGTAGACAAATGTCTGACGATTTGGGCTAGAATATTTCTCATTAGTCTGACCGGTAGATTTCATCGGTAACCAAGGAGGTACATCAATATGGAAATGATCAATCTGTGTTAGAGAAAATGATTCAATTTGTAAACATCTGTCGGTAACATATTTGATTATTGAAGATCAAAAGAAGAAATAAATCTCTTTTCGAATGATGAGAAACTTACCAATTTTCTTGACTTTTGTGTGTTGCGAAATTCTACCCAATCACTTTCGAATGTTTGTTGAAGTTCTTGTAATTTTCGCGTTTCGAATTCCACACATTGTTCTAATTTTTGTCTCTGAAAGCAAAAATCATTCGATACAACCGGCAAACTAAATGTACTTTTAACTTACTTGAACAAGTAACAATTCGTTTCTTGTAGCTTGTTGTTTACTGTGAAGATTTTGAATTAAATGACGGTGTTTTTCTTTTAAACGTTCTTCATGAGTACGTCGTCTCTCATTTTCATCATTTTCAAACTAAAATATCAAGAATAGAAAATGCCTGTGTAAACGTGAGCTGGTTGGATCTTTTTGATCTCGTGTTTTCTGAGATTAACCTCCGTACGAGAATATAATCAAACTAGAGCTTAGAATTCTAATGTGACACTGATGCGATGAATCGGAGAACTTCTTTTTGTTAGGATAGGAAAAGAAATAGTAATTAAGTTCCTTCTTTTCAAGTGATTCTTCCGATAAATATAGTGAGAAAGGAAAACAACAGGAACTTTGGCCTATTTCCGGAGGAATATAGCCGATGGAAGCAGATATTTTCCATTATAATCTCGTGATTTTGCGACGAGAGAAACGTACGTAAGATGTGATAACTGACAAACGTGAATTAATCCATTGGTGCAAAAGTTAAAGTATAGGGTCTCATGATTAATTGATTCAAATTGGGAATTTCGCATGATTACCTTTTTAATGAGAACTTTTTCTTCTTCGAATGGTGTTTTGTTAATAATTAATTGTTGTCGGAATTGTTTATTACGTGTTTTTTGCATTTTCTTCCACGTACGCGGCCACTCACGTCTGTCTTCACTTAATCGAGTTTCCAACATTTCACGCTCTAACCGAATTTGTTCATCCAATTGTTGAACTTCTTTTTCCGATTGCTGGGTCAACATCGTTCGAAACAAGGAATAGAATGATTTCGTTTGTTTACGTAACAGATCATAACGAGAACGCAGTTCGTGTTCGTCGATTTCCCAGAGAGCTTGTTCTTTTGTTTTGATTAGGTTTTGTTTTTCAACGAGAAATTGCCGTTCTAAGACTTGGATGCGTTGCTTATGGTAGTTTTCAATGGTTTTCAATTGATTGTCAAGAATTTGTTGTTGATTATCGGTGAATTGCTTTTCACGCAGATAAGATTCGTTTTCTTTTTCCGCGAGATAACGTTTGAATAGTTCTTTACGGTCTTTGATTGATTGAGTGCCTATGAAAACAAACGTCAAATATATTTCATGTGTTCCGAACAAGGAATTTTACCATTATTGTTCACTAAAAACGAATTTGTGGCGTTATTGTACGGTGAATCGAAATCGCGTTTGATTTGTTTGAATTGTTCGCGAATTTGTTCTCGGAATTGTTTCAATTCTTTCTCTTGATCTAGAAGAAAAAAGAAGAAGAATTTGAATTCACAAGCACGAGGAATTCTCTCGGCGACTAACCAATTTTGATTTGTTTCATTTTCTTGTTACACTCATTGGACAGTATCACACTTTCCCGTTCGATTTCGATCTTCTGCTTTTGTTCCATGGTTTGCAACTCGAAATCGTATTTTTTCACGAGTTCATCACGTTTCCGACGAAATTCTTGTCGTTGTTCGTCGATTTCAAATTCATGACGGTTCAACAGCTGTTGCCGACGTTTTTCTTCGAGATGATACAATCGACGGAATTCTCGATGAGCTTCTTTCCTGCAAAGTAAAATCCAATCACTCGATAATCAACTCTCACCCGTCAACTATGAAGAGATTTCTTTGTTTTTCCAAACGAGATACAATGCAAGAGGATCGGCTTTCTCGCATCATAACAGATGCAGATCGCAGTCGATAGGGAAGAAAATGCAAATCTAGGACTGACGAACTGTGTACTTCTAGCATTGTTAAACGTTCAGACAAATATTTATCTCGTCTATCGACTACTAAGACGAAAGAAAAACAACTCATGTGCGTGAGTAAACGGTTGAAATAGCTTGCTAACAATTTTCAAGACGTCGAAGAGATTTACTCTGAAATGCCGCATGACGTCAGAAAGTTTTTTGCGAAGGTTTGAGTAAATTAGCATTTAGATGTGCCAAGAGTCATTTTGATTATACACACGATAGGGCGGATGCACGTCTTTTGCAGTTAAAGTAATGCGTTCAATGATGGAAAAATAAATAGAATGCATGGCGTTCTACTTTCTTTTTCTTTTCATCGACAGACGTTGTTAAGAACACGCAGTTTTGCGCAAATAGAAAAAAAAATTGGCGTTTTCTTTTCTGTTCTTGAAAAATATTCCTCAGTAGACTGTTCTCATGCGAGTCAACGATCTTAATTCTTGGTTCGAGATGAAAAAGTTTATCAAGCAAATATGCCTGAGAGATCTTCTAAATATAAACTCATGTTGATCATAACTTACCGCTCAGATAATCGAGATTGATAATCATTATGTGGTTCAACGATTTTTGTCGTGACGATCTCTTCTTGTTTACCGTCTGGTCCAACAAATCGTCGAGTTGTTCGAATTGTACGCCGACGCGTTGCTCGGGTCTACAAGTTGAACACATCTACTTCAGAAAAGAATTAAACATTGAAATTGTACCTCGGAATATGCAGGGGCCGAGTCATTTGCTGACGCCAGTGAAGTACTTTGACTCGAGCTATTTGTACTTTGTACTAGATCATGATTATTGACCCCATTTAAATGTGTGGTTGATTGATGTACACGTGTATAATAATGATCGATATCGCCATTCGTCCCGTTGTTATGATAGATGGTTGGCGAAGATGAACGCCCCTTATCTTGATTGAAATTATAAATTTGATTAAAACCATTGAGATGTTGTTGAACATGATCATTATCTTCTTCTTCTTCTTCATCATCATTAGTCAAATCAGTTATAACTGCGAGTATAACTTCGGGAATGGAAGGTTTTTCAAAGTCGGATTGAATCACTTCCTCAATCAGGTCGTTAACATAACCTTCGTATATACGAGTCAGTGCTTTGGAAAGTGAATCTTCTGTTTCAACAGGACCAACTTCCGTCGCACTATTCGAACGATTGGATGTAGTCGGTACGGTTGGAGGAGGAACAAATATTGGCGATGGCGACGGTTTATTAACACTTGGCTTAAGTTTTTCAGGTGAAGGAGCTTTTTGTTGAACAACAGTACCCGATGGCGATGTTTTCTTTTTGTGTCCATTGGTAACAGGTACGGACGGTGGAGGTGGAGGCGGAGTAGGAGTGAGACGTTTGATTGGTGCCGGTGATAAGGATGGAAGTTTATGTGTAGTAGTTGTTGTTGTAGTTGATTCTTTTGGTTCTGAAGCAGCTCGTGTTTTTGATGATGTAAAATGAGTAGTAACAATGGAAGGATTTGTAGTACTGTTCAGCAGAGCTCGTGATGGCTTTGGTGCTTTTGTTGGAGGTGCTTTTATCGCTGAATTAGCGTTGGGAATCGGAGGTGGTTTATTTGCCACACTAAAAAGTCGCATTTTTTTTATTAATGAAGTCGATTAGAAAAAGAAATCTCGCTCTCTCTCTTTAACATGATCCAAGAGTGAAGGTAGACTGTGTTATTTCACAAAAAATCCATGGAATGTTTATCTTCATAATAGGAGTATTAGACATATTTCTCAAGACTCAAAATGCATGTAAAATAAACATGACAAACTCTCAAGAAACTCGTTATGTAAACATGGTACATTAGGGTCAATGGTACCTGACTTCTACGGCTTTAATGCCTATACTCGAATAATCTTTTCAACTTCTAATACAAACACGATGCCAATCAGATGAACTTACTTATTATTTGATTGTTTCGCTTTCGCATCAATATCAGAGGCGATGACTGTTGGTTTTGTAGGCGGTACGGGCGGTCCCGGTTCATTGTCTACACTTGATAAACGTCGAATTTGCTTGAGTACAATGACGGGTTCACTTATATTATTATTATTATTATCACTCGTTTGATTATCATCAATGTTTGTTGCAATATCTCCATCAGCGATCAATGAATGATCATCATCATCAACCTCATTATCGTCGTCATCATCCGAAGGAACAGAATACTTTTTAAGTTCTTCTTCTGTAATTGAACTTTTTGAAAGGCGATGTTCACTTTCCAAATCAATTTTCGACTAAACAAAAAAGAAAGATTTGGAGACACTCGATACACACTCGAATCGAACGTTACTTGAGATGTTGGAAGAATGATTTCTTCTTCAACAACTTCAACAACAGGTGTAGCCTTGTATTCTTCCAATAAATAAAGTATGGACGAATGAACAGACTTGGCATTCGACATAAATGGATGTTGTTTTAATTCGTGACACGTTAAACGTTCTACTGGATTGCGTTTTAAACAACATGATAATAGGTCCGAAAATTCCGTACTCCATCGACGAATATCTCGTAGCGTTGGAGGCGCTGCTTGGCGAATTTTAGCACCAACACGTTCAGAACGCATTTCATGGTACGGCGGATCCATTTCAGCCATTTCAATCAATGTGATACCAAACGACCAGATATCAACACGATAATCATACGTCTTATCAGTGCTTGCTTCACAAAAGAACACTTCAGGTGCCATCCTGCATAAAGATCCGAAGAGAAAGTTATTCTACACTTTAGATGTATCTTGTGTCAGTATGTCTTACCAATATGGAGTGCCAATAAATTCATTTCGCTTTTGATCTTGTTGAGTATTTATTGCTGAGACACCAAAATCAGCCAATTTCACTTGTCCAGTTTGTGTGAGAAGTATATTACTGGCTTTAACATCCCGATGAATGACGAATTGTTGTGTATGTAAATACTCTAAGGCTTCTAACATTTCATATCCAATAAAACGTATTTGTTTTTCATCTAGTCCATGTTCAAGTGTCGTCATGATATGATCGACCGCTCCATATGTACAATATTCGAGAAAAATGTACAATTTCTTTTCAAAATAGTAGGCATCGTAGAATCCGATGATATTCGGATGATCGCAATCAGATAAAATATTGATTTCAACAGTGTGTTCGGGTAATTCATCATCAGTGCAATTTTCGATCACTTTCGCGGCAGCGTATTGCTTGCTTTGTTCGTGACAGGCTTGATAAACCTTACCGAATGCTCCATCGCCTAATTCTTTGATTAATTTCCATTCGTTTAGTGGCGATTGTTCCTTGTAAAGACGAGTCTTCTTCGTCGATGAGTTCTTGCTTGGCCAGAGCTCTTCTCCGCTGGGCGTACTGAAGATATTTTTCAATCGTTTCAACATGGATATGTTTCGATCATTATGTTTTCGTACAGATCAAACTGAAAATGACAAGAATATCAAATCTATAAAGAAATGTATAGGCACGTCGATAACATATTCTCATGTTTAAATCAAAAGTCAAGATTAGCATTTGATGGAGAAAGAAAGAAAGAAAAAAATTGTTTTATTTACTTTCGATTTTCATTTCCTCCGTCTGTACTTTCGTTCTGATTTTCGATACAATGTATATTGTATGCAGCGCTATGAACAATGTCGTCTTCGACATTGATTCTAACGATCAAATAAAAAGTTCAAAACTGCAAGTCAACTCGAGTGTTTTTTTCTTTGCAAATTGAGATGAAAATACCAAAACAAGAAAGACAACAAACGAATAGAAGCAATTGAACGACTGTTTCTGTTAAGATAAAGAGGGCGCTGATCATTTGAACACAATCGACTTATATCAATCGATCGATCCATCCATTGCACGACGGATTGGGTTCCTCTCCCATCCTGAACTATTCAATAATGAGCATTCATTCTTCCGAGAAAGTATAACGAGCTGTTCGATCTCTGCTTTAATAATCGCAACGTCGCATGTTGGATCTGATATGAGCAGATGTTGTTCTATAAAGACGAGATTTAGGACAAAGAGATGAATGAGAAGATGTCACTACGAACAAGCAAACACAGTTCTAACCTTGTTCGAATGCATAAGCACTGTTTATGAATGTTACATAAAAGACAGACGAGCAATGGCCATCTTCGAATAGCTTCCTGTACGATTAGATCATTCTTTACTCGATTGAAAAATTGTATACAACCATTCAATGTATACAACTGGTTTACATTAACAGAATATTCCGATTAGAAATCTAATCAAAGATGAAGGTATGCGATAGACCTTCAATGTCAATTACTTCTAGTTTCTGTTGCCAATCATTTGAAAAGATTCATCATATTGTTTCCGAATCGAACTGTAGCATATTTTCATCGAGATCAAATCTTCTTTCTTTTGTTAATATCTCAATAATATATAGATTATATATCATCCATTGTATCAACTAACAGAAGCGTTCTTTTCTTCACTAACCCATTACATCACTAGTATCATTAACATAGTTGACCTCTAAGGATAATATGATTGTTTAATATACCATTAGAGAACAACGTTCGAGAGAAGATAAAACTTTTCTTTGAGATGAAATTCGATCGATGAAGGATCTATTGAGTTCGGAAGGGACAAAATGCAAATATTTCATATAAATAGAATCGAACATTTAATTACTGATTGAAGAAGATATGAAAAGAAGGCTGCTCACGCTATTTCAACGTGCATTTTCGTCGCCAAACACGCGAAGCAGATAAATATAGTTTTCCTTCACTCCAATTTCATCTAAAAACTCGGCATAAATATCTGATTTTGTACGAATACCATCAGTTACAATGATTTCATAAATCAACAGAGAGACGGGTTCATGTTCCTGATGTTCAGCATTTGATGGTGTACTAAAAAAGCATCGGTACAGAAGGAAAACTCACGCATACATTCTGGTTGGCAATAATTTTATTGAAAGCTAACGGAAGGTTTTTTATTATATTTTCCTATGTCATACATCTGTTCTTCGCTGTCTGTGAAATGATCGAGTGTCACTAAAGATGCATGCAATGAATGTTTTATCTTCACTAAGATTCAAATAGTCGAAAGGAAAACTTTTGAGACATTCTATAAGAAACAGTCATAGATGAAACTTGAGACTTGTTAGTTTGTTTCATAAGCTCTGTTCAACTCATTGTTGAATATGGGCGGACAAGATAGAACACGCAATCATATGAGAGAAGACGATCTGCTGATTAGACCATGTATATACAGAAGAGTATACAAGTGGACTGACTATTCATGGTTGTACACCAAGACAGATGACATTCGTAAGTACCCCATCTTCTCGTTTTGTCTAAATGGAAACAATCGATTTGGGTGATTCTTCGCTCTCTGTCTCTTTTCTTCTCTCTCTCTCTCGTTTAATGTGAATGTATATACTGGGATCGTGTGCATTCTGCTAGAACAATCGTGCAGTCAATCACATTTAACCATCGAGTAACAACAATAAAAGACGAAGATTGATCGTGGAAACTTGTCTATCATTCGATGTGTTCAATGTACGCATGTCTATGCGACATATACATATAGGAATATGTCGATCTTTTCCTCTCTTGCGACTATATACGAGTAAGACTACTGTTGTTACTAGAACATTACTTAGACATATAGGAACAAGCGCGAGAGAGAGAGAGAAAAGCAGTCTTAATCCACTTCAAGTACGGAAAAACGAGAACGAAAGACAAGAGAAGAAATATGAATGAAAGGAGAAGGAGAAAGAGCGAGCAATTGATCATGTCTGTTGTTACCACATATTTCTTCTTCTGTCTTATATTGGCAGTTATCGATATGGTTCCGTTCATATAATCTTCCTGTGCACATTCTTTTCCTAATGCCATCAACACTCTGAGTACAGAAGGAAAAGCAAGGCTGAGAAGAAGAAGACGAAGTAATAGTTCACATCTCTCCATACATCTCTCCACGTAAATATTCTCCAAGTGGTCATCAGCAGCAGTTGGTAACTCTCTTAATCCGTTCTTTTTCGCATATTTATTAATCAACAGTGACCATTATGGACACGCGCTTGACGAGCTCAAATAATAGTATGTAAAGCGTTATCGTACGTCACTATCGAGAAAATAAAAATAACATTTAAAATATATTTTTTTTTGTTCTCTTTTGTCATTCAATGGAAATTCTAGATAATCATCATACGTTAACAGTTTAGTTGCTCTTACATCTCTGAGATGAAAGAACATCTAGTCGGTAGATTAATAGATAATTAATTACAGCCATATTTATAGAAACGAGGAGAGTGTATCATTTTTTAAACTATATATGCACTCTATTAGGTCTCATTTATCTGCTTGCAGTGGAAATTGTTCTGTAACAGAAAGAGAAAAGGAAGTAGAAGAAAGAAATCATCAAGAATGTTTTCAGAGAATATGATAAACCTGCTTAGATTTATTTATGATGGATCTATTGAAGTATTGAAAAGAAAACAGGCTGCATGTTGAAGAAATCATCGCAACAGTGACAAGATAATCCATTGAATAGAGTGAGAAATTGTGATCGAGAATCGGCAGATCATGAGTTTCGATTTTCTTTCTGTGATTAATCCATCTCTCGTTTTCTGTCAAAGGTAAAAGAATTTTCCTTTTATTTTGTGCTCTAATTCGATCTATCCTAGCGGGTAGTTGTCGTAGCATATACATCATTTTTTTTCTTCCCCATTTCATTATCATCGAAGACAAGACGCATTAGAGAGACAGAAATACAGCTTATGCCGAAGAACGAGACATCGAGAGAGAAAACAGCAGTGAAGTTTTTCTCTCGACATTTTCATATTTGACCGGATTTTCATATCGTTAGATACTTTTCTTGTATGAATACAAAGACAAGTAAGTTTTTTGTTAAAAACGCAATCAAGAACGTACAATGACTTTAATCAACGGCGTCATTGATCATCATTAGAGATTTTCTTCTCAACGCTTCGCATCACGTTGTTTTATGTATATCTTTGATATTAGAATTTCCTTCGAATACACCTATAATTAAAAAATAGACCCTGAGAAGGCGACAAGTTATGGTTAGAAGGGCTTTAATTAAATAGATACCACGGTACTTTTTTTCGCTTTGTCACTGTTTGGTTATTATTAACTAAGCATATCTAAAACATTCATTTTTCCTTCAAAACATAGTTCTTTTCTTTTCTTTGTCAATGAACCGTAGCCCATTGGTATCTGACATTCAGATCTCATCAAATGCGTTAGATTTAGATATCGCATCCTTAGTAGCGAACGAGCCTAGTTCGTATTTGATGACTTCTTAGCGAGAAATAGAATATAGGATAGATGCGTTTCCTCATAGGAGAATAAAAGCCAAGCAAACAACAGTATTGATGATGAATTATTGAGCGCAAAAACTCGCGTATATATATTCGTCTACGTCGAATGGTTTCTATCATCCGTCGGACAATAACGACAACAACAACAACAACGACGACGACGATGAAGAGGAGGAGGACGATGACGACGAGCAACTAGTAACAATAGGTCAATTCCGTTGGGACGAACGTAGTAAAGCAAAATGTGATGTCGCAATCCTCTTATCTCTCATTTTCTCCTTCTTCTGCTAGTGATGCATCTTATTCCATTCGCACAGCACAGGCAAGCTACTTGTAGCTGGCCCAAGGTAATTTTCTTCCCGAACTGCTGTCATCATCATCATCATAGATTTTTCTTCTCTCTCCCATGTACACACATCTTATTGAACAAACAGTGAGGCGTATATCTTCGGAAAGAAAATACTCCTGATCGACCGAAGAAAATACATCGACAAGAAAGCAAGCAGCAAAAGGAAGAGACTATCATCTCTCCATATGTTATAAATCAATTGTGCAGTTGCTAGAAAATACAAAGACAAAAAAAGAAAGAAAGTCAGCTGGATCTATATTATTCTTTAGCAGTAGGAGACGAAAGAAAAAGATCGAGAATGGTAGTAATCGAGTCGTCGGTTTTCTACTACATGTACTGTCAAAGTGTAAGACAGCAAACGCACTTTTTCTTGCTGTTCTCATGTTATCTATCATTGGTATGTCAAAGGACGAAGTGTTAATGTTAGTTTTCAGTTCTAAATCTAACAAAAGAAGAAAAAAAAAGAAGAAATTAGATACTCGGTTTAGCATATCTGAAATCGTATGTTGATAGCTTTTCTTCACCCTCTTATTACTTCTTCCACTTCTCTTTGTTCGACAGATGTACAGATATGATTATCCTCTTCGATGTCAACGAAGAAGAACGACAACTGTATGTTAAGTTTTTCGACCTTAGAGAATCAAAGGACATCGGAAATGTATAGCTTCAAGTGACATATATCGATATATCCTTGCGTTCTTGCCATCGAAAACAATTTCTCTATTACATACAAATTTTCATGGCAAAAAACGATGGAGAAAAGGAAAAATGCAACTTCTGTTCCTGCTTATGATCGTTCATTCAATCGATGATCGATTGAATGAGCGTAGATGATTTTCTGACATAAGCGATCTCTGTATGTGTATGTGTATGTAAGCAAGCGTATTTATATCTGTCCTATGTAATCAAGGTTGATCAAATGCGATTAGTTAAGAGATATGAGTTCTAGTGATTGTGCACTTCGGTGTTTTTTCCAGATCTTGATGTGTAAGAATTTGATGAACAGGAAAGTCTAATGAATATCAATCTGCTGATTATCTTTTCTGAAGTATGAGTCGAGAGACGATGGTGATTATGTGCAAATCAACTTTGGAACAGCCGTGTGCTCTTTTGTATATGTTTTCAAGAAAAAATAACTAGCGGCATAGCATCATTACTAGCAGTACTAGCATATTATTATTTATCTAACGAAGAGTCTATTCAATCACACATGACACATAAACATACATCCGAACGGGAAGAACATTTTATTCAGACAATACAAAACTTTTCTCTCTACCCGCAAGGTATATGTATCTCATATAGAGCAAGACATATATACGAGGAAGCATCTGGTATGAGATAGGAAAACTGAATAGAGAGAATTCGATGGAATATATGAGATGGCATTGAGCTTTATTTGGCCTTGTTTCATAGGTCGGTAATGATTATGGCTACATTTGTTAGTCAATTTTACTATCTAGATTTAGTTAAATTTCATGTAGAGAAAGAAAAGACAAGGTGTGCATACATTCGTGTTCTTTTTAAGTGAGTAAATAAGACGACGAGAAAGCCGACGACGAATAATGATTAGAGGTTTAGTTAGACACGAAACGTGCGCAAGGGTATTCTTTATTATTTCTTCTTTTGTCGGCTCGTTTCCAGTTGATAATGTTCTACAAAACATCGCAAAGGATCTAAGTTCCATATGTTTTTTTTTCTCTCTTTCGTGTTTAGCTCTAATTTGAGATCAGAAAGTCGACAGATTTAGAAGCGTTGTTTTCTTCCGAAAGTGCACTAATCTTATTTCTTTTGAATATAATTACATCTAATAGTGAAAACTATTCTTTCATTCATTGTGCGTAATTACTAAACCAAAAACAGAACCGACTAGCTGTTTCTAGCTTTCTTCTCTGTCAATACATGTAAAATAATGAGTATACATATGATACATCTACTAAAAAGATCAACCTTTTCCATCTACACTTTCCAAATCATTGACACATCAGTATTGTATTGATCAGATATTGATGAAGGGCAAATGTAGAGAAGAAAAAAGACAAAAAAAAATGAAATGCCATTCTCTTGGAGAGATACCTTTGATGTTCTCGTTGTTCTTCTTTTCTCTTTTCTTTCCCTTTCTCTCTCTCCTCCCCCGATTTGCCTCTTCTTATATTCTTTCTGTGTGGAAAAAAACGCAACAATGTTTATCTTATCGAATATACGAACCATTACCCATTATACACACAGTTGTCATGTTTGTATTATCATTGTATGGTTCCTTATTGTAGGTAATGGCTGGCATTCAATACTGCTGGCAGTGGTCATATTGGTGGCTGGTCAAGGACACTGAAGAGCAGCCAAACTTATTCTAGATATCTTTATATAGAAGATTATCTGACGACAAGAGGAAACCTAATTATGAGTAATCTAAAGATGTCTCAAATGTTATCTGTACCTCTGAGTCGGGTACGCTCGCCGAAGCTGAAACGTCAAACGCCCGTTGACGACGAACTCGACGGTCAACATCAAAGTCAACCAGCAAAGTCAATTGCTTCAGATTATGAGTCGAATTCATCGCGTTCACTTTCACCCTATTGGCGAATTGTTATGGATCCCGAATCGTCATCTAGTTACTTAGATGTACCTGAAACAACGAATAACAGTCGACGATCATCAAATAATAGTGTTGTACGTTTTACTCCACATGATGGATCCGACTTATGTTCAATTCTCGATATGACAGTAAATATTTCCATGCAATAAAACATGTGATTTCATCATTTCTGTTTTCTCTTCTAGTATGAATCAGAAAATCTCGAAAAAGCAATTATTAGTAACGATAAATACACCGTTCGTCGTATAATTGATATCCACCAAAATAAATTTAATCTCATTAAAGATCGTTCAAGTTTACCACATACACAATCAGGTTTTCCTACACATCCGTTACCTGCAACACATCTAACTCTCCATCCCACGGCATCATTTGGCTCACCGTCAATCACAAGTAACACAGATTTATTAGAAGCGGTTAGTAAACAAGCGCTAATCAGTAATGAAAATGACGAATTACCCTCGATCTCATCGCCCGAACAAACAAATTCAATGTTCGAACCAGCAAATAGTATCTTAAACTACACAAGTGGCCCGTTAGCGACCGCTTTGATGAATTATCATCAACAAGCACACTCAAATAATCATCTCACATCGAATCCCTCCTCGATCAATATTGGATCGCCAATGACTGAACGCCTGGAAAACGAACATGATTCAATGATCACAGCTCCAACCAGTTTTAACAAAGAATCGGTTTATCCAACAAGCGACTCACCAAACGATGCTCCGCCCATCTTTCGAAATGTTCTACATGTAGCTATTATGTATGGTATGTATCAAAATCGAATAATTGACACGCAGGAGAAGACAACAACAACAACATATTGAGAATTCTTCAGAGAATTAGATGATGATGAATGAGTTATAAGTATCAAATTGATTGTTCGATTAGAAAGAAAAAACAGAAGTCATTAAGATTCAGAGTAATCAAATTTGTTTGGTTTTTCTTCTACAGATGCTCGCGATGTCATGCGGATATGTTTGAAATATGGTATCGATCCCAATGCTCCCGGTATTCATCCAAATACCATCCATACTTCATCAAATTCTCAAACACCAACATCCAACACCTACTCTCATTCAAGCACGCGTTTATCACCTGATCTGCCACGCGCATCACCATGTCGAAACGGTACTCTCGATTATACGAACTATTACACTAATGAACGTTTATTTACGCTACCACCGTTGTTTCTTGCTGCTCAACGTAATAATCATTATGCTTGTACACTTTTACTTAAATATGGTGCGAATGTTAACGTACGTGATGAACAATATTGCAGTCCATTACATTTAGCTGCACGTCTGCAGCATGATGTGTGTGATATTCTTATATCTCATCACGCTTGTATAACAATTTCGAATAAATATGGTGATACACCTTTGTCTCTCTGGCCCAACGTCAAGCAACTACAAATCGCATTTGTTGAACGTGAATTTAGTAAACTCTGTCGTAAGCATTCGTGTGTGTCGAAGCGTTATCGATTTCTCTCGCGTGATACGAACAATGATCATTACCAAACGATATCATCAATGATGAATTATAATAACGGCTTAGTACCAGGTCATGGATTGAAAAACTTGAAACGTGTTTTCCGATACAGTGGAAGCGATTCGTACGATTCGAAATCGTTTAAGAAAAGTTTCTCATCGCAAAGTTCAATCGGTAAATCAAAGCGAATAACCGGAAGTAATCTTCAAACAAATGGACCAGGAACATCCATCGGCCGAAGTGAATCTCGACAAGTATCGGAAGAACGTGAAGATACAGACATAGCTCATCTCGGAAGATCATTAAATGTTAAACGAAAAGTAAGAATGAGAAGCAGTTTTGCTTACAAGTCGATCGTGTAATTCAATAGGCAGTAATGATTTTTAGTTGGTTTGAGGCTCGATCGGCTAAACTATGTCTTTTGCTTCTCTTTCCCTCAGTAATCATCTGGAATAATTACATCGATTGTTTACTGTACTCGAACTATCCGAATGGATGTGTATATATCATGTCTGTAAGAAACTATTTGACTTGAAAAGAAATCTGCAAATGATTAGCTCGATGTATAATTAATGGAATCGTCGTCAGTTTATAATGTCAACGAATGTCGATGAAAATTTGTTCGACAATGACGACTACGAGTGATATTCAATACAGATAGAAAACTGACTAATTATGCAATTTTCAGTCGCAATTCTTAGGTCATGTTTGTTTTCATAGATAAAAATATAAATCTTTTCATTAGAGAACTCGACAGATTAGTTTCATTATTGCCTATGTAATCCGTTCTTTTACATATGAGATCAAGCAAGGAAACAAACAGCCAGATTCAGTATATCAGATCTGAAGTTTATTTTTTCAAACCGGAAGTTCTTCTCATATATAAGTTAACTAAATAAATACGCCATCGTACGGCGAAAGAATCGCGTCAATTTAGAGAAAAATCTCCAGCATATCCTATGGGAGACTTTTCGGTATTATTCAGCAAACACATCTTAATAGATGCAGTATTTTTTTTTCTTCTTCGCCAAGCTACCGAAGATAAGATAGATATGCAAAACGATTTGTTGACATAGATCCGAAATGATCAGTTGGAATCAAGTTTAATTTCGTTAGCGAGCAAGTTTCCATTGAAATGAAGATTACTCGATATGTGTAAACATCACAAATGAATATGCAAAACATTTTCTCTCAGAGAGAAAAAAAACAGATTTCGATGAACTGTTGACATGTGTCTAAAAAGATTTAATTGAAATATGTGATAGTTTGATCCGAATCGATTCATTCATTTGTATGAGAGACTAGCATTGTAGGATCGAGATCAAAATATAGTTCTTGATTGTCATCATCAATTAATATTCTTTAAAGATCAAATACAACGATTTCATTTTATGCCTTTCATATGTTCTTTAGACCGGTACATCATCATTGGCTGTCAATATTCTTAATCCTCATAAATCATCTCGTCGACAACGACACTATGCTGCTGCAGTAGCTCAAGCATCCGCAGAAAGTGAGTTAAAGAACTGTAATTGTATCGATCTCTCGCTCTTTCTTTCTCTCTTCGAAATATATTTATACTTACGCGACTAGTTTTCTCTGTTGGTTTCTTTCGCCCCTGGCCTCAAGGCGATCTCTTTCTTTTTTCGACAAAATCCATCGACTGTCAGCCTATCATTGTCATGTCTTGTTATATACATTGATCAAATATATTCGTTAGAAGAAGCCAGTTAGTTCTCTACTTTTGTAGAACGACGATGATTTGACAGATCCTGCAACCTTTTCGAGAAGAAATACTTCGCTCGATCTCTCCGCACACCAGTTGTTTACAATAATCTGTCGAAAATCATTTCCTGTCAGATTCAAACCATTTACCATACAAGTTCTGATTAGATAGATCTCTTTATTTTATAATACAATCATTAAGTTATCCCATGTCTACTGAGACGTCGACTAATCGAGAAGTTCGTTTCGTTTAATAGGCATCTATTTCAAATGTCAGTACATTGATAATCATTTGATGAGGAAAAATACCGATGTATTTCTCTTGCTTTTCCTTGTGTCATCGAGGAAGGCACAGGTGATGTTCTGCACGATTTCAATGAATACATTATTCTACTAATAAGAGTTATTAGCAGATCGTTTTACCTTTGAGAAAATCTCGTTTTATTTTCTTCTTTTCTTCTTCATTTAGCATCGCTTATTATCTAAAGCATGTTCCTATCTAATATTTTATTAATAAAGAGAAAAAGCGAGAAAACTCACGTTCTATATTCACTGACTCAAACACCCGGACAGTTGATTATGAACGTGTGTATGCGCGAAAGCGGTGTTTTTGTTCTATCGTCGTATATAAATGCGAGCGGCCGTGACTTCCGATGGTGTTTTCATTATCCTTTCTTATTTTGGTTGATTTTCTTATCCAGGAAAGCGCAGAAGAAGAAAAAGAGCCGAGAAAATCTTTTCCTAATGGTTTGTACTGGGCCAAAGTTTCCATTCATCTGTAAATATTTTCGTTTATAAATAAAAGAAACACTCATTTTTCTTTCTTTCGCATGTGTTATTCAGCTTGTCTCGGATCCATTCATGTCAAGATGAGTAATAGAATCCGTGTTGTCTCGGATACAAAGACATATTGTTAGGTAAGAAGAAGAGATCTCTGTTCAAGAAGTTCTTTTCAACCAAATCGTACTTTAGCATGCAAATACTTCTTCAATTCGCAGAACTACGACTATAACACGTTCATTTTCCTTCTCTCTTCTCTCAAAAGTTATTATTATCTATTTTATATAATAGCTATAAAAAAACCAATTGTCATTCGATAGGATTATCATACCGGAATCTAATACTTCCACTAGATTTTTCAAGTATAGATCTCTTTCCTTAATAAACTTTTTCTCTTCTCACGTTCAAGTTTTCTTAGCTGATATACTATCCGACCTATATTTCGTCCAGTAAGAGAGTTACGAAGATTTATATTGAGAAAAAAAGCAGTTATTTCATCCGGCAAACGACTCCCACAATAAAAATAAATTTTCTATTTCGTTTATCTCTTACAATTCATCGAGTAAAACGTGACATCTTAAATAATAAATGTCTCTGGATAGTTTTTAGTTTTGTTTAAATATTCATGCAGACAAATAGCACTTAACAGCAGATCGGTTTCTACTCATCATCTCGATTCTTTGCCTTGGCTTCAAGCGACAAAGTCAAATCGAGTTAAAGATGCATTTGTCTTACGCAGTATCATTAAAACTCTAAGAATAAGTTCGACACACTTTTCTTTCGCATCACTTGAGAAAATAAACTAGAAGAGAGAAGGAGAGAGGGTTTTCCTTTTTTTAATGATCATTATATACGATGAAAATGTTGATTAGAATACTCTTGTCAGTACCAGTCTCATCATTTCCTTTTTCCTTTTTTCTGTTTTCATTCAAAGATTATCTTTAGTAACAGTAGAAATATAAACAAGAAAATCAAGAATTCATCGTTCGCTATGCTGTTCTTCGAATAGTCGTGAATAAACTTTTATTTCCCTGGCAGTTGAAACAAGTTAATCTTGTCGTTTAGACATAACCATTACGATTTAATCGTATTACGAAAGACTTTTGACATGCTCTTCGCATTTTTTTTTTCATTTAGTTAGTTATCTAAAAGCTAAAGAAAGACGACGAAACGTCACTAACACATACATACATGAGAATTCCACTGGTTGATGGATACACGTCTTATTGTCATAAGTTATATATTTTTTTGTCTAACGAGTGTTATTGATGTTTTCTTATTTTCATCTCATTGGCCTTTCTCGTTTTAGCTCAAGCTCTCAATGATCGTCTATTCAAACGATTTTCCGAATTAAGTCGACTTGCGACCAATAGCGAATGTGTCGATCAATTGATGGATCTATTGCGTATGCAAAATTCGATGGACGAAATCTTATCTCTAATAAGTCAAGCAACATCCGCACAAGTACATGCCCGAATTGCCGAATTACTCCATACATTACTTAATGTAAGTTCAATACTTTTGAATTCACTGAACAGAGAAGCAAAAAACAAAACGAGAGAACGACAACACATACATTAAACATCGAATGTTTGGTAGATAGATTATCGAATTCTGTTATATATCTTCAATCAGACTGTTGTATGGCATACTAAAATGCAGAGAGAAGAGAACGAAGATAAACTTAATAGAATTCGACGTACGCAGCAGATTTGATAATCTATCTACCATCGAACAAAGAAGATTTTCTGCTTCTTAAACATTACATCTGTTTGATTTAGTACTAAAAATGTCCTTGTGAAGAGACAATGTTTACTCTCGACGCATTTCTTCGAATATTCAAAGTGACAGACGTATTTCCAATCATGAGAGCAATTCTTTTCAAGTCTCTCAGATCTTTATCTTTGAACTTGATTTCATGATAATTCTCCGCATGAATAAAAAAAAAGAAACATTCATATTCCGAACTAGAGATATCTAAGTCCAAGTCATAATCTTTAACTTGCTATCATCTGTTGTTCCCAACAACATTCGAGGTACGGATTGAATGATTAGTATTCCTCTGAAACAAAACATGTCCATAAGAATTGGATTCATTCTATAAACATTTCTAATCATGACAGTTGAATTAATTGAGTAAAGATTTCTTTCGTTATCTATTAACATTCCAATGGTTAAGCAACACGTTTTAAAGGTTAGATGCTGTCTCCCAATAATAGAACTTGACGTGATTAGGAAGGCAAACACGATCGTATGTGTAACGAGAAAGTTTTACGGAAAAATCTGTAATTATAGAAATCGTTTGTAGAATCAGTAGCCGAACAGATTCGTGTAAAGAAATAAGTTCTCGTTTGTTCATCGATTTTGATTTTAGTTGAATAAATATGAGTGAATAAATCATGATATTTTGTCATGTTCAATCAACTAAGCATCAATAAATAATAATCAAGGCTGAAAATCGGAACAAAAGAAAAACAACAACAGAAGATGGTGTCTCTCTAAGCGAAGTGAAGTTCTATTAGTTGTTATCATATCATCATTGGGACACTATTTATCTTTTCATAGAAGACATGAGAAGAAGAAAAGAGAGAACCTGCTGCGTCATATTTGTCTTTACATGAGATATGATGTTGATATTACATCGTTTTGTTGAGTGAATACTATGAAGAAAAAGATATAAGAGAATAAAAAAAGAAAAGAAAAGAAGAGTCAGTCGTGGATAGATCAGCGAAAAACCATAATAATCAATAGGACTTATATATATATCTTTTTGCATGTATTGATGTACTCTGTTGGAGCTTGTTTATCTATCATATCAAAGAGTAAAGAGCGAGACAAAGAAATCTTAGTATGTTTATACAACAGTATGTATGTACACATACACTTCGAGAAAAGAAAGAAGAATGTCATTTGATTTCAATCGATAACGCTGTCCGTTGTGCTATTCGAATCGTGTAACGTGGATAGAAAGGATAGTTGATGACGAAATTAGCAGAGTTCGTATATGACCGAGAAAGAAAAGATTGTCAAGTTGATGTTGCTTATTGTCGATTAGCTTGATTCGTTGTATATGCTTCAAATGAATATAAATGAGAGTAGTTATTCTTGTTCTTGAATCATTTCCGCCATCAAATTGCTATTGCTATTTCCCATGACGAATCTGTTTTGTTGTTCCCCGTCAGTGTGTTTTCTTCTTGTTGGTTATTTCTTTTTTTTTTCAAATGGAAATAGATGTAACGATGTCTTAATAATCTCGGTAAAACGAACAAAAGAGAAAGAAAGGTTCGATTTTGAGACGGAAAGTTTTGTTTTCTTCAAGATTTCTAAAACATGTTGAAATTTAACGGGACAGAATCGGATGAGATCAACCGAATGATCTTCGTCTCAACTGAGCTTTTCTCTTCATCGTGCACAATTAAATAAATGGGCCCAAGATGATCGAGCAGATCAATGAGAGACTAGTGTATGCTCATTAGAAGCAATATCTAAATGTTGCTAAGAAAGACCAATGCAAACGAAAATAGCATTGATCCATGTCACGTCAACAGATGATAATCAAGACAGGTAGTTGACGAAACTCGAGAGAATGTCACACACATGTAGACATCATTATCGACGAGCGTAGTAACGACTAAATTGTCCCCAGAGGATACGATCTATCTCTCATAAGAAAAAGATGAAGAGCAAGCGACTCTGTTTCGATGAAATAACATTAGCAAAGGAATCGAAAATCGGTTTTTTTTCTCTTCGTTTATTGTCTTCATCAGAGATATAGTACTTCTACTAATCATTGGGTGTCAGAGTCAATGTTAAACAGAGTATAACATGATTTTCTCATGTTACTAGCGTAGCAAGAAAGCACAAGCACAGCATCACGTCCGTTTCGAAGACGACAAGCGGAAGAGGAGCGAACGAGCGCGTCAACAACGACGACAAAAGAAGAATAGAAGAGAAACAGAGCGAGTAGCAAATCATTTCATCGAAAATGGGAAGGAGAGATTCTAAGAGATAGATAGATAGAGAAATAGACAATCTATCTATTTATTGTCATTCATAGCAAACAGAGTATCATTTGATTGCACTTATTATTGATATAAAAGTTTTCTTTTCTTTTCATCAATGACTACTCAGGTTTGTTCCATATTGAAACATTCTGTTAAGTATCGTTTTTTTTCTCATTGATTTAGACATGCTACCAAGAATTTTTACGCAATCATGATAAACGTGATCATGTGGAAAAATTTCAAGTACACACGAAGAAACTCTTGGATATTTCATTGGAATTGCTCTCGAGTGATATGGTTAATATGCAATATTTAGCATTGATAACAATCAATCGTTTATATGATGTTTATGTATATCACAATTTGATCAATCCAGGTCGCTATAATGCATGTTATATTCCAGCATCACGTCGACAATTAACATTGAATTCCATGATAAATTCCAATTCATCACCATCAAATACAAATTCATGTGATGAGTCAAAAACAGGAAACGATCGTTTGCCCAAAACATCAACGCTGTCGAGTATTCTACGAAAAATTTCGCGTGAAACTGATGAAAAGCGTGCAGTCGCAGCAGCAGCAACGGGTGGAAATGCGTATCTAAATTCGAAACTATCATCCAACAATACCCAACAGACCTCGGGTCCTGGACCAGGTGGTGGTAGCAGCGGAACGGGAAATAGTAGTAGCAATACTAGTGGAAATACTGGTGGTATATTGACACGTGAAGCATCCAAACGATGGATTCCATTGTATAGTAATGATAATCTTGCTCCGACATCTTCATCACCGTCTCCTGTTCCACCGTCATCATCTCCGAATATATCATCATCCCAAGGGCCCAAACTCTCCTCAACCGATTCACCCAATCCTCAAGCATCACCGTCACATTTCTCGAAATCTCATCTGCTAAACTCGGAAACTTCCTCAACAAACAATGCATCCTCAACATCCAATGATAATACCAACTCGGCGTATACATACGAGCCATTTTCTTTGCTGTACAAAATCGAGCCAATACATCTCCTGCGTTTAATGCGGACACGTTTGGATGCTCATCGACGAGAATTCAATAATCGACCAAAATGCGTTCCATCAACACGTTCACCCTTATGTACACATCATTGTGTAGTGATTTTAGCAGCGCGCATATTGACTATACTCTGTCAAGACCATACATTTCAAATGCGATTCATTAGCACCAAGGAAAATCTTGCTATTATTATTGATATGTTAAATATTAATAATGATCCGGTAAATATTCGCGAGATATGATAAAAGAAAGAAAGAAAAGAGAGAGAGAAACTTATTTGATCGATTTCCTGTCGTTATGAATATCTTGGCATAAATAGAAAGAGAACGAAATCAAAATTCAATTATGCAGATAATGTTAATCAGAAAAAAACACACATTCTTTTCTTTTTAATGGCGAAAATAGATCGAAAAGATTCAGACATGTCTTTTCTCTTTATCTGATATTAGATTAGATCAATAACATCATTTTGCATATTTATTCTATATTCTGGTTCTTTTTCTCTCGTTAAGCATTTAATCTGTTTAATTCTTCAAACACTGGGCGTCGTGGCGTTGAATCCCGACTTGCATGAAGTGCTAACCCAAGCCGATATTCCCGATACTGTCTTGCACTTAATTCTACCGGCTGACGAAATGTTCTACACGAATCAGACGACGAAATTCGCGCGCTATGTCAAACATCTTGGTGCGAGAATTCTTGTTTACATGGGTTTGTTAACCAAAGTCAGCAATAAAGTTAATCTCTTCGACATTCTTGGTAAGGAATGTTTCTTTTCGAAAAATTTGCTCATTGGAGACGTGTGAACGACTGGGATTCTCACTGTGAAGATAAGATGTTTCCGAAATCCATTTCACTCTGTAACTAAACAGCGAGTAGTAACCTTGAAGAAGAAAAGAAAACGAAACAATTAGAATTGTTTTGTTTAGAAAAACTTCTCTACATTTTTCGTATACTCGTAAGTATTCATCGCTATGATCGATGTCGACACTCATTCGGAGACTATTGTCGAAGACGAAGGCTGAAAAGATCGATGTTGCTTAAGATAAAAGAAAGCTGAAGGTTACGAGTAAACGTCTACACTTGATCGATTGTCCTTGTCGAAAACGGAAGATAAAAGAAAATACTGCGATAATTAAATCATCAAAACTAACATTGAAAAAGAATTGTTAATGAATGAAACAAACGCTTCTGTATATTTCTTAGATGTCGAACCGGAACCACTCGATTGTGATAAACCACAATCATTTGAAAATAATTTCGTTCATCATATGGCGGTCGGAGAAACTGTTGTGGGAACACTCTGGACATCTTTCGCTGGTATATGTATCGAAAAATTACTTGATGAATTACTTAAAGTAAATAACGAAATCATCAATTTACATTGCTTTTCGACACATTTCTCTTCTGTAGAATGGAATCAACCAAAAGAAGTTTCCAACGAAAGAATTTCAAGATCCAGCTCAATTACCAACGAGTCCAACATCTCCAACAGGAATGTTGAGTTCAAGTGATAATCTTCTCTACAATCTTTCATATTTATCATCTGTGATACATCCTGTTATCATACTTCGTTTACTTGAACATCGTCTATTCACACCGTTATTCAAGAAAAAAGCTGTCACAAGTAATCCGCCACCGGCAGTTATTCCTCAGCAAGCCGCCGATACAAAACCGACGAACGCAACGATCACCCCGAACATTGGAATGTCTGCACTGGCATCGATTCCGACCTTACCAAAACCGGAACCATTCAAACGTCAACGCAGTTCATTGACAAAGGAAAGCTACTCGTCGTCGAGTAACCATGATCGATCATCGCTATTAACCAAATTCACGCATTCGACTTACGATAAACATCGAAAATCGTCGAAGTACGCCACACCAAGCGCGTCTGTGTCTGGCACAGCTTCTACTAGTTCTCAAAATACCGCTAATAGTGCTCTACCAACAACGGGCACATCAACAACAAATGGAATAAACGCGATTGATCTATCATCCTTATTACCGACAAACAATTCCAATTCGACAACGACAACAACAACAACACGAAAATGGTTTTGGAGAAATTCAGAGAAAAATATCCAACCAAACATTCCCAATGATCGCAATCCGTTACTACAAGCTATTGTTGAGACTGATACGTCAACAATGGCGAATCACAATCAGTCGATGTCGAATCCACCGATCAGCAATGGTGTTGGAGAAATGAAATTATTCGAAAAAGAACTATTAAATTTACCGTCGTTTCAACTAAGTGATTCGCAAAATCCTTTGTTACCAAGTCCAACAAGTTTGAATTACGATTTTACAGCTCCATTCGATCAAACAAATCTGATGATGAAGGAAACAAATTCACCGAATAGTTTATTTAAACCAAAGTTACCAGATGATGAATGTAAGTCAGAGATCGAGCAGTCAAAAATCCAACGATTTGGCGTAGATGAATAATAGTTCTGTTTTTCTTGCATGTTTTCCTAATTGATAATGAATGAAAAACGATAATGAGAAATCAAGGCGTGCCTGACTAACATTAAGTCCGAATCGAGTTGATTTATGAAAGAATAGCATCCTACATTTAATCAAATATAAAATAAATGTTTTTTTTTCTATTCTTAGCAACATCATCGATAACTGAAAATACTGGTGGTAATGGTCTCTTAACAACACTAAATATTCCATTTGTTGCTGTTCGCACTCCATCGGACGATAGTAATAGATCATCAAGTCATAACAGTACTCCGTCAAGGCATTTATCATCAGCTGATAATCGTCAACAACGTTCTCTATCGAATACACGTATGTCGGTTCGTGAAACAGTGAAAAGTCTATTTCGTTCATCGAAAACATTCGATCACATGTCGAGTGTGTTGACAAATGGAAATAGTGGCTCAACAAGTCATTCGATATTCAATCGAAATCTTTCAAAAGTGAAGTCTTCAACACCATTGAAGAACAAACAACTGTCTCATTCACAGCCGATTGTGACTGAATCGTTGATAGATGATAACATTCATTTCGAATCGCCAGTTATTGGCCATAGTGAACAGACACCTCTACTCGATCGTAGACAAGAATCCAAACGTCAAAATTATATGAACGGCTTACCTGAGAACCGAAACCATCAGACGAATAGTCATAATAATGTCAAACAAACGCGTCTAAATCGAAAGGGACTACACCTCCCACTCGATCTCGAAGGTTTACATCGGAGCCGTTCATGTACAGATGAAATTATCAATCCACTCAACCATCACGAAACAGATTTACTCAATGGAACAACAACAACACCAGGGACTGCAGCGAATCTTCAACCGGATGGTATTTCGCTACGTTCGTCAGATAGTACAGCTTCGTCATTATCAGCGTATTTATCACCGCAACAACTAGTTACGACACAATTATCAGCAGCACCATCAGGAACGACGGCGACGACCAATGGAAAAAGTGAAACAACTAAATCTCAAGAATCGCTATTTAGTTTTTCATCGCCGATACAGAAACAACGATCGTTTAAATCGCTAATTATGGCGGCTGCAACGAAGGATACCGCAACGAAACAAGGCAATGAAGTACTTTTTCTCATTGCAAATTGGGTCTTACGATCGCCAGAAGACTTTCAAGGTAGAAAAGAATATATTTTCAAATAATCGTTTCCAATGAATTGGTTCTGTGTTTAGATTATCTAGTTCAAAAAGAACTGAAAAGTTTCTTTGCCCTGTTAGAATCTTTACGTAGTTCATTTCGTAGTTGGACAAGTCAAATTAAGGAAATTCTTGCCCTTCAAGTAAATATTCTCTCCTTGATCAGAATGAAAGTAGAAAATGTCCTTGATCTTTATATAGGATGTTGAGTCGCCTCTCGGGACTGAAATGGACGATGCAACGAATGAAGATATTTACCGTGAATATATCAAAATGCAACGCGATATTGTCTCCGGACGACTAATTTGTTCGAAAGAAGAAGCAGCAACATTAGCTGCTGTGCAATTACGTCTCGAAGCATGGCCAGAAGAAAATCTCGATCTTGCAGAAGGTAAGTTTTCACAAAAACTCTTCTCTTTCTCTCTATTTCTCCCATAAACATCTAGATGATGAATTACATACATTGAATTTATCATTAAACGATCAAACTTCTCCGACGCAATTGACTAATACAGGTGGTATATCAGGTTTACATTCAATGACAGCATCATGGCGTGATCGGCGTCGTCGGAATCTTATTAAATTTCGTTTGACTGATATTCCTTGTTGTAAACGCGTGGATTCGAGCATTCACAAATCGAAAAGCCCGTTTCTTCCGCCGGATTTTCGTCACAGTAATGAAATACTTAAACTAATCAAAGATAAACAACGAAAATTATTTCATATCAACGATTACGATAATCCCACGCGTTTAAAAGAATGTTACGTACGTTTGTGTCGAAATTTGTCGTGTTATAATGCGGAAATGTATGTTGTTAAAGAAATCCATGGAAAACGATCAAAACGAAAGGTTTGATTTTCATGAATGTCCATCATTATTTTCATTAAGATCTTTTCTTTAGGGCAATCGAATTTTGTGCATTCGATCCGATAAAATCTGTTTATTAGATATGAAAACACGTGTAATTTACAAAGAACAACGTATTGCTGATCTAGAACACTGGATAACGAGTGGCCATCATTTAAGTGCAGGAACCAACGATCTCGTTTTAGAATTCCGGAACAAAACCAAGTGGCGTTTGCAATTGAACAACACTGCTGATCTACGTGCTATAACTGTTTATCTATGGAAAATCGTTAATGTCGAAGGCTTTGCGCTCTTCGATAAACACATTCCATTAAATTCATCGATGCGTCGTTATTCTCAATCACATCAAACAGGTCGCCGCGCGACACTAGTCTCCTCATCATTATTACCGAATTCAAATAAAAATCCCTATCAAACTATAGCTGATATGTACAAAAATTCTGCTCATCATTCAAATAAACAATCCATGTCAACAACAGACCATATTCAAAACTTAACACGTATGATGCAGAGTAATCGTTCGACAACTACTTCGGGAATTTTGATGAATTCATCGTATATTCACCCATCGGACAATACCCAACCCATCTGCTTCTCATCGGATCTTGAAGAATTGAAGTGTCTGTTCGATTTTCCGGAAGAAGTTGCAATACGTTTGACAGAAATAGAACATGAAATCTTTCTCAGTGTTCCGCCCTTACAATATCTACGACATTTAACATTAGACATGTCATTCTTGTCCGCAAATGACACATCAATACAGGGCAAAAGCATTCGAATTCTCGTACAACGCTTTCAAGCTGTATGTTATTCAAGAATTTCACGAAAACAGATAATATCTTATTCTTTCTAGGTTGGATCATTTATTCAACAATTAATCGTTTCACAAACAAGTTTTCAAGAACGGAAAGCAATCGTGGCTTCTATCCTTCGATGCGCAATTACTTGTTGGTATATGGGAAATTTTAACAGTGCTATGCAGATCCTAGCCGGATTAAAGTATGTCGTAGATTCTAAGTATGAAAATAGATATATGCTTTCTTTGAATAGAATCGAAGCATTTCGTCCATTATGGTTAACCATAACAGATGAGATTCCGGGTTTTAAGTTTCTTACCGATGCATTCAATTCAAATGAGAAAACGCCACAGTATTGCGATGCTGTCAGTCGAGCATTGGATATTCCAACTTGTAAAGTTGTACCATTTTTTGGTACGTTCCTCAAAGATCTTCGCGCAATATTGAGTAGCGTACCGAGTATCGTTGTTCTATGTAATCGAAATACACAAAAACCAATTGAAGTAAGCCATTTTTTTGAAGACATCAAAAAACGGAGTTGTGTCACAAATCAATTTGATTTTCTAGACTGTAACAGATTTTCAAAGTCAAGAGCATTTTCTTACTCGTAAGTATTCATTTGCTCAGTATTCACTAAATTCTCTTTTGTTTTCCCCGATGAGAAGGTATTGGCGTAGGTGGTCTGATTAATACTCGGAAAATCGAACTTGTTCACATGGTTTTAAAAGACATCGCTATGTTTCACAATCGTCATCGTCGTCAGCCTCTATTCAAATGCTGTAATGACTTAAATCGCATTAAATTACCGTCACCAGCGATAGTACCGGACATGAAAGAAAAACATGCAGCTACTGTTTGCGCAGGTTCTGATACGGGTTCATCGGATAAGTATGTCGAACACTTTCTCGATGATCAGTTTCGATAGAAGATCCCGAATTTAGATTATCAAAACCGAAATATAATCGTCATCAATCATTTCCGTGCACATCGACAACGAATAACGAATATGATCAGGAACGATCAACGAATATAGCGATCAATGTCATTGGAGATAATGAAACTTCAAATGTAAATGATGATGAAGCAGCTTACGGAAGAAATTCGGTTTTACCGTATCGATCGACATTGGATATTGATGAACCTGAAACATATTATTGTTTGAATGTTTCCTTTTATCAACCAATAACGCAACCGAAACATAATCATGAAGTCTCACTCTTGTCCATGCATCATATTGTTGATTTTAATAATCTACAAATGCTTCGGTTGGTTATTTTTCCTTTTCTCACCTAATCTCAGTCAATTATGTCCGCCTTTCTAGAAACGGAAGTACGCTGATACTCTATGATGAAGATACAATGCATACATGTTTAGTCACTGTTCGACTTGAATTAGATAATTGTACATTAACTTGGTAAGTCAAAAATTTGCCTTCACATTCTTTTAAAATCATGTTCTAATTGTGTGTTTTCGTTCAAAGGACGAAGCCATCCTGGGACACACATCGAAGTATTGAGAATGTTAATACAGCTAATCAAATGTCAAGTGAAGCAGCACATTATTCAATCTTGATGAAACGTTATGTTTTACGTGATGTGGCATTTGTTGATATGGACGAAGGTTTCCTTCAATTGAAATATGTTAAACATATTCGGAGTGGAATCCTTCATTGTGATCTTCTTCCAATTATCAAACGTTACAAATTAAATGATATATCTAATCCGGAGAATTGTTTTACTGTTGTCTATGGTGCATCGATCAGTGAAAATAAGTAAGATAAGCTTGTTCTTCTCGTTCTGAATCATTCGACTTCTCTGTTTCTATAGATCGCTTTGCTTCATCAGTCCGAAATATTGTTCACAAATTTGGTACTCATGTATCGATAAATTAGTTACGCAATATCGGAAACATCGACTTTGTTCGGACCGACGTATTGTTTGGCTTAAGAATCAGTATTTATCATTATATCATGAAAATGAACGTTTTCAAGGACCAACACCCATGCATGCCATACTTATTTTTGGCGGAAGGCAATGGAATTCCAGCTCCTTGTTTTCCTATGAACGAGATCATCCATCGTCGAAAAAACCGAGCAGCGTCATGAAGTCTTGGTCGAATTTAGCTCTGAGAAGACGAAATAAATTCGAACAGGTACGAAGATATGATTTCGCGAGCTAATTCCTTGAAAATAATCGTTCTCTATTCAGGATCGAAAGGCAAGTTTTTCAACCGAATCTGATCCCACAGCAGCATCGAAATGGCAACAACAAAATTCTAATCTTGGCCTTCGCAGCAAATCGAAAACACTTGAATATAAACCAAAACCTACTCTTACCACCCAGCCTGCCAAACCACCTCGATCATTAACACAAACTCATTCAAAAACACGTCCCGGAACCACAGCTCATCCATCCACTCAACGTACGACTACAACAAGTACATTGAATAGTTTAATTAACACAAAACGATTAGCAAGTCGATTAGCATCGGCTCATTCGAATAGTCAAGTACAAGATTCGTCATCACCGTGGATTATCAACGAGACTTATATGGACTTTCCGGAGTTTGTTGAATTGTTCAAATCATTCTATTTTCATTGTCGGCGAGATTTGAAAGACTTGTTCGATAAATTCGCGTCCGAGATCAATCTTGAACAAGATTATACGATCAAAGAACAGTACAAAAACGATTCACTCGATATTTCTCGACATTTAACTGGTTTAATCACAAGAAATATCGTTGATGACATCACTGATGCAAGTGTGCGAAGAATTTATGATATGATCGCAATTTCATCCATACCTTGTTATGCTATAAGTACACATACACGTGGAAATTATCTCATAACAAAAGAACAATTTCGAGACTTTCTACTCGAACATCAAAAAGAAGAGAAGACTATGTATGAAATTGAACAGATTATTTATGTAAGTTTAGAAGCATGTTTGCAAAACCCATGATAAACTCTTCGATTTTTAGCGCCATGAACCTAATCGACAAAATCGATTGAATAAAGTTCTCTCGTTCGAAGGATTTTCCCGTTATTTATTGGATAAAGAGAACTACGCATTCGTGAATGAACATACCAAAGTCAACGAACAAGTAACACACCTACTGAAATTTGATTCGTTAAAAAAACACATTTTCTTTAGGACTTTGATTACCCTCTATCATATTATTTCATCGCATCTTCGCATAATACTTATCTAACCGGTCATCAACTACGTGGTGAATCGTCCGTTGAAATGTATCGTGAAGTACGTATTTCGAAAGAATTCTTTTCATTCAAAAGTCTTGGTTTTACTTTAGGTTTTGTTATCTGGTTGTCGTTGTGTTGAACTTGATTGTTGGGATGGTGATGATGGTTATCCAGTTATCTATCATGGTCGTACATTTGTTAGTAAAATCTCTTTCAAATTAGTCGTAGAAGTGATTAACGAAAGTGCATTTCTCACTTCACCCTATCCAGTTATCTTGTCCATTGAAAATCGTTGCACATTAATGCAGCAGGCGCGCATGGCTCAAATCTTTGTTAAAGTTTTCGGTGATAAACTAATTACGAAGTATATGTTCGATTCGGATTTCTACGAAGATCCTCAATTACCATCGCCAAACCAAATGAAATACAAGATCTTAATTAAAAACAAGAAGATCAATAAAATGCATTCGACAACACAGCTGAGTAAACAGAAAGTACAACTGAGTGTGAATTATCGAAATTCAGTGTATTCCTCACCGGATGATAATGAAGAAGATGATGAATCGGATGATGATGAACTAATTGATGATTTTAATGACGATCAGCTAGTCAGTGGAGAATCACAACGTTCGAATTCGATGACTGATTCACCGATGTACCATCTGAAGAAACCAAACATCCCGGGAACGATTGATCAAGATGGCGACGATGATTTGTAAGCCGAAAAGAGAAGTTCGTTTCGAAACCAGTCTCTTCTATTTGTTAGGCGACCATATCAACAACGTCGGTATAGCATATTGAATACTGAGCCAAGACAACGCTTGAAGAGTAGTAGTTCGATCGATGCAAATCAGATTATCAAAGCAAATAAATCAACAACTATTTCCAAGTTACCAGCGATAATCGTAGCGAAAGAATTATCGGATATTGTTATTTATACTCAAGCAGTGAAATTTCGAGGTTTGTTTTGGAGACAAAGAAATATCAAAGTCTTTTTTTCTAATTTTATTTTATCGTAGGATTAAGTTGTTCATCAGCATCATCGAATATGGCTGGAGGAAAACCTATTCGAAAGGCGCCGAAACGTAATATTCAACAGCTTGTTGCCCAACCGAGCACTACGAGTATGAGTAGGATCTTGTGCCTTATTTGGCAATGACGATCAACTGATCAATTTCATTATTCTGTTTTTTTTCTTACAGGTACAGAGAGTTCTCGTTCTATCGATCAAGTGTCACCATGTCATCAGATTGTATCTTTAATTGAAAACAAAGCGAAGAAATTATGTAAAAATCAAGCTGTAGATATGATTGCGTATGTTCTTTCTTTTCTACTTACGTTATTGACCAGTTCATGATTGTATTCTAGACATACTGAAACACAACTCGTACGATGTTATCCAAGTGGTTTTCGTGTCGATTCTTCAAACTTCAATCCACTGCATTTATGGACATATGGCATTCAGTATGTACTCGAGATTTTCCATGTTCACATTCAAATAAACTTTATTCTCTATAGACTAGCTGCAACAAACTACCAAACACTTGGTACGTCTATTTAACAATCTTAGATGTCTAGAAGTGTCCTAATAATTCTCTTTACATAGATGCTGGCCAAATTCTTAATCTATCCATGTTTGAACAAAATGGCAATTGTGGTTATGTTCTCAAACCGAGTGTGTTTTATGATAAAGAACATCCTCAATACGGTCATTTTAATCCATCGGTGATCGAACGCGAAGGTTCATGCTATGAATTAACTATCACTGTACGTTACAAACTCATTCGAAATTGATCTCTACGTTGATTTATTCGAATAGGTTATCTCTGGACAATATTTAACTCAGAATGTGAGTTCAACAACGAGTGTTTACATTGAAGTTGAACTTCTTGGAATTCCAATTGACTGTATGTCAAGAAAAACGAAACCATCAGTGAAGAATTCACTAAATCCCATCTGGCAAGAAACATTCGTTTTTCAGGTATTCACTTTCATTCATTCCTTTAGTCTACTCTAATAAATGATGTTCCATCTAGTTATTCTTCATCGAATTAGCATTTGTTCGTTTCCATGTTTACGATGCTGGTAGTAATCATTTAATGTCTCAACGTGTCATGCCGTTGAAATGTCTTCTGCCTGGTTATCGACATGTTCGTTTACGCGATATAAGCAATTGTCCATTAGAATTAGCAACGTTGTTTATCTATTCCAAAACCACCGAAACAATTCTTCTACGAAATACGGAACCGGATTTATCTACGTCGAACACACCACATCTGTTCCGTACGAAGATCTTGCGACGAGCAGCTGATCCACCTGAAGTTGTCGCAGTATGCAGTTAAACACAGTTAATTTTAGATCTGTTCTAATCGATTTCTTATTTAGGCGAGTCGAGAATTTATTCGACCGAAACATAAAACATTCGAAGTGAAAGTCTACGGCAAAGATGGACGAGATGAAGACTTTCGACCATTTGCTGTTACACAATACACAACTGTTGAAGAACTTATGGATATGGTTAAAGAAGACGGATTTATTCTGCAGTTTTTTTTCATAATATTTTCGTTTTAGATTGCCAAAGCGAATGATTTTTTGAAAGTTGGTGAAACAATCAATGATATGATGTTGACTGAGTCTTCGAAAACATGGAAAAAGAAAGCTTCGTCGTCATCGAAGAACAACGATGTCACGCCGCGTATACTAGAAAAACATGAGCGTATTCTCGAAGTTATTGATCGTGTTGGACGCGAAACAGTTATTCTTTGCAAAAAGAAAACTCCAACACAAGTGAGTCCTTCCTTCTTTTCGGAAATCGCTCATCAATGATGGATTTGTTCTAGCAACATTTATCTCTATCAACTCTAATGGATAAAAACATTCAAAATTGGGAAAATTGTGACCGAACATTTCTCGTCACGATTTACAATGTTTCGCCTATACAAAAGCATACAACATTTCGCACACCAGTTAACTCAACAGCGATTCATGTGATTACACAAGTAAAAATAGGAATCTCTTCTTCTTGCAAATGAAAAAAAAAACGTTCTTTTGTTTAGTTAATGACAAAAATCCGTATGACAGGAATGCCAAATGATTACGGTCTGATCGAAGAAACCGATCTGAATACAATGAATACCACACGACGAATACCAATAAAGCGTCGTTTGTTAGCTGATGATGAGAAAATCTACGGCATTCAACGTCTATGGACATCAACCAATTCGAAATTTGTTCTCGTCAAGAAAGTCGAATATTCCGAAACGAACACCAACAAAGCTTTTACCGACAAATTTCTTTTCCGTTCATTAGCCCGACAGAAATCCATCGATCGAGGTTCACACGAAGGTAATCACCAAGAACTCTCTCGTCAACACCAAAACAATAATCCTCTTTTTAAAGTAGACATCCATGCCGATCATCCATCGAAACTTCGAACACCAAACAGTTTAACTCCAACGAGTGCAATGAATGGTAATCTGATTAATCGAACGACACTTGCGCCAACGCCACCAATACCAAAGACTCACCATAATAATAAACGTTCACTGAAAACAATCCTCTCCACGTTGAAATCTTGATGAATGATGCGATCTTGTCAAATAAATTTTCTCGTTTTTCTTCTCTCTTTCTTAGTGTGCAGTTCTCATTTCTCACTTTGTTTACTTTACCGGACTTGATTTCTCTTTCACGTGTTGTTTATTGCTACAATTGCTTTCTGTCTCTCTCTCTCTCGTCAAGTGAACAGTGCTGTTATACTTTCTCTTTGAATTGTCGATTATGATATATACATATAAACTGAATGAGAGAATCTATGGCAGTTTTTTTAATATCAATTCAATATCTCTTCTTCTTCTTGTTTTGTTGAATGAAAAATCTTTTGTATAAACGAAAAACATGTTGAAATAAACATCAGAGAAAATGAAACATTCTCTCCAACTATCGCAACACATCAGATCTCCGACAGTTTATTATCAAATCGGCTCTGGATTCTCGTGCGTAACGCGACCTTGTCTACAAACTCGATTAGAAATCTAATCGAATAATTCAAGTCATTAAAACATCTTTAATGGGTTTTCTAATAAGTTTCTATTTTAAAGACATGGAACAACTTCAGTCTCATTCCTAAGTATCACTTCTTTCAAAAAGGAATTAGATGACATTAATAACGGTTCATTGTAGTGCAACAGCATAACAACAAAGATGAAGATAAGCGATGAAAATATACGTGATCTATTTATTAATCCTGCTTTTCAGTTGATTTCATTAGAAAAGTTGTTATGAGCAAGAAACAAATGTCATGAGATGAAATCAGATGAGCGAGGGTTATTTTAAGTGTTTATTTACGTCCATTCATGGATACATTAGTATATTGTTGACGATTAGATCTTCCTCCGTGACCACCGGCAAAATTTCGTGATTGTTCAAGCTTATCTGATAAATCATCCACACGAACATCTTTTAAGCGGAGTAATTGTTCCAGGCGATGAACTTTTGCTTGTAAAACCTAGGAAAAGTCTGAAGTTTTACAATCGAAGGGATAAAAAATTGGATTTTACTTGAATTTGTTGATCTTTCGCTTGACATTCTTGTTCCTTCTCGTTATAATGCGCACGGTTAACCATTTCTGTCGTTAAATTTTGCATTGAAGTCGATTTCTTTGCTACACTTTAAATAGATCACATCAGTTCGATTGATATTTCAATCGCTGAATGCTTACTGTCCTCCATATCCGGTATTTTTCGGTTCATTTCCTAAAACACAGCATGAAAATCATTTCTCGGTGAAAAATCAAACGAAACTCCAAAGCAGAATTCGGTGGGATACATCAACATGCAAAGATAATCAATATAACGAAGAGAAATGAAGAAAAGAAAACTGCATTGAGCAAAACCTACTGTCGTCATCCTACATTGAGTAAAACTTGAATAACATTTATATACAAATGTCTTTTGTAGTTCTCTTTTGAAATTCTTACTCTGATATGCTGGTGAAGGTTGATCATATTGTGACGGTGGAGAACGGCGTTGACGTGATGTGTTCATGTTCGATTCATTCATTCGGTTTTGCTGAGGATGAGATCTACGAGGAGAAGAGAGAATATCGAAATGAGGAATTGTAATTGAAAAAGGGGTTAGTTTATTTTAGTCACGCTAAACACAAACCGATTTCGAGAAGGAGAATGAGATTTTGGTTGTTCTCCTGATAGACAACTGGAACGAGAATTGACGGAATGAACATTGAACTAGAACATTTTTTTCGTTTGACATACTCATCGATTCGATTTCGTAAGTTGTATAGAAAGATTTCCACCAGTCTCGCGCGGCCAAGACAAATTCCACGCATAACCTGTTCAGGAATATTCATATCAAATTTGCAGAGAACTTTGCGATTCAAAAGGCCCCAGTTAATCAATTTCTGCTGCGTACTGTTCGACGCGACGTAATTGTGTGTATCAACCTAATACAAAACAAAAATCGCATACAAATCAATTATTCACAATATTTACCCAACTAGGAAAATAATGTTTGATTAATTCAGCAGCCATAACTTTCAATAGCAGAGAAAAAGAATGTTTTTTTTAAAATTTATTAAACAAGAATAGCTTACCACCATCGGAAAAATCCTTTTCGATATGCTTCTTTGGACGACTTAAAGGAATCGTATCGATCCAGGCATAAAGATCCTGTAGTAATTGATCATCCAATTCGATATCCCACGACATGTCAACAAACAATCTAGAAGGAGAAACCTTCAAAATGAAACCTTTGCTTCGCAATTTGGAATCAGTTGAAAATGAGATCATTTCCATATAAATAATTCTTTGAAATTAATTGAGTATGTCTTCATGTGTATATATTTTCATCGCCATGTTAGATTTACGTTGCCATGGTAATTTGCGCACGACATCAAGACATTTAAACAGAACAATTTCTATTCGTTGATCAATTTATCCATTCCTGCTTAGTTTTACTAGTAGCTCTATCATCATCGTCGTCATCGTCCCGATCCGAGGAAGAGAAAAAAAAAGATTCGTCTACTTCTTCATCGTTCAAGGTTTTTTGGTCATAGTTGGTACCATGAAATAGTATTGGTTGGAAAAAAAAGAAAGTCGTTTTCTAGATTTTCATCGTCATCTGTTGTTTTTGTACATAATTTCAATCGAATCGATTTCCATGCTCAAATAAATTATTTATTTCTTTGACTGAAATCATGTCATCATCAACAACAACTTCTCCGAATCGTAAACGACCCATATCATCATCCATTCGGTCATCACCCTCGCCACCATCAGCAAAACGACATGGATTAGCAAATTCTCGACGTGCGCTCAAAGCAACGACAGATCAAGCTAATGAAAGGCATAGTCGAACGAAACGACAATATCGGCATGTAGAACACCGAAATTCATCATGGGAATTCAGTCGATCGTCTTCGAACTCAAATCATTCTCGGAAATCTCCTACCAATGATCAAAGTAATTCGAAAATTTTCGTGTTTTTTGCAACAAAATAATCTGTTTTTGTTTCAGATGCAGATGAACTCTTCGAAAGTTCGGTAAAGCATAGCAATTCAAAATCTGATATGCAAATGGATATGATCTATACGAAAAAGCCCACATCGTTAGCATTAATTATGAAACCATCAGCAAAAATGTATCATAGCGATGATGAATACGAACAAAGTCAACAAATATCAACTCGCGTTTTAGTAAAAGCTTTCAAATCGAGTTTCGTTCAACTATTCATTGCTTTTCTTTAGAATAAATCGACATCAGTCATCGTTCCACCATCGGTCACGACGATTGTGAAAAACAATTCGGAATTGTCAAAGAAATCTCTTCGTAAAGATAATGTTATCATTCAACAATATGATACAAATATTAATTCGAATTCTTCAACAAAGTTGGTGAAATTAATTGTCCCACAAACTACGAATTCTTTATCACCATCCATCAAAATGCTCTCGAGTGGCGATGGTCTGGCATCGGCTTTACGTATTCCAACAAAAATTCAATTAACGAAACCGTTACACGTCTCATCGACTCGACCGGAAAAATCCTCTGCACTAATCTCATCAGCAAACGCTCATCAAGATCAATTAATACTTTCACCATCATCAGCTACTAATCTACTCGATGTTCCCGATCAACAATCAGTTCTTGGCGATTATCACTCACCGACAGCATTGCCACCTACTCCTCCACCTCCTGTTATTGATAATACGAATTCGAATCTTCGAAATGTGTCCGATACATTACGAAAGAGATCAAATAAAACTTCAACAATGAATACGAAAGGTAAAGATCAAAAGAATAACATCTAATTGCATCTTACTCATTCATGAAAGACATGAAACTTAATTTTCATTTCTTTTCAGCTGTTGAAAAATCGGATGATCCTATCCTGGATGAAGCAATACTACCTAAACGTCATTCGTCGACCTCATCTGATTGGTCTGTTCCACCGACAAGTGAACTATCCCCTACATCTTTGACATCTTCGTCGCCGGATTTAACTCAAAACCATTGTCCAACTGATGATTCTTTCGTTGAACTCGATTCATCGATTAACATCAAAGATTCAGTCAAACGTCAAAGTCGTTCATTATCAACATCATATTCAACCCTCCCCTCGTTTACTACGTCCTATCTACAATCCAATGATGAAACATTCTTAAAACCAAACAAATCAAAGTCATTGACACGCCCGACGGCTAATTCCAATGGCCAAATCATGTTAATTAACAAAAAGCGGTCTTTGCAAAAATCGCCAACTTTGCAAGCGGGTTCATCCCAACATATAAAAAAACGACGACGTGCCAATGAAAATCCTGTCAAAAGTCGTTACAATGAAAAACTCTATAAATCGAAAACGAAGCACTTCAAACTGGATTTGAATGATGAATTCATCATCAAAGATCTCTTATTTGAAATGATCGAGTAAGACTTCCCTTGCTTCCGGAAAATTTTATTGGATTTGTCTTCTTTTTCAGACGAGTTGTTTCGACTAGTAATGATCAGGCATTGAAAACTTTACTTAATACATCTATTTCAAACATAAAACAGATAATACCGATAGGTCGGGTATCCGATCGAAAAACGACTTTTCTCCGAACGAACAAAAAAGCGAATTCATCAAAACCCAATGGTAAAGTTTGTCTTTTCGTGGAACAAACGTCACTGATAAGTTGTCTCCTTTTCAGAATCACGTTCGAAGATTATTACACAACGAGAATTAGACGAACAAGCTTATCTACTTCATACGAAAGACCACCGTGGAAATTATGAACGAGTTACTAATCCGGCTAAAATCGAAGAACGTAAGTTGATAGGCAAAAACACGAAATTACTTTTGCCGACAATGAATCATCCAGGACTTCTCTGAGTAATAGCTGTTCTTCTGCCTCTTCCTAACAAAAAAATGACGTCCGTACAGGTGACAATATACCGCTTGTATAAATTACTCTCTCAATTGGCGATTGTCTTGTTCTTCCGTAGCAACTTTGTTAATACCTGTTGCAATAACTCTTGTGAAATCAACTTGACAATCTATTCTAGGAATGCGTGAGATGTGGTCGGAGATGAGCGAACAAAAGAAGAATACTTATTACAAACGAGTTATTCAATTATATAAAAAACCCAATCGTGATGTTGTTATTACATCATCAAGTCTAGGTATATCTTCTAGACGCATTTTTCTCTTCTTTATGATGATCTAATCGATCTTATGCTTTTGATATCTATGTAGAAAATCATTCATTCTTATCGAATGATTCAACTGATAATACCAATTCATCAACATTATCGATCAGTTCGTTATCTGTTGATTTCAAACGACAAACATCGACACCTTTATCTTTTCATTCGGTTCCTTCGTCGATCCATGATGATCAATCAACAATATCCTCGAATGAAAGCAGTTCTAAAACGAATATCTCAACTGATATTGTCAATGAATTAATCAATGGTGCCAAAGGTTTAGATAGATTATCGTCTTCGCCAACAGTTTTCATCGATTCGATCCAAAATTTCGTACAATTACCAATAGACAAACAAATTCAAACTGTGCGAAATCTTGAACAACAACTTGAAAAGTAAAACTTTAATTAAATAAGACGAACAAAAAAAAAGAATGAAAGACCTTTTTCTAGAAAATGTTCAACTCAATTAAACCGTGCGAATATTTTTTGTACCCAGAAAATCAGTTATTTCACCACAAAATATCAAATCAGCTCGTCAAATGAATCTAAGAATGAATTAACTCTAATCGTCAAATATTTCTACTTCTTTGTTTTATGTAAGTTGCTCCCTTCGATCGTATTTCATCTCATCTCTCTTTATCTTATTCACAGCATTGAACTGTCAGAAACAGGAAAGAGTTTTTCAAACTATTTTAACTCAAATTCTTAATGGAAACTATACATCTATTGAAGAATCGTATTGTTCACCAGTTTTAACAAGTGTTATCGAAGATCTCATTCTCTGTTCGTCATTAGCGAATGATTATTTGGCTTCTCAACCGATGGTTATGAACGATGTGGAATATTCATTACCATGTGTACGAAATTCGGAGTTAGAAAACGAATTAATCCATATGAATTTATCATCAGATTTGTTTACAAATGCAAATGATTTGCAAGATTATTTAAATCGTTGTGAAAGTAAAGACAGTTCTTCCTGATATTTTCAATTTGATTTGTTGATCGTGTTTTTAGATGCAACTATAAACATTCCATGTTATTCTGTCCAACAGTCTCAGCATTCATCGATGTATTATCCAACTTATCATTCCTCTTCTCAATTCTATTATCCACCATCACAATCAAACGATATGAATAATTATTATTATAATACCAATCCTTCAACACCTTATCCACATTCATCACAAATGTTTTCATACGGTCAATCAACATCTTATTATCATCCTGCAAATACCTATGCAAATAATAATAATAATAATAATAATGAAAAATTTAAATATTATTATAATCCTCAACAATCAACATACCCGTATCCATCACAAGTGAACAGTACTACTGACATTCCAATATCGACGAATTCTTCACTTCATCGATCGTATCGCCAGATGAATCCCAATTTACAAAGGTACATATTTGAATATTTCCAATCTGAGATTTGATTTCTTCTTGTTTGTTTCGAAAGAACGTTTAGTAATTCTCAACAACCAACAACATCTTCACCTGTGTTCGATTCACCGTCAGTTGTTTCTCCACAAGTAAATTTTCTTTCAAACTAAAGTCATTTCGACGTTCATCATTACGTAATATTCGTAAACTAGTCAACAGATGTCATTCGATGGTTCATCTCATTCACATAGGACATCCGAGAGACTTGGAATTCATAAATAAATGACATTCATTGTTTTTCTCACGTCAATCAGCAATTATGAGAATAAATATCAACTGTTACGACTGACTAACGATTTATCGGATTCATTTTTCTTTTCGACACTATATTGAATTGCGGCATATTTTTCCTTATAGTCATCATCTCCAACAACAGAATAGACAACTAAAGTTCGTGTATGCATATACTAATCGCTGTAGTTGCTTAATAAGACCTAACATATCGTCGTTCTTTCGAAAAGAAAAGACTTTTCATCTCTTTCTTTCTTCTATTTAGTCAAAACTACTGAACTCAACAAATCCAAATTATCCATCCTAGCTGCAAACAAAATCACCAGCTCTCTCTCTTTCTGTCATGGTATTCTGCATCAGAATACGTTCGTTTGATTTTTCTCTGTTTTCGTTTTCTTCAACTTTCTTTCTTTCGCGTACACACATACACAGGTGCTTGTCTCATTCAATATTATTATTGTCGTCATTCTTTGTTTTTCAGCTATCTTGTGTTTCATATGCTCGCACGCTGTACATTTTCTAGCTCTTAGCACTTTATTTATAGGCTGCTTTCTGTTCTATTTTACCGTGTTCATCTGCATCCATTGTCTATGCATGAGATAAAAATTCTATTCTATTGTTATTGCTGTTGTTGGTCATTCAGGTCGATTGGTTGCCAGTATTCTTTCATATTAGACTAGCAAGAACAAGTTCGAGACTCTAGCAAATTCCACATCCCGGATAGACTTTGTTGTGTTTTTCTCATTTGATATTATTCTGAACAGAAAGATTCTCTTGTCGGCGAAGGAAAGAAACAGTTGTTTTTATTCAATAATTGATTTTTAGACATGTATGCCGTTCTAGTATTGATCAGTTATCTTCATACGCTTCCAAAACCTCGTGTGTTTTTCGTTTCGGTTTCTTACCGGTGATAAATCCACCTTCGATTCTTTTATTCTATTCGATTTTCTCCGTCCTTACATTTCCTCTTCAACGAGAAAGGAAAACTTCTTCGCCACGTGTTTTTCTCCATGAAAAGACAATTTTCTACCTTCAACAGCAACAATAACAACCCCCGCCCTCCCCCCCCCAAAAAAAATCATATATATTTAATAAAGCAATGTTTCGCTGTTCGTTCTTCTTCTTCTTTTTGTTCATTTATGCATGTGTGTCTATCTATCTATTACATTCACCGTTTTTTGTTCTTTTTTTTCTTTGTATTTATATTTTGAAAGAAAAGCAAACCTGCGACGACGACAAAAAGCACATCGTACGCTCTATTGTTCATTAAGATATTTAAAAACAACACTGAAATCACGTTTGTTTAATCCACTTGAGCAGATTTTACGGTAGACATCCGTGGCCTTTTCAGTTAATGGTGTCGATGCTTGAACTTCCTTCGCTGCATCTAAAAATCGAAAAGGAAAGCATGATGATGAAATGAGAAGTAATAAGCGTATACCAAGAGCAAGTAAAAGATCTTTAATCATCATTTCACTGGCGAAACCACCGTTGTAATCGTTACTTGATGGAACAGTGGGAACAATACCGGGACATGGATTGTATGTTTGACTTGACCAACATTGACCAGTGGAAGAATTGATCAGTTTTGCTAAAACTTCTTGATCAAGACCGAGTCTGAAAATTTTCAAAGAATTAATATTCTCAAACGTTTTTGCAACGAAAAATACTGACTTGATACCGAGATTCATTGCTTCCGAGGTACCAATCATACTGAAACAAGAGAATAAGAAGAAAATAAAACATACTTGGAAATACGCATTTGCATACCTGATACCTAAGAGTAGATTATTGCAGATCTTAGCAATTAAACCACTACCATTTGGACCGGCATGAACAATGTTTTTACCCATTTTACTGAGAATAGGTTCAACTTTTTTAAAATCATCGACTTGAGCACCAACCATAAATGTTAATGTACCTTTCTGAGCACCGGTTATACCTACGAAACAACGAGAAATTCAAACGCTAATAACAATCAAAGAACGCTCACCGCCCGAAACAGGCGCATCGACGAAGCCGATATTTTTACTGTGAGCAACTTCTGCCATTTCTTTCGATGTACGTACATCAATTGTACTACAATCAATGATACATGTACCTTTCTTTGCTACTCTGAACAGAAAAGGAATAAAAACACGCGAAAGAATTGAATACTAATTCTTCTTACGGAAAAACATTCGATTGACAAACATCACGAACAACTTTACCATTGGGTAACATTAAAACAATAAATTCCGAACCTTCAACAGCATTCTGTGGAACAGATACAACTTTTGCTTGTTCTAAACATACATAAAATCAATCTATCGAAGTGACCTCTCAGAGTCTATTGGTTTCTACTTTGATCTTTAAAATGGTCAAGTGCTTGAGGGTTTACATCGAAGATTTTAACTTGATGATTTGCCGCAATCAAATTCGTTGCCATATGTTTACCCATATTTCCCAATCCAAGGAAACCGATCGAAGCCTGAGATACAAATCAATCATTTCTTTGTCTTTTCAGAAACATTCTTGTACGTACATATCGAGCAAATGATAAATGCACCATGTTTGGGAAAATCTTAAAACAAATCAAATGTATTTTATATCTCTTACGAATATGACATCAAGCGTAGCATTTATTCACCCAAATAACAGATAAAAAGAAAAGAACAGTGATTGGATCAAACATATTTATAAAAATCTTGTAGATTTATCGATTGTCGATGATTCTGATACAATTGCCAGGTAAAAAATGTCATTAGACTAAGTAAGAGACTATTGAGAACACCGTCGATGATTTGTGATACTAAAATTCGAGATCAAATCATGTGATTTCATCTTACAATTCTTACTTATTCCTTCTTCTGGATCGTTATCTTGATTTTCATTTGTTTTTTCGTCTTGAACATTCTCCTTCTGATCATCTTGTTCATTTGCTTCTTTCTTTCGTTGTTCTCTTTCTAATAATCGTTTCTGAGCGATCTCTTGGCGTTTCAAACGTTTCTCTTCTCGTTCCTTCTCCGCTTGTTTTTCTCTTTTTTTCGCTTTTGCCTTTTCATTCGCTTGTTTCTTTTTCAATCGAATCGCTTCTTCCTTATCGAATTCTTCCTTTTGCGTGTCCATATATTTCAAAACTCTCTCAGCACACGATCGACATTCTTTCTTATTCAAACATTTACCGGCTTGAATTTGTAGGTCCGCATCTAGAGGATTCCCTTTCAGATCTAAATACTAAGGTCACATTCATGTAACAATCGCGTATTTTCTTCAAACGAGTGAATATTTACGTCAAGTTTTGTCAAATCACAAAAAGAAAGAGGTAAATTGCTGATGCGATTATCGTAAAGGTCGAGTTGCTTCAAGGATTTAAGTTGACCAAAGTTGTCCGGCAGTTTCGTTAGACGATTTCTCGATAAGTCCAATGTGTGAATACCTTCGAGTTTGATGAAGTCATCCTGAGAAATAAGAGAAAAGACATTCTTTTTCATGTGATATTCGCACACAGAAATACATGCGGGTAAAGATTCGATTTGGTTGTTGGATAAATCAATTGATTTAACTTTACGTAAGGCTAACTGAAAGTAGAACGAATGAATGATGAGAAAATGATCATTTGAGGATGAATTGGTTTACAATGTCATTGACGTTTGGAACTGATTTCAAACTCAGAATTGATAGATCAAGTTTGCCATCTTCCGAAAGATAATCTTTCAGCTTTAGATTCGATTTCGAAGCCATAGCGTTTTATAGAAGGTGTGTAGTGTGAAATGAAATGATATGGAAGGTAGGGAAAGTTTGGCTAGCGAACGAATATGATTGGAGTAGATAGGGTGTTATCAATGTTGTGTACACGTTGATGACAGGATGAAAGCGAATTCTCATGGAAAATGCTAAACAATGAACAAGTTTCAAGTAAAATCGAGTTTTCTTTCGAATATTTGAACTCAAAATCGACTTAATTTGGTATGCAGTGAACGCCATCTACAGAGTAGTTTTTTCAAAAATTACATTGATAGTTTTCTTCCTCTGTCAAGCATATCCGATCAATGTGTTTTTGATAAATTTACATTCAACTCAACATGTAAAACATTCGAATAATGTTGTGATAACATTTCGTTGTGTCTCAAATCGACTATCTTCAACTTAAGACGGTAAATACTAAAGTTATTTGTACAATTTAACAAGATTCTTTTTATTCAAAAGAATAGTAACATGGAATGATAAACGAAACAGTACAATGGTTATACTCAATAAATAGCGTCATCTATTCCTTTGATTCTCACAATTGTGTTATAAAGACACTTGGCAACATATTTTCAATTGAACCAAAACACAATGCCAAGTAAAACTGCACTTCTTGGAATCCGAAAAGTTCCTCTTGAAATTTCTCTTTCAAACATAATACCAACATATTCTCACGTACACATCAATCATATTCGAAACAGACATCAAGTTTATTATTCAAATCGACATTTACATTCTTTCTCGCTTACTGTAAGACCAAATGCACACATCTCTCCCATATCATATGGCTTCCCATTATATCTTAATCAGATAACTTCAAATTCGATTGCAATCAGTTGAATATATACGCCAACCACAAGTTCCTATCGTGATCGTTTTGCTCTAGTGCTTTTTAGAAAGAAATGACATCATTTCATGCTGCGTTTGGTTCATTAAATCAAGAACAAACACGTTTGAATGAGAACGAAATCAACTTTAGTCATCATACTCAAGAATCCATTGATTTTTCGACAATAGATCTTGATCAACAAGTAACACCGTCAAGCGAAAATCATTCGTCACTCTATGAGAGTCTCAATGACAAAGCACCATTTCAAACTGATTCATTATCAACGGCTGGTGCCATGTCCAACACTCCTTCGAATTTCTTTTCAAGTACATAACCAAATATTTTCTCTCAACAAGAATTCATTCGATTTTCTTTCTTTCAGGTAACAATTTTTCATCGAATTCAATGACGACAGATCGACGAATAACGATGCCTGATATTTCGAGAATATCCTCATCGTCGGCCGCAGCCGTGGCTGCTGTTGCTCCAACGATTGATAAATTCAAACAATGGACTCGCACCACATACAAATGCACAAAGCAATCCTTATTCGAAAAGTTGGGTAAAACATCGCGCACGGTTAATGTTGAACTCGATGCTCAAATAGAGGTTAGTCGATGCGCAAAACTATCGTTACGGTCATGTTCGTTGTTGAATATTTTCAGCATTTGAGAGAAACGAAACGTCGATACGAAGATATGCTTGCGTTAGCTCGAAGTTATGCAAACCATTTTTATAATCTAATGCAAACACAAAGCGCCCTAAGTAAATCTTCGAAATTCAAACAACCAGTTTTCAGTTGACCACCTTCTAGGTGATCAATTTATTGAATTAAAGCAAAAAACATCAGTACTTGTCGACGAGTTTAGCTATAACGCTGAAACACAACGATTACTAGCGCGAAACGGCGAAACATTATTCAATGCATTGAATTTCTTCATTTCAACAATGAATACACTCTGCACTAAAACTATCGAAGATACAATCACCACTATTCGGTTGTATGAAAACGCAAGGTATAGACTGGGAAGAGACTTTTCAGAGAAAATATACTCGTTTTAGACTGGAATACGATGCCTGCCGAGCGGAAATTGCGCTTTTACCAGCGAGTGGACAAACGAATGAAAAACTGTATGAACTGGAAAAATATAAAGAAAAATACGAACAGTTGAAAAGCGATACAAGTATTAAACTTCAGCTTCTCGATGAAAATCAGGTTTGATTTGATTGAGACGAAAAATATTCAAACGACTTATTTCGTTCTCTAGACGAAGGTTATGAAAAATCAATTGCTTCTCTTTCATAATGCCATCGCTGCCTACTTCTCTGGTAATAAAGAAGCATTAGAGTCGACGATGAAACAGTTTAGCTTGAAAGTCTCTCCAAATGGAACTCAAGAGCATAAATCGTTTATAGAACAACTTCATCGTTAATCTGCTTGCACATCTTCCTTTATATACAAATCTATGCATTTTCATTTTTATTGTTTGTCAGTTGATTTGTTATTTAATGCAATGTATATTCGGTGATCTTTGTCTTATTCTTTATTCTAGTACAATGAATGAACTTTCTTAATCATTTGTATCTTTTATCTTTTTTGTTTGGAGATGATCTATGACTGTATTGTGCTACCAGGCGGCGGAGTCGATGATGATGGAAGTCCGTCTGCGTGGGTAGCTGCTCGATTGGATCGTGCTGTTGAAATGGCCTCATCAACATGCTACTTTTTGGTTTTAAGTCGAGGCACAACGCATCGTCCGCCCGTACTCGATGCACACTCGTTTCCTGTCGATGAAGCGACCGCTAGTGCAGCGTACTTGATGGAAAGAAATATTCCATCGGAGAAGATTCTGATCGAAAATTGGTCGTTAGACACGATTGGTAATGCGTATTTTGCTCGTCAATGTGTTCTAGAGCCAATGGAATTGTTTCGTTTGGCAGTAATTACGAATGAATTTCATATGCTTCGAACGAAAATGATCTTCGACTGGATCTTTTCTTTGGCAAGTTCGAGTAAAGATCGATGCACAAGATTTCATCTCGATTACTTCGCTGTGCCGAATCGAGGCATGACGAATGAACAACTGATTGCTCGCATTCAAAAAGAAGCTCTCGCTTGCGAAGACTTACAAACCAAAACTCAGCACATCACGACTTTCCCTCAGTTGGTCAGATTTTTATTCGTCGAACATGGAGCATACAAAGCCAAACCTCTCCATTCACGCCGAAGTCAGTTAGATCCTTTAACAGCGTCAACGTATTAATCTGAATAAAGATCTGTATATTTTATATAAAGAAGTACGCCCATACACACAGAGAGAGAGATGAAACATTAACACAACAGTTCATTATTTTGTTTTACGGATTATATCTAAAAGACGACCTGCATTGTTTTTCTCATTTGTACTGACTTTTTTCTTCATAAATATAATACGATTTTTCATATCGGCGATCTGATCATCGAAATCAAGTAATGCAGCTCGAAGTGGTTCGAGATTTTGATCGGTTGTGCTAGAAAAGTTATTCATAGTTTTTGTAATGTCACGGTCAGTCAGATAAGGATTCAACTCACAATTTCTCTTTTCTTAGCTCGACAACTGTTCGTTTGTATTCATCTGTATAATGTTGCATTTCTTTTGCCATCATTTCATAATCTTCTTGCAAGAATTCGAGAATTTTACCCAATGGTACAACACTAAAATCCTAAGATCCTTAAAGAAAAGTTCCAATCCTAGAAAACAAACCTTTTTGTCAAAGATTGAATTGTTTCACGAAGTTTATCAACATCTTTCTGAATCTTCTCACGTTCGCGACGACGCTGAGCATCATTTTGTGCGATCGTTTTCTAAACAAGAAGCCAAATAACAAACCGTTTCCATCAAGTTGAATGCTGACCACTTCTGCACGTTGTCCAGGAATTTCACTACCATTTTCTAACTTCTTCTTCGATCTCATCATTTCATTCACTAGTCCACCATGCTGATCAGCATCGTCATCGTCCTGATCACCACCACGAGTGTCGAAAGTGTCTTGTTTCTATTTACACAAAAGAAAGTTAAAGTTGATTTGCATTGGAAATGTTTACACTTGATCTTGTCATCGAAGGCTTTTCTTCTTGTATGAGAAAATTGTCGTCGTCGTCGTCATCATTGTCATTGTTCATGTCATTGTCACGAGTATCTTTACTTTCAACGATCAATGTTCCTTGGCCGCGTTGGGCGCCGCTCAAGACTCTTTGGTATAAGAAGATAAAAATAGTTAAAAGAGAAGAAAGATTCTACTTACCTTCCGGATGTTGTGCCGATTTCATCTGATGACGTTTGAGTCATAAGTTTACCTCGTTTAGCTGCAGTAGTTGGTCGGACAAGTGGTCGGCTGAAAAAGAACAGGAGCTAGAACTGAGAATAAAATTGAAATTGGAGTTATACCCTTCGTTGTCATCTCGATCTGTTGAGACTAATGTCGGAGGTGGTCGTGTTGGTTGCTCAGCTGAAGAGATGTTTATAAAAAAAATGTGATGAAGACAGATCATTGTAAAAATGAAATAATTACATTTTGGAGATGATGGCCGATGATGATTACTACTATCTTGATGTTTTCGTGAACCCTTGGCTGACGTTGGCCGTATAGATCGACGACTTCGAGAGTCGTCCTCATCATCACCACCGCCACCGCCACCACCACCACCCTCACCCTAAAAATTCCAATTTCTGTTGAATTAGCCCAAAACGTTGTGGTTTCAAACTTTTCTCTCATTGTTGTCATCATCGTCATCTTGTCGACGTGAAGGTGCGGCTCTTCTTTCTCCACTGCCACCATCATCCAATCCACGAGAACTTCGTCGGTGCTTCGACTGGCTACTTCCGTCTGTCTCACCTTTGTCCTTTTAAAAAATTACACGAAGAAATTTCCTTCCGATCTACCACCATTCCCCTATTTCTTACTTTACTATGATCTTTTGATCGTGATCGTTTTTCTGATGATTCTTCTCGATCACGATCACGAGAATGGCTTGAACGTTCTTCTTTTGTTCGACGTGTTTCTGATTGTTCTTGATCTCGACTCGCTGTTTGTGGTTCTTCGCTTTCATTCGATTCACCAAGAGTTTGTAGAGTTTTTCGCACAACTTCTCGATTATTAGCCTTCGAATTAATAGCTTCAGCAAGCGCTTGTAATAAAAGATTCGTTTTGTCTGCTTCTTGACCAGCGAGAATTTTCGAAACACGCACTTCAGGCGCTCGTTTTACCGCAATATCTAAATGAACGAATGAGCAAAACATCACTTTCTCAGAATGTCTTTACTAACAAACAGCAGTAACGAGTTTTTTCATGAATAATGTTTTGTTCTCTCGGCCTTCCTTGAGATAGGCTGACGTAAGTTCTTCATCCGTATACAATCCTTGAAGAAAATCCGTTTTCTTGATGACCTAGAGATTTTCATGTTTACAATATTAACCAAAATATTTTCTACGATTGAATCAACATACAGCTTTGACGATATCTTGAAGAAATTGTACTGGTGGTCGGCTGAGAAGTTTCTCGGTCAATGCCGGTGCAGTAATGATTTGACCAAGAGTATCTTGAGTACGTTTAATAATATCGGAATCAACACTGTCACCCATCCTGATGTAATATCAATTCTTGGAATAATATGACGTTCAAAGACAGAACCATGAATGTTGAAAACTGTTGATGGTCGCTTAGGAACACATGTTGACTCACCTTTGTTAGGTAGAGTCAGATGTCGTTAGAGATCATTCGCGCATTGAATCGATTCTTTCTGGCAATTGTTATTTAATGATTCAAATAGAAGTTCAAGACATTCTCAAATTTCAACTGTCGAACTGTTTGCATCCGAGATTGTTTATTTTAACAAAATGTACATGATAATAAGAATGAAAGTGTACTTAAACTCTCATACAATCACTTCATCATTCGTCTTTCAATTAATCAAGCAAACAAAACGAAAAACAAAGTCGATACATGACTTTCACACAAGTCGCATTTGAAGGGTGTGGAGCTGATGAATTGATTGAAACATTCACTACTGAAAAGGCCAAAATATCATCCGGATATGAAAAACTCTTACCTAAGGTTTATCCAAACGATATAATTAAATTGATATCTTTTCAGCAAATCTATTCTTACAAAAAATTCCTCCAGGCAATTCTTAGAATATATCCGGAAAACGTGCAACGATCTCTACATACAAATGCAGTCATCCTCGAAAAGAACAACTCATTTTTAATCTATCTAATTTGGTGTATGAACTTTACAAAGTTGTTTTTTTCCGTCGAGATTATCGAGTGTTGACATATTCAGTTTGATAAATCGCTGTTTACCTTGGAAATTTATTGAAATTTCGTATTCACATATCGTTCGTGAATGTCTAATTGTTCAAACATGTTGAAATGATAAACGAAGATGAATGCTGCTTTTCTTTTCTTCGATTTTAACTCTCAATGTATATATTTTGGAAATGATTCGCAACTGACAGTTGTTATCAGTCAGACAGGCTGATTATCAGGCTAGTACATTGCATATCGAAAATCATTTGTGTGTTTAATGATCGGTGACTCGTCCGAACTTTCGTTTTCATTTGTCGAAAAGAAAGAAAACTAATGTGACAATGAGCATTTAATCTTAACTTGAGCTTTTGATCAAACAATCTCTGATGGGTGTCGAATCCGGTGCGAAAAGGTTGTCTTCTTCTTCTCTTTCCCTCTCGTCTTAGGTATATTTGCTTTTTTTGAGAGTAAATGTGAGTGGCTAATGTCGATGTATGTGTCAATATGTAATTCAATGATGACAGTCAATTAATCCTG